GTAAAGTCACGTAGAAGGGAAATAATAAAATAATGAAAATTAAACATAATAAAATAAGATGCACACGAGGTTCTCTTTGCAAGAGGCGTGCGCGTGGGGTTGTGGACCGGCCGTGGGTCGCTACCGGCCGCGAGTCGCGGTGGGAGGAAGAGCGGCAGCAGCGGCAGCAGCAGGAGGAGGATGGAGAGAGCCCCAGCCGCGCCTTCCCCGCTGTGTGTGCCGTGTCGGAACGCTGCTGCTCGGCGCGAGCAGCAGCGCCGATCCGCTTACATTTAGCCTCCGCTGCACTTTAATTTCCGTTCTATTAAAATAATAAAACTCGACACAGTGCGACGCAACCACAAGAATGGTGCACAGTAGCTGCGCGCCCTACCCCAACCCGCCATCCCGATCCTCCTAGAAAGCCGGAAAGTTGTTTCCAATCCACGAGCCTCACCGACATTGAGATGGTTACCCAGCACGTGTGAGACACCAGACCTGCGCCCATGTCCCCCACGTGACTGTGTAGACCTCATTCACCCACCGCATTAACCACCTCCTCGTGCTTTCCAACATCGGCTCCGTTCTCTGTTGCCTAGAAAGGGGCCGCGTGTTTTTTTTTGTCTTCGTGCCGCGATCCTCCCGGTAACTTCCCTCCGTGTGTGATGGTGCGGGGTAGCAGCGGTCATAATTATTCACTTGCACAGAAATATCCCTCGTCGAATGCAAGTAAATTCTTTCTCGCTCATTTGCATGATGTTATCATGCGCGCTGCTGGTTTGGTTTGTAATTGTACCAGAGCTGATTTGAGCCTTAAACAATCAGATCGGATCAGGATATCCCCGTGTGACCTGATTAAGACGGGTCATACGTCCGGCTTGGCTTATCAGACTGATTAGCCAATTGGCTACAACGCATCTCTATCCATTGCAACAATCATCAACATGACGTGTGTTTAGTCACTCGCCTGCGTTTCAACGACGTACCGAACCTTTCCTGCGGCTATACGTACCGCAATCAGTCATCCTAGGACATGCTCGATCTACCGCTGGATGAAGGCCTTACCCAAACGGCCCTTTCTTACGATTCTGCGTTGTAACAATCCACCCAGCTCCATCTCTCCAGCAGACGACGTGCTGTCGGACGCGTCCTGTCTCTCGGTAGCCACTACGATTATTATCATCATCATCATCGACCATCGTTGCTTGTGGAAGGGATAGAGGTATCACAAATCAATGGTCGAGATGGCTCCACGCTCAAAGCAGCAGCCGGACAACGACACCTCTGCACGAGCAAACCTAAAGCCCGTGGTGAACGTTACACATTCCCATGGCAGGGCCCAGTCTCTCCGTAAGAAAAACGCAGCCGAAAGTGCCGCGTTTTTTTGAGCTTTGCTCAATCGGCTATGCGAAGACGGTCATTTGATATTGATCAGCTGATCGGGATCATATCCTGCTGATTGCATCTGAAAGAATGTTGATTGGACCCTCGAAGAATTGGAACCGACATCTGAACATGATTTAACATCAGCGGATGTAAGGAAATCAGAACAACGCATCCCTATGATGTATGGACTTACAAGAACAGCGGTTGGAATATGCGATCGCTGCCAAGTGCGCGTGTGTTTTGAGCCCGCCGGTGCGTGCTGCACAGAGCCACGTGCGTGACAAGTGACACATTGTACGCCGTCACCACGGGGAGTTCCTCCTGTCCGCAGTCTTCTTGTACTTAGCACTCGCGCCATATCTTCGCCACGCATCTGCACAGAAGAGACAAAGCAAACAAGACTCCCACATTCCTGGGCAATATCAGGCGGAGTCCTCGTGTTATTTTGGCGCAGGCATTGTGCCTTGTGGGCACGTCGTCATCACGCGTGACCTGGAGATGGGATGACCATCGTACACACTCCGCCTCTTCAACGAGGCCTAAGGGGTCAGCCGACGTGACCGACCCGACGAAGACGTTTCCCAAATCCACGCATTTCACCACGCGGCCGTTTTGTGGTGCAGCAGGCTGTCGTGACCCAACGGGCGGCGCACCGGACTTTCGGTCCAGAGGTCACGGGGTCAGACCTCCTGGCGCGGCAGTTGAAACAATGGGGGCAAGTTTCTCAAATCCTCCCGTCGCCCTGTGTCCACCCAGCGGTGTGAGTGGGTTCGCCACCACAGTCGATCGGCAGGCAGCGTGTGGGTGGGGTAAAGTGTGGGAACTCACACCTCGTCCAAGATTTCTGGACGGCGTGGAAGAGGAGGCCAAATACACACTGAAGGGGCTCTAAGAAGCTTCTTCTAGTGAAGGCCATTTCGCGATCAGTGGAGAGAGCAAGCAACTACACGGCTGCACCTTTGCCTTCATGCTTCCCATTTTCTGTTTATTTTTCTGCGAATAAGTGCAGTCAATTGACCCCGCCAATATCAGGATGGTCCCGTATACCAGCACGGATAAGAGGAGTTCTCCTCTTTCAGTTGACATCAATTTGACAGTAACAAGATGATCACGGTGGACCTTGTGCGACGACCGTGTGTGATGTCTAGTCAGGTGAAAGCCCGCGAGACAACTCGAGGCCTACAGGGCAGGACGAGGTGCAGTGCCTCAATCCGAGACGCTGGGCAGGTATTAAAGAAGAACCTCGTTGCTCGTGGGTTTTAATATTCACGTCACGAAAGTGAATCAAATGCAATCCATTTTTTGAAACGTCATTTTATTTGAATGTACATAATAGTAACATACAATGGATTAATTTAACTACATGGTTTAATTATTTTCATTACTAAATATATTATCAATATATAACTCAATGTATATAACTATACCGTATATAAGACATTTCAGGTTGGCGGTTGTATAACTTGTTCTTTTTTTACCCTCAGCATTGTTACTAAAAACACCTGTGGATGATTTACTCTGTGTATGTGTGTACCTGTGTATGCACCTGTGCGTGTGTGTACCTGTACGTGTATGTGTGTGTACCTGTGCGTGTGTATGTACCTGTGCATGTGTGTATCTGTGCGTGTATGTGTGTGTATGTATTTGTACGTGTGTATGTACCTGTGCGTGTGTGTATGTACCTGTGCGTGTATGCACCTGTGCGTGTGTATGTGTGTGTGTACCTGTGCGTGTGTGTATTTGTGTGTATGTACCTGTGTGTGTATTTGTGTGTACCTGTGCGTGTGTGTATACCTGTGCGTGTATGCACCTGTGCGTGTGTGTATTTGTGTGTGTACCTGTGCGTGTGTGTACCTGTGCGTGTGTGTGCTATGGGGAGCGGCAGTGTAGTGAATCTAACGTGCTGCGCTGCGAACCCGGCAACCCGAGTTGTCTGACCCGGTCCCGTGTCTCCCCCAGGTCGACTCAGAGCGCTTGCCCCGACACTCGGTTCAAGGCGATTGGCGGCGGATCTTTGTCTCCGTGTGCCGCGTGACCCTGGGGACGGGCGGGTCTGTGTCCACGCAAGGCGCTCTCCCCGCCTCTCCCCAGGCCGTGACGGAAGCGCCTTTCGCTCTTGGCAGAGCACAGAAGTCGCTCTTGGCAGAGAAGCCGAACGCGACTCGCGGCAGGCCCACGTCCCTGACTGTGAACAACTTCGTCAACGCTTCCCCAACTTGCGAGCGTGGCTCTCGTCAGAGCTCCACGGTGCCGTGACGCCGTGGGCGAGGTGATCGTAGAATAGCGAGCGAGGTCACTTGTACAATGCCCTGGTCTTGCCACGCAGCGAATACTGTCCCTCTCTCGTCCTCTCGTCCAATCTTTGACGATCGTTTGTTAAAAGACGACGGCACCACTTGCAAGACACAACTGAGATGCCACCCTCAAGCAAAGCAACATGTCAATGACGTGCGGATTTGAAACGCTGTGAGCTCAAACTTACATATTCACGCCATTAAGTTGCAATTTGGTTAACCCACGGAACATAACTGCTCGTCACACCACCCCTGATCCAAGCGATTACATTCTTTAGCGATGTGCTGAGCTGTCAATCTTGATACCGGTGGTTATTAAAAACCAACAATGCCCTGGACCAGCGAACACATGTTTACGAGGCATGAACACTTTTCAAGTCTTGCTGCAAAAGCAACTTTTACAGACTATGTGTAATACACGTAACTTTCAAACAGACGTCAAAAACCGATGCGATTCCAGATTTGCATTGAGTAGGCAAACCTTCCACCCCATGATTTTCTCCCTTTTGTAGCGACGGCCAACATTTCTTAACTGACGTCCAATTAGCCAATCACAACTTGAGCATTTGTTTTGGTATAGTTGCAAATAAATCGCGATGTTGGGTTACTCGAGAAGTTCTTTAACCGAAGGCACAATGAAATTTCTTTTTTTTACAAAACCTCAACGTTCTCGGGTCAGCGATAGCTTGAATTGGGTCAGCGATATCCAGAATTGGCACATCGTCTGGGAGCGTGATTGTTTAAACTGCTTTGGGCAGCAAATGCCCTCCTCGTGGTTGTACGTCGGGTGCTACGCTGTTTTGCTGTCATCGTTGATTCGAAGCCAACTGATGATGAGGCATAATGGTTCTTGCAGTACATTTTCCAAGCGCACCATTTTACATATTTTAATCCCTTCTTACACGGCCACTATACATCAACAATGCATTGCCAAGCAGCTGCTAATAATCAGAAGTCTGGCTGCAAAGAGTGCATCCCTGGGCTCGGTATTTTTCCGATGAAACAAATAAAATCGGTATGAAGATAATAAGACGAAAAATTAAATGGCGTTCATAACAGAGGTGGTGGTTTAAAATGAAATAAAAAATACGGAGTAATAAAAAAAAACTTTCAACAATGCATGTAATAAATACATCATATTAGTGCCTTACGCAAAGCCCTGCAGCAAAGTAAGCGCAGATGAGATCGCAGTTGCATACGGTCAAAGTAAAAACACAACGAATACGCGGAACATAAATTACAACTCATTCACAACTCGGCACATATTTACAAACGTTTTCCCTGCCGGCAAACGCGCCAGCGCCTCGCGGGGGGTCGCGAGGCGCTGGGGTGGAGGGGGGGCGCAGGGGGAGGGGGGGCAGGGGAGAGGGGGGGGCAGGGGGGTGCCGAGGGGGCTCACGAGGGGTCAGCGCAGTGAACGCGGCGGCCGCGTGCCGATGCCACCCCCAGTGGCCCGGCGTCCAGGCCGCACGTGCTGCCCGGCGTCCAGGCCGCACGTGCGGCGTCCACGCTGGGGTGGCGGCTCTCCCACAGCTGGGAGATGAGACTGCGGGATCCCACACCAGGGGGGCTTTGGGAGGCTTCGTCGGGCAGTGGATTGTCCATGCTTGACGACGACGACGACGATTCCCTGAGCTGAGGGACATGGATGGGAGTGGTGTGGTCGCATGTGGCTTTTGTGTTTGCAGCTGGACCAGGCCGCAACTATTTGCGGGGCCCCTTTGGAAATGAGGGCGATGGAAAAAAAAACATCTTTAAATAAGTTGGTGTCCTGGTTTGATTTTGTTGTAGTACGAATTCAAAGAATTATATTCTATTGACAATGTTTTGCTCATTGTTATGGAGGCGAAGCCTGCATTCATCCCCACAATCTCACAACGAGCCCCTGCACCCCAGGGCCCCCGAATCCGAGGCTGAACTGAAATGAAACGTCCGTGCCGCGCGCCATCCGCAGGCCTGCACAGGTGGCTTCAATCAGCGGCGCTCCTGGACATCGCACTCACAGCGGGGAGGCCAATGAACGCTCTCAAACTCCCAAGTGGTTTCCTGCTCAAAATACGTGCTCATCTCCTATTTGCAGACTGAGCCAGTGGTGGAAATTCCACATTCTTGTTGTTGTGAGGGGAGTCTCACCGTGAAAGAAACAAACAAAAAACACCTCACTCTGGTACTCGGTTCTCTGGCATGGCTTGAGAAAGGACTGAGTCAACTTCCTAGCGGATTGAGGGAGGCCTGTTGATTTTTCATAGCCACCGGTAGCACGTGGGTGGGCGGTGGAGGTCATCTTAGAGGAAACGGTGCCAAGGGATGTGCAAAATGACAACAACAGCAAACACTCACACCTGCATTGTAACAGCTTCGCAATGGCAGCCGAAGTAACGTTTGGCTCACGACTGCACTGCAGCCTGGGCACCGTCAACACTGCGCAGTCGGCGTATTCATGAGGCTCCGACATTTAGATGCGAGTGACATCTTTTACATGGCACAACTTCCAGCTGTCGGGGTGATTGATTCCCTGCGTCGACGACATTGAGACCAGAACAAGGACCAGGGTGGCATTCGCTTCAACGACGTTGGCGGCAAATATAACGCAGATACGTCATCTCCTCACCGGTCCAACATTCTAAACAATGCGACACACAAAAACAGAGAGCTCTTATCTCTCGAGATCTGCACCCAGGCTGCTCGTATCAGGCCGTCCAACAGCCTGCCAGCTAATGGGGAAGGGGGGGGGGTAGCAACAGCCTCCCTGCCCCGCTGTGGCGCTGCCTATGGGCGGAAGAGAAGTGGCCTTGGGGACGAACGGACGACGAGGAGGATTTACGATGGTGACGATGAGGTGTAGATGAGAATGATGTAGCAGAAGAGGCGTGTGGAGAAGGAAGTGGATGACTAATTGCAAGGATGGACGGAAGGGGAAGAGAGCGAGAGGCAGCTACCCGGTCGAGGCAGCCGCGGAGGAAGGTGACTCGTGGCCAAGAAGGAGCAGGATGGACGGCGGCACGCAGAAGATGTGCAAGAAAAAGTGGAGCAAGGGGAGGAGGAGGGAGGTAGACAGAAAGCACGCGGTGATGATGATGATGCAATGTAGGTTGCAGAGAGGTGCCTGCAAAGGTCAGGTGTGGGGGGAGGTCAAAGGTCAGGTGTGGGGGGAGGTCAAAGTGAGGGATGAAGTCACAGCCGAGGACTGTGAAAAGGAACGGTAGAATGACAGTGGTGGGAACGAGGGGGGGGGGGGAGGTGGACATTGGGGCAGGGAAGAGGAGGAGGCGATGGTGTGGAGATGCATTTGGACTGCGGACAACAAAATAAGTACAGCACTTTTCAAAACAAAGCTGGATGCAATCATGGGCTGTGGCGATGGGAACGACTGCCGTCCCAGGAGAGAGGACGGCGCATAAATAACGGAGCTGCGCCCACTACCACGCTCGCCGGCTTCCCTCGTGACGACGAAGAACTCTTCTTGTGCAGATGCTGAGCGGACGCCGCGTGGCTCCGCCGAGCCGCGTGCTCACGCTGCTGCTCTGGGCTTTTGCCACGGAGCGTCACGCAATGACCAGCGCAGGCCGTGTCCCCCTCCCCCTCTGAGTGCGTCTCAACCCTTCCCCGTAGATGTGGGGGGGGGGGGGGGGGATTGCGAACCGGAGCCGAACGGCGCGAGAGACAAAAGCTGATTGCGTCGTGACTCATTCTGTTCGGCGTTGAACCGTTTGCTGAAGAGCGCTCAGCGTCGACGGCGCTGCCCCGGGGGTGTCGCGTGCCCCCTCGCACGTGGCCCTCCGCCCGTCGAGTCACGTGCAGCGGCGTCTCTCGCCCACCTGACCGAAGGGCCACTAATTGCTTCCTCGTGGTTTTTTGTTTTTTGTTTCGTGAAGAATAAAAGCACCGTTAAATTAGAACAAGTTTGAACACTTGCTATATCGTTATTCAAGTACAAACATGGCAACGCATGCACGGCATGTAGGTTGAGAACATCTTACTGGCGGCGGCGAGGGGGGCTCCGTGAAACGAACGCGCCGAGCGAGAGTGATGCCACCGCTTCTCCGCCCAGTAACGCACACGGCCCCCCCACACAGCGCACTCGATAAATACAGCAGCAGCAGCAGCACCGCCTGCACCACCGCTGTCGCCAAACTCAGACGAGCTTCCAACAACAACAACAAGTCGCCCGCTGCCCACATCCGATCGCCGGCAGAGAGAGAGGGGGGGGGGGTGTAGGGGGGGGGCGCTCCTCCGAGCCGGCCGAGTCGGGCGGTCACGGCGCGGGACACAGTGCCGGCGCGATGCAGCGGCCCTGGTGCAGCACGGAGCCCGCCGGGCAGTGGCAGCCGGCCACGCACGGCTCCTGGCACGCGGGCGGCACCGCGTTGCCGTCCCGGCAGCTGCGCGGGCACGCCGGCCCGCACGCCGACCACACGGCGCCGTGACGGCACACCGGCTCTGCGGGAACACGCGGACGGCACGACACGTGACGTCGTAAGGGTAGACACTATTTGGGTTTTTTTTGTTGCTCGCGCAACGCGCGCTGTGGCGCCTCTCTGGTGCAAAGCTGCCGCTCAAAAGCGCCGTCGCGTTCATACCCAGCGGTGGAAATGGGTCCCGGCACGGTTAATCGATTGTGATGTCGCGTGTGGTGGGGTGAAGCGTGGGTACGCCTCCCTCTCCCACACACCCTCTAGAGCCTCCCTCTCGTGGAGGCAGTTCCAGCAGCAGTGGCGTGAAGCAAGCTATTGCAGGGATGCACCTTTACGGCTCTTTAAAATTCCAGAGCAATTTGTATAGTTCTGTTGCAGTGTATTTTGTAGATTTGAAGCTTTTGTGACTGCAAGGATTCATATTCTTAGGTTTTTTCGGTAAAGTCACGTAGGTAAGCGAGACGCTGGCAGCTGTCGTGGCTGTGATGGTTCCACCTGAAGACGGAAGCTTGTGTTGCCTCCGAAACGTCGCGATTTTTATTTTATTTTACTTTTATTAATTTTAATGTTTTACCTACGTGACTTTACCGAAAAAACCTAAGAGTATGTATTTTGTACCCAGTTAGTTAATTTGGCTGTGAGGTTGCTGGCGACTCTCTGACAGAGCCGCACTCGCAGTGCACGAGACGCAGCGGATGAAGCCCCTGTGGCTGCTGGGGTGGACCTCGGGGCCTCGTTGGTGCTGGCTCAGAGTCTTCCCACAGGGTCAGGGATTCTGAGTGTTGATCTCCTCGTTACACGTGGGGGGTTGCTCTAGGAACTCAAGTTTCCTTCCACATGCAGCAGCAGCAGCAGCAGCAGCAACACCCCCAGGGCAGCACCGCCCTGGACAAGTCTTGGGACTCACCGCCGCTTGTCGTGTAAATGACGGCGGTTTTCTTGTTGAGTTTAAAACAGCGAAGGCCCATGTCGCTGGACTAACCACAACGCGGGAAGTGTCACGATGCTTCCACAGCTGAAGACAATCTTGAATCTTTGTGCCCGATGATGATGATGATGAAAATATTCTCAATTGGTTATAATCGTGTTTTTATTTGCCGCGTTAAATGAATGTGTGTGTTTGTGGGGAGCAGCAGCAGCGGCGCAAACCCAGCAACCAATTCCCGCGTTAACGACCAGTAACAGTGGCGAATATGTACACTGGTTCTGGGGCTTCTTTAGGTCAACTCAACCGTAAATGAGTACCCGTTATAGCGTGTAAACATCAGCACGAGGGAGACAAAGGCAGCGGGGGCATGGTGGTGGCCACCCACCCCTCGTGCGCCGTGCCACTCTCCATTGAGTGTTCGCTGACGGCACTTGCCCCAGCAGCCTGCTGACGGCTCCGCGGGGGATCTTCCTCTCCGCGTGCTTGTGAGCAGTGGCGCGGCTCTCACCTTGGCAGTGCAGCAGCGGGTCCCAGCGCACGGGGGCTCCCTCACGGCCGCACGCGCGCGAGTACGCCAGGAACGGCTCGCAGAAGCAGCGCTTGTGCAGCGGGCACTCGCACATGTCCATCACGCACGACCTGGCACGCACACGCACGCACGGCGGACTTGAGCGCGGTGTGTGTGTGTACCAGCTGACGCATGCCCTGTGCCGGTCCGCTTAGGTGCTGGCTAACGGCACTTACCCTACACAGCCTGTGTCGGGTACATTGAGGGGGTCATCGTCTCTGTGTCCGTGTTCATTCGGTTAATTCCTCGGAAAAGGAAATGCGTTCTTACTTGTAAATCACACGTTGAATAATCGCGGAATTTCCACAACCCATAAACACTGCAATCCATCTGGAAGTTAACATGAAATGAACTGTAACATGTATTTGGCTTCCTGTATAGGGACGTTTCATCAAAGCTTAGAGCAATTAGCCTGACTCATAGTGGGGTTGAAAAGAGAAAGGTTTAGGCAAGAGTCCTTGTCACAGAACAACGTGGAGTGTGAAAGAGAATCGGGGCAGAGATCTAGCGGTGATAACACCCCCAGCACCCCCACCCCCACCTCCACCCCCACCACCACCACCACTACCACCACCACCACTACCACCACCACCACCACCACAACTCCCACCTCCACCCCCACCCCCACCCCCAGCACCACCACCACCACCCCCACCACCACCACCACCACCACCCCCACCTCCACCACCACCCCCACCCCCACCACCCTCACCTCCACCTCCACCCCCACCACCACTACCACCACCCCCACCACCACCACCACCACCACCACAACTCCCACCTCCACCCCCACCACCACCCCCACCCCCACCCCCACCTCCACCCCCACCACCACCCCCACCACCTCCACCCTCACCTCCACCTCCACCCCCACCACCACTACCACCACCACCTCCACCCCCACCACCACCCCCACCATGCCCACCACCCCCACCACCACCCCTACCACCACCCCCACCTCCACCCCCACCACCACCCCCAGCACCACCACCACCCCCACCCCCACCACCACTACCACCACCACCACCCCCACCACCACCCCCACCACCACCACAGCCCCCACCAACCCCACCACGACCACCACCACCACGACCACCACCACACAGGGAACTAAACTGCTGTGTTCCCCCACTAATCCTATTTCTTGTGGCGGAGGCAAAGCTGCGCTGTGGGAGTTGGAGGGGGGATTCCACCTCGTGCGTGGAGTCCCTGTGGCTACCGGTGACGTCACAGCAGCACAGTGACTCGCCAAACGCTCGCACGGTACGACGATAATCATCACACTGAACGCAGAAGTGACAAACCCAATGCAACACGTGTTTAACTCACGTGAACTACTCGACGATGATGACATTGAATCTACGTAGCACCTCCCCCCGGCCGGTGCTGAGCCCACTGCTCGGGCGATCCCGCGTGTACAAGGATTGGCCAGCGGCACAATCGGCCGTCGCGGCAACACGATGTTGCCTGCCCATGATGTTGCGGGAGTCTCTCAGCCACGTGGAACAGCAGCGCGGTGTGCGGTGGACCCCCGCGACCCCCGCAGCGGGCCCTACCCCCGGCGTGCCGACACAAACCACTCCGCCGCCTCGCTCGGTCCACCGCCGTGGCCTCATTTTTGTCTTTCGGCGCGGTGCGCTCCTCCTGCTCTTCCCCCTCCACCTCCACCTCGCCGCCACTCCGGCCGCTGCGTGGAGGTGTGCCGGGAGGCGGCGTGGGTGGTCCCCGGGGTTCGCCCGTGGGCGTCAGCGCTACGCGCCGTGCGGGCCGTGCACGCCGTGCGTGCCGTCGGCCGCGACGCGAGGTCCCCCCCGCTCCACGAGACGGACCGGCGGCGCTCGTGGCCTCCGAGAAGGTGCACGCAGATTAATGGTGCGGTGCCTTTTACGGCACTTGGTGCTGGGCAAACACGCGGAGGACAGCGTGTTTGCTTTCCTGCCGAGGTATCGCTCCTCGCTCGCTCACTGGGCAGTCACCGCCGCCGCCGCTTCCTCGTAACTCTGCCTCGGTGTGTTTTGTGTTTGCGGTGTTACCCCCCCAACCAACACCCCGCCACTCCCCTCCGCTATGCCACAAACCCATCAATAAATATTTAAACGTACAAACAACCGATCACATGCTTTAAGAAAGTTGTTTTACCAACGGGATTGAAGGAGGCAAACGATGCAGAACCACCGCAACGCAGCTGTGCGGAGAGCCCCCGCAGCAGCGGTAGCTTGCATGGTGCTTGCTCGAAGCCCAAATATTTTAATTGTACTTACTCGCTCTCTCGACTCCGGCTCAACTCTGCTGCCTCCCCACGCGTCCCTCGCTCATCTGCTCTCACTTGTCGCGCGGGGACCCGAGTGCAGGCTGTGCTTATTTCTTCAAATCGACAACGTAAACTCCATCCGTTACCCAAAAATAGCAAACAGATCCTGAACGCGCCGATTTCTAACGTCGCTCTCCCGCCCGGCGCTCCCACCTGCCGTGGTGTTGGGGAGAACCCCGCGGCTGCCTCCGATCACCGGGGGGAGACTCGGGGGCCGCGCTCATCAGCTCCAGAAATGCACAGTGCACGAAAACTGAGTGAGCCAGTCCCACTCCCCCCCCTCATCACCCCCCACCCCCCACCCCCCACGGTAGCCGTGAGCCAGGACTTGCACCAGAGCCGAGGCAACCCGCCGGGAGCGTGGCTGAATGGGTGGTCTGCAGCTCGATGCTAACCGAGGCACGTTCCATTGTTGTGTCACTTGACAGTGATTTAATTCACCGCTTCCACGCTGGTGCTCTGGGCCAAGGCGCACGGTGCAAGGGAGCGGCGAGGTGCCCTTTGGAAACGGCGCGGGGAGACGGAAGAGCGATTTTGCTTTTTGCGGTCGTGCCCGAGTGTTGGGTAGAGTCGTGGCTCGCGCGGCACGGCTCTGCCCGTGGCTCGGCTCAGGCTCATTGAAGTCCTGAGCGTGGCCGGGACCGTGCTCACGCCTGGCTCGGGTTAAGCAGGCGCTCACTTGAGCCGGAGTCGAGCCTGAACCAGACCGTGACGAAGAATGCCGGCCAAGGGGTTCCTGCACACTTGGTCCATTACCTTCTCATAATTTGATGCAGTATAATTTTTGTTATATAAAAATTCAGTGCAGATTGTTTTTACAAAAATAATTAGAAAAAAAATATTTAAACGCACTACATGTTTGGAACTAATTTAAAAATATCACTCGAAACATGACGAGTGAATGAATGCGTTTGAAAGTTTATAAATAAATATGAAGAATTTATGAAAAGCACCATGGCTTGACAATAAGTAAAATCCGTACCTGACTGACGAAAGCACTGCACCACACGCTTTCAGATGCGCTTCTGTGGCCGTCTGGAACGCTCTTCCTTACGATACCAGGAAGCCACTGCAGCTATGCACTTTTACATCTAAATTGAAAACTAATTTCTTTAGAACTACTTTTTGTATTCATTCATGATAAAGGCTTCTGGGTTAGATCGCGTAAGTATAAATGTGTCGCAACCCTCCACCACCCAACCCGGCCAATCAGTAAACAATGTGTAACGTTAACAAAACGCCAATTCGTTACTTCTTCAACCCACCGGTGTGTTTGAAGAGTGAATCCACAACATTTATTATGAATAATACTGGTCGTGAAAGCCTACGTGTTTTGTATTTAGTTTGTTGTTCTTCCCCCGCACACCTGATTAGCACGGTTGTCTACGTACGGTGCGAAAGAAATTCAACTTGCATACATATAATATATTTTTTTTGGTTTTGCTGGTTGTCTGGCCACGTGCCGCCTTGTGCGCAGAGCGGAGGGGACGCACAGGCGACCGGCAAACGGGGGGGGGGGGGGGGGGGTGCGGGTGATGGGGCGACCCAAGAGGGGATGTACGGGCGTGGGGGGGTCACACACAAGAGGGGAGCGCCCATTGGTGGACGAGGATGGCCATTCAACGTCCGGTACCTCATTCGTTTTTTTTTTTTGGCCGGAGGGACAGGCAGACAAATAGCGAGCGAGCGGAGGCCGCGGCGTGGCACCTGTAAAAGGGGATGACGTCGATGACGTTGTGGCATTTCTTGAAGTCCCACGACTTGAGCTTGCGGCACTCGCGGTGCGCTCGCACGCGGTGCTTGGCCGACTTGGAGCAGAGGTGCGGCGCCAGGACGCGCGGCGCGCCCGAGCAGGGCTCGCGCGAGTCGCGCCACGACTCGGCAAACTCCTCCACGTCGGGGCGGAAGAGGCCGTCGCCGCCCAGCAGCTCGTCGCGCCGGTGCCCGTTGTAGTTGCCGCACAGGCCGCAGAGGCGGCCGCGCAGGTGCGGCGACGCCGTCACCTCCACGAAGCTGTCGCCGTCCCACGTCACCGACAGGCCTGGACGGTCACGCGCACGCACGAGATAAAAACAAAAAGCCCTCGTGTAGCCTTCACAGACTGTTGGGGCAAGTGCTGTTAGCGAGCACCTATGAAGGCCGGCACGGCACACGAGGGGGTGGGTGGCCAGCACCACGCCCGGCCGCCTTTGTCTCCCCAGTGGCGATGTTTACGCACCGCACCAGGTACTGGCATTGGCCGTGAGCGGGAATCGAGCTCAGGTCGTTGGGTTCGTAGCGCGGCGCGCCAACCGCTACACCACATTTTTCAAGTCCCCTGAAGACTTCATCATCGTCGTCGTCACCGCTCGATATATTCACGCCGCGCCTCCCTTGCGGTAACATCTCGACGCCCCCCCTCCACCCCCCCCCCCCCCCCCCAGGGACCGCAGCGGCGCGGCACGGCCTGCCGGGGAGCTCACCGAGCGCGGTGCTGGCGGTGACGAGCTGCCCCGTGGCGTTGACGCTGTAGCCGCGGGCCTCGAAGGGCAGCGGCACGCGCGTGCCGTTGACCGCGACGCGCAGGTGCTGCATCAGCGTGACGGTGGCGCCGGCGACGCGCAGCTCGACGGCGCGCGTCCACGAGAAGAAGCGCGTGCGGCGCGCGTCGTTGTGCACCACCACCTCGACGCGCGGCGCCCAGGCGGGAGGAGCGCGCGCCGGCGGGGAGCACTCCTTGGCGAGCGTGTAGCGGCACGTGCCCTGGAAGTTGAAGGCCTTGCCGTCGAAGGTGCGGTAGTGCGGGTCGCCGAACACCGTGCACACGCCCGGCTCTGCGCACACGCGCGCACGGGCGAGCGTGAGCGTCGCGTCGAGGCGGGACATCGCGCGCTTCGCGTACACTCGTCGTGCGTGCCGTGCGCGAGTACGGCGAGTGTCGACACATCTCACGTCGTCACACGGTCTCACGCTATGGCCAGTGGCGGGGGGGGGGGGCAATGGTGGAGATCGATGGCTCCGTCCATTGAAACTGAACATTGAGCGTTCGTCGTGCCAACGGCCAGGTCAGAGCGGGCGGCGGGAGGAGTCGCGTTTCACTCGCTCCGCACGCCGCACAGCGACCGTTCAACGTCGCAACCTCGGTGCCAGCGCCCCTCCTGACTCCGCTATCAGGGCTTGTGCGTCAGCAGTAACGGATCGCTCTCTGATCCGTGAACACGACCGTAAAACTCCTGCCAAATAATAACGCCCCCCTCCACCGCATCGCACACTTGCTCGCGTCGTCGATATTCAAATCAGGACGGCTAAATGCACCGCAGGATCGCAAAGTTATTGCTTCAAAGCCCACGGCCCCAGCAAGCCACGGATCCCGGATGAGGGATCTTGTTGGGCGGGCTCCAGCCGTTGTGACGGCAACGCCCCAGCCCACGCGGGGCGCCTCCGCTGTCGAGGAGAACTCCGTGGGACGCCTTTGGTCATCAGGGCAACAGAGGAGACTTACTTTCGGCGCACTTGAGGCAGCATTCGTCCGGCTTCTGGGTCAAAACCTTTCCCTGGAAGGACAAAGGGTCGCCAATTAGAATCTGGCACGTGCACGTCCGGACAGCGGAGCGCCGTCGACGTTGCCGTGTGCACAGCGCCGTCGACGTGAGGTCGCCCTCGCGAAGCTGAGCGGCTGTCGCCTGCGTCCCACGATCCTCACTGCCACCGAGCATCGAGTGAATACTATCACTATCAACTAAACTATCAACTAAACTATCAACTAAACTATCAACTAAACTATCAACTCAACTATCAACTAAACTATCAACTAAACTATCAACTAAACAATGTTTTTATTTTTCCAGGCAAGGCCCACTGATCTATGTGGCTCTTTTTCAGAAGCAACCTGCCCACAAATGAGAGCTCAACGAAGTGGCTTATCACGTGGAAATGTATAGCAGCCAAATACTCTAAACGTACGTTGATTCTAAATGTGGAGGGAAAAAACGGAGGACCCGGAGAAGAATCCACATGACCAAGGGGAGAGAGAGACACGCAAACTCCAGATATACAGCAGCAGGCATCTTCAGGGTCGGGATCGAACCCACGACCTCCTGCATACCAGGCGAGGTAGTTAACACCTCGCCACCGGGGCAAGCGATGGCTCCCTCCATTGGACCAGTCCTTGGCTCCCATTCGCCAATCTGCACTGACCAGCGTGGTGACGTATGGTCAGGCAACCCTAATGCCCTACACAGAGTGGGGAGGCCTTCATTCAGCAGTGGCTTGAAAGCTGGATGAGAATGTTTCCACTAATTGTTATTAATTAAATCCTTATACGTTTGAGGTTTATCACGATTAATAAAAATGTGATGAGGTGCGGGATCAAAGATGACTCAGCCCGTGTTGGATCACGCCAGGTCGTTCACAAGCGCTTCAACGTGCACCGTGCGAGCGAGTGCTCGACAGGAACGTGTCGCGATCCACGTGCACGGGATATCCTCAAGGTCACCGCACGGAGCGGGCATTCACTCCCCGGTGAGCGATCCGTTTGACAACATTCACACGTAGGGGCGAGAGACGAAAGCTCCCCCCCCCCCAACTCGGCCCGCAGCCACAAGGCACTCCGGCGAGGGCGACTGGTACGAGGCGCACGCTGGCTGGGAGTTGGCCGACGCTCACAGCCCAACGCTCATCTCTCGGCGCATGCGCCGTGCAGCTTTGGCGTTTTGCTGTTTCGCCTTTCTGCCCGAGGTGGAAATATAAACGGTATAGCGATATAAAGAAGGGCAAAAGTGTACGAGGAGGAGCGAAACCGATTGGCGGCTCGTCGATACTCCAGCGATACAAGTGTCTCGCCGTCCAGCCAGCCGCGAGACCCAGTTAGCTGATCCCTCACGGAGACAGAGAGAGGAGAGAAGGGATCGGGAAGGAAAAAGAGTCGGCAGAATTGTCAGTGTCGCTGTCTCAAAGTTGTGCAGTCTCCTCTGTTTTATGGAGGTTTTTTTGTTTGTTATCAACGCGTTTGCTGTAAAGTGGCAATCGTGTGCAGGGTATCGAAAGAAATGGGTGCTGATAAAACAGAATCCTTAAAAAAAGCACTCTGGATTCCAGTGAGGCACTTAGAGTGTAAGAGGGCATTTAGCCATGGCCTTGACATACCGCCGTTATTGCCTCGGGCAATTAGGGTTCATCAAGCACTTCCTCCATCACTTTGGAAAAATAAGAAGGGGCGACTGTATCTTTCCTAAAGGTCAGGCGCTTGACAGAGCGGGCACGGGTCACGGGCGCAAGCGACGCGTGCTCAGGAGGCAGAGAGAGAGCCCATGAAGAGGATGGCTCCGTCTGAAGCAGATCAGCGCCGAGTGCAAAAACAATAAATTCCACAACCTCTGGGCCGAGAGCTGCAAGTGGTGCGGGGGTTCTAATCTGCTACAGAATGCACACTCCCGGATTTAAACATCAAGATGACCTACGAATGTTTGAAAATGTTTGGGATGCAAAGCTTTCCCTCGAGTTATACAGCAAGCTGAGGGGCAGCGATCGCAGGGCTCCGGGTGGAGTTGTAATCACAGCTCGAAAACCGTTGCGTTTGAATAACGTTGGGTAAAAAAGTCACGTCAAATCAATCAACTTATCAACTGATCGAACATTTAATCAGCATCTTATTTTAAATCGATGCATGCAATGTATTTATAATGTATGTGGTTAAGTGCCGATTTTGATTAAAATCCCACCGCCTCGGAAACACTTTGTAATCATTGCGTTTAAAAAAGACAATCGTCTAAACTGGCTTCGGGAGTCATCCATCAGCCTCATCGTAGCGCGTTGAGGCCGGGCGCACGAATCGCCGCGGCGCAGGCCGCGGGAAGAGAGTCAACGAGCGTGAGGATGACGAGACGGGGAAAGACCCACACGTGGAACACTCACACAGCAGCAGCAGCAGCAGCAGCACGTCGCCCCGTGTCCCAGAGCGGCCCACGGAAGTTGATGTCCGGAACTACTGCTGAGATCCCTTGAAGTGACCTCTTACCCACGCGAGGTGGTAAGAGCCGAGGCGGAGCGGGGATTTCACTCGGCTGGTCGGATCATCGTGGGGAGGGGGGGGGGGGGCACGAATGGAAAGGCCGAATCCGTTGCCCCGTAGTGGACGTGGCGATGAGTGAGGATACACACGGAGCCTGCGTGCGCACTCCTACAAGGGCGACTCTCCCAGCGCAGCGAGGGGGAGGAAGGGAGGGGAGGAGGAGGAAGGAGGGAGCGAGCAGGGGGGAGGGGGGAGAGGGAGGGAGGGGGTAGCAGGAGAAAGGAGGAGGGAAGGAGGAGGGGGAGGATAAGGATGGAGGGAGGGAGGGAGAGGAGGAAGGGAGGGAGCGAGCAGAGGGGGGGGGGAGAGGGAGGGAGGAGGAGGAGGGAAGCAGGAGGGGGAGGACTCTGGAGGGAGGGAGGGGGGAGCAAGAGGAAGGAGGAGGGGGAGGAGGAGCGAGGGAGGGGAGGGAGGGGGAGGGGAGGGAGGGGGCAGCAGGAGGAGGAGGCTCGCGACTCACGTGGGGGCAGCTGCTGACGGTGGGGGGGCACTGGATGGGCTGGCAGCGCTGGCTGCCGTTGTGGCACACGCAGGAGGTGCACACCTCGGGCCTCCAGCTCTCCCCATCCTTGTGTCACACAGAGACACAAACACACAGAGACACAAACACAAAGAGACACAAACACAAAGAGACACAAACACAAAGAGACACAAACAGACACAAACAGAAAGAGACACAGACACAAACACAAAGAGACACAAACACACAGAGACACAAATACACAGAGACACAAACACAAAGAGACACAAACACAAAGAGACACAAAGAGACACAAACACAAAGAGACACAACCACGACTGTGAGCGGCGGGCGACGGAACGGGCAAACGTCACGCCCCGGTCGCAACTGTCAAACGCGCAATTATATTTCACCGCCTTAAGAGCTAGCGTGCACATGTTTGTACATATACACATGTTTGTGTGTATATATATACACACATGTTTGTCATATATACACATGTTTGTGTATATATACACACATGTTTGTACATATACACATGTTTGTGTATATATTTACGAAAAACGGTCGAGAAATTACCAAGATTCAGCGACTTTCTTCAACGTATGGTTGTGGAATAAAACTGAGAAAACCTTCTCCAGCTGTATCCCCTAACAAGAGTGAATATTGAACACGCGTTACCTCTCATCGATTTGACATTGCGTGGCCTAACCCAAAAATCTATTATGAATGCACCCCCCAAATGTCTTCCAAATGAGAGCTGTGCGTGTCCACAGCTGCCGAGTCGTGTCCCCTCTGTGCGTGGATTGTCTCCCGGCTCTCCGCTCGCCACCCACACGTGAACTTACTCGATCAGCAACGAGTGAAACACGTGCCGAGCATCATCCCTCTTGACGAGAAATGTTTTGAAGACAGTGCGAAGTTGTCCCTTGTTGATTATGAGTTTTTGTTTTTATTAAACCCACGCACACACGCAGGGCAGAGGTGATGCGGTGGTTATGAACCTGGAGATCTGTGTTTGCTTCGCAGGCAGAGCTAACAGCTGACACTGTCGACTTCAGAGTGCTCCTGGCCAGCCGTACCTCGACACGTGCGTCGCAGGAGGCAGCCAAAGGGGGGCTCCTCTCATCCACAGCCTCGCACTGCCAAGTTTAATGTCTGATGGATTATTAGCTACCGGGACTAATTTAGAACAGCAAACTTGACCTGTGACAGCAAATATCCCTGATGAAGGGAGACGTACTTCGCTCCTCAACTCAGGTCAGATGCTCCAAGTTCACCGTTGCGCCGCGTCAGGATTAACCCCCAACAGGGGGTCGGTGCCAGTGACGTTGGCCAGGGACGTGAGCTTCGATGCCACCTTCGTGGGCTGCTGCAGAGTCCCCCCCTGTCACCCCCCCCCCCCCGCCACCACCCGCCCACCCCTCATTTCTTAAAGTTGCCTCAAGAACCCCGAATCACTCTGAACAGATGTGCACGCTCAAAAGAGGCAGCCAACATAAGTTGACACCAGGATAACCAAAAATGCCAACGCGACAAACTCAACGCGACAGACACAACGGGACAAACGCGACAAAGAGCCATCCTTGCCCCGCGCCTCCCATGAGACGGCCAAGCAGAGGAACCCGCTCGGCCATCGCGGAATCCGCGATGTGAATCCCCGCCGGAGGGTGTTGCCCGGGGGCTGCGTGGCCGCCCACCTGGTAGGTGGCGTTGAGGGCGGTGCAGCTGCTGTGAGGGCGCACGGCGGAGATGCACGCCTCACAGCCCGCGTCCCCCAGCGCTCCGGGCCCACAGCTCCGCTCGCACTCCACCGTGCCGTTCTGGAGCCGTGCGCAGACACGCGCACACGCACACACACACGCACACACATGCACACAGTACAGTCACTCGGTGGGCCGGGAACAAACGTCTGACGGACGTTCGCGGTCGAGCGCGGTACGGACGTTTCTCTCGCGCTGCAAGGAGCGCCGTCGGTGCCGAGGACGGGGGAGGGATCCCCGTTGCTCTGTTGAGGGGCAGTCGCACCGCAGAACAACCACCGGTCACTTCCCACCGAGCGGTGCTCAAACTCAGACAGAGATTGAACTCGTAATTGCAGAGTCGTACCAACTCAGCTGCAGTGTTTCCCAGCCAGGGGCAGGGCACGGATGCAATTTAGGGGATGCGTCCTTCGTATCACACCGTTGGTTCCAATAGTTTTTGTTAAATTATTTCCCTGAAGCATCCCATTTTGATCAAATACCATCCTGTGACTCTAGCTTTGCGAACGGCGCATGAGGTCTGAACGGAGACTCCCGAGTGTGATGACTTGAGCGACGTGTGGCACCGCGCAGTCTGGCCAAGGCTGAATCCGTCCGCGCTGACGACGGCGTCGTCACACCGCTGCTACGGGGGAGGGCCTGGCGGGCCACCGCTCCTGGCACGTGGCTCACAGGTGAGCTCCGCCCTGGGCCGAGACATTCGGCGAGCACGCGACGGGGCCAGAGGGCGCTCCGAGACCCCCACGATCGCTCCGTGACCCCCACGATCGCGGGAGTTCCACTCAAAGCAGCTCCTTGAACGGCTGCACAGCTGCTCTATGTCAGGCACGCTTCATGGACGTGGAAGGGGGGTGCTGGAAATTTATATAAACGAACATGAAATGGTTCTGAAATTGTAATAAAGAGTGCTTTGATGTCGTGGGCACCTGGCTTGTATCACAGCTAAACCGTAAAATTTGAAATGTATTGCAATTTGGAAAAATATTCTAAACAAGTGTATTTTTATTTTAAGAACTTGCATAATTTACAACTGCCTTGAATGTTTGCCACGAAGCAAAAAAAAATCAAATGCAAACCAGATGATATCTGGGCCAGATTCACACCCGAGTGAAACGCGGTGGCGTTACGGGCCTCTCACTCCGGTCACTTTGATTCTGCCGGACGCTGGCAGAGCTCACACACCACACACACAGCTCACCACACACAGCTCACACACCACACACAGCTCACACACACACACAGCTCACCACACACACAGCTCACACACGCACAGCTCACACACACAGCTCACCACACACACACAGCTCACCACACACACAGCTCACAAACACACAGCTCACACACACACACAGCTCACCACACACACCGCTCACACACGCACAGCTCACACACACAGCTCACCACACACACAGCTCACACACACAGCTCACCACACACACAGCTCACCACACACACACAGCGCACACACACAGCTCACACACACACAGCTCACACACACACAGCACACACACACAGCTCACCACACACACAGCTCACCACACACACACAGCTCACACACACACAGCTCACACACACACAGCACACACACACAGCTCACCACACACACAGCTCACCACACACACACAGCGCACACACACAGCTCACACACACACAGCTCACACACACACAGCACACACACACAGCACACACACACAGCACACACACACAGCTCACACACCACACACACAGCACACACACACACAGCTCACACACACACAGAGCTCACCACACGCAGCTCACCACACGCAGCTCACCACACGCAGCTCACCACACGCAGCTCACCACACGCAGCTCACCACACGACTGTCAACGCCCCGTAAGAGACAGCCAATATCCACGTGCAGCTCCTTGCTGTTGAGCGTCAGCTAAAGCCGCGCGTGGAACAACCCAATGGTGCAACGGAATACGAGGAGTCTGAGAGGGGGCGCGGTGGTGCGGTGGTGCGTGTGGGTGGTGCGGTGGTGGTGTGGCGGTGGTGCGGTGGTGGTGCGGCAGTGGTGCGGTGGTGCGTGTGGGTGGTACGGTGGTGGTGGTACGGTGGTGGTGGTACGGTGGTGGTGTTGTGGTGCGTGTAGGTGGTGCGTGTGGGTGGTGCGTGTGGGTGGTGCGGTGGTGGTGTGGCGGTGGTGCGGTGGTGGTGCGGCAGTGGTGCGGTGGTGCGTGTGGGTGGTACGGTGGTGGTGGTACGGTGGTGGTGTTGTGGTGCGTGTGGGTGGTGGTGTGGCGGTGGTGCGGTGGTGGTGTGGCGGTGGTGCGGTGGTGGTGCGGTGGTGGTGCGGTGGTGGTGCCGTGGTGGTGCAGTGGTGGTGCCGTGGTGCGTGTGGTTCCTGTGGGTGGTGGTGTGGCGGTGGTGGTACGGTGGTGGTGCGGTGGTGGTACGGTGGTGGTACGGTGGTGGTACGGTGGTGGTGCGGTGGTGGTGCGATGGTGGTGCGGCGGTGGTGCGGTGGTGGTGCCGTGGTGGTGCGGTGGTGTGTGTGGTTCCTGTGGGTGGTGCGGTGCACACCGCTACCTTACACACACACGAAGTGCAGCCACCGTGGCTGAAGATGTCTCCGTTGTCCAGAACCTTGGCCTGGAAGACGCAGCTCCCCGCGGGCAGATCGAACACCTTCCTCTGGCCTAGAGCACGTGGCACGCCGAGGGGGACGTGGGGCGAAATGCGTGCGAGGGTTGGAGGCGCGGCGAGTGTGGCTCTCTTCTCACCGCCGTTTTGCCACCCCCTCGACAACTTGGGCCGACGACGGTAACGATGCCGAACGGCGGCGTGGACAGGTGGTGCCGTGGCGCACCGCAACCTGGGTTCGATTCCCGGCCACGGCTAACATCAGTGGCGAGCGACATCTGAAGCAGTCCTGGACCAAACCCCTTTCGCCGACCTGCATTGACCGGCGTGGTGAAGCATGGTCACAGAACTCACATTCCGTCAAGGGACTTTCATCCAGCAGTGGATTGACAAAGGGCTACAAACGATGTTTAATTACGATGCCTCGACGCATGCCCTGCTGCTGGATCTACAGGCTCGTAAGGAATACTGAAATTTTTTTTTTACTTCGTGAGCAACTCTTCGTTGCATTCTAAAGGCTTCAGACAGCAGCCAGGCGCTACCGGTCACCTGACCTATTGAGAGCTCCCCTGCTCAGCCCAGCATCGCATTTCACAGGGAAGAGACCACTCCAATGTCGTTATCTAGATGCGGCAAGGTTACTCCGATTCGAAGTCCCGGTATAGGAGTTTAGTATAAGAGTTTATCACACTTGGCCCAGAATCCAGAAAGTAACAGGTGCATCCTCATTATTTCTCAACCACATGACAAAGGCACCGCGTTGGTGTCCTCTGTCAGTGCGTGTACCCTGGGAAACGTTCAGCGTTCGCCCGCCGGCACGTCGATTTGCACGGTCTCAATCCTGGGCACCGATACGTCATGCGGCCCGTCTGCTCGGTATCAAAGGGCACGCGAGATGCCCCTGCGAGGACAAGGACAGAGATCCTCCGCCTGCGACGGGGCAAGCTGCGTTGCCGGCGCAGACCCCGTAGCAGACCCCGTAGCGCCATCCCCAAGCCAGTCAGCTCGCTCTGTCAGCTCGCTCCTTCATAAAACTACACGCAGCTGGGTCGGGCGTTCATGCGCCGTGGGGACCACATCAGAGGGCATTCCATCGACAGATTAACCTTTTGACCGCCACTTCATGGCCCCATCTGCTCAACTAAGTCAGGCTGCTTTAAGAGGAATACACGTGCTGAGGAAAAATGCATAAAATGACAACTATGGCACCGGTGGAGGCCTAGACGCCCCTTGACCGCACAGTCGCTCGTCCAAGCGAGGCACCGGCCTGAGCGGCACCCCGTCAACGAAAATGGACGAAGTGAAGAGCTTCTGTCCATCAACCTCACGTGACAGCAGTGCATTGCCACGCGTGCGGCCGCAGGGACCGTTGAAAACATTTCCACATCGCTGCCTCGCTGCCCCAATCACGAGCGCGCAAATCAAGAGCCCGCGGATCGTGCCTCTTCCCATTGGGGACAATTTATGGATATGCCACCTCCACATAAAACGTAGAAAGCGATGATCTAAATACGTCGCATTTAAGACAGACTTTGCGCTCGACTGCGGCCTGAGCTAATGTACACACGGCACACCAAGCAAGACCGCGCCGGTGTAATTGGTCCCTGTGAGAAGGGCACGGTTCTACGGGCAGGGAGAGAATAGGGAAATGCGCTGGCAGTGATGCACAAGGAGAGACCACAGCGTTCGTCATCGGCACGGCCTTGTCACAGATACGTAGAGAGAGGAATAACGCGATGGACTGACGCACAGGGGGGCCGTGAGAGAAGGCGATGGCTTCTGGATGCCTTCATCCGGTCGTGGATAGATTATGGCTGATGATGCTGATCATGTTTTGGGAAATGGCCCATTCAGATTAGAGAGACACATGAACGGTTTCCCACTAACAGTAAGTAGCAATACACACTCTGAAGGGAGGGCTGTAAATGCCTCCACATCTCTGAGCTGATCCCTCAGAAGCCATGCTGAGCCACACTGCAGCAAGGCAATCATTGTCACGTGGATGATTCTCGGGGACATTGAGTCATTGAGCACAGCACCGCACACTGTGGATGTGGCGAGCACATGTTTAGGAAATCCGTACGGAGATGCGGGATTAGTGGGCAAATCCCGTGAACGTTTCTGTTGTGTGAAATTCCACATGCGAGTTACATGATTTAAGCAACATTCGCAATTTATATGGAAAATTATCTGACGTAAGGAGCGCACATATGTATGTTGGACTTCTTTCGCACCGTACATAGGCAACTGTGCTCATCGGAGGTGCGAGGGATGGACAACAAACTAAACACAACAACATTTAGACAAATCGCATTGCCGTTGACACGAAGGCAGAAGGCGAATAGCGGTATCTGTGGCCAATAAAAAGCCACTTTGAGGTGAAGATTAAACCGCACGAAGCCACAAATGGTGCTCGTGTCTGGAATGTTTGTGAACGGGAGGGCAAATGTGAAGTTCATTGAGCTGACATAATGGAGCCACTGAGAGCGTCGCACAGGATGACTCAAATTACAATAAGTCTGATCTACATCACGCGGTATGCTCAATCATCCGGTTAACTGAACCTGAATAAAATCATTGTATGTTGGCCGTGGATGGTGAGAGAAAACCGGGGGGTGGGAGAGGTGTGTGTGGGGGGGGGGGGGTGAGGAGTATGGGAGCAGCGGACACCGATGTTCGAATGCTCTTCTCTCTTTGGCCGGGAAAGGTTCCCCGAGTCTCAGGACTCTGTTTCTGCAGCTCGACTCAAGGGGAGGAGCCCTGGTAACGCCACCGCACATCACCGCCAAGTCGTTCTACCCTTCTGACCCATGCTACGGTTGTTAGAACATTTCCAGACATTCTCCACGCTCCGCTCTTCGACGGTCCCAACAGCCGGCTGTCCGTCCATCTCCCGCACGCGACCGCCCGATCAGCATCATGGCTCACAACCTCGCCCGTTCAACCTGACTGCGCCTGGACGCTGGGGCGCTCTCGCTCGGTGGAGCCTACGCTAGAACGGGGGGCCTCGCAAGCCAGCCTCAGCTCCAATTAGCACGGTTGGCTACGTACGGTGCCAAAGAAGTTATACGTGCAGCCTTAACTGTCCCGTGGCAGCGCAGCAAGCCTCAAACGGCTTGTTTAACAAATTGTTATCATCGGGATATATTCATCGAAAAAACCCACCGTTGAACGGCTTGAATGTTATTTTATTTCCCCAGTGAAGCACGCGCCTGTATTCATTCATATATACACATTTACATTACCTAAGATTCGCCCCTCATATAAGCACATTCCATGTTTGAACGTTACTTGTGCAGCCTGACGTTCAGGAATAACGCGGCGCAGAATGGGCTGCACCGATGCTTGCCGCCACCATCCGGGGTTCAAGCCGGCGGCGATCTGTTTAATGGGCCACTCCTTGCTGATGAATCTTAGAAAGTCCAAACCAGTCCAAGTCCGAGTTGCCTAAACAAATACTTCTCGAAGACATTGGTCAGGAAGGCCTTTGGACTCATGGACCTCAAATGCAATTTGATTGTTGTTGCAATGAAAGAGCTTTCTTGTCTGGTGAAGTTTTATTATTCTTCGTGTCTGGTGAAGTTTTTATTATTTTATTACTGATAGCAACGCTCGTCTCTGCATCGTCACACTCACTTGCTCCGCGCTAGCTGCACGTAACAGCTGCGTTACTCGGCCCTTACAAACGACTGAGATCTCAAACACAAGGTAGCCTTTGGAATGGTGTTTTATTCTCATTGGCTGTGTATGTTGCCCCTCCTGTATTGGTTGGTTCTTGAACATTGTATGTGGTCTGCATCATATTTCACTTCCCAGCAATTATCTCAAATGCCCCATTCATGGTGGCACCTGGAGACACACTGCATGAGAGGCAGAGCGGTATAAATGATGATGCTGCTGACAGTGATGACGGTGATGATGATGACGATGATGGTGATGGCGGTCAAGATGATGATAGACACGTACCCTTGCATGTGGCGCAGCACTTGCCGGGCGGGGTGTGGGACAGCCGGGCCTGGGCACGAAAGCACGGGGCACACCTCCTGCTCGCACTGCAACTTCCCGTCCTGCGGACGGGGGACGGTCCCCAAACACCGTTACCACCCCGACTCCACCGGCACACACACACAGGCCAGCGCAGAGCCCTCGCGATACGGGTGAGTTTCCACTGCACGTTCGAGCGATGCCAGCGCCGGGTCGGCACGGTACGGGTGGTTTTCCACTGGCACACGTGAGCTGTGCCGGCGCAGGGCCCTGACGGCATGCGAGGTGTTCCGCTGGCTCTCTGCCGTGAAACCCTGCACAGTCGTAGGAGTCGTAGCCACAACATCGAACCGCTAGCGCTGAGCCGCTGGGCTCCTACTGCCCGTGACTACAAATGTTTCCTCAAGCCTGCTGAGTTGATCAAGTCTGCCCAGTCAGCGATGACTGCACACAAAATCATTATTTTCTGTGTGAGCGCTTCCTTCATTGAGACCATTTCAGCTCTGAGGACTGAATTGGATTGGGTTTAAATGCCACGTGACGAACACCTCCACGGCAATGGCACGTGAGAAGGTGACACCGCCCCCTGGAGTTGAGGAGGCCATCGAGGGGCCCTCAGAAGCAGTTCTGAGATGTCCCCTTCCAGCGGCCGTGTGGCGTTGCAGTGCGTTTTTTGAAGAGAACCGAATTCAAAGGTCTCCATATCATGAAATCACCCTCAGAGGAAGCAACGAACAGGCAGCTGCACATGTACATACATATGGGTCTCTGTGTGAGTCTATGGGTCTCTATGTGAGTGTATGGGTCTCTGTGTGAGTTTATGGGTCTCTGTGAGTCTATGGGTCTCTCTGCGAGTCTATGGGCCTCTCTGTGAGCCTATGGGTCTCTCTGTGAGTATACGGGTCTCTGTGTGAGTCTATGGGTCTCTATGTGAGTTTATGGGTCTCTGTGTGAGTCTATGGGTTTCTATGTGAGTTCATGGGTCTCTCTGTGAGTCTATGGGTCTATGGGTCTCTGTGTGAGTCTATGAGTCTCTGTGCGAGTCTATGTATGTATGTATGTTGAACTTGTTTCGCACCGTACGTAGCCAACCGTGCTAATTGGAGGTGCGGGAGGAAAGGACAACAAACTGGACGCGGGCCGTGGTCCTCACCGAGCACACGCACGAGATGCAGGGGTTCCTGTTTGGGTGGAACTCATCTCCCTCGCGGTACGCGTGGCCTCCAAACGAGCAGCCTGCGGGAGCCGCCGTGCCACGGCAGTGTCAGATAGCGAGTCAGGCATGGCATGTCAGGCACGGCGAGTCAGACACGGAGAGTTAGAACACGGTGAGTCAGACACGGTGAGTCAGACACGGTGAGTCAGACACGGAGAGTCAGGCATGGCAAGTCAGGCACGGAGAGTCAGACACGGAGAGGCAGATACGGCGAGTCAGACACAGCGAGTCAGACACGGAGAGTCAGGCACGGCGAGTCAGGCACGGAGAGTCAGGCACGGAGAGTCAGACACGGAGAGTCAGGCACGGAGAGTCAGACACGGCGGACTCACGGCAAGTGGCCTCGTCAGCGATGCCCTCCGCACAAATAGTAAATGCTTAGCACACTCAACAATCAAAGTGGCCTGCAAGGAGAAGACATATAAATCTATAATAGGTGACGACTCAGGCAATGCTCCTTCTGCTCCTTCTGCGTCTTCTTCTCCTATGAAGAACGATGCAGAGGAAGGGCCATACCCAAAATGTCAGGCCGTTGCCTGAAGTGTTGCCTGTTATATATAGATATTAACCTTTTAGAGCAGTGATAGTGACAAATGTGTCGAATGCCCAAAAGGTTGCTCAGAATGTCCTCTCAGGCCGCGGTGTTGTTTGCGTTCGCGCACCACTGCCACCGCGCCATCACCACGTCATCGGTTTTTTACTTTACGCAGATCACTGCGTGGCCAAACACGACAATTGGACTATGAATCAACATCGACAACATCAACAACATCATCATCGTCGGCTGCGAAAACCTCAGCGCCATTACGGGTGGGGAGGCTAGCGATCTCGCGTCATGCGGAGAGGGGTCCTTCTGTCCGCGCGGCACCGCGGGGGCCTTACCGGCACAGAGGGGGCAGCAGAGGCCGTGCTGGTAGAGCGGGCGGTCGCAGGGCAGCACGCAGCGCCGGGCAGCCACCGTCAGCACCCCCTCCTGGGGGGGCGACACGCAGGGCGGGCACATGCGGTCACAACGTCACACCACCGTCACACCCTCACACCGTTACCGTGACGTCACACCCTCACACCATTACACCACAGTCACACCATTACACCACAGTCACACCATTACACCACAGTCACACCGTCACACCGTCACACGTCACACCGTCACACCGTTACACCGGGCCCCGCAGGCCACACCGGAGATCCTCGCTACACTGCTCTGTCCCTGCACCTCCCGTCAGCATGGTTGGCTACGTACGGCATGAAAGAAGTTCAACATACGTACGTACATCGGGAGTTAAGAAGCAATTCATCGTGACGTTTGAGTGCATTGCTTTAAGCAATTTGCCTCATTTTATCTCACTCGGGCGATCAAGAGTCAGCTCATAAAAAATAATTCCCTTCACCAATAATAATTACACAGACAGCCTCAGAGAGAGAATCTCAAGGCTCATTTCTGTGAGGGCCCCTGCATTAGGATGCTGGCCGATTGCATGTCACAGTGCGTGGGGGCAAGTCGAGCAAACCCACACACACGAGGAGGTAACACGCACAGGCTTTGACGACGACATAAGAGGTTGGTGCCAGAGAGATGCGGCACTGCTGGAGCGCACTGACGATGTGCGGTGGACACCGACAGGCGATCTGCTCGTGGATTGTGATGGCGATGATGATGAAGTCACAGCCTTGTGTTTAAGAAGTCTTTGGTGACCGCCTCAAAGCGTCGTCGCACAACTCGCATGGCCCGTAGAGCCACCCCGCAGCGACAGCCGCCAAGAACCCCCCACGCAGAGCCTCCTGGAAACGAGTCTGGACACTCAGCGAGGTTTTCCAAGAAAACTAAATCCCGTTGTTATTATGAGAATAATTACGTTGGGTATCGACCCAAGACGACGACACCACACAATCACTTCTAGATTCACTGCAACGAGCCTCTCAATAACAACAATAATAATAACAGTGTCTCTCGTGGAATCTCACGCAAAAAATATTCATTACAGAGTAAAGAAATAAATAAATTAAATGCTGTACAGGGGGCGGGCCTCCCGCGCCTCCAGCGAAGGTGGTTCAGCGTCCAACGCACAGCGGCACAAACACCACGCGGGGACGTGGCGCGGGGACAACAACGCGACCGCCCCCACGCCGTGCTGGAGACGGCACGGGCAGCACGGGGCTCCCGGGGTTCATGGTTACCTGGCAGGGTTATGGTTACCTGGCAGGATTGCTGCAAGCAGTGCGGGGCTCCCACCAGGTGCGCCATGAGTTCCTGCGGGATGGTTTCCCGCGCCCGGCAGCCTGCAACACAAGCGGAGACCTCCCGTCGTCATCGTCGTCGTCGTCCTCACTCACGCAGGGCGGGCCGCAGCAGGTGTGAGCCAGCCTCGTCTCTCAGCAAGGGAGACAGTTCCCCTCCAGCAGGGAGGTTGTCGTCACCCTCAACTCGGAAACTGCCCACTGTCCCTGCTGGCGAAGATGCCATCGTCACAACGCGCCTGAGTGACGTTGCCGACGTCACTCGAGCGCGTTTCCACAATGCTCATTTCTAAACCGCACATTCAAGCTACATTGCAAGTCACACAAAAAATCGCACGTGCAGACATTGACTTCAAATAGAACCTCCTACGCGTTAAACGTCCCCGCGACCAAACGGTTGTTGTTGATCCCACTTCTCAAGACGCACAACGGCTGTCGATGTGTGATGGGGGGGTAAGGGAGTTGGGTGACATGAGATGAGACCGTGGAGTTCGTGGGGACACGGATTGGTTCTGTGTCAGCTACGGTTGCCACCTGTCCGGGAAGTGCCACGTGTGTCCGGGTGGCAGGAATTGATTTGTGCCGTCCTGTGCCACAATCCTGTCCTGTACAGCCACTCGCCCAGGCTGTGGGCTGCTCTCAGCGTGTCTGCGCTCACCGCGTGTCGAACATTAACTGGAGGAATGTGCTTTATCTGTGTTTTGCACACAAAAATGTTATACTAACTCCAAGTGCATTTCTTATCTGTGACGTGCTTTCAAATATTTTGAGTTTAGTGTTATCAGGAGCCACTGGTAGATGCAAACTGATACGGGGGTCATCACACAAGGCCTACCCCGTCTTGACGTGCCCACGTAACTGTAATCGGGCCGCTGTTCACAATCAGTGACTTCAATAGTTCACGAAGGTGACATCGCATCGATGAAGACGGCGTCTGCTGCTGTGGCCAGTTCAAGCAAAGCAACGCGAGAGCGCCGCGCGCGGCTTGACCCGTGGGTCACGGCGCGCTCGGCAGGCTCCTGCTCCGTGTGGCGTCTCTCTTCACGTCGCGGCGTCTCGCGCTGCCCAGAGCGCCGTCACCGCCGCTTCCCGCAGCACCCGCTGCACGCGGGGCCGCCTGCCGGGGAGAGCACGCGAGAGGCGGCGGCGCAGAGGTCGTGTTTGCCTGCCGGGGGGGGGGGGGGGACCCCCTACCTCCCACCCCCTCCCCCCTCTCACCCCCTCCCCCCTCTCACCCCCTCTCACCCCCTCCCCCCTCTCCTTGTGGCTTCTCGCGATGCTCGAAATGGCACAGGACGCGAGAGTAAATAATCCACGCGTGCCTCGCTCCTCTCTCGTTTTGTGTGTGTCGCTGTTTGCTGTAAGTGCTGGTGGCGGGACCAGCCTGGCGCCACCCGTGCTGAAGCACGGTAATTAATGACTCCCCCCACCCCCCTCCTGTTGCTGCTGCTGTTGTTGTAAGAGTGGGTGGAGAGAAACGCCTTCAAAGCCGCCCGCGTGCCCCACGTCAAACCGCGGCGGCTCCACGCCGTGTCGCGCGCACTTCGCCGGCCCCAGACAAGGCGGGGAGACAGATACAGGATATATATCTGTATATATATCTGTATATATATCTGTATATATATCTTTATATATATATATATACTTTACATTGTGCAGCGCGGTGTCGTCGTCGTCGTTGTTTTCGACACGTGTGTTCTGGCCACAAGGTTCAAAATGGAACTTACGGCAGATGTGAACGTAATGCACCCGAAGAAGCACTGAACATTTTTAGCAAACGGTTTGAGTGGCGTTGCTGCGCATAGCCGGGAGGCAGATTGGGACGCCGGTAATGGGCCAGCTGCTTCGTTCGGAGGCTCGGTTCCAGTTCTAACACAATTTCACTCCGTTTCCTTCAATTGATCTGAAATCTGTAACGTGTCACGCGCCCGCCGCACGCAGACGGACACCCAAGCGCGCAGAGCCCTACACGTTGGCAGCCCCACAAAGAGCCCGGTTCTTGCTCCCTCCGAGTCGCTACTTGTTTATTTATTTCCACATCACAAGCAAAAAGTGAGGGATTTGTTTTGACACGAGAACGAGCGCCTCTCGCCACTCACGCGTCGCCAGCGAACAAGAAGAGGGTGGGGAGAGAGTTCCCGTGTTCAAATTGTGTCTCTTGGGCGAGGGAGTCACCCTTGAGCTCACAGCCCTGTTGCCCAATTGTGCCCGAACAAACGCCTACACAGCATCTACACAACGCCTACACAGCATCTACACAACGCCTACAGAACGTCTACACAACGTCTTCACAACGTCTATAGAACGTCTACAAAACGTCTACACGAAATGTTTTTTTTTTAAGCAGCTAATGTCCACTGAGCTAGAGAGCTCGTTTTCAGAAGCGACCTGGCCACAAATGAAGCTCAACGAAGTGGCTTTTCAAGTGGACATTTATAGCGGCAGCCAAGCACTCGAATTGCATGTTCCTCAATGTGGAGGGGGAACCAGAGGACCCGGAGACAAATCCACGCAACCACGGGGAGAGCATGGAAACTCCAAATACACAGCAGCAGGCGTCAGGGTGCGGATCGAACCCACGACCTCCTGTGCACCAGGCGAGGGAGTTAACGTCTCCTGGCCACCACGGCGCCCCGCGGTGCGGGATCGGTGTGGTACAGTGGGTTGTGCGCTTCGCTATAAACCCCGTCGACCTGAATTCGATTCCTACCCATGGTCTATCATCGATGGCGTGTGATATCCAGACCGGTGAACCTGGGCATTAGAGGACGAGGGTTTTTATTTTTCAGGAGAAAACATTGTGACGTTGCATGAACCCGAACTCACCAGAGTGGCGAATTATGGTCAAAAAACCCATAATCGCAATGGGTGTCGGGCTATAGGTACAGGGCTCTAAATGTATCTATATCCAAGTGGATTTACACCACGTGGGCTGTAAACCCGTCACGTGCCACCGATGACGCTCGCGCTGTCGGCTGTCGTCGAGTGAGGGCTGGGGAGCCCAGGGGGCGTCTCCCTCACGAGGCTGCTTCTGTGACGTCACGGCGCACGTGCTGCACGGGTCCTAGCACGTGCGATGCCGTACATCGCATTCCCAGTGCATCGCCGTGCCGGGTATTCCGAGGCGCGTAGGCAAGGCTGTGCGTGCCGCAGGGCACATATCGCTACCGCTGTCTTACGCCGTGTTGATGGTAATTAAGTATAATGTGCTTTGTCCAAAGATGTCGCTGTGGTGTGATCGTCGGCACACTGGGCAGCACACGGCATCAAGGGGCGGGGGTCCAGGGAGTCGTGGGCCTGGCGGCAGCCCTGCCACGTGCTGCAGCCTGCGCCACACGCCGCGGATGGGGGTGGTGGTGGCGGTGTTGGTGGCGGTGGTGGTGGAGGTGGTGGTGGCGGTACAGGCGGTGCCGGCGGTGATGGCGGTAGAGGTGGTGGAGGTGGTGGAAGTGGTGGCGGTGGTGGCAGTGGTGGTGATGGTGGTGGTGGTGGAGGTGGTGGAGGTGGTGGCGGTGGTGATGGAGGTTGTGGTAGTGGCGGTGATGGTGGTGATGGTGGCGGTGATGGTGGTGGCGGTGGTGAAGGTGGTGGTGGTGGAGGTGGTGGTGGTGGTACCTTGGCACTCGAGGCAGCAAGCCCCGCGCCGCTTGACCACGAGCAGGCAGTCGCTGGGCACGGGGCTGCACTTCTCCCGCTCGCACGTCACCTCGCCGCTCTGGGGACGCACGGCACGGACACACGCACGGTCACACCACCACCACCGCCGCCACCGCCGCCACCACCACCGCCACCTCCATCACCGCCACCACCTCCATCACCACCACCACCGCCACCTCCATCACCAAAGATAATGATCCCCGTGTCGCCTTGACAGACTGTTAGGGCAAGCGTTGTGAGAGAACACCTATGAAGGCCGGCACGGCACACGATTGGGTGGTTGGCCAGGACCACGCCCGACGGCCTTTGGCTCCCCAGTGGCGATGCTTTTTACACAACGGACCAGCTACTCATTTGAGGTTGAGTCGACCTAGGGGAGGCTCAGGACCGTGAGCGACACTCCGGTGATGGTGATGCCGATGGGATTGGACAGAGATCCCCGGAGTGCACGAGCCATACACGTGGTGCCCCTGGGTGACACCACAGACTGCCAACGTGCACATTAACAGGCGTGTTAACACGCACGGGTCGAGTGTGTGCTTGATTCTCACTACTTTGTTTTCTGCTGGGTGTGGGATGAAGGCTGGGGAGAGAGAGAGAGAGAGTGCCCGTGTGTTTAGGCAGCAGGAGGAGTGCAGAGGATTGGCACGACATAGGAAGCCGAATTTTGAGTCTCTCTCTCAGAACAATGTGCCCTGTGTGTGTGTGCGTCCTGTGCGTGTGTGTGTTCCATGTGTGTGTGCTCCATGTGTGTGTGTGCGCTCTGTGTGTGTGTGCTCCATGTGTGTGTGCGCTCTGTGTGTGTGTGCGTCCTGTGCGTGTGTGTGTTCCATGTGTGTGTGTGTGCGCTCTGTGTGTGTGTGCGTACTGTGCGTGTGTGTGTTCCATGTGTGTGTGTGCGCTCTGTGTGTGTGTGTGCTCCATGTGTGTGTGCGCTCTGTGTGTGTGTGCGTCCTGTGCGTGTGTGTGTTCCATGTGTGTGTGTGCGCTCTGTGTGTGTGTGCTCCATGTGTGTGTGCGCTCTGTGTGTGTGTGCTCCATGTGTGTGTGCGCTCTGTGTGTGTGTGCGTCCTGTGCGTGTGTGTGTTCCATGTGTGTGTGTGCGCTCTGTGTGTGTGTGCTCCATGTGTGTGTGCGCTCTGTGTGTGTGTGCGCGCTCTGTGTGTGTGCTCCATGTGTGTGTGTGCGCTCTGTGTGTGTGTGCTCCATGTGTGTGTGGGTCCTGTGTGTGTGTGCGCTCTGTGTGTGTGCTCCATGTGTGTGTGCGCTCTGTGTGTGTGTGCTCCATGTGTGTGTGCGTCCTGTGTGTGTGTGCGCGCTCTGTGTGTGTGCTCCATGTGTGTGTGTGCGCTCTGTGTGTGTGTGCGCTCTGTGTGTGTGTGTGCGCTCTGTGTGTGTGTGCGTCCTGTGTGTGGGTGTGCGCTCTGTGTGTGTGTGCTCCATGTGTGTGTGTGCGCTCTGTGTGTGTGTGGGCTCTGTGTGTGTGTGCGCGCTCTGTGTGTGTGCTCCATGTGTGTGCTATGTATGTGTGTGTGCTTCCTGAGTGTGTGAGCTCCATGTGTGTGTGTGCTCCATGTGTGTGTGTGCTCCATGTGTGTGCTATGTATGTGTGTGTGCTTCCCGTGTGTGTGCTATGTATGTGTGTGTGTGCTTCCTGAGTGTGTGAGCTCCATGTGTGTGTGTGCCCCTGTGTGTGTGCTCTGTGTGTGTGTGCTCTGTGTGTGTGTGTGTGCTCTGTGTGTGTGTGCACTGTGTGTGCGTGTGCTCTGTGTGTGTGTGCTCTGTGTGTGTGTGCTCTGTGTGTGTGTGCTCTGTGTGTGTGCTCTGTGTGTGTGTGTCTGCACTGTGTGTGCGTATGCTCTGTGTGTGTGCTCTGTGTGTGTGTGTGCGTGCTCTCTGTGTGTGTGTGTGTACTCTGTGTGCGTGTGCTCTGTGTGTGTGCTCTGTGTGTGTGTGTGCTCTGTGTGCCTAGCGCCGGTCTGCATGTGGCCTCGTCTCTGGCCACACCGCCACTTTCACGATGAAAGTGGCTCCCCCCCCTCCCGGCGGCGGGCGCGAGGTGTCGTCGCGCGCGCCCCCCTTCGTGTCCGTCGCCTCGTCTGTCCTGCCACTTCTCTCGTCTGTCCTGCCACTTGTCTCAAGAACGTCGCGTGTGGAACATCGACGCTCAACCCATTGTCGGTCTCGGAGTCCAACAGCGAGAGAGACGCTTGATGAGCAGCGAGAGAGACGCTTGATGAGCAGCTTCTTAGTTTCGCGCACAGACGACGATGGCTTGCAGATGAGTCAACACTTTTTTATGTGACCATGTGAGGTTCACTGAGCTATGCAGCTCTTTTTTCAGAAGCGACCTGGCCACAAATGATAACTCAACGAAACTGGCGTATCGTGTGGAAATGTATAGCAGCCAAACACTCTAATCGCATTTGTGTTAATGCAGCCACGCGGGTGCCGGCTGGGAGTTGCACGCGCCCATCTCTGTCGATGCGCACGCGACGGAGTCTGCGTCTCGCGGGGCTTCTCTTCGATTGCCCAGTCGGGATGCGCTCGTGTGAGAAGGGGCGGGACGGGGGGTCTCGAAGCTCGCCGAGGACATTGCGAGACGAGCGCGTGGCGACGGGGTAGTCGCGCGTGCAGGCACGCGCCGCTCGGTGCGCTCCCAGGTCTCGCACCCGCTGCGTCGCCTCACCGCCAGGAAGAGCGAACCACACAAGAGGGATGTCGAATTGGGGGGAACTTTAACTCCGTCGGCCAATTTGCCTCGCGACAAACACCGCGCGTCACTTACTGCGTGCCAGAAACACTCGGTTCTAAGTAGTTCTGTTCAGAATGGAACCAAAGACAAACCCCCGTCTACCCTTAACAGACTGCTGGGGCAAGTGCTGTTAGCGAGCACGAGAATGGAACCACACGCAGACACACACACAGGGAACGCAATTATTGAGCGGGATTGTTCAGATCCTCCCCTTAGAATATACTCCACACGTACTCAATTACAACTTCATCAATTGTTGTTCTTGGCAGCCGCTTTCTCAATGTCTCTCAGACGCCAGCCGCGGCGCGAGGGGTCAGGGAGCGCTCTGCACTATAAACCCGAGTTCGGTTCCTGCTCACGGCCAACACCAGTGACGAATAGCTGAACCGGTCCTGGGCCTGCCCGAGGTCGACTCAGCCTCAAATGAGTACCTGGTGCGGTGTGTAGTAAACAACGCCACTGAGGAGACAAAGGCGGCCGGGCGTGGTGCTGGCCACCCACCCCCTCGTGTGCCACAGTGCCGGTAGCCTTCACAGGTGCTGCTCGCTAACAGCACTTGCCCCGACAGTCTGCTGCAGGCTACACGGGGGATCTTTGTCCGAGGGGCTCGGAGCCGTGCGATGGATGTCTCCTCCAGCAACCGAGCGCACCTCGAGGGACGCGGATGGAGATTTGTTCGAACAAGAGGAAGTCCGCGGTTGGACATCGGGGCAGATGTCTTTCTCTCGCTCGAACGACCACGGCGAGGCGCCTCGCGAGGTTTGCCGCCGCCTGTCCTGGTATCCCACGATTGTTCCTCTCTTTCTGAGGCAGCTGCTGTGAGTCTTGCCCGGCGATTGCAAGTCTCGATTCTTATTCTGCGTTGCCCAAACACAATATACCGATAATTGTTTCTCTCGAGACGATGCTACTGGATGTAAGTAAAAGAGAAGAGCCTCAGACCTCATCGGATTCCTCCTGCAGTCTAAATAATCATTCTGATTCAAATCCAGCTCACAAATCTTCCTGTGACCTCATCTGTATCTACGTTGAACTTCTTTCGCACGGTACGTAGCCAAACGTGCTAATCGGAGGTGTCGGGGAAGGACTAAACACAAAAAGCAGTTCGAAACAAATGAGAATGATTTAAAAGTGCATTGTTCCAGTGGCTTCCTAATATCTGAAGCGAGAGCGTTCCAGACGGCCGCAGAAACGCGTCTGAAAGCGCCGCACGAAGATGCTCGACTCGGTCGTGGCGAGTCGAGGAGAGATGTCGCCTCGAGACCTGGCGGGCAGCGCCGCCGCGACTGATGTTGTCCCGGGCAGGTGAGCGCGCGGATGTCAGGTGTCGAGTGTGCGAAGGGAACACCGCAGTCGCTTCAGGCGAACCCAGCGGAGCCTCGCTCGGCGCGTGTGAATGAGAGCGGCTCAGCATTACGCCTTTTTTCTGATCACTTACACAGAGCGGCTCTTCTGTTTGCTTTCTAAGAAAATGTGAATTCCAGTGGTTAAAGACTTTTTTTGAAGGTTCTGAATAATCCCACCTATTAGCCTGCCCTGTGTGTGCCTGTCTGTCTCTCGGCTTTGCCTGTGGGCACTGCGCGCATTCCTACCTCATTAAAGAGAACCATTTATAAAGCACAATACAGAAGCGGCGAGGACAAGTGGTCAAAACAGAGTTAATTTACGGGCGCACTAGGTGGGATTCGCTTAATTGTTTATATATTTTTTTAAACATTGCCGACACAAAAACTCGTCGTTTCAGAATATAAGTGCAAGCAGCACGGCGTGAGGCAGCGTGGCTCCCGCCGTGTCACGAGCGAGCGCTTGGGGCCCGGCAGAGCCGTGCTCAGGAACCGGGCGGAGCGCGCTGCGCTGGGTGGAGGCTGCGGGCAGAAGCCAACTCTCAACTTGGGCGCAAAGCGATCGCGGACAGCCTGTCGGCGATTTGAACGATCGGACGAGCGCAGGGGGTGTCCTCGCTATACAACTGATGTGACGCACGCAGGCCAAAAGGCCCAACAACGCCATGTGGGCAGCAACAAACAGCAACTTTTGAAGGTGCAGGTGGTAAGAGTTCACGCAACAATTCGTCGGTTTAAATTAATTCTGGCATGCAAGTTACAAGAAGTGTGCGTCTCGCGACTGGGCGATTACTAATGTATACAATTAAACTGCAAATGATGTGAGAATGTCCCTTCAAAGTATTTAATATAAATCAGACGAAGCAAACGGGAGAGAACATACCGCATGCAATAAAAAAGCAATACAGTACAACACGACCGATGTAAATCACTTTGCGAATCTAATTGCAGCCCTAAATCATGACAGATAATTGAATCGCTGGGCGAAGGGGAGTTAACCATCACCTGCCTCGAGCACTCAGCGCACCATATGGAGGAGCGGTAACAGTGGAGACCTGGGTTTGATTCCCGGCCGCGGCGAGCATGAGCGTCTTGTGATGCTTGAGCCATTCCTGATCCCGTCTTCGCCAGCCCACACTCACCAAACTATCCCCGTGACCGACACGGCGTAGGGAGGCCTTAGTCCAGCAGCAGATTGACAAAGGGATGTGAATGAATTATTATTACATGAAAAAAAAATCTACCAATGAGTTGCCAAAGGATGTAAATTAACCCGAGCGTAGGTGAACATGAGCTATATATTAAAAAAAAAGTTTTTTCAGATGTCCAGTCGACACGTCCAGTAGCGTCATAACCCAGGAGGATGCTTGCGTGGCAATGGGAGGCTATAACGCGGTAAATTCTATGTCGGGGTTAAATCTGTGGAACGTGTAGGAGAGAGCGCGAGCCTTCGCGCACCGCACCGCCGGCTCTCCGGCCAGCCGGCACATCTCGCTCGCGCGAGCACGCCCAGCTGCAACAAATTACGCGCAAATGTTTTAGCGTGAAACAATACGCGAGGTTACGGGGAGCAATTACATCAAGACGAGCGGGGGGGGAGGCACGGAGAGTCGCTGGCGGGGACCGCGGGGATCGAGCGTTGCCGCCGGGAAAGGCGCGCTGCCGACGTCCCTCTCACCTTGCAAACGCACGTGATGCACGGGTTGTTCCAGCTGAAGGGGATCTCCACCGCCTCGCCCTCGTTCGTGCACTTGGCCACCGTGCCTGCGTCGTCAGCACAACTGACAGCGACGACGACGAGGGTCATTATCGAAGCCGGTGCGATGCGTCCACGGTCGTGTATCCGGTGCGGCTGTGTGGCTGGTAGTTTTAGGCCAAAATTCGCGTCATTACAGAACTTCCCTTTGAGTTGGTGGTCGAAATGAAGAAAATGGCTACACGTCCAGTTCTTTTGAACCGGTGGTCTGGATAAGGCTGAGAGCTTTGATTCGTGCAGTGCTACGCATATTTGTGCGTTGTTAAATAATGTTTCATTACGCGTGTTTACATCGCATCGATCACCCTCTCACGGCAATTTTACCACAAGCGTGCGACGTGCCCCAAAATGTTGACGTGGTACTCGCAATATCTGCTGGACCGAATCTCCCCTCGCTGGGAAGCGGCTGCCGCGTTCCGCTGGAGGAGAACGCCCTGTGGCGAAACCTCTGGGAAGCGCTCATGGACACGCGTGCCAACTGTATACCCACATGCGCCCGCGTTCGCAGTTGGCGAGCTTACAGCGAGAGTTTAATTACTTCAGAAATCTACACCCACCAAAAATTCCACCGAGTCTCAACGTCTCTTTGTGCAGGAGAGGGTCTCGCGTGGAGCCTGCATTGCAGTTCCATTTCTGATATATTCGCACACGACAAGAGACGCGAGCGTTCACGGAGATCCCACGCGTGCCGGAGAGCACTCGCACGCATCGCAGATGGGTGGCAACTCTCACCACGACACCACGGAACTCTAACTGCAATACCACGGAAATCTAACCGCGATTACACGGAAATCTAACCACCATACCACGGAATTCCAACCGCAATACCACGGAAATCTAAGTGCTACACCCCGTAACTCTGACCCCTATGTTATGTAACTCTAACTCGTGCCTAACCACCCTGTCAGGGGACACTCGGCCATCTGCGGTGTAGAGGGAGTCGTCGTGCCAATATTACTTATTTGAAAATAAATAAATATCTGAGTCCTCTGTGTGTGCAATCATGTTTTCCCTTTGTGCGGACTTCAAAACAACTCACTGATTATAACTGCCATGCGGCAATTATTAGTGACTCACAGTGGTCAAAGATAATAATAATGATGAGGAAACTTGTGTAGTAGGACCCACGTGGGGGCTAGTGCCAAAGTTCCATCAATTACGTTGCAGTAACGTAGCAGAGCAGAAGACGTCCACGCACTCCGCTACGAACCCAGGCATCTGAGTTCAATCCCCGGTCGTGGCTACCATCAGCGGCGAGTGATATCACAGCGGTCCCCGGCTCCCCATGAGCAATCCGCATGGCTGACGAGGCCTTTATCCGGCAGCTGATTGAGAAGAGCTGCAAAGTGACGTTTACTAATACTTTGGTGGAATGTTTAATCAACGAGCTTCTGTTTATGGAAGTAACTACAATTACAAAGTTTTCCGATGCGAGTGAATCATTGTATACGCGTGTTTTGTATACAGTGGTTTACAGTGTCTGCCTGCGCAGTCATTTGAACATCCGGTGGCCCGTTCGACGGAACCCACCCAGGGCACTTTCTCTCCGTTCCATCGCGCGAGTGACGGGGAAGTGGCCGTCGCTCGTCCCGCAAGCCACCCTGCTGGGCCCCCTGCCAGGCGGCCATGCCGCTTACGTGACGCGCCCGAGTCACGTGGTGAGCGGTCCTGTGACGCGGGGAGAGGAGGGGCCCGAGTTGGACCAACTCCCGTGCGCGTCACGCGCGGGTCGTGCGTGACGCTCGGACGGCGTGCGAGTCAAAATCCCATCATCGGCTCAGCCCATCGCATCTCTTTGGTCAGTAAAATCGGTACACGACGGTGGAATCACGCAGGCGATGTCAACAGTCAATCAATTGTTCTCTGTGAAAAACTAAAATTAAACGGTCCTCATCACAGGAACGTGGAATGAGCAGCGATGAATGACTCGAATCACGGAGAAGCATGGAGCAACGACAGTGGCCACAGTCGAGTGAAGAGTGCACCCCCTTGCGCCACCTTACACCACCTTACACCCCCTTGCACCCCCTTCCTCCACCTTGCTCCACCTTGCACGGACGTCAAGTTCACATCCCGCGACCGGGGCCGGATGGCCGTGCTGCCTCTGAGCCATCGGAGGTCACGGCCGTCCATCACCAAGTCGCTAGTTGCCTATAGAACATTCACCGTGAACTCACTCCAATAGTATGTCGAAAGCACTGCAGTGCAAAGCCATTAACAACAATGTTCATTCACGGGCCTCTGTCAATCCGATGATGGATGAAGGTTTCCTCACACCCATGTTTATCAAGGGGAGTAGCTTTTGTAACCATACTTCACCAGAGGTGGTGAAGGGTGGTGTGGGGGGTGGGAGGGTCTAGACGTGGTTCAGACGTCGCTGGCGAATCAAGTCGTTTGCTTTGGCTGGGAATGGAACTCAGGCAGCCAGACTCAAATCACGGTGACCAGCCCCCTGCACCAACAACACCCCAACTCACTCAACCTCTCAACATCAAACCCAATAGGCATCGCTGTTGGTAATTAATGGAAGTGTTTGGCCAGCAAGGCATAATATAGCATGTGTATGTTGTATCACATTTTTAATTCACTAGGATCCCATATTGTAGATGGAATGTCCTTGCCAATAACATCTGGCAGCCCAAGCAGACTTGTATAATCCTGACTGCTGATGAAGTTGACGTTTATTTTGCGTAACGAGGTGAGAACTCAAGGAGACCAGGATAAGTTGCATTTGCCAGAGTGACCTGGGGCATTGGTCTGCCGGTAGGGGGCGATGATCGCTATGCGCCGTCCCCAATTCCAATCCGGCCGAGCGCTTCCTCGCGAATGCCGCTGATTAGTGTTGGTGCGGGACACGAGTATAGTTATGGTGGACTAGGGATTGTTTTACTTGCGTGCGGTGGAGAGGCAGAGGGAGACGCGTTTACTCGGATATTTAATTTCCGCTTCATTAGCCGGGCGTGGTTGAGCACCCATGCCTCATCCAGCGCTTGGGATGCAAAGGTTGGTGGATCACGCAGATTTGTAAAACTCCCACCAACCTCGCTGGACTGCTAGGTGGCCGAGACATGCTAGTACAGCACGTGGCTTTACGACTTCACCTGTGCACACACAAGCTATCAACATTATCATTATGATCCCATTGCACGCGTGGAGGGTTTTAGACAGACACCCTGGTTCCCTGCCGTAGTTGGAACATTTCTTAAAATGGAATTGGCCACAGCTCTCAATCAATGCCGGGGGGCCCGACCACAAGCCTCGTCCCCTGGACAAACAGCCGCGAGCGGGCGTGAGGATGGCAGAGGCCGGCAGGCTGCTGCTGCTGCTGCCAACCAGCCACTCGCGCACACATCGCCCCACACTGGCGCGAGATCAACTCGCTGCGTCGCGCGGCGGGCAACGGCGCAGCCAAGAAGAAGCCACCGCGAGCCGCTCCTACCCCAGCAGCGTCCGAGCCGTGCACCACCACCACACCACCACCACTACACCACCACCACTACACCACCACCACACCACCACCACACCACCACCACTATACTACCACTACACCACCACCACCACACCACCACCACTACACCACCACTACCACACCACCACTACTCCAACACCGCACCACCACCACTACACGACCACTACACCACCACCACACCACCACAACCACACCACCACTACACCAACACCGCACCACCACCACCATACCACCACTACCACACCACCACCACACCACCACTACCCAACCACCCCAACACCACCACACCACCACAACTACACTACCACACCACCACCACCGCACCACCACTACACCACCACCACACCACCACTACCCAACCACCCCACCACTACCGCACCACCACTACACCACCACACCACCACCACTACACCACCACCGCACCACCACCACCACACCGCTGTGACCACGCGACACCGCTGAGAATCCCTCGTCTGAGCCATTTCCCGCTGCCCCGCGCATTAAGTGACAGCGCGTGTGACCGTAGCGTTGGCTGTGAATGTGAACACCGCCGTGTGTCCAGCAGTCAGAACCACGCCGCGTCATCACCAACAGCGCACGTCGGGTTAAGGGCGCCCGTGACCCACGACCACAAAATGATGAAGATCTCCCACGAGCTAAATTACACAACACGGGGAGCGGTGGCGCAGCAGTTGGCGCACCCGGGTCCCCTGTGATCCAATCCCGAACACGGCCAACATCACGACTGGCGCTGGGAGCGTGCTACCCGAACCGATCATCCTCGCCGAGGGGGGAGCACGAACAGCCACCCTCCGTGACCGACACGGCGTGGGGAGAAGGCTTTCATCCAGCAGTGGATTGACAAACGGCTGCGGGTCTGCTATTGCATAGACGTTGCAGGAAGCCGATGGGGTTTTTTTTCGTGCCGATTTGGGACGAATTTCCCCCAGCGGTAATTCAACCGCGCCATCAACGCGCGGAGATGATGCTCGTACGGACGAATACAATGATCGATAACGTCCCATTTACTCCGCCGTCGACAAAGATTTCCCTGCGTAGCCGACACAGGCTGTTGGAGCAAGTGCTGTTGGCGAGTGGGCCAAACAGCACGCCCGTCCGCCTTTGTCTCCCCAATGCCGATGCTTGTTTTACACCGTACCGAGTACGGCACTCATTTGAGACTGAGTCGACCTAGGGGGGAAGCCTAGGATCGGTTCAAATATGCGCTACTGTTATCGGCCGTGAGCGCGAATCGAACTCGGGTCGCCGCTGGCTTGGTAGCGCAGCGCGCTTGAACCCCTCCACTGAATCTTGATTTGACGCTTTCGTGACTGCAGGAATCGCAACTCTCGGTTCTTTCGGTAAAGTCACGTGGGTAGGAAAAGTAACAGACCACGACGTTTCGATCGCCACTCAAGCAGCCGCCTTCAGGTGCCCCGCGTCGCCCTGCGACTCGCCGGTCTCGCTCCGTCTGTGCGCCGACAGCCGCCACGCAGAGCCGCAGGGTCGGTGCAGAGAGAGGTCGCCGACTGTGGAGTCTACAGGGCTCCTCTACCCCGCCATAGCTGCCCCCCTCGTACAGACGGAATGGAGATAAATCATTGTTCAGCGGCATCATCAGCCATGATCACTCCGCTGCTGGATGAGGCACTCCAGAAAACCGTGGCACAATCGTTGCAGGCTCGTATCCGTGAGGCTGCGAGCTGAGCGCGGTGCGCAGGGAGGGCTCCCACCGGGCAGACGCAGACGCGGCGCGGGGGTGTTTGGTTGTTAGCAAGGCGACACTGCTGCTGAAGAGACTCGCGACGTCTACACCGCTGAAACGACGCAATGCGACCAGCGACGTGACGAGACCCGCCTCACCAAGAAGCCCCATCGTGGCGGAGAGCGCGACCGCGTCTCCTTGTTTCAGGGGGCAGCAGCGCCGTGGACACGCGCTCCCGGATGACTCATGAACTCTCACGGCGATTCCATCTTTGGTAATGAAACAAACCCCTATTGTGCTTACTGAATACATACAAATAGTCGTATTGCGGCTTACAGAATAGTTAATGACGTGTGAACATTTACGAACAGTTGGAACAGCGTTTGTTGGCCTTCACCCGCACCTCTGGTTAGCACGGTTGGCTACGTACGGCGCGAAGGAAGTTCAACACACGGAGATCAACGTCACTGTGGAACTCGGGACACATCCCCACCGATTCCATCTCCCCATTGGAATCTCGGACCCAGTGGTGAGCAAGTCGGCGTTCGCATGGGGGGTCGAGTCCGTGCACGGGAAAACCACTCTCGTCTTGATCTCGTATTTATTTTAAGACATTAAAGGATTGCATTGTCAATCGCAATGCAAGGATATGGAGCCCTGCTGCAATACGTGTAAGAACACGTGAAGTCCGCGTGTGTGCTGTGTGTGTGCATGTCTACATGTGTACTTTGTGTGTGAGTGATGCAGGCGTGTGTACGGAATGTAACCAAACCATGAGCACGCGTGAACCCTGCCTGGCACCCGTGAACCCTGCCCGGCACGCGTGGACACCGCGGCGCTGCGCTCTGGGGGCGTTCGACTCACGACAAATTGTCACGGGCCGACTCAGCGTGCCACCCCTCCAGGGCTGCTACGGCGACGAGCATTGTGTGTCAATTGTGGTCGTCCACCGTATAAATGTGGAATTCCCACCACTGACCAAGGGCCGCCAACCGAGATGAGCGCCGGCGCTCTGCTGCATTTGGGCTGAAAGACGTGAGCGGTAAGTGTCGCCGCGACGTGCACGCGTGAACCCTACCTGGAACGCGTGAACCCTGCCCGGCACGTGCGTGAGCCCTGCCCGGCACGCGTGTGAGCCCTACCTGCCAAGAGCTGTGCCGGCGCGGGGGAGAGCACGCACCACATGTGGGTGAGCGTGAGCAGCGCCCACACCCAGCCGGCGCCGCGACACCCGGCACACGACATCGTGCTCTCTGTGGCAGCAGGGGCAGCAGCTGCAGCAGGGGCAGCAGCAGCAGGGGCAGTCTGCGTGGACACGGACTGGCACCGCCTGGGTTATCGTCCCGCCTGGCTCAGCCGCAGCTTCTCCTCCTCCCTCTTGTCGATTGTAAAATCACCGCCGATGCCCGAGTGAGGAGGAGGTGGAGGAGAGGCTTCTCATTGTCCGCGGGTCCGTGCCGGCGTGCTCGAGTGGCGCTGTGCAGAGTCCTCGGCTCACGCTGACGATGGCGCAGGGAGACGCTCCCGGCTCGAGGGAGGAGGTCCCGGGCTCGGCGGGGAGGAGGGATGCTCGCTGGGGACCCCCCTGGGTGGGTCGCGGCGTCTGCGCGCGGCGCGGATTGCGCCCCTCTGGGCAGCGCGACTTTGTTTTGAAAAGTGCGGAGCGCGGACGCGGGGCGGGGCCACGAGGAGTCGGGGGACTCCGCTCAGCGAATCCGCCGGCGGGGGCGCCCGCCCGCCCCGCCGACCCCGGCGTCGGTCCTGGGGGCCCCTCCGCGTGGCCCCTCTCCCCCCGCGGCCCCCACCCCCTGCCCCCCCCCCCGCGACGTCAAAATCTCTGCCGCCTCTGGCATTGCGCAACGCGCGGCGCCGCCGCCGCTGCGCGCGGGGAGGAAGCGCGCTCGCTCCCTGCGAGTGGCCGCGACTCCACGCGCCGCGGTGCTGACCAGCTCCTGGCGGGCGAGACGAAGTCGTCGCTCTCCGCCTGCCCGCCCCTTCGCCTCCTCGATAGGCGGCGGTGTGAGCCGCGGTGGCGAGCGCGCACCCACACGCCCGCCCGCCCCTCCATCGGAAACGTCTCGGCACGTTGACGAACACGCGTCGTGGTGCCGCACGCAATGTGATGGCACGGGACGAGCACGCGCCCACGATGACCGCTCTCTCGCGCTCACGGGTCAGAGCGGTTCGAGAGGAAGCGTGGAGCGCAATGAGACACGGGCACTAAGTGGGAGCGAGCACGAGGGGTGTGCACGTGGTGCAGCAGGAGGTGTCACGTTGTGCAGCAGGAGGTGTCACGTGGTGCAGCAGGCGGTGTCAGTGCAGCAGGCGGTGTCAGTGCAGCAGGCGGTGTCACGTGGTGCAGCAGGCGGTGTCACCGTGACGCTTTGTAAAACGACTTTGTGACAACGATTCACAGCCTTTATTGAATCCACTGCTTGATGGGGTGGGGGGGGGGGTCTCTCTACGCTATGTGGATATGGGGGGGCTCTTCGACCATACTTCACCAGTCTGGTCCGTGCAGGATTGAAGAGAGATTGGCCAAGGACCGTTCTGGCGGTGGCCCTTCTTCATAGCACGTCGACTTGTGTGTAAATAGCGTGTGGATGTTGGTGATGATGATGATGTTGAAGATGTTAATGATGATGTTGTTGATGTTGTTGAAGATGTTGTTGATGTTGGTGATGTTGTCGATGTTGTTGATGATGATGTTGAAGATGTTGTTGATGATGTTGAAGATGTTGTTGATGTTGTTGATGATGTTGTCCTTGATGTTGTTGATGTTGTTGATGATGATGATGTTGTTGCTCCACGTTAGTTTCCCCATTGGTTCCTCCTCGAGATGTCCGCCGTTTAGCTGCCGCCGCTGTCGACGGCCCCGGCCTGTGGCCGTGGAGCAGAGCGACGGAGCTCCACGGCTCTCCCAGCTGAGATAACGAAGTCTCGCTTCATGGGGACGCCTCATTGCCCATGACGGCGCCGACTCGACAGGACTCTACTGCTGTTTGTTTCCCTTCGAGGGCAGTGTCCTTGTTGTACCGCGTCTTGAGATGTCCCTGTCATTTCGCGCTGTATACACCCTCATTGTAACGGCGTACATACTACACTACACACTACACTACACACTACACTACACTACATACTACACTACACTACATACTACACTACACACTACACTATATACTACGCTACATACTACACTACACACTACACTGCTCACGTGCTGTGGAAGCCCTGCAGTGGCCACACAGCAGAGGCGAGTTTCGCTGCCCGCGCGGCCCCGTGGATCTCAGAACGATGACGAACAGCGCAGCGACACAGCGCACACACGCCGGCTGTGTGGCACAGCGCACACACGCCGGCTGTGTGGCACAGCGCACACACGCCGGCTGTGTGACACAGCGCACACACGCCGGCTGTGTGGCACAGCGCACACACAGCGCACACACGCCGGCTGTGTGACACAGCACACACACGCCGGCTGAGTGACACAGCACACACACGCCGCCTGTGACACAGTGCACACACGCCGGCTGTGGCACAGCGCACACACGCCGGCTGAGTGACACAGCACACACACGCCACCTGTGACACAGCGCACACACGCCGCCTGTGGCACAGCGCACACACGCCGGCTGTGGCAGGCTTGACACAGCGCACACACGCCGGTTGCGTGGCACAGCGCACACACGCCGGCTGTGTGACACAGTGCACACACGCTGGCTCGCAACCCCTGGGCGCGGCGAGGGCCGCGTGGGGTGATCGGCTGCGTCTCGCGGTGACCGAGCGCCGACACCGACACGCAGTGGTCAGCGCACCGCGCTGTGGACCCGGCTACCCGAGTTGGAGTCTCGACCAGGGCGAACATCAGCGGTGAGCGACATCTCCGCTGGTTCTGGCCACGCTTTCGTCAATTCCCGCTGACCAGAGCGGTGAAGTATGGTCAGACAACTCCGGTGACCGAGACGCCGTGAGGAGAGCTTCACCCATGAGTGGATTGCCACCAGAGCTCGACAAGACACGGGGGGCCAGGGGCTCAGTTCAGTCGCCGACTCGCGACTCCAGACGTCAAACCACTGACGAGGACGCGCGGTGGTTACTTAACACGAATGGTTTATTAAAAAATAACGATTTGGTTACAAAACATATTTGTTTGAAAACCAAACTATGCACGGATACGCTCGTTGCAGAAAACACGTTGGCCGTTTACATTTGACATGAGGTAATTGCACGTCAACATCACAACGCATACACGTACGGATCCTACAGAAACGTTACGTAGCCGGTCATTCTAAATGTAAAGTATCACGAATTAAAAAACATCCCTGAATAACAACATTGGAGACTAAACATTGCAAAAAAAAGCGACGCTTTAACACAGAAATGCTGCAATTTTTGTAACATTGAAAGATATTCATAGTTTTAGTATGTTATCTAAAAGCAACATTTAAGCGAATGTAGAACCAAACAAATGGATAATTACTGGGTTTAGTCGAAGCAAAAGTGGCACGAGCATCAACGCGTGCGGCCCCACCTGCGTGGCCCACGGGCCCACACCACGTGGCCCACGGGCCCACACCACGTGGCCCACAGGCTCCGACTAACAAACAGCAGCAGCAGGGGCCAGCTCTCGCCAACACAGACGACGCTCTTGCCGCGCGCTCATAACAGGTCCCGTGACAATCAGAGAGCGACCACACAACACCGCACGCGCTCTCAAGGTTGCAGCATGAACTGGCTTTACCGACGAGCCACTTAGCCCACCAAATAATTGCTCCAACGTCATGTTAAAGGTTTGGCTACGCCTCGGCTGTAAATTCACCGCCGTTTCATTTGCGACCCAGCTCCCGTCAGTGGACGGACCTGCCGCGTGCGACTGTGATGCCACACGCGACTGTGATTGCCACACGCGGCTGATTGCCACACGCGACTGTGATTGCCACACGCGGCTTCTCAGAGCGCCACCGCTCCACGCGGCACCCGCGGTGCGCGTGGAGGTTTCGCGTCCCGCGCGCTGTCGACGCATCCCGAGCCGCTTCGAGGATGAAGACGCTGGCGCATTCCTGCGAGGAGGAGGAGGCGAGAGCGCCGGGGTTGTCATCTCTCCCGCGTGGGGGGGGGGGGTGCCTCTGGTAATTGGATACAGTGGCGGATTTAATGCGAAGGGGAAGAGGGCTGCTCTCTTAAGTCGTAAAACAGTGGAAGCAATGCCTGGTGCAGACATTGTTTGGAATGAAAGTAAACAACGACTCCTTACGCCGCTGTGAGTGTGCGTCCCAGCGAGAGCGTGGCGCACACGCGCTGCGATTTTGATCAGGGGCAGCAGGGTCAGAGAACGTGGCAGAGTTACATTTCTGTCACCTTCAATTCACTTCCGATTTTATTTGCATGTCACGGCCCTTATAATGGTCGTTTTAAACTGCTGTAAAACGCTCCATGAAAAGAGAGTGTGGGTAGGCTGTATGAACGCGCGGTAAAAAGCGAGTAATGGTGAGCACAGATTTCGACAGATTGTAACTCATCGGATTGCATTGTAGGCAATACCACTCGCTGACAAACACCATTCAGGCCTTGTGTAACAGCAAGTCTACATGTATGTCCATTGACGTTAGCTGCACCACACTGGATGTGTTTTTGGGGCAATGTGTTGTGATGTGGATACGGGTTAGGTCTCAGATGCATGCCAATTAGGCAACTTCCTGAACTCATACGTCTACAACATTGTGTGTAACGTAGTGAAACGTGTTCCCTGCTGTTTGTGAATCCGAGGTCCACACAAAATGACAAAATGTATTTTTTTCAATAGTGCCATTTATCATCCTCGAAATGAAAAACAGATGTACTCTTAGGGGTGTTTAGAGAACACACGTTAAAGGACACCGTACACCGGGTTCAGAAAAATTAAGTATTCAAAGAACGAGAAATATATTTTAAAGAGTGGTGAACATTGTAGTCGTTGCTCAATTACATAAACAGGTCCGCGCTCATCACAAGACGCCTGCCGACTGTGTTTGCAGAAGAAACGGCGGCATGGTAGCTGCAGGCGCATCAAAGGAACAGGCGCTTGATGGGACGCCACACAGGGAGAGGATGTCGGGTGGCAGAGCGATTGGAAGGAGCGCTGGAATCGCACTCCAAGGGTAGAGGCAAAGATGCGGTCAGGAGTTCCCAGCAGGGATCCAACGCAGGTGTCTCGAGCGCAGGTGGACATCCACGACCGGAGACACCTCGACGCCCGTGCCGGTGCATTACCGTGACAGGTTGGCTAATGCAGCGTGCAGGCCACTGAGTGAAGATGAGTTGCGCGGATGGGACACGATCCACGCTCAGTGTTGTACAACTGCCCGTTCACAACAGGAGATTGTTTTTGATGCACTATTTTGGGTGCCTAAACTATCTCTACGATGATATAATTGGTGGCCGAGCAGTAAAACACATTAAACGTCTTCAATATACTGCTCAAACCTCAACCATTGAAACATTCCCATTGAAACGCATTTGTTATAGCTATTGCGATTATAAACATTTCATCTTCATAACTATACCTACCGTATTTCCATTAAAAATATATATTTCAATTCCAATCTCTTCGCCAATATGCTTTCAATTAAACTAAAATAACTAAATTTTGTCAAATTGGTGTTGGTGCTTCCGTGTGTTTTTCCTGGCCCTGGTCCTGAACTAGGCAAAGCCATGTGGTGTTGTTGTACTAAACAATGACTAAATAATGGTGGATAATTATATGAAATCCCCAGTGTTTGTAGGATGCATTTTTCTCTCAGCGCTGAGCAGTTGAAACAAAAAAAAATAAGAAATCAAGCATCTTAAATTCCAGGAAAAATATAACAAGGGAGCCTCAGAACACTTGCAAATGTGAAGGACGTATGCACGCACGCCCCGATTTTTGTTAGCTACAGAACGACCAAAGCATTGTCAGTATTTCGTCACTTTTTTTGTTGAGTGCTTAAAAAAAAAAAACCCCACAAAGCCCTGCCTGATTGGTCTCATGTACTCGGGGAAAAAAGACGGCCTGTTAGCGGTGCACAGGCAACCGTGTTCGCTCTGCTCGGCCACTCTGCTATGGAATCGTTTCACATTCTTGGTGAACAGCCATTGCTTCCTGGGCAATAAACCCACCAGCTGAGACCACACTTAAATGTCGGGTCAGTGCAATACACTCTGAGCTTGTTCCACTGAAAAGTAACCGGCTATAGCTTGAACAAAGCAATTGAAAATTCTGCTGCGGCAATAACTTATGTGTATTGATGACTGCGTGTTTTTTTTTCTCTCCCAAAGAACCTTGGACAAGGTGCTGTGACACCGGGTTATGTGCAAGGGTGGAACATTCATCCAGGGTCACGAGTCTACACAACGCACCGAATGATAGCACCTCGAGTGGCTGTATGGGTTGCATGAACACATTCTATACCACACGCACGAATTAAAAACCAATCATCGTTACGTGTGCGATACAATGCACGTATTGTGAGCGTAAGAATCAACATTGATGAACCGATGGATTGTTCCACCCATGTCCGTGTGCGCGATGGCCGTTATTCGACGACTGACGCATCATGCGAAGTGAGATTTAGTAGTGTACTGGAAATCACGAGACACGCGGTAGGAACGCAGTGACGACAGAAACCTACGGGACCTCAAGATTGCACACCGGCACTGAGCGTTCAGCACCGCCGCCCATGTGCTTCCTGGATTACGCTGAAAATGTCATCCGAGGCATTTGCGCGAGAAGCGATGTCACACACAGTTGCATAGCGCTACTCGGTCTGCACATCCTAAATCTGATTGAGGACATTAATTAGTAACGCAATTAACTGCTGCATGGGAATGTGAAGGGGAGTACAGGGAAACACTTAGTCATTGCTTCTCAGAGACAGCGCCGTTTGAAAGGCCGTTACTGGTGAAGTAGAAATAGAATTGTTTTTTGTGCCACTTTCACCTTGAGATGTATATTTGGACGCGCGACTAAAACAGGCGCATTACATTGGAATTGTACGACTATCGTTATTTTTTAAACGACAGGGCATAGTGTCAACTCGTGGCTCGCAGACTACAGGACGCTTGCAATAATTGGTTTACTATGGACATAAGACACAGCTAAATTAGCATTCAGTTCCAAATTACCATTCCGTATCTAAACTTGTGACTCGTCACTTTACTGCTCGACGTAACGTTGACAAACTGTGTCCGTCTTGTCCACAGGGTGACGTGCTGCGCGACGTTTAACCGCGAGGGGTACGGGAAGAAGAGTCGCCCGGGCGATGCCCTGCAGCAGCACGAGGAGCTCCTCGGCGCCAGCTCGCCTCCACGCACGCGCGGCGAGCTGGCGCTGCATGACGGGGACGCGCCGGCGACGAGGCCCCCCGCGCAGGCTGCGTGGCGTGACGGCAGTTGGCATTTGCGCCCAGGGGCTCCGGAGCCGTTATCCATCTTCTGGAGTCCCGGACTCGGGCGCGTCCGTCTCTTCCCCTGGTCGTGGAGACGGCAAAACGGCATTAGCGGCATTAGCACGCCCCGCGCGTGTTTGTGCAGTGCGGTGCCTTGTTGGGTTAAACTTCTCCTCCAAGTCGATATCAATCAAGAGGTCGAGAGTCAGCCGTCAAACTGCCCGTAGAATGTCGTGTCTGTTTTAAACATGCGGAAGGAAAACATTTAGACATTCTAATTTATAACAATTCAGAAAATATACGTCACGCGGTGCATACCACTACTATTCTTTTGTAGTATATGCAGTCAACACGACATTATATGAAACACAATCCACATTTTAAATCACAGAACCAGATAAATGACAGTGTGATTCATATGGGTTTGTGAGTGGCCTTCCTGGGGTTTAGGAAGACAGATCTTGCACATCAATTACACAATGTGGGAAACGCATCGCATACTTCACCACTTGTAGCAATCCAACACTGATATGGTAGATGCAGAAGGTCCCTAATGCATGAATAAGAAATCTGATTCTCATCCATGCTGTCTTAAGGCTTCTATCTTTGTCGGGCTAATGTATTTCTGAAGATGCATGAGCTCAAGTATTCCTTGAGATGAAAACCAGGGGCAGCGGTGGCACAGCAGTTAGCGCATTGCGCTGTGAACCCAGCGACCTGAGTTTGAGTCCATGCCAAGGCAAACATCGGAGGCGAGTAATGTCTAAACCAATCCCGGCTTCCCTCCCTCCATCCACCTCACAAACAGACTGGTGAAGTATGGTCAAACAACCCGCCAGGGCAACAAGCCGCGGGGAAGCCTTCGTCTAGAAGTGGACTGACAAAGGAAAGTAAATTACTATTAAATTTCGATTTAAAGCTTTCGTGACTGCAGGGATTCATCTTCTTGGTTCCTTCGGTAAAGTCACGTAGAAGGGAAGTAATAAGTAATTGTTTTATTATGTTTTATTTTTATTATTTTATTACTTCCCTTCTACGTGACTTTACCGAAAGAACCAAGAAGATAAATTACTATTATATGATGTGAAAATTGTGTCCAAAGTAAGGTTTGCAGACATGTGAGGTTGTTACAATCTTGGCAGTGGCTTACATAACGTGAAGAGGACAATTGACACAAACGTTGAAATTAAGTGTAATGAATTTACTAAACACTGTAAAAGTGATAACATATACAATGTATTTTGATACTAAATAAATGAGCAACTGAAAATAAATTTGTTGGCATATCAACCATAACCAATGCTACACTTAGAGGCCCTTATCACCACAAACAATTCATCGTTGGCACACCAACGGGGCCCGAGAAGGTGTCTGTGTGTCAGTGCGAGAGTCTGCGGCACCGGTGCTGTAGCCGTGCCCCCCCCGTACGAGCCGGCCGCTTGTCGGGTCTCTCCCGCCATGCGTCAGATCCTCGCGCGGTTTTGGCGACGCCTTCCCAGTTAGTTATTTCCCCGTCATTGACCTAAAGTTTGCCCCTCGACTAAAGCATATCATTTCGGTTGAGTTTTTGTGAAACGTAATATATTAATGTTTCTCCATTAACTCTAATAACATCAACGATTTTTAGGGTTAACTCTGCAAAATACGACTCAACACACAGCAATGTACACGAATAGACATCCAGTGGTTTGATTACAAATAACTTGGATAAGGTTTTTTTTATTCTATGTAATAATAAGATTGCAAATGTAAGTATTTAATACAATTAGTTTTGTCTGAATAGGTCAAATGTAGAACAATTTCATGTACAGGTAGGTCTGCTTCACCAATGGCTGGGGGATAGGCCAAGCCCTGGTATATGACGTTGTCTCTTGCAACACACAAACATTGCAGAGAAGATGATTTAATAAGAGCAATTATAGCTTTTGCAAATAGTTTGACGTTTACCAAAACCAGGACACTAAATACACACTGGGCAGCCGGCGGCAATAGAAGCTTGTTGTGCTTTAGTGTTTACACTGCTGCCATAGGCCATTCCTAAGCTATATCAGTGGGCGTAGTCAAGTGTCAGGGATTGTGATTAGATAGCAGCGTGATGGGGTGGGAGTGTGATGGGGTGGGAGTGTGATGGGGTGGGAGTGTGATGGGGTTGGAGTGTGATGGGATGGGAGTGTGATGGGAGTGTGATGTGATGGGAGTGTGATGGGAGTGTGATGTGATGGGAGTGTGATGGGGTGGGAGTGTGATGGGGTGGGAGTGTGATGGGATGGGAGTGTGATGGGATGGGAGTGTGATGGGAGTGTGATGGGATGGGAGTGTGATGTGATGGGATTGTGATTAGATAGCAGCGTGATGGGGTGGGAGTGTGATGGGGTGGGAGTGTGATGGGATGGGAGTGTGATGGGAGTGTGATGGGATGGGAGTGTGATGGGAGTGTGATGTGATGGGAGTGTGATGGGAGTGTGATGTGATGGGAGTGTGATGGGGTGGGAGTGTGATGGGAGTGTGATGTGATGGGAGTGTGATGGGGTGGGAGTGTGATGGGAGTGTGATGGGATGGGAGTGTGATGGGAGTGTGATGTGATGGGAGTGTGATGGGAGTGTGATGTGATGGGAGTGTGATGGGAGTGTGATGTGATGGGAGTGTGATGGGAGTGTGATGGGAGTGTGATGTGATGGGAGTGTGATGGGATGGGAGTGTGATGGGAGTGTGATGGGAGTGTGATGGGGTGGGAGTGTGATGGGAGTGTGATGAATTGTGAGTGTGATGTGAGTGTGATGGGAGTGTGATGGGAGTGTGATGTGATGGGAGTGTGATGGGAGTGTGATGGGATGGGAGTGTGATGGGAGTGTGATGGGAGTGTGATGGGGGAATGAGATGGGAGTGTGAATGTGATGTGAGTGTGATGTGAGTGTGATGGGGCGTTACCTGCAGGCTGGGCCGCTGATCGGGTGGTGGCATTGTTCCTCCTCTTGGCGAACCGGGAGGGCGACTCTGCGGCCTCGGCCACTTCGACTTCAGGTTCCTCCACGATGGTGTCGCTGCACGCTGCACCGCAAGACACCATTTAGCATCGCCGTGCTTGTTTGTGTTGCTGCCATCGTGACGTGTTCGAATGACCACGTTGCACATAGAGATGCCTCTACTTTATTTGCATCGCGGAAGATATAGTTCTTCAGGCCAAATGCTTTATTCAAAATATAATGACGCTTGTGAAGTGGACCTCTGCGCTGTCCAGGAGAATGGGGTCACAAGGTCAAAAGAGCTCTGCTGAGCAACGACAATGACAAGCGTTTAACCCCTCGCCTCGTTCTCCAATGACCTGTCAAAACAAGAAATAATTATTTTAATGAACCCACACATTCTGAAAGATTTCGTTTGAATATTTGACCTCCTTTACAAAGGAACTCTCCAGAAAATTGACAGAAATGTTTGCGGAGGTTTTGTGTTGATGCTTGTTTTTGTGATGAGGATTAAATAATGCTGAGCGGCATGAGGACAACTGCTGGCCTAACGTGGGAATGCACAGTGACAAAAAACTACTATAGTGAACATCACATACACACGAGAGATGACATTCTACACTTACAATATCACGCTTAGCGTAAATCATCGTTTCAGAAACCCGTGTTGAATACTGAGCTTTGTCTCCTATGGCTGTCTCAATCCCCATCGATCGCGTTGTTTTTTTACCTTCACCAGTTTGCCCTGGCGATTTGTAGTTTGCTGTGTACGGTACCGTGGAGCTCTTTGGGATGCTATAGGATTTTCTCGCGTTATCCTTAGATGTCACAGACCGCGCTCACAAAAAGTAGACGATAGGCAATTTCACACGCATATAAAAAAAACCCCACTGGATTCGCACTCGCACGCATAAACAGGGCAGCTGTGCCTGTCATTGCCATCGGTATTGGTCATTGGAATTGGGGCGTTTGGAATTGCTGAGGGAGAGGGGTGGGCTGCCGTTGAAAGGTTAAGGTGTGTCCAAGTAATTTTAGAAGATTTTTCAATGCCAACAATACGGCGCCGCTTGTTATTAGCTCAGGATTGATGACATTTTTTAAACAACATGTTTTTTTTTTTACACACATCACTTACAACCGGACAGAACTGCCATTGGCTGCTGTACGCGGAGATCAAACGCCGCGGTGCACGGCGAGAGTTCCACCGGCGTTAGCCGGCGACAAAACGTTGCTCTGAAGACATTTGAACCTTTTTTTTACGCAGTTAATTGTACTTTAAAATTTTCAGAAAGTTTTGTTTAACGTGTCGTATTGGAATTTTAACTATAGATACGTGAGATATCATCATTATCATCATCAGCTGTGGTCGATCCACTGCTGGATGAAGACCTCACTAAGCCGTTGCCAAATGTCACAGTTTGTGATGCAGCAATGTGTGAGCTGCACATGCAATGATTTGTTTAGTCAACTGCTTAACCCACTATGTGACCAAGTATTTAACTGGAATTAACATTTTTTTGTTCATACCTAATTAATTAACAACGTTTTATCCAAATGTAATCTCAAACCAATTGCTTGTTGATGTTGTTGTAATCCAGTATCTAGATTAGGAAAAGCCCCTAAAAATTTACAGAAACTGTTTACAAAAACCGAAGATGTGAAAAGGTGTGCAGATAGACATGTTAAATGCGATTATAAACGAAGCACAGAACATTACATCGCCATCAGCGATGACCTATCCGATGAGCTATAAAGCTCTTTTTCACAGATGTCCAGTCGGGGCGGGTCAGAACATTACAACAACAAAGAATACAAAACACGATCGGAGTGCAAAATATTGGAAAGTTAAACAAATCACTTAAGAAATGAATATAAATAAAACTAAACTATGTTTATCTTACCAGGTAAGGCCCACTGAGCTATTAGTTTCGTTTTCAGAAGCGACCTGGCTATCACAAACGATAGCTCAACGAAGTGGCTTATCATCATCATCATCAGGTGGAAATGTGTAAATAATAATCTACGACTTGGTGACAATGAGGGTGCAATGCCAAAGTCACCGGACGGAGCCATCTCGCTCTGCTGGGCGGCATCGCTTCTGCTGCTGGCGGCGGCGGTGCCGGAGAGGAGCAGGCGGCCCCCCTTCCCCAGGCGCTCGCACAGCAGGGCGAGGTGCTTCTTGAGACGGGACGTGTCGCGCGGCGCCGCCAGCGTGCCGCCGCCGCCGCCGGGCGTCAGTGCCTGGTCCTTGCCGCTCTTGGCCAGACAGGTGCGCAGCAAGTAGGACAGCGCCGTGTCCACGCTCTCCTCCCAGCCCTGCCAGACGCGGCGCTCGCGCCCATTTGGTGGCGGCCGAGGCTCGACAACATCCACGCTCTTGCGGTTTTGTGTTCACTGCTATCTCAAATGCATCACCGGCTGGCTAACGTGGCAATTGCACACAATTGTAGCACATTATGATGAATGTTGTTGTTCGTGGCTAATACATGTCCTCAATCATAATATCAGCTTTATCTTTCCTACTGACACAAAATGAGTTGTATATGTAATATAGATCTTGCAACTGAAGGTATGCATGTCAATATATAGGGTAGCTCTTTATGCCAATCTCGAGCCTTTGACATTTTACCTCAACGAGAAGCTCTGCAATCGTCTAGGCAGCACGCTTCGGCTGGCAACTCCACGCCGCCACTAAGTGAAAAGTCGCGGAGGCGTTGGCGCTGGAGGACCACGGGGCGCACGCGCGCACGTGTGTGTGGGTGGGTGGCACAGCGGCGTCGCTCACCAGCTGCTGGTTGTCCTGCAGTTCGGGCAGCAGGGCGGTGTGCAGGAGCGCCACCTCGTCGGGTGACAGGCTCTGCCACAGCGACAGCAGCAGCACCAGGAGGCGTGTGGCAGCCCGCAGCCGGGAGGCGGCGACCATCAGCCTCGCCTCCGTGTCCTGCGCCATGTCTGCCAACTCCACGATCTGTCGCACGCGACGCGTGGGCAACAGGAGATCATTCCCGATTTGCAGAACGGGGAAAACGCGCTCGAATCGAAGTGTAAAAGTGTTGTGGGCGATGATGGTTTGAGGTGGCGAAGAGCTGAAATGTTCCTGAGAGATGAGCTGTGTGCCACGTTACGTTGTCGTTGTCATTGTGGAGTCAGAGTTTGTGTAAGCGCTTTCTCCGCGAGTTGCAGAAGTCAGCGGTTCACATCCGGCAGGCAGCCCTGGTTAGTACTGTAGTTGTATTAATCGTAAGGTACGCTCCACCTGCTTCCCATTGGAGGCTTAAGGTTCTATTTGAAAAAATCAGGCGATTGTGTGCCAGTGTCATGGTCCAAGTGTGTCAAAAAGGAGTGTTTAGCACATTTGATTATGAACCTGGCAAAATGAGTTTTCTTCCCAACCATAACTAATGTCTGAAATGGTATTGCAGATTTCATTCACAAACCCACATTGACCAATGTGATGAAGTATGGCCAAACAGCTGACACGAGGATGGGGATACTTTCATCCAGATTACAAAGAACTCTAAATTGTTATCATTGTTGATCTTATTTTTTTTAATAGAAATACATACACATATAGAAAATACTAAACGTTTCAGGAGCAGAGGCGGAATGAACTGTACGCTTTGGAAGACATTAAACTCAGAATTGTCTCCTGGAACAAATCTCGTACATCTTACCAAACAAATGCTTGATAGAAAAGCCAGTACACTCACCAAACTTAATAACCAGGCTACAGTCTACATTATAGACTGCCAGTACACTCACTCCGATTAAGAAGCAGGCTACAGTCTACATTAATGTTTTTTTTGTTTTTTATTATTTTTATTAAATTTTTATCATTTTTATTTCTAGTCACTTCATTTTTATTTTTCTATCTACGTGACTTTACCGAAAGAACCAAAGGACATCAAAAGAAGGTTAAGTGTGTTCCTGTCTGTCGCCATGCTGTTAGTGGGACCAGATCTGGTGGTGCACTTTTCAGCAGCACTGGAGAATTAGTAGCTCTATTGTCATAAATCCATCACTGCAGTAAGATGACTTTGGACAAAAAATGCAAAAACGTAACCATCTCGGACCTAAACGAAAATCACTTGCAACATTCTGTCATCGCCCATTCCCCATTCGAATCTACAGTTACTCTGTCAGCAGATGACACACCAAGATATGGCCAGAGGCTCGCCGCTGCGTCCAACGCACTAAATGCCCGCATTGTGCACTCCACTTCAATCTGACACAGACTGTCAAGTCAACGCACAATCCTCTCCGCCGAAGATTGTGCCGAGACAGCTGGCTGCCCATTAACGCACATTAATGTCAAAGAATGCTCACTCTCTCTTCTCTACAGATGCATATAATGGAGGAGGTTTGCATTACAGGGGATGGGCAGGCAATGAAAACCTCTTTATCTGGTTACCAGATTTACTTAAGAGATGCTTTGGAGCTGAGCAACACAGATGATTATTCCATTTGCTCTTGCGCAATTTACAGTTCCACATTTGTACGAAGTTATCTGTATACAATTTCTACAATGCTGTCTTGTAATTTCACATGTAGCACAACGCGAGTTATTATTATTTTAAATATCGGTTGATTCAAGATTAAAATGATATCACCACAATTGCCAAGTCCAATAACAAACTTCATAAAGTATGGAAATTAATGTGCAATTTGCACACGAATGTTTATCCCCTATTGCCTATTTTATAAAAGACAAATAAGTAAATGTGGTTCTGAAACAGCCGAACGCACCACACCACTTGGTCTCTCACCTGTACCGCCACTCTCTGTCGTGAATTTGAGTGGAGCAGGCCTCATAGGCTCAGAGTACTTATAGTGACTACGTTCAACCAAAACACAATAACCAACTTGTTTAATTTAGCTTGGCCTAGCCCAATGACGGATTTAAAAGGCATGAATATTGATAGCTGGCTTGTTCTCGTGGCGTCAGAGAGTTTATTTTCTCAAGTGAGATCCTACAGGGCCTGTTTTACAGGGTCGACCTGGTCAAAACTGCCATAAAAGAAAAAATATTTCAAAGAAAATGGAATAAAAGTGACATCTATTCATTAGGATGCTTTATTTACAAATTCATTTTTCATTTAACAATTTTTTTATCACGTCCACTGGGTGGACTTCCTACGCAAATGGTTCACAGTGGTGCTGTGAGTCACGTGACATTAACTATCTTGTTATTCTCTCTTGGAGTGTTTTTAAAGCCCCGTTTCTCTCTCTCTCTCGCAGTTTACTTAAGAGATCCAACCGATATTAAAACGCCCCACTCGGTGCTAAATGTGCAACACTCATGAAGCAGAACATCTCCGAGTGCGCCTTGTATAAATGGGGCCAGCCGTGATGCAAGGGCTCCCGCAGTCTGTCTGTGTTGTCTTAATCAGGCAGGGGAATGATGGCAATGGTCACTAAATAGAGACAGATAACATGAACAGGAAGTACCCATGGCTCTCTGCGGGATTCTTTAAAACTGGCAAAACTAAAAGGTCGAGGCAGGGTATGAAAAAACACCAACAGCATTGCCAGCGAGTCTGAATAAAGAGTAACTGAAATAACATTTATTCAAATGTATAAACTCAACACTTTTGTCAGTGACACTGCCTTAAAAAGAAAACGTATATAATAGTTCAGATTTTGGGGTAGTTTGAATAAGCGTACATTCAAACGTGCACTTCGTCAAACTGAGCCCCGCTAAGTGAAGTAAGCAGTGTCAGCAATGATGCACAATCGAACAGTTCATTCCGCATACTGCTGTATCAAATATTACATTGTAAATATTTAGTTAACTGCTATGACTGCTGTACTGAGTGTAAATGTATTGTGTTCGGTGTGAGTTATATGGCGATTCAAGTGAAACGTACTTATTGTGCAACTCTTTAATTATTTACAAAATGCCCAACATTCCCAAGAACCAGAAATGCTCTCTTCATTAGTTTGGCTTCGAGAGATTTAAACGTAAAGAAAATACCTCCCTCGTCATTGCAGGACAATGTGGCAACGGCTTGACAAGTATGTATATGTGTGCATGTGTGGAGCGGAGCACTCCCCTGGCAGGCAAGTGGGGAAGGACAAGGTAGGCAGGGCAGCACAACAGGTAGTGTGGAGCTGACCCCCCACGGAGAGCTGTCCTACGCTCATCCCCTCTGGCAGCTGCTCCAGTCAACGCAGTTGACCACTCGGTCCAGTTATCGAAGTTAATCACTTGCTCCAGTCAACGCAGTTGACCACTCGGTCCCACAGCGAATCAAGTGAGGCGTGGTTTTGCGCAAGGGGCTGGGCCCATGGGGCCACGTTCCCACCTGCTGGTAGGTTCCCTCTAGAATGGAGTCCAGGTTCTGGAGGGGCGATGGCGTCTTGTCCTTGAACCTGGTGAGCAGCCGTCGCTGGACGGCACGGAACTGCACTGCCCGCTCGCTCAGCATCTCCCGGTACTTCTCCGCATCTGCACGAACCTGCATGTAGGCACACAGCAAGTAGGGGGGTAAACGTTACACATTTGTTCACATTGAAGCACACGTGGCAAAGACAAACATCGCTTATTTTATCCTTGGAGTGTAAAATGGCAACCTACATACTGTTTGTTGCCTATTTACCCATTTCCTTCCAATTATATTGCAAGTGTGCTCTTGGCATCACGTCATGAGACAGTGAGTAAAGCACCACCGTGTGGCAGGGAGTGACCGCAAAGGACCATGCCACGGAAATCCATCTGAAGTGGCTTCAATAGCATCTTTATCCACACGACAGGCTCTTGTTTTAAAAATATGGAACGTTTCAATCACACGGAAATGTTTAATTCCGATTTGCGGAACAACCGAATTAAGCGAACGCACACATGTAATGCACCGTGGAGTTTTCGGTGACTGGATTGATGGAATCGATTGAGTACAACACGGCTGAATGAGGGGTTGGTGGCCACCGAGATTCAAGCCCAGATTCTCAGCTGTGCCAGCTCCAGTGCCCAGAGCGACGCTGTATTCGGCCTGCGAGCCACCTGCCCACCGTGACTGTAGCTCTCTTCATTAACCGCTTGCTCAGCATAGATGATGAACTATTCAAAGCAGCCCAGTAAGTTGTATAATTTAAGTAGTCGATAATTAAGTATACTCTCGATTCAAAGATGTGACAAAAGTGGTCTAATTGGGGACAGTAATGGACACGTTGGCTATAGCTAAGGACAATATTCTGTTGACATTTCCGCTTGTTTTCCATATTAACCATTGTATTTATACTGTGGATCATCCACCTGTATTAGCTGGAATGAGGATTAAACTAAAACCAACACTAACGGAACTGAAAATGAAGACATTTTATATTGACAACTTAAAAGAGAACATCAAAGAGAAGTGCTGGATAGCGATTGGAGTAAGATGAATTGTCTCGAGGACGGCGTGGAGAAAGAATGGGATTACATCAAGAACGCATTTCGAGAAACAGCAAGGGGAAAAACCCTGTACGTCTCAGAAAGTGCCAGAGCTGAGCGATCGGAGGAAGCAAAACTCATCAGCCATGATCTATCCACTGCTGAATTGAGACCCCTTCCGCAAGCCGTCGCCAACCCCCACGGTTTCGCGATGCAACAATTCATCCCGCTCCTGCACACAAGCTGATTTCAACGCTCCATCTCCACGCGGGACACAGACACGTTCCCTCCACTGACTCCACTCCGTCGTTAGACTCGACCGCCGGACATCGTCTCTTCTCGTGGCGCCCCCTGCCCGAGCCCAATTTACTCTTCCTCACAGTCGACTGTGGGCGGTGACACGGCCCAGTGGGAGCGCGTTCGCCCCTTGTTGCAGGGGTTCATGGTTCCAATTCAGCGGCCGCCCTGAGTAATGCTGTGGGCGTCCGCTTCGACGTGGACGTTGAAGATCCCGCAATGTCATTCGCAAATAGTAAGCCATTGTGTGCCATCGTTATGGTCCAAATTTGAAAATATAAATCCGCAAGAGACTCTTTAAATATGCATGCCAGTCATCGCCCCTTCCTACGAAGGTTTGCAGGCCCTCCCCTATGCAATCTCTTAATATCAAGCAGATTCACGTAACTGGGATTTCATGATCATTCTGCAGAAGCCACAGCATTGTTGTGAACACTGTATTAAGGTTCCGGTAGCGGTTGCTTCGTTTCTGCAACGGTGCAATGCGCATTGGACAGAGGGCGGCAGAGGGAGAGACTCACATCAAAGTGTTGGTCCAGCAGCTCAAAGTATTCCTGCAGCGGGAGGGGCCCCATGAAGCTGCACCTGAAGTCGGCGGTGCCGAGCTTCCGGAAGTGGCTCTCCAAGCGTCGCACCAGGTCGCTCGTCACCAGCCACAGCTCGTCCAGCTGGTCGCACTGCACGCGGTAGCGCTCTGCCCAATAGACACATCACCGCCAATCGCCACCCAGAGTGCCTTCAGTAGCGTCTTCATCCACACGAGAGACACCGCTAACATACCTTTGCGTGTCAACCGAATGGAAAAATTTCATTCCGATTCGTGCAATCAACCAAATTAGATACAACGCAAATGTAATATAATGGTTTTGTTTGTGCAGTTATCGGTGACCCCGGCTGAGACCATTGATGCATTAAACTTGAAAAACAGGCTTCGTAAAGGGTGGTGGCGACCGAGATTCTCAGCTGTGCCAGCTCAAGTGTTGTGACGCCGTATTAGGCGGCTGAGCCAGCAGCCCACATTACCCGAGCATTCTTGGTTAACCGTTTGCTCGGCACAGCTGAGAAATGTTCAGTGAATTCACTTGACACACTGTATGAAAGTACCATCTTTCACGCAGCAGCAGTAGCAGGGTCCTTTGTTTAATCAGGAGATGGAAATAGAGGCACGTTGAGACACATGAAACATTACCTGTTTGGTAACGGTCACCTGGGTTACAATTGATAAATTCGAATTATTAAACAATATATGTAAAAATAATCAACAAATCTAGATTATATTTAACAATAATGTTATGAAATTCAAACAGAGCAGGGGGATCTTGAGAGTGTTACAAGATCAAGGATTCCTTGGGATCGTAGGACTGAACCAAGGTCCCCCCCTCTGCTCATCGACGGGACAGTAATAGAGCGTTGATTGATGCATTAATTACCCATTACGATTATCACCTGTATCTGCCATCAACCATTGTTACTTGAATGCATTTACTTTTTTTGCTCACTTCAAATTTGCAACACTTTGTTTGACTCAGTGGGAGTCAGCTGGGAACGTCGCAGTTCGGCAGCATAGCTTACGGACCGTTTCACGCGACAAGAGGAGCAATTGTCTTATCTGTGACACCATCTCCTGGCTTCATCTCAAATAACAGGAGTTGTAAATTATAAAAAAAAGATTTGACATGAAGCGAAATAGCAACAACAACAAAAACAGTTTACTGGCGGCTAATTGCCATAAGCACTTTTGCGGTTTCAAAGCAACAAAAATGTTGTAGGAGAGTCTTCTACGAGAAATAAAAGTGCTTCAATGCCGTCAAAAACAATATCAAATCCAGTATGACTTATGGCTGTACTTTTACACCCACACAACACAAATACTTTATAATGGAACATCTAACAACAGAGCAATAACAATTCACAAAGAGATAATGCTTCTTCTTGGTTCTTTCGGTAAAGTCACGTAGAAGGGAAGTAATAAAATAATAAAAATAAAACATAATAAAACAATTCTCACGACCGTTTCGGCTACAACGCAAGCAGCCGTCTTCAGATAATGCTTGACAAAAATACCGGTACCACTTTATCAGGAATCAAAACACATGGCCAGGGATATTGTGAGTGCCGACCTCGGGTAGGCTGTCGGTGTCCAATGGGAACGCCTGCCAAGCGTACTCACGGGATGTTTTAGAAGCCAGGACGGTCACCCTAGAGCCCCGCAGCAACTGAAATCCAAGTGCGTTCACTTGGCCTTCTTCAGACTGCTGTAGGAAATCTGTGCACAGAAGTGACATGCATTACATGAATGACACGTTCTCCATACACTGTACGAGTTGAAATATGTATTGAAAAACATAGATGAAAAATTTCGATGACATAGCGATTGACTACATTTACTCACATCAGCAATCTGAAATCGACGTATGCAACGTGTATGCTCAATTGCTCATGAAAGCTGAACTGTTTTGTTGAAAGTGTAAATGCCATGGCCAAATTAAATGAATAATCCTGTAAAAAAACACAATCCATCTCCTTAATAATAAGGAGGTGCATGATAATTATTTTCATATTTATTGTTAATGATTCATTGTCTTTATAGAATTACTGTAAATGCATAGAAATTGAACTGTTGCTAACTTAAAATCCTTTTATTGAAAAGGGCAATAATATCTGACATGCATATGTTTTATAATGCTGCCACTCATACCAGGCAGCTGAAAACGGCATCATGCCTATAATTACCTTTGGATGATACATTCAACCTGTTCCCTTTCAATGAGAAGCCAGCTCCAACTACGCTCTGACGGTGAATGCATTTACAGGCAAGTTATTGGGATTACTGAAGTTGGGTATTTAATCGGGACTCGTAGTGCACTGACTACGTAGCCACCACGTGGAGTGGCGCTACTGCAAACCAGTACAGTTACTGCTGTCATTTGCTTTGGTTGTTTTATTTCCATTTTACTTTTCATTAACATTTTTTTAATTCAGGAAAGCCTCACGAAATCTCATTGCTCTCTATCAGGAGGGTCTTGCCAAGTAAAAATAATTCAAATTTTAAGCAATGTTAGTGTTTTGGGTTTTTTATTGTCATTTATTACAAAGTGAAAATAAATGTTGTAGCTTCTGTAGACGAATCATTGAATCGCTGTAACACTGTAACATTAAGGCGCGTGATTTTGAGCCCTAAGCAATATGATTTCAAGGAGTGACTTCAAGGCAAGCCCAGCCCGACATTGTGAGTTGAAAGAGACTGCACGTGGGAGGGCCTACCAACCTGTGCAGGACTGGAGGGGTAAGTGACCTTGTGGTCAGGAAGGATGGTTTGTTAGCTACTGAGTATTATTGGAACACTAGTTAATCATTCTGTCAGTTAACCTTTCCATGAGAAATACCAAAAACCTCGTGCTTATTCAATAACGCGCAAAGGGAATTCGCAACACGTGATACATCACAACACATTTGAGCAAGGATGGATTTTCAAATATGCAAACCAACATTTTTACTTAAAATTATAACAAATGTACATTTTTATTCTAACTCCAATTTTAACCGAATCTAGTAGGAGCATTTTAGTCCAATAAATAACCATCTATAAATGTAGAGATGATTTACAATTATAATGACACCGTAAAAAGCATATCTAAACAGCAGGCTCTCAAAATCTTCTACATTTATAAGGCAGTTTCACCAGATGATGCATCACAAGGTGAGTCCTTGCTCCAGGCTATTGTAATCGAAGATCAATATGTGCAGTGTTATATGAGCAAGGAATTAAATGTTCTTTACTTGCGATAAATCGAGCTCTGAACACAACTGTGCACAGTGGCTACACCTTGTAAAACTTCTCAACAACAAACAAAATCGCTGCTTTTTGCGTCTCGTTTGTTGTTGTCCTTCCCCCGCACACCTCCGATGAGCACAGCTGGCTACATACGGTGCGAAAGAAATTCAACGAAAACTGGTAAAGCGTTCCACGATCTCTGATGGGGGTGATGCGAGGCGAGCGGCAAAACGCCGACACGCGTGGGGAGCGTGCCCCCTGGGAGCTCCCGCTTCGTCTTCACGAGGCACGACAACACGCGGCTTTCGGTTACGGCGGGGTTGCTCTCCTGAGCGAGGTGATGAGACACGTGGGCTAAAGTACATTTTACGTTGGCAAACAGCACTTCTATTTGCATGTTAACATTCAAAAAGTGCACTTATAAAAAGTGGTGTAAAATAGCAGTAAGTGCGGTCACGGCAGCACAGTAAGTGGACCGAAATTACCTCATGTGTTTGAAATGTCAGCGGTAAGTGGAACTCAACATCAAACGCCGTGATATAGAGCAAGACCGAGGCCACCATAAGATAATGTGACGCTTTGCCGCACCTTAAATGCTCCATGGCGCACGGTGATATAAAGCAGACAAACATTTAGTGGGGCCTCCCCTTATACTCTCCGCCCAGTTTAGACCAATAGGTCATTGTTTATTTCGCCTACTCTGGCCGGTACTTTGCTCCAACGACAACGAGCACAGTAGTAGACTCGGTGGCCGGGGAATTCCTCGCGTACTCGTCTGTCCTTCTGTGCATCTGTCTCTCGTCACCACAATAACCCGAAAGCCGACAAAACCAAGTAACCTATAATTTATCGCTCACCACAACTCAAAAGTGGCTCAACCTAATGACCTAAAATTTACAGTTATCTTGTTCAAATGATGATCTTTTCTACGTTTGGTCTGAACCTTTCCCACAAGATCAGTTTACAAACCAGCGCAGCCTATCCCCATGGCATGAACGAGGAAGTGGGGCCTCTGTGCACTGCCACTCCGCCACTATTTTTGTTCTTTATTTGTCATACGTCTAAAAAGGTCCACGGCCTATTAAAGCCATCAAGTCATTGTAGGCTTACAACTGTTTATATTGTAAGCAGTTAGATACTTTTTTCTTGAAAGTTTTTATTAGTTTTTTTAAAATCTATAAACCCAACACACGCAGCGAGCGCGTGCGCAGGTATACAGGTGGGAGCGGCGAGGCTCTCCGATTGAATGCGCGCTGGGATGGCGCTCATTACCACTTGTGGCAATGAACCAGCAAGGAGAAATTCCACTCTGTCATGGTGGGGGCCGCCTCTCCATAACCCATTTATATTTGCCAATGAAGCAGAGTAGAAATGCAGGCTTCTAATTTTTGCAAATTACTATTCATGCACTGTGTTCTGTTTGCTGCAAACTAATATTCAACAACAATAACTGACAGCTGTTTGTCAATTCACAGTTGGATGAAGGCTGCCCCATGCTGTGTTGGTCACTGGGGGTTGTTGCCCCCCCCCCTCCCCCCAATCTAGAATCTGGACAGTCCAGGTTGGTGAAGGGCGGTTCGGGACTGGTTCAGACATTGCTGGGCACTGATATTTGCCATGTCCAGGAATCGAACCGAGGTCACGGGTTTTATAGCTCAGTGCACCATTCACTGTGTCCATCACTGGCTCGAGGATACATCCTACACGTGCATAAATGCTGCAGGTTCACAGTACACATCATTAGAATTCTCGCACTATTTATTTTTCTTGTCAGTCGATTAAAAACCAGTAATACGACAATATGAACGTTTTACACTCGTCACAGTTTTGTTGGCAACAGTTCCCTAAGCAGGGGCAGAGTCTTACGTGCAGTTGGTTCCTAACAACCGAAGAATGTTGCCATGCAATGCGTGCAGGAGCGAGGGAGACGGTGTGGAATGAGTCGAGCCGTGGCCACTGCGGGCAACTTGACTGTTACCGCTCATAACGTAACGTCTGGGCTGGCTCGTGCACAACAACAACTGCAGCAGCAGCACATCGTGAGCGTAGGGCGAGGTGAAATAAGCTAACGTTGCTGAAATGCCAAAGAGATACTTTCAGTGATTGGCATTCCTTAGAGGCACCTAGAACAGCGGTTCACAGCCCGCGGTGCGCATACCCCTGGGGGTACACGTGACTTCTCTAGGGGGTACGTGAGCAAATTCACGTCACTGCGGTGGCCACCTGGGGTATGGTGCTGCTGTGCGCTCGCATTTCTACAGCTGCGTACTTATCAGCTGTATCGAACTTGGTGAGCCTGCGCAATTGGACGCCTGGGTCACCCACGTGCTCGGCTACAAGTGCATTCTCTCATTGATCACTTTGATCAAATTTAGTTGTTTTACAAACAAACTCATTCTACGACCCCCTCGAAAACCCACGAAACATTCGACGCCCGGCGAACCTCGGCCTTCGCGCTCTGCTCCACGGTGACAGCCTGCGACTCCGCTTCCACTCACAGGAGGGATTTTTAAACTGTTCTTAAAGCAGAGAGATTGACTAAATTGTTATTCATTATTAACTAAATATCTTAGGTCTTAATTTTGTGTAAACGCAATTCAAATTGCTATATATCTACAGTAATTGTACTATATCCACAGCACAACTTATCGTACTGGTAGGGGTACACAGACAGGTGATGGGTGTGGGAGGGGAGTAGGCGACACACACTGCCTGAAGGGCTTCAGAGGAGTCACATGCTGCAGTGCCTCTGATCACAGCCAGCACTTCACAGAAACACTTTTGCTTGAGGGAAGGCTGCAGCTGAACCACGGCACAATTGCGTGCGTTGGGGGAATATTTGCGGAGGTGTAATTCGTGAAGCAGATAAATAGTAGTAACACATTTCAAACGTTAAGTTGCTAGAAATGCATTTAATGATGTGGGAATTAATAGTAAGGCGGTACACTGACAGCACTGTCTGTAGCTTTCATCAGCGACAGGCAAAGGGCTGTAGCTTGGGAGGGGATGCAAGTCGGTTTTTAAGTCTCAAATGGCACAAACAGGTGGCGTAATTCAGACGTGATTTGCACCAACCCTGAAAATCCCGAGGAGGGTGCTAGGGGCCACTCCCACGAACAGTGAAACCTTCACAACACAACAGTGCATCACAACGACTACAGCACATTTCATTTGCGATACAAAGTTACCATACTTAATATATATAATGTATGCTCACCACAGAAAAGTTCCTGACTTCCACTTTGAGATTCAATCAGTAACTAATGAAGCACCTTTCACTAAAGATGTGTTTGGAATTACCAAAAATTGTTGCATTCATATCCATAAATTATACCAATCAAATTGGAAGTGTAACTTGCTAGAAAAGCATTTTAAAAAATGTATTCAGCATGCAATTTGAATTAAGGAATTACAATAAGATGCATCTATGCCTATCAGCAGATCTTTAAATGCTTCGCAGGCAGTGATCAACAATAGTTTACCAAAGATGGCACTTAGGCACTTAGCATTAAACTTACCCCAGAAGAAGTTCACATCTTTTTACAACAATACAAAGCATTATTGTTAGTAACAATGATTTACAGTTAAATTCACTGCTGGATGAAGAATCTCCTTTGCCATATCTGTCATGGGCCTTATCTGACCGTACTTCACCATGCCCGTTTTCAAGGTTTGTTATTGCAAGGGAGAATGCATCATTCACCAGCAATATGAAAAACTGCAGTTAGTGGGCTTGGACTCCCGTTGTACCCTAGAACGAACGCAATAAGAGGAGAGTAGATAGTCAACTGCGCTTCTGCGGAGCTCCACTTTCCCCGGACAGTGAGCCCACCCACCTGGGAAGAGGGCCGCCAGACTGACGGGTGGCTTGTTGGTGTCGATTGTGAGCTTGTGCTGAGCGCTCTTGGCCGGAGAAGCCGCGTGGCACGCGAGGACCAGCGGGAGTGTGAACGCGCTCTTCACCACTCGTGGCACTCCTAGAAAGGAACGCAAGGCCTCAGCGAGGGGCTTGCACGAGGTTTGGATTTAAGCTTTGATTTCCCGTTCTTTCAAAGCTCCGGACAGACACCGCTGGCCAAACAAAAATGACGAGGTAATTGGCAAGCGGTTTAGAAAGACGGCCAAGTGTAAGAAGAGAACATCTCAAGAGAATACCTGCCAGGAAGATTGCCAGGACGGCAACAACAGAAATCGCCCTGTACACCCCAACACCAAAGTCATCCCATGATGATGAGGACACTTTTCTGCACAGCTGTCTCCTCCTTCACTCTACTGGGGAGACCACCTGGTGCTATGATATTTAACAGTGAAATCAAGTTATAATGTCCCTCACAAAAAACATACGTTTTTGAATGACGTGTTTTGGTAAAAAAAATACCAGGAAGATTCAATGCTTAAGTAACTAAAATTAACGTGGAAATTGCAAAGTCCTGGTACATATTTTTACCTTCCACTATCAACGTATATAAAGGGCTTCTTTTCTCACTCGTTATTTTCCAGAACGTTGATAAGCTGGCTGCTAAGAAGTAGGGATTATTGGCATAAGGCACTACCACTAGAGGTACAAGGTATCCCGACCCATAATAATCCTCTATGATTGTACCCATATTTAAGTGCTTTTCGATAACACTGTGTAACATATATTGTTTTTGTTCCTGGTTAGTAAGTGTTATTTCCTAATTGCTTATGCCTCAAAAGTACAGAAAATGGTTATTTTCCCCCACAAACTTTGCTTTTGTGACCGGGACAGTGATATTAGAAATTTACCTATTTTCAATGAGAAAATGGGCGAATTTGTGTCTTTTCGTTCAAACAAAGCCAGAACATATGAATCAAAATTAACATTTATTTATACTAAAGTAATACTAAAATTACTACAAAAGATTTAGACACCAAGGCGCACGACCACAGGCGGTACTGGCCACAGCGGACCGAGTTCTCTGTGTGGAGGAACAATCTCGACAAACTACTCACTTCTAAATCTTTTGTAGTCACTTTTGTATGAATACTAAAGTAAAATTAGAAACGGCGACGTGGCCAGGTCAAAATGATCCCGTCTGGTACCCCCTTAGTGCTGATAAGATGTCTGCGGCGGCGGCGGTAAATATCGTACTCGTCATTACAAGAGGTTACTGCATTGAATATCTTGGCTCCACATTAAATAGTGAGGGTACAACAGCCAGATGAAGTCCACAACATTTCGAGCCACTGAAAAATTCTCAACACGATATCATGAGACAAGAACATGCACATTAACTCCTGCATGCATTGTATTTTCTAATTTCCTCTATAGGAGATTGGATAAAATTGCTACGGGTCTCTTACACTGAATATAAAATCAATGGTGATGCGTGTGCAGTATTCTCATGCGAAATTGTGAAAAATTACAGCCTTGTGATCAATTAAAGAGAAGTAAGCTATTGTGATTCATGCCACGTGATGACCTTGTCCCTTTAACCTTGTCCACGTAATATTGCAAGGCCCAGTTGATGACGGTAGGAGGCACATGAAGATACAGAAACAATTGGCAAGGACGATACGTAGAGTGAACACAGTTGCCTCTCAGCAGTCTGATGGTTGCTGCCAAGGACGACGCTAAATGGAGGATCACTTATCAGCAATGGTCCCCCAGTGGACGACTCTGCTCAAGGGAATTATGATTGTGATTCTGTCTGTAAAGACTTTCTCGTTGGACTGTGGTATGCCTTTGAACTTTTTAGCATTCATGCCTTGGGGTTATGTATACACTGCACTGTTATGTATATCATTAGGTACAGCATTGCTATTTTATAATTAAATACAGCACTTTGAATCACAACCATTATTCAGTGGTTGAAAACACAATATATCACAAACATGCAGTATAATTATTTGACTACTGCACATTTTTTACAACGAAGTATGCAAGGATACTGAAAAGTAATTCCAAACAAGCTTCTAATCAAAGCTAGCACGGGAGAAAAATGCATAAAGTGTGTGAATCCATGCATAGAAAGTGTACACTGATACATATGGAATAAATTCCGGGGTTTGGAAGATTAATATAATTGACACTGAATAACTTCTGTTTTCTTATACACATTTTTGGAGAGGTTTCGACCTAACAAAATGCTCACTTAACATGCAAAGATAAAGTATTAATAAATAGAGCATGTGCGACATTGCTCCAGCCAGTGGATGCCAAATGAGAGTGGTTTTCAAGCCAACTTCCTGACAAGCTGCAGAAGTACTCGCATGCATGATGCATCAATGTTTGGCTCTGTACTTGGCAAGCTTGGTTATGCGCACGCAGCTAAAGTACAACAAATTTGGACAAATCTTTAGCACTTACTTGACTTAGTGTACCGAGCTAATAAAACGTTCTTCGTCTTCAACTCAAAATTGTGGAATCTGCAGGGCATTGCCTGCACAGTAATGAAATCCATTACACTTACAGCCCTTGTTGGAAGAACTGCGCAGCAGATTTTCTTTTGCAACTAAACAGGGCCGCACATGTGTTTACCAAATTTTGCATGGGACATTCGAGCATGCTATCAAGCCCATCCGGCAGATTTACATATACCATTTGGCAATGTGATCATCTACGGTATAAAGACACACTATTTGTTGAGATTCTACACGAGGTCTGTCATGTGAATTACATTTGTTCACATTTCATGGTGTGGAGAACAGTGTGGGGAGAGGGGATGACATAGAGGGGGTTCTTCAAATAATGAGTTAAACGGACAATTTAAAATAGTGAGTGAAATTTAACTAACTACTCACGAAGTCAAAGGGTAAAAGGTTTTATGATGGTTAACAATGATTAACTAAACACCTTTTTGACAACCTGCAACGTGATGACAAGGCCGTGCCATGGCCGAGTGGCAGTACGTCCGCCACTTATTGCAGAATTTCAGTGGACGTTTAAGATCCTGTGACGCCATTCAAAAACAGTAGGCCCTTGCGTGCTGGTGTCATGGTTCAAATATACCAAGTTTGAAAATTAAGGGACTGGCTATGTACACACTTGTACACTTATGTCGATATAATAACATAGAAGCTGCTGTGATAACAATATCTCACCACATACAGTCAATGTTCCAGGAGTGAAGTTCTAATATTTAAATGGTGCCAAAACGCATCACTAAAGTTCTCAGACTTATCCCTCTCAGGCTGTTGGGATAGCCACATTTTCTCAAATCTTTGAGTCGGTCGTAAACATCTAAATGGCCACACAATCAGTTATTTTGAGCCGCTGGTCTGGTTAAGGTTGATAGTTTTTGGTACATGTAATGCACATCTATGTGTGATGTTAAAACTACAAGGAGAGTGTTTGAAACCTCATAATTTAACTCCCGATTTTGGGGTGTATCACCACCAATCACTTTTCCTAACATGAGTGGGAAAAGATTACAATATCATTTAAAAATTCCTCAGTCTAGAGAGCACACTGGACAAAAAACACATTCTCTGACGTGTAAGCTGCTACACGGATCGCGGTGTAACTTTGGTGACCTCAGCCCCGACAGCTGTCTGAGTGGGGAAGACGCATGCAGAATTAGTCCTCAACAAGATCACGTGCAGTGAAGGAAGCAAGCCATGGCTAATCCCTGGATCTGCTGACCAATGTTCCGTGGTTGCCACTGAATTAGGCTGCGATTTTCACGGACACAGCTGTGCTCTCTATCAAGGGTACCGAAAAAACCTAAGAATATGCGTGGGCTCAATCGCAAAGGCCAGCAGAGCTCGATGTTATCAGTGTGAAGGGCTTACCTGTTGGGTTCCGCTCTGAGTTTGCAGGCAAAGAGAAGGAAATACATGTCAGACGTGTGTCAAGCACCATTGCTCACAATCAGCTTTGGTCGAGATATTTTGGGGTTTGTTGTTTCATCCTCCTATTATGTCATTAAAGTTTTAATTTCTGACAAAAAAGATCGGAATTTACCCGCATTGTTCTCACACATAATAGCCATCCAAACCACCGGGAATGCGCCCGATGTCATTAAATCTTGTAAGCTAAACCAGATTTGTGGAGAAGTCCAACTGTTTAGTTCCTCATATAGAGGCGTAGATGTGGTGACCACGCTTCTGTGCTCTTGCGCACAAATCTGGCTGTCGCCTGATGAAGCGAGTTGTAATTACTGGCGAAACGTCATACTCAGTTTGTAAATGTTGTGGCTTTGCTCTCCAACACACCGGTTAGTGCTGTACTAGTGACAAATTGGCACGTTCTGTTTACGTGACAACCCTTACTAGTTGGCTGTGTCGGGTGGTGGCAGGTTTTAACGACACATGTATATATTTAGGCGATCTAACCCAAAAAACCTCTATTATGGATTAGATCGGTCGCGAAAGCCTACGTGTTAAACTGGAAGATCCATTTTGAAAAACAAACTCGAGAAATAAATGGTGACTGTATTAGCCGTATCAGATTCGCAAATGGAAAAGTCATAACAGCTGATGGTTATTAATTGTCGAAAATTACCGAATAAATTAACAGGGAAGACTGCAGTGGGGATAAAGATAACATGAGCAAAACAAAAACAAAACGCATATTTGAAGGACACCACTGGGAAAATACAACGATGTTGATGCGGGGCAACTGCTGAAGGCAGACCAGGGTCAATGTGCGGAGGTAAGCGAGAGCAAAATTACAATTGATATCGAAAAACAATACACAGAGGCTCTGAACTCAGAAGCTTACCCAATTAAGGACACTCCTACTCTATGGGCCATGTGAATGCATGCAATAGGATTATCTTAAACGAGAGGCTGACTGCACAATTATGGCAAAGATTACACGATGGTGGGTTTAACGACATATACATTTACGCGATCTAACCCCAAAAAAACCTCTACTATGGATAATATTGGTCGCGAAAGCCTACGTGTTACACTGATTGCAATACAATTCTACAAGAAATGGTCTTTGGAACAATATAAAGTGGTCTATGAACTGGCCGTCATGATACACTATGCCTGATGAAGCCAATATACTCACTGACCTATTACAGAGATATGAGGGCGTTTATTGAAACCAACACAATGGATAAGAGACAATGAACAACGCAACAATGTTTGTAGACTTCTATCGATAATTTCAAATCCGACCAAACTAACGTTTTAACAGAGGTAGCATTCATCCCATTTCATGTAAACATGCAGATCGCGGTATCAGATATCCCAAGGTCACAAAGAAAGCGTGGACAGATGCACGGCCGGATGTTGTAGATGCACAGGGCGGATCACGATGGTACAACCCGCTCGTTGTCGCAGCCACGAGCTGCCCCCCCCCCGCCGCCGCCGCCCTGGCTGCGTGTGCCGGGCTCCGCGTCACCGTGCGCACCTGTGGGCGTGCTGTAGTGCACCACCACCTCGCCCTGCAGCTCCGCCGGGGGGTGCGGCTGCTTCAGGAACACCGACACGGTGGCCGCGGTCGGCCTCCCGGCTTCTGCGGCGCGATCACGGCACACGCATGCAAGGGGAGCTCGCCACCCGTCATCACATCCCCCCCACCCCCCGCGCACTTTTTGTGAACTTTTTTGGTTTTTAGATTTCCTGTGAAGCATCTGCTGGAGATTAGGCTGTGTTTAGACGCTCTGTAACTGTAAATATTATTGTATAAAAAAACAAAGACCTTAATGCATTCAAGATGATGCCTGCCTTCATCCAGCAGTAGATAACTAATGGTTGATGATGATGACGATATGAGGAATATCCAAAACTACTGCCTGCTATCCTTGTTTATCAACAAACATTCCATTACACTGATAATCATGAATGGAAATGTTATAAATATTGTGAACGTTTGTCAGACATGTCGGAGCCCTCGTCTCGCATGGCAGCGCTAGATGGGAGCGATGCGATGTAAGGCAGTGGTATTGATGAGTGTGCCGAGTTATTAGTTCAGTCCATTGTAAACGGATATTGAGAAGGGTGTAATGTGAGCGAGACATCCTGTGGTACCTAGAGTGTAGTATGTGAACATATCCCTGGTCACGGATAGGGGCTCTCGGACAGACACCATCACCTTCACACTCTGCAGGATGCGTCTGCTCTGCACGGTTATCTGCAGGACAAGCGATGGCGTGTGAGCTCACGAGCGCCACGGCCTATCAAACGAGTGGTCATGCAACACGGCACATCAACGGCGTGTCTGGCAGCTCGAATAGCCGCTGCTCCCACAAAGCATACCACTTGTGCAGGTCTATCTAACAATGTTCACCTGTCCGTCCACAATGACGAAGTGAGTGTCTGAGTACGGGCTACGCTCTGATCCATATTCTTAGTCACGGCTCACCTCAGGCTTGGCTCTGGCTCAAGTGCATTATTATTACAAAGTAAACTTAACCCAAACCCCAGAAAAGGCTGTAAGCATTTCTGGGACCATGCTTAGAGCGGGCTCAAGTTAAACATGGCTTTGAGAATCCCGAGCATGGTCCCCAGCTATGCTCGGGATTTCCATGAGCTGAACCTGGGCCAAACCATGGCTCAGTTGCTTTCTTGTCCACTGAGAGCAACTGGGCAGCTCCAGCCTGAGCTGAGCAGCTCCATCCTGAGCTGAACCGCTCCAGCCTGAGCTGAGCTGCTCCATCCTGAGCTGAGCACCTCCATCCTGAGCTGAGCAGCTCCATCCTGAGCTGAACCGCTCCATCCTGAGCTGAGCTGCTCCATCCTGAGCTGAGCCGCTGTTCGAGGCCAAGCCAGTGCTGAACCCGTGACTGGGCATAGGGCCCCTAGTGTTTGGGTTTTAGGTTGAATTAACTTTAGAATGATGCACAAAACAAAAGTATTGGGTCACATATCATTTTGGCAAGTTTTATTCCATTAAGTTAAACACATTATAAGTTATTCTTTTAATAACATAACAAATAAACATTTGCTTTTGTTATTGTTATATTAGATTTAGGAAGCATATCAGTTCTGTATAGCTATCTCAAGATAATTCCCAAGTGAGTTTGAGACAAATTCCACTAAAGTTGAACGATTAAACCCAAAATCACGCCAATATCACCGAGTGTGGCACATGTTTTCTAAGATTGTGATAGCTTTCGCAGTGCTGAGTGTCAATCAGCTTAAATCCAATCCACAGATGCCAACGGCATTTCATCACTGCTTTGCAATTATAGGCCTCTAACAGTCAAGTTAGGTACTGTATGTTATACATTATAGATGGTTCACATCATAGGCATTGGAACACTGATTATAATTAGCAACTGAAATAAATGTAAATAAACAAACGAAACTTAAAACTTCAGCAACGCACTAACATATGGAATGGCTCTTGGTGAATTTTTTTTACGCAGATACAACTGTTACAAAAGATCTTAGCTTAACTGTTAAAGTAAACCACATTTTTCTACATGCAAGATAAGTTTTCCGATGACCTACCTTAACGCTGATGGATGGCACAGACTCTCCACTTATGTCTATCCCAGATGCTACCTAGAGGCAGGATTTATTGAAAACAGGTGTTAATTTTTGGACAGATAATATTCCAAACAGTACAAGAACACTACCAATTTGGATAAAGACAATAAACAGTTCTGCAGACATCCAAGCATTGAGACAATTATCTTCTTAAAGATGAAATAAGTTGATATTAAGGGAAGGAATTGTTAAAAGGAATACAAATGCAATTTAGTTATTTTTTAAAGTTACTTTACTTCAAGCAGACGTTACTTAAACCCTAATTATAGCAAATTATCATACTCACGACCTATAAACAATCTGTTGAGTAAGTCCATTACGTAATCACACACATTCATTTCCACATGTTATGGAAGATCTGTAATTTGGGAGCGTCATTCCTTTGTTGCATCTCTACGTGAAGTGTCTCTCTCCTAGCTAGAGACTAGAATGCAAAGGGGCTGCAGTCGTTCACATTTGAGAATGTAACTTTTCACAGGAATAGCACGGTTATGATACAATCAGTGGTTAGATGGCAGCGATAATAAAATACAGCTCCGTGGCAGATTTTAGCTGGACCTGCTTGCAAAGCTAACTTTTACTTGACTATTTGGAAAAGTCTGCCTTGCACAGAGAAAGGAAAATCAGGTACCATTGACACATATTGTATTCTACAGATAGGGGACAATTTCTCCACAAGAAGCAATGTTGAAACAGCAAGACAAATTGATGGTAATATTCAAGTTACAGTATTTGTTGCGAGCACCCAGTTGTTTTAATTTCCTGTTGCTTGAAAAATTGAGCGGCAGAAGTGGCAATGGCCATGGGGAAGGGGCCAAACAAAAATGCTGGTTTATGTACAGGTTTTATTGTTTGGCACCTCAACAAATCATAAAATGCAGGCCTTTGTGGGCTGACAAAACATTTAAAGTACCTCCACTGACCAGATAGGTGGAATGAAAAGCAGAAGAGAAGACAATTGCATGAAGCAATGTGTTTTTGAGCAACCAACCGTGTATTGGGAACATAAATGATCATGCACATCCGTGTCTCTCTTTGAGTATGGTTTATGGTAAAAAAAAATATTTTATAATGTTCCTTTTTGGCCGTACATTACGTTTCCAAAATACCCCGGAGTGCATCACATATATAGAGAATGCACAGTGCAACAAGAAAATGCGATTTGCTTGGTTTAAATATTAACCCACAGCATCTGTTGAGACCAACGTGGCAGATCAGCATTTAGAAACTAACAGATTTATTCTAGAATCGTACTTCCTGGCTATGATGCAAGAAGCCAACATAAATGTTTTATAATTAATCTATGACAGTCTATTGTGGGTTCCATAAAATTGATAACACATCAAGAATAGCCTGTCAGGAGACTAAACTTATTGACTGAGATGCAATGAGTTTCCATTTGGCATAGATACATGTTAAGGTTATATGGATGCTTTACTGTGCTGCTGTAAGAAGTAATCACACCAGAAGTAGACATATAAGAGGGTGACAGAGAGTGTGGTTTACCCAAATTTAATTCATCCAGTCTCTTGCCTGGATGTCCCACATAGGACAGCTGGACCATAGTAACATTACAAGTTTGGGATGTAGGAGCTTTGAGGATATCAACTTAAAATGCACTCTTATAAAGAGCGGTTTTGGAGATTATTACTTTGCCCAATCTCTTGCTGCTTCAAGCGTATGTCAGACAGCATAGCCACACCACCTAAGGTATGTGTTTATCAACGCCAATATGTTTACTTGTGTTGTGCCTTCCTTTAACGTACGTTAACTGAAAACAAATTTATGTTTACTGGCTTGTTACACCACAAAGGATACCTCATGAGGTGATACCATATAAATTCTGACTACACACAAGGGGGTGAATATGTTTTAGTTAAAGACAAAAGAGGACGTGATAGTAGCACTCATCCTTAGTATGACAGTGAATCTACAAGCATTGACAAAACGTGATGAGGTTATACTCACAGACGCGCTGTCGAGAGAAGAGGACACAGCAATTGTGACTGTCAGGTCATCGTCCTTATCTTTGGCAGGCAAGATGTCTACGCACGGAGCACGGCACCCAGAAAGCAACAGATTAGCTTTACATTGATTATGAGGAGTGACATCTGATATTGTTATGACTATGCTGTCTTCGAGGACTCGCTGATGACTTTTAATTCAAAGCTTCTCTTGATTCTTAGCAGAAACATTTCCAAATGAGGTCAGTAAGGGGAAGAAGCTTTTTCCCACAAAACATTGCCAGAAAAAGGCCTCATGGTTTTATCTGATGAATGCATTCTTAGATTTGGTAACTGTTAAAAAAACAAAGACAACCATTGTTGTCTACAGTAACTGGCTATGTAGAACCGCAGCTCATTATCCTTAAACATGTGGTTTAGACTCGGCGCTCCATGGAATGGTAACCCAGGATTTTGCACTGCGGATTCAATTGGAGTTAAACCAATGAGCTATACACTCACATCACTTTATTATTCTTGGCTACCTACAGATATCGGACTTTCATGAAAAAGCTCAAATCTATGTATGTGAATTAATATATCAGAATCAGAATATTTATACTCGAGGAATCCAATGAGCTATAAAGCTCTTTTTCATTCAATTACCATAGTTAATTTTTTTATTGACAAAAAGCCTGTTAAACAATGACTTTCATTGTACAGGTCAATGTGTCTATTGTAGAGTGACACGACTGGTTTTAAAATTGCACAGTAGAGCTTTACAATCTATCTTACACCGTTTGTGACATTTGGTCACTAAATGCTGGAGGATTGTGCAGCGTTAGGTAAGTTGTTATGGCTACGATAAATGGAAACGCTTATCTATGTTCGGGGTTTTCCACTGACGAGGTCAAAGAAACTTCCTTCAACATCAAGTTTTAAACGTTTAGAGATTGCAGCGCATCAACAAATATGCAGCCTTCATATTTGGACAAACGACCATACCGGCTTATTCTGCTACGTAACTTCCCACTTGCTCTTTGTCAAGCACACAGGTTTCCTGGTGGAGTATTTCCATTTGGAATAAAAATTTCCTCCACACGGAATACCAACGACTCACCACCACGTGTTTCACTGACAAAGAATATTTAACGTCCATTGATGATGTGCTACACTCAAGTAGAATTTCAAACGCCTTCAAAAACTTCAATTGCTCTGACATTCAGTGCAGTACGCATGGCCACTACAATGGTCAAATACTATTTACACGGTTAGTCATGAAAAAACACTACCTTATGGTAAAAAAATATATATATGTCAAAATATGGACAATAGTTTCACGTGATGGAACTTCATCAGATCAGAGAAGTGGAAAATAAAACATAATATTAAGTGGTTCCTTGAAAAGACTGATATTAAGGGAAAACACAGCAGGAATATGAGTAGGCTTACGTTATTCAACATATTAGGAACGAATCCAACTTAAAAAAAGGTTAGCAAAACTATTTAAATACAAGATAGTAGGGTATGATAACATGTCAGTATGGTGCATTCTGGGACTGCACACCAACTGTGTAAACAATTCATATTTGTGAAACGCACGTGGACTCCACTGTATAAATAAGCGTACCCCCTTGGGAAACGACGGTAAATTACGGCCAGCCTCCGCTACTGTGCCACAGTCAACTCAGTGATCGATGTTTCATTCGACGTTCCCCTGGAGGCCACGTCAAGTTGGGTTAGAGTTTCACAGAGGACGCCCACGAGAGACATTCACGTTAAACACCGGTTGCTGTAAACTATTTCTACGCAACTCTATGGGTGGTGAGGGTGGACACTCTGGTGTCTGTGTAACAACGGTCGCTCTGCAGATGGTCCACTTGTCCCCAGACCACTTACTCATTCATGTGGTTCGTCGTGAGAGACGTGCCTATTTTCGATTAATAAAAAAAACACTCTTTTGCAACTAAATATGTTTGATGAACCATACCTGCTTGAAGATTAACACACATTCTTCTTTTGATACTGTACTGGCAGTGGTGCCAAAGCACAAATAACAAAAGACTGGACACATTTGTCAATAATACTGCTATAGAAAGTAAAAATATATACATGTAAAATAGGCTATGAATAAGGGTCATTGCTCAAAATGTCGTGTATTATATAATTTTTTTGTTACCTGCTTGATGTTGCAAACACGCATTGAGTGTCGTGTGAAAGCAGGAAGCTTGCGAGCGACTGTGCACCACCTTTAGTCCTGGTGGCTTCGCGGATCAGCTTGGTGAGCTCCCTCATCTCGGCGTCGGTCTGCGTGTAGTTGAGGTCTCGGGCCTCCACGCGCGGCGCCTGGAAGAGCGAGGGGTCCGTGCCCAGGTAGGAGCACTGCAGCTGCCCCTCGGCACTCAGGGTCACCAGGATCCCACGAAGGTCCCTGAGCCACACACACGCGGTCCACACACGCACACACACACGGTCCACACACGCACACGCGGTCCACACACACGCACACGCGGTCCATACACACACACGGTCCACACACGCACACACGGTCCACCCACACACGCACACGAGGTCCACACATGCACACCAGGTCCACACACACACACACGAGGTCCACACACACGCACACGCATAGGTCCACATGCACACACGGTTCGCGTGCACAGCATCAATACAACACACACGCCATGACCACACACGGTCCACACGCACACCGTGCCGCATTGCACTACAGCCAACTCAAACACCTTTGCCATTTGTTTCTCTGCAAGTTGCAACACATTTTTTTTTATACCAAGAACATTACAAGAAAGTGAACATTTACAAATGTGTCCAGAATCTGTGCACATTTAAAATACAGAAAACAATATAATAATATCGTAAAGGACACATGATAGGACATAGTTTAGCTTGCATAGTGTTTCTAACTTAATAGCTGGTATTCTATTACAAATGTTAATTTGTGATTAATATATTTTTTTATACGATGATGGTTTATGTTTAAATACGTGCTTGTCTACAAGTCAACTGTGCCAGAAAAAAAACATGTTATCTGCTACACCATCAATTCGACTGGCATTGCAACAATATGTGAAATATCTTGTGTAAACAGCTGTCACTGAGTAATTCATCAACTGGAGATGCATGCATTTGGATCTTATCATTTATGTAACAGTTTCTGAATGCTGGACCTGCAGGTTGCCCTTCCTGTTTTGATTCACTTTGCACAATAACAGGACACGGCTCTATGTACACACAACACACACCAGCTACAGGAATGTACCCACGCACAATGGGGTGACTGATTATCAGGGCTCCACGAAAAGGTTCAGACACACCGATCGACTTCCTTTAACAAGCACGTTCAGGTTTCCAGGTGGAAATGTAACCTCGTGAAAATGTGATGCAAGTATTTGAATTAAGAATTCATTTCACAGCCTACCCACAGCTATTAAGGTTTACTGGCATGTTCACACCTTTGCTAGAATAAGCATCAGCATGGGCCAGCCCAGATACACCTAAAAGATAGATCTTTACCACGATATATAACGTGTGTTTCCATGTGCTAGCAATTCCTAGCACCCATAGAGGGGGTATCAAAGTCAAGGTCTGCTATTTACCTATAGTTATGTTTCTCAGTCAAACACAGAAAGACAAACACTTTGCTGTCCACAAAGTGTGTATATGAAGAGTAGTCGCTTTAGATTTACATGAAAATATGAACCAGAACTTTGCCTCAGAAGTTATTGGCCAATAAAGTGTGATTTTGTGACTGAAGTAGATATGTAATATATAGTCCAATCCTGACTGACCAAACTTCAATATTCTGGAATTTGAACTTGGCTGGACTTTGCCTGGAAAATAAAGAAAAAATTTTTTTTGTTCAAGCCAAAGATCCTCTCCATGTGTAGACAATTCTAAACTCCCCCCAGCCCAACTCTCCTAGCACAGACCAACCCCACGCAGCCCTCACGGATAGGATGGCGACCAACTACACAGGGTATAGTGTCGTGGTCTGATATACAGTAAGTCATGTACTGTGATTTCACGTTTAGTGACCTTTAAGTGGTCACTTTATTTTACTGAACCAAGGCGAGAACTCGAGACACAAGGGATAAGTGTCATTTGCAAGAGCGATCGGCGTCACGAAATTACAAAAGCCAAACAAATAAAATAAAGAACTTGATGAATAATATAGAAATTAGAGCAAAAATAACTGTGTCCATTTAGGCGAGTTTAGATTCAACCATTTACTCTTATTCATGTATAATGTTAGGTAGGATTTATATATAGTTCTTGTATTTATTTAGAATTTTAGGTATGGTTTACAGGGTGTAATTGATTTAACTGTTTATTTTTAAACGTAATCCAACTTACCTGGAGATTCGGCTAAGTGGACAAGATCTCCCCCTATTACAGAGTTTTCAAGTATTCTGAAATAAATATTTCAGTGTCAAATGTTTAAAGTATGCCAGCAATCAAAGGTTAAACCAATGGGTCAAGAAGCTGACATTGAAATGCACCGGCTGAGTTGCACTTTTCAAATAAAAGATAATAAACTGCCAAAGTAAATAGTTTTGACTTAAACATTTCAAGAAAATAAACTACCTCCACGAATTGTATTTTTATTTTGCAGGGTTTCAAGAGATAAATCAAATTATCTCATTAAACGTAACTGGCTTGGTCAAAACTATTGTACTGTGTTTGTGTTCGATCCACTGCACAATATGGGTTGAATACGATGATGAGCACGTGGAAATGTTGCGATGCATTTCCCACGTGTCTTTAAAGCATGTATAATATTACCACTGCCGGGATGTGTAACATTGAGATGTGGCTTCAGGTATCATAGTTTTCTTTTATCTTACTTGCACACTGGCACTGTGTACAATCCAGGTACAATCTCTGTAAACGTGAACAACATTTTTAGAGAGGGAGCAGGGACACAAGCAGATGAAGGATAGACTCTGAAGGTTGAGAAGCTGTCATCTGGGCTATGTCCTGTTGTACGTTGATACTCACGTTTGAATACAAATATCCAAAACCTGGCCACTTAGCAGGAATAGAAAGATACTAAGATGATTTATTCTAGATTTGAAGATGATTTATGTTACCATACTTTACCAAAGCGTTTCAAATGCAAGGCAATATGATAAATGAACATTTACATCGTGTATTGAAGGTATTATTATTTTGTAAACACAAGTGGGAATCCCACTTTTAACGCTACCGTCGTATATAAGGTGTATTATAAATTAAATTTGTATGATGATGATGATGGACAGTTGCATCTTAAGATAAGGGATACGTTTCATTTGCCAGAGAGGTGGCAGTGGTGGCTTGAGGTGGCCTTCATCCAGCAGTGGAATGATGGTGGCTGATATGACAATGGGTAACAGAGACAGATGATGATAAGAGATGTGGCAGGGATGGATGATGCACGTGACATTGCATGATAACGATGATGAAGTTTCTGAAAATTCTTATTTGTTTTTTTAATGAGCGCCCTGCACACCAGGGACTTCTAAGACTGTGTTGCACCCAATAAGGAACTTGCATCACACTTCATCCCACACAACTGATAGGGCACCCCCAGTGGTAGCTATCCCAGTGTGGCACAAGGTGACTCAGCACCTGGACTGCAGGCAGACATTATTCTGCCAATATTGCACAATGATTGCTGTTTAATCAAAATTTTGTAATTTCCGGGTCAGTTTCTAACTTGGCAAATTTAGACCGTGACGTGTACACAATGGCCTTCTCATCTGGAATGACGTTAGAGGGTTCTTTAACGTCCATTGCGAAGCAGACGGAACGTATCATTTTTATGGTTAATACACCCACAGTAATAACCAGGTCGGCCTACCGGATTTGAACCGCGAATCTCTGCAACAAGCGGCAAGCGGGCTGCCGCTGGGTCACGTCACTGGCCCTGATCGCAACGCTTGCCGTCGCTTCTGCTTCCGCTGTGTACTGATGGAAAGGGCACTCACTGAAAGGTCGCGATGCGCACCGCAACAGGCACATGGGGCAGCTGGGCGGCCCAGCGTAGCCGGTTATCTTGGTACACGAGCAGCGATCTGCTGTGGGTTCCCACCACCGAATGCACAGTCCCCTCGCTCACTATACAGACACACGCACAGTGACCAAGCACCACCACACAGACGCTGTCTTCATCATGCCGTCGTAACAGACCGTTGTAATAGCGACACCACACTAACACTGTTAGTGGCATCATCCAGGTTTAGAGCAGCAACCCCCACAATGGCAAAAAACCACATTCAAAGGAATGGCCAACAATGCTTTTTTTAAGTACAATCTCTTTCTTGCGTTTGCTATCAAAGGTCAATATCCAAATCACTCAACCACTTCATCACCAATTCAATTTAATGAGCCTTTTGGCTCCACCTTTTATCCATCGTAAGCAACAGTCTGCGACAATGTGGAGGGACGGCTGTCTGCTGAGCAGCTACGCAGTTGCACGTCACCGGACAAACCAAGACGGTACCACATCAGAATGCCAAGACACGCATAGCCACACAGCAGTCCCAAATCGAGAATACTGATCACATATAACTACTCTTTAAAAATTTTAATGTTAAAATCTAATGGACATTTTAAAGAAATGCTGCTATACCTTAAGCTGTTCACACAAATCCACACACGTGATTCCTTTCAGACGCAGCTGAATAGGATTTAGTAAAACAATAAACCAAAGCAACACTGAGCACGTTGAATGGCAATGCATCTTTCGGTTAAGGATCTCTAAAGATATATCCTATACATCAAAATAAACTTACTTGTAGAAACATGCACTGACATGTGAGGCTTTCTGAACGTATGTTGCATGTTATTGTTAACGTCAAGCAGTGTGAGAATTTAAAACATAATCAAATAGCACAGCTGGTTTATTTTAACACACCGATGGGTACTGATAGCGTACTACACAGCTCTTTCTGCTTTCCTATGCCACCACGTATGCTCAACGCTCCACTCGTAGATTAAATTCGCAGACTCAACCTAACGTAAGACGTTAGCGCCATACCGCAACTCAGCCGAGAGCACCACGGCTTTACTCCAAACGTACGCGGCCACTCGTGGGACGTACGCCGTGCTCGTTCCACGCGCAGCACAACTGGCACATTGACAAAAAATAAAAGAGAAGCATCTGCGCGCTCACCAGAGGCGTAGGGAAGGATGCAACTGGGATTGTACTCCAGCTTCTTCATGAACCGCAGCTGCCGGCCATTCTCCTTGAGGCAGTAAACGTTCCTCTCTCCCAGGACGAATATGGACGGCGGTGCTTGGGAGAACGCAGCGACCTGCACGTCCAGGGCCTGCTCTCCGATGTTGAGCGACCAGTCCGCCTGGAGCACCGCTCGCGGGACGGGGAAAAAAACACGCGCCCTCCACCTGCTGACCCCAGGCAAAATCTACACCAGGCCCGAGATTCGCAGCGACGTCGGAAACCTCCCTCGTTGATTTTCACGAAGCCGAATTCAGCCGCTCGTTTAAGCCGAGGAGCAACGTTGCAAGCAGAGCTTCACTTATTCTGCCTCCCTGTTGACGATAACGGGAACGTGTATGATCGTAAATAGAGCGCAGATAGGTACAGGAGGTTTCCAGGGTGGGTGTCTGTACAGCTGAGGGGTAGAGTCATAGCAGATAGTCAAGTGTGTAGCAGGAAATGTGTCGGGGGAAATGTGATTTTCCTGATGCACACTTGGACACTCTCCCATCAAATTGCATCATGTAAACCAGTGACACTTTAATAACATCAATACGGTGACTTTGAATTTAATCTGCATTACAAGTGATGCACATTAATCATGCACCAATGTGCACTAAACAGGTCTGTTGGAATCATTTACAAATTAGTTCCATGACATCTTCCGGGGTAATTCTCAGACATGAGGTGGTGTACTGCTCACTAGGAGAGTTCCGAATAGATTCCCTTTGCTACATCACATTATGCCAAGAGCACAATTGAAATATGTTGGGGGGGGGGGGCGGGGGGAATAAAAGCCGCATTCATAAATATGCACTCGTCCACAGCCGCAATAAGATATCATTGCACCCTCGAGTGATTGATACTGTGACGAGCGAGACGGCGAGTGTTTTTGCCAGGATGTGGTCACACGGCTGTGCCTCTCACCACCAGCTTCTTGCCCGAGCTGAGCTTCTGCTGCTCCCACTCCTGCCGACTGTCTGCGTCTGTGGCGACAGCCAGAGCCTGGTACCTGCGTGGACAATGCGACAGGTGACGGGGACAACAACAACAACAATATGGCACATCCATTTCGTTTTCTCGAACAACATTCACGACCTGCTCATTTCAGGCCTTTCACCTTGCCTTAGTCAGCTGTCTCGTGCGGTGATGGCAATAAATACTGTAGCTTTATAAACTACTCGCCTATAGCCCGTCCAAGGACGGGTGTATTGCAGTAAATCTGACACATTCAAGCGAAAAGCACACAGTAAAATCATGTTCAGTGCATCCATTGGTGTGCCATTTGTAAGGCCGGTAACACAGACTTTGTTAATTTCACGGTTATATCCCATGTTCATCATGACGCCCTTTTCCCTTCTAGGTCTCAATAGGGTTACAGAGTTCGCGTGGCATGAGGGTTCTGGCTTTTTAAAGAAGCTTAAGGTCTCGGTGAGGAGCCCCCCCCCCCCCCCCCCACGTGGAGTGACGTCAACCACTCACGATTATTAATGACAGCGTTACGGAGTGAGCGTGACATCAAGGCTCTGGCTTGATATATATTAATGATTTCTTTATTACCTTTACTTTCCATAAAGGTCAAAATGAAAGCTAATTTGCGTAAACAAATTTTCGTTTCCGCTCCACCTTCTTCATGCGGAGTGACGTCACCTGATCATGATTATTAATGAAGGGGGCTGGTCTACGGTGAGTGACGTCACACGCGTTACACACAAACATTTTTGGCGCATTATATTAGTGATTACACATGAAATGAAGTAAAAAATGACAAAAATATAAAATAATAAGTGCCCATCTGGATTAAACTGCGATTACATTTGACTCTGTATCACATTTTACCAGGAGTGTAATTTTAAACTTGGGTCTCAATAAATATAGCATTGTAAAATCACACTGGTGATTATTCAATCTGATAAGTGTACTGTATTTGTCCAACTATAAATCCTCATACCACGAGAATCAGCCAGTACAATCTGTCATGTCAAACTCATGCAAACATCATAAAACACTGGAATTTGGTCATTCGTGAATAATTTCCATGTCAATCTACAGCTTGATTAAGGCCTCCCAACACCACTACAACGTGTTGATCGTGGATATTGTTTGACCATACTTCGTCTTGCTGGTCAGTAAGGGTTAATGAAATAAGATTGCCAAGATAGGTTCGATATCACTCACCGCTGATGCTCATCGTGTCGAGGAATCTGACTCGGGTCACCAGGTTCCGAGAACAGCAGTTGTGGTACACGTGAATCAGAACTCTGATTCGCATGTACCACAACTGAATTTAAGCGAAAATATTTTCCTCTCACTCAGAAAACATTTGCTTGCAAAATTACATCTCGAGGTACTGGCCACAGATCCCAAATAGAACCCTTCCTTGCAAGTAACCTTGAGACTCAGCTGAGCCTTTCCTCTGTGAAATATTAATGAAAAATATATACTTGACACAATAATATAAATCAAAGTGGGCTCATAAAATCCATACACATTTCCTTATGGGAAAGTATTCACGAGGAACTAACAAGTATCTAAAATTAAATCTGTGATCTCAAATGTAACCCTACCTAAATGTTTGTTTTTAATGGGATTGTCTGACCTTGCATAGCAGTATACCTTCACAGAACGAGTATAGACACGAGCATACAAAACGTTTCCACGACTGCAAGAAAGGCTGGTCTGGTTGCCTATTTATCGAGAGTGGAAAGTAAATCAGCCATCTGAAATATTGAAGCAGTCCTACTGCAAAAGCAGGTATTATAGACAGGTGAGAGTCCCTCAGCAAAGTGTGCTTTCATCTGATGCAACAGCTCGCTGGCAGATGGGTACATAATGTTCACTGTAACATCATAGGAAGAAGAATACACCAGAAAACATTACTGTACACCGCACATAAACCGTGGCTATTGTAAAATCATGCCCCCAAGTAATAATCAATAGTCTGTATCCAAAACTTTATTCTGAATTCTTATAGTTGATAACAATATTATTGCATACGATTTTCGGTGAATAAATCAATGAAATAGAGTGCATCTTTGCACATTACAGTTCCTAATAAAATACAAATAGCTATGTAATTCTTTGTTATATTACAATTCATTAACGGATTATTACCATTAGTATTTTACTGATGGATTAAATGATGAATATACACCCACATAGACTTTACATTCTTGTGGAAAAGTGGCGATGCAGCAGAGTGCTCAAGACAGAAGTGGAAGGTTTTGAGTGAAAGGCCCAGTTGCAGGGTCGACTTGCTATCCTTCCGAGGGCAATGCAATGGCAACCAGCCCAGTCACAGGAAGGTGGAATTTCCACCCATGCTTTTAATAAGTGGAAATAAATGCCCAAGGCTTGTTTGGGCGAGGAAACACTGTCTCCTTGACGGATGAAAATGTATTATTATTATTCAGTGAGAATTCTACAAATACAGACATACCTCACGGAAACAATACAATACATTCAAGATGAGCGCATACTCGACTGACTTGCAACACTGGGTGCAATCCACCAACGTTATTACAGACACTGTGCAATAGCTCTAAGCGTTTTTCCTTAATGTCATGCTTGCCATTCTCGTGCCACCTTTGGGAATATCATTTGACCTTGGTCTCCCATGCAAGAATGTAGTTGTATAAAGAAACAATGGCTTTCTTTCACAGTTATGGCAAGATCTTGTCGACCCAAAAGACTACTAAACGCAGAGTGAAATCCAAGAATGTCAAACAGTTTTAAAGAAGTGATTTTTCTTTACATAAATTTAACCTTCAATTTCACAACCATAATCGAAAGTAGGGTAATACAAACATTACAAAGAAGAAACAAGATACGCTAGACCTTTAAAAGCTGCCTTGCACAAGTGAATGCATGCCCCATTCGGCTGAAATGTACAAAAGGATGACACCACACCAGGTATGTTTCACATCAGGTATGTTTCACAGCAGGAAGCTACAGAATTATTTTATAAAAGGCCATTATTGCCAATGTTAAGGAAAAAAACCCACCACAGCCAGCTGAATTCAATTATAGGAGGATTTGTCAATGAATCTTCACACGTACACAACAGATCACATAACAGTATTTTGCATCAAACAAATGCAACATGTGTTCCATGCACACCTTCCACATTAAACACACAGTATTAAACGTCAACATAAAAGGTGATGTTACAGAGAGAGTAACTATGTATCTTCGTTTAAGCTGTATTAATGATTCAGTATGTTGTTTAACAATGCTTGTTGGAATTAAATGAAATAGTGACTGGCAAACTTCGCTATGAGCCCAGTGACTTGAGTTGTATTCACAGCCACGGCTTCTAATGTCAGATGCAATTTATATCAGAACCAGTCCTTGGCTCCCTTTCCCCGCCCACGCTGAGCAGCAAGGTGAAGTATGGTGAAAACAACCCCCATTACCGAGACTTCATCGGGAATACAGCTGGGTGATTCTCATGATTCCTAGCGAGGGGTAGACTGAGACTACACCAGGCCCACCACTCAGACCACCGTGAACACCACCAGGAACAGAGTAAACAAACGTTGGTAATCCCGAATATTTGTTTCCCTAGTGGAATGAATATTTGTTCCGCCAAACTCTGTAAGCAAATTCCCATCAGCTGTTCATTAGAACCTATTCACACTGCAATATAATAACCACAGCAGCTGGGTCCGGTGCCGGTTTGCATTTCATCCACATCCCAAGTGTTCTTTATACTGCACGAGGAAACTTGTTCACAATACATTTCCAAGCGTAAATGCAGCTTACCCGCCAACACAACGTACGTGTCTCTCAAGCTACTGACGTATACACGTACACGGAGACTGTTAGAATATCCACTGGGTAAACCTACCCTGCAGATGGCAGAATTTACTTTGTGACCAAACTCAAGCATTGACGTCTCCTTGTGGTTTTTATAAAAGCTCACCTTTGACAACTTATTGTGTCACTCAACTATGTCATTCTATCTTTTTGTCACACATTTGTAGCTTCCTTGAATTCAATGCCGAACACATAATGCGTCAATTCATTCTCTCTTCGCGTTCCATGGGTGTCATGGAATATTTTCGTGACTGGGTGTGGTGCCACACGGCTGTAATAACGTGACTTGGAGCTCAGGTTGATGAACTGCACAGGGATGTTGAAGCAAGATGTACACAAGACACTGATCTGTTGGACAATGAGGTGCTTGCTAGAGGCAATAAAGCAGGCTTGTTTCTGGCCTATCTGTGCAGTGCTTGAGAATTCTCCCCTTACATGCATATGTTTTCTGTCATTTCGGTTTCCACCCACGCCAGGAATTTTGTAAAAACAAAGAGACCAAACATCCTGAACAGGATCTTGCTGGAGAACCAATGATCCAGGTATGTATATTTGTAGGTATACATTTGTCGGTAAATCTTTCACCCGACTGCTACTACAGTTGACTCGATTATAAGTGGGCAGATTGCCCAGGCTGCGGAATAACCATGCTTGTGGAAGAAATACTTTTTTTTTAGAATTGCTGGTTTAATTATTAGCAGCTCCTCGCTCATGACAAACATGTTGCAAGTAAACTGCCTACATTAAAACAAAAGACACGTTCCACATCTTCGCCCGTATTCTGCAGTGAAAAACACTTTAGCCTAATTTGCACATGCTTTGCTGAATGTGTTATATCTGGGCCACCTCTCCTCCTAATTAGCCTGGCTAACCGAGAAAGGACTACGGCACTTTAGTCGGCGCTGTCCTTGCTCCCGTCACAGATTACAGAAAAACTGGTAAAGGGGCTACCCAATTGTGTTGGAAGCTTCACTTGAATATTCCCAGCATGCGATACCATCTAATGCAACAGACAGAAAATATTCCTTGCGAAATAAAAATTACAAATTAAACCCCAAATACATCTCAGAGCTGACCGTGGGGTGCCTCCGAATGTTCCGCAATCGTGATCTGGGCAGAGTGTGAGGGCTCTGATTTTGTGAACACACAGACACTGATGGGCCCCATCATGCCTATGAACAATCATCATACTTACTGGGCTGATGTCATCCCAAAGGACTGTGCCATTAAATTATTTTGCATTAAATATATAACCATATATATCAAGTGGTTCACTCTTGCACATATTTTTCTTTTGCTTGGAAACATTTTGTTTTCATCTTTGATTATTTTATGTTTGCCGAAGTTTTAAACGGTGTTATTTGTCTATTTATCCATTTTCTGAACGTACCATTGCACTGTACATCCATTGCATCTAAGCAAGGAAGTAAAAAAATGTTCCGTGCAATCTCACCATAAGTGCCAAACGATAGCGCACGTCAATATCATGCTCTCACTCACCAAAGAGCACAACTCTCAGCAGCATGACCTTCGACTGGCGTTGGACAGCCCGTGAGATGCACAACGTAGTGAGATGCCTCCTCTAGAGGGTCCAGGATGCTTGCTCTCCACTAGGTCTTAACCGAGTGATTGACATGTAAAGGTCCCGAGTAAGGGTGCAGCCCTGCCACTGCTCTCTCGCGCCACTGCTAGCGGCAGGGTCTCCACGAGAGGGAGCTCTCGAGAGGGCGTCACTGGCCTACTCTTGCTTGCTGACCAGGCGTCTTGGAAGAGGTGGGAGTACCCACACTTTACCCCACCAAACATGTGACCTGCCAATGGACGAGCTATAGTGCACCTATTTAAACTGCTGGCTGGACAGAGGCAACTGCCACGTCGGAAGGTCGGACCGGCAAACTCTGGATTGTAAATCCAGAGTGCTGGTCATTTAAACTACAGCAGCATACCTCTTTAAAACGTCCTGCTGTAAATAAGCTTCAGTAAAGTCAGATCTGCAGCCAAGAGATTGCCCTGCCTCTATCCATGATTAGAGACAACATTACTCACAACAGCTTTAATCGGTACTTCTTCCACCGCTCCACTTCTCCAGAAGTGCAGCGATGGGCCTCTGAGATCCCTTACCGCTTCCCACATACCTGTGGTTTCCTGGCATTGCTAGTTTTTAGACACACAGTTCCACCAGCCACAGGACAGCTTCTCCAATCTCACCCCAATCACAAAAGCATGACTACAGTGTTAGGAAAACGAGTGAAGATGGTGATCTCATAGCCACACAGCTCATACCCATACATCAATGTCAAGGGAACTGGGTTCCCCGCCAGCAAAGCATCTTTACATACGGATCATTCTAGGGCTGCTAAAAACCACTAGTCACATTCACTGCTGTATTCTTATGTTTTATCGGGAGTTATTTTGCCTTGTATATCTATATTCATCATATATATTGTATAAACTACACGAGTTATTACTTTCAGGTAATGAGAAAAAGCAGAGTTTAACCAAAAATTATATTTTAAAACCCCCACCAATCTTGATTTGTGAAATAGAACCTTGCACATGAGGATTCAATATAGCATCGATATTCTAAGCACCATGTTACTTAATTTATTTTCTTTACCCTGTAACGTCACACCACTACACACATACTGCTAACCCCACGATCCTTAAATATCAATACATGTTCTGCGCAACTTCCTTTCAGAAAAAAACATAGATATGCAAGAGCCGTTCCATTACGGCATACTCTGCTTAAGAGCACATGTCAACCTGCTCTGCAACTCATGCGGATAAAAGGAGTTGGCTGGATACAAATATTAAAAGAAAAATCTCCAATAAATATTAGACCTTATGAGTGGGCATAATTGGCTCATTGGTAGCCAAGTGCTGCATACAACACTTCTTTGTATAGTTATTTTAAATTCAAATTCCCTATAGAAATATAAATGTGTGGTGACATTGCGGGATGTCACTGTGTAATGCCGGCCCTAGAGAGGCACGGCGTGCGATGTAACGACATCGTTGGCACTACGTACATGTGGGTGCAGTACAGGCCCTAGAGGGGCTCGGTGAGCGCTGTCTGACAGTGCTGGATGGCACCACGCTCTGCGTGCAGTGCCGGCCCCTACAGGATAGGGTGCGGGAGTGCCGACCATGGGAACGGGGTGACTGAGGGCCATGGCACTCTGGTTGACCCCAAAGGACACGTGACCGCTTAGGTCTACACAGGGCCCCCAAGTGGGGGCTAGGGGTGGTCACGTGTCAGGGTTGAGATCCTGCTCGAGGATTCTAGAAGGTGGTCGTGACTAAGGGTGGGGCCAGCCACGCCACAGAGGATATAAGCCGGGTCCCTGAGAGGGACCGGCTGCTGTTGTTCATCCTGAAAAATCTACGTTCTACGTCCTACAGAGTCACCAACATGTGGACTGGGACCCAAGCTGTGGTCAGGTCCATGGTAGCTAGTTCCAGTGTAATTAGTGTAGTTAGCCTGGTGGTCCACCACCATATGTTGTTATCTTGTTAAGGGGCAGTTACCCCTTGTGTTGGTATTAATAAATGTGTTGCCTCCAAAGAGTACGTCTGCAACTCAGTTGAAATCACTACAAATGTATTAAGTGACTTATGCACCACTGAGCCATTTAAAACTGCAGTTTGTGTGCCTTATTTGAGTAAAATTTAGTCAAACACGAAACAATATTTTCCAATCCCACAATGGAAACTTTATGGAGGTCACATAGTAGTCGTATCGTGCAGAGACAATCATAACCCAATACGTTCCCAGGATAAACGAGCACAACAGCTTCCTGCGGAGGCTGGCATGATACAGGCACTCACGCCGGACAGGGCGACAAACCTGTAGCTTTCCACGCAGCGCTGCGAGGACACGGTGATGAAGGAGTCTGTGCGCCGGTTGTAAGTGAGAGGGCCTGGGATCAGGAAACCCGGCAGGAATCGACCAAACACGAAGCTCTCCTGCTCGAAGAAGCTGAGCATGCCATCCATCGATTGGATGCAGATGAAATCACGCCCTAGAGAAAAACATTAAAACTCATAATAGAATTACTGTGTATTGTGTACAACTAATATGTGAAGAGTTAAAATTCAAAGTCACATTGCTACAGGGTCAAAACAGAGGGTGATCTGTTCTCAAAAGCTGGATTTGCCATTTGCTCCAGGTGAATATCACAAGGTTACAAAACTATGCCCAGAAAAGGCCTTGTGAAAACCCCGTTCAGTGCTTGATCTTTGCTTTGTGAACAATGCACAATATAATATAGGTGCATAGATTAGTTCATTTATTTTGTAAATAGTTGTGTTTTGTTATAAATGTCTTTATATCTCATGTATGCAATGAAGGTACAAAGTAAAGAGATTCTAGATTTGAAGTTTTTGTGACTGCAAGGATTCATACTCTTTGAGGCGTCGCCTGAGTAATTTTGCTGGACCAGTCAACACCGGATGACGGTTGCTTGTGTTGCTTCCGAAACGTCGTGATTTAATTTAATTTATTTTAATTTTTTTACCTACGTGACTTACCGAAAAAACCAAAGAGTATAAAGTAAAGAGACTCATTTTGGTAATTCCATCAGCATCAACACGGTGGTGTCAACATTAGATATTAATTCAGAATCCAACACCAAACAACAAAAGTGCCGTTAGCATCTCTCAATATGTGTCTCTTCCAAGATTAAAAGTATAATTTAAAACAAACAGTATTTACAACTTTATACATAGTCCTGATTTAAGTGGAAAAACTTAAAGAGCTTTGACAATACATGACTGCATGAAGAGCTCCCCACACCATGCCTGTCATGCAGGCCTGACGATACTTCACCATGCTAGCCAGTGTGAACTGGTGAAGGGGGATCCCGGACTCGTTCAAATGTCGCTCACCGCTGATGTTAGTCATGGCCGGGGATCAAACTCAGGTCAATAGGTTCAGAGTGCAATGTGCTAACAACTCGTCCCGATTTCAAACAGACTGTGAAAGAGTCCCATGGCAAGCTTCAGCCATGCTTTATTTGGTATCGTCAAGCAAGTTAAACATGAGGCTTAAGATCCCATTACAAAGATAACGAGCCCTCCGATAAAGCGGCGTGCCACAACGCCAGCGAGGCCACCATGAGGGTCTCGGCCAAATAATCACCACGTCAGAGGGAGGGCTCGAGAGCCGTTCGACCACCATAGGGGAGACATAAACACGAGGTCGACTTAGATGCAATCATATGCACCGACAACCGCAGTTACACTTGATGCTTAGTTACCTTTCACCTCGCCAAAGGGTCCACAAGTCATGTTACAAGCTGTCCTCTGCAGGTTGTGTTCGTACATGAGTCTCAGCTGGTACTGATTACCATGTTCCACGGTACCAGAGGCACCTGCAGGCAAACACAAACATTAGGCTAGGGTGACAATTTTCAATGTGAACATTAGTCACTTTACCAATGTGTCTTCTGTTCATGTAAACCACTTTTCATTTACAAAAACACCAGGTATCATTCTGTATTCACGGATGGTTGGCAACTTTGACTGATGAGCGTGACAGGACGTTAAGTCATTAAAAAACACTCAACTGTCCAGATTCACTAATGACATTATCACTATATCAGCAACTGCAATTAAAAACAACACAAGGATCAAGTAACAGCATGAGAACAGATGAATGATTAACAAAACACAAGGCAGCAGCCAGCTCAGGACATTTCATGCAGCACTAAGAATTTCCATTTTGCCAAAATGTCCCAGTGTCCTGTGCACATATGCTTGTCACTGATCCATGAACGCGCTGAATACACTGTGTATTTGCATGCACAATGTAAACATTTTCATTCATAAGCAAATGAGTTATATTTTTCCCCCGTTTTGAAAAATACTTCACATGTGGAGACTTTTAAATGGATATCTCTTGATCTATATTTGTGTAAACAACTTTATTTCATTGTTGATGCTAAACATATATTATAGGCCCTTGTAATTCTGGAGCATATGGAGATAGAGATAAGCAAATATACGTAAAAGTCACCAGCAGTTTAAGTACTCCCAATATGAGGGACGTAAGGAGTAAAGGGCCCTAGTGCGAAGGGATTTACAAATTGGTCTGCGAGAAAGAGCTTGAGAGAACGTTATGAATGTAGAGCGACCCACTACCTGCCAAGGCAGTGCATGACGGCATGTAGTTGCTGTTGCCGTGTGTTCTACCCCAGGACTGGTTGGTCTACTGGTTGCTTAAAAAAAGGGGTAATCTGTATTTTTCAAAATCACACGTAGGATTACGTTCAATCCTACATGGCGATTTTTCACATCTGATGTTTGACGGAGAACTTTTAAGAAAGTACTCTGAAGATATAAAATTCCCATGCCTTGATAAATAAGTTGGCAGAACAAAACAAGAGACTTATGTAGCCCAGATATGATACATTTGATGGCTATGTTTTATTATAACTCTCCAGGTTAAACTTGTTATGACTATGGAAAGTGTTTTTTAGAGAAATGTTTTCATGTCACGCTTGTAAGTGGTTGTCCCGTGCCAATGACACAGAGCTGTGGCTCCATTTATCACGATTTCAAACAAAAACCTTCAAACCGTAGCCGCTTGTCTTCATATACCCTCACGGAGGCTAAAGTAAATACAGCCGATATGATGGGGGATATTTTGCACACTTTAAACGTGCAATTCTAATTTCAACGACATCACAAAATTCAAATATAACTTACAAACCTATTGCTACTGCACTTATTTTACATTTTTATAGAACTATAATGCCAATTTAAGCTTTAGGTAATTCTAAAGTACTGTGACTGCTCCAGATTAGAACTGTTATCCTGTATATGTAGTATGCTGAAGTGCCCAACATTAAGTTGTAAGGTAATTAAAAAGACAACTTTTCTCATTTATATCCCATCACGAACGGCATCACTCAAAACTTATCGAAAATTGCACGTGCCACAGTTTTCAAATCCACTTTAAAATAAATAGCACCAGTATAGCGGCAGTTTAAAACAGTCACAACAAACGTCTGGCACTGTTAACATTGGCAGGGCACGCTTACAAGTTATAAGCACTTGGCATCTGACCACAAAGATAATGTTTGTAAGTACACGCATTATGCTACCTGTGACGGTGTAAACGGCAAGCTTCCTAGGGTGCAGGATGGCCAGGTGAAGCAGCTCCGAGCCTCTGTCAGCACAGGGAACAATCGTACAACAACAACACAGGCAAAGGCCCCATTGAGTTGAAGAATGTCTACGGTACTTTTGACTAATACACACAGCAGGGGCCTTTGTGAATGACAAAACAGCCGTAATATTACGCACACAGTTTCTGGCATTTGAATGACTAATTTATTGACAATTGAACAGCCAAGTGGTGATTGTATTCATCCTATTAATGCAGGAATGCATCAGAGGCTTAAGATTGATGTCCAGAAGAGTCCAGCTTGGCATGCATGGTCAATTCCTTATTGAGTTATTGTATGTGGGAGGAAACTAGAGCCCCTGAAAAATAGAAGGGGTCACTTAACAATCTGCAAAGATAGTTTAGCAAAGCACCTGCTGTAATGCTTGAACTTGTGGGTATCTCTAATGGTGTCACCACCACTGCCGGTCAGTGTGGAGTATCAGTATACTGTGGATGTTCACCACAAGGTTATATAATGTCTATAATAACATTTTGATGTAATGTTATGAGAGTGTAACATTGCTGATCTTACTGTTGTACTCTTATTGAATTGCTAGTCTATATCACCAATTACAATAGATGACTGGCATGTCGAGCAGACGTACTAATATTTAAACTAACTTAAAGAGGAGTACATGGAGTCAAATGTCAATTGCACATCTAAATTGTAATATCGGGACTGGATCTTCAGACAAAGAAATTCCCATTCAAGAATTCTCACAACCAGCAGTGCACACATCTTGTGGGGAAATGATCCAGGAAGATGATACCACCACACTACAGCAGATATGACTTCAAAAGACTTCTCCCACACAACACTAGATAGTGGTGCTTGTAAACATGTTCAATACAAGTCTATCATCTGATGTTTCCATCAATTACCAAATTCTATTTAAGCAGCCACTGACAATCCAGCTGATCATTTTTACTCACTGCTGTAGAATAATGAGAAGTGTGTCCTTTAAAACAAAATAAACAAACTGAACAAGGACAAAAGAGCGCATGCCTACAGATGGTGAGTTTTTCCGCAGCTGTGCGAATTGTGCAGGACACAAAGGCGCGTGGTGGACACGACGAGACTCACGAGATGAACTTTCCAGCCTCCACGTGCAGCACGGGCTGCTGGAGGTGCACCTCCAGGATGAGGTCGTCCGGGTGGAAGCCGGCGCCAGGCTTGGCCGGCTGTGGGGAGAATATCCGCAAGTAGCCACTGAAGCTGCCCACGATAATCTTATCTGCGACAAATCAAATCAAATCATTAGTACATTTTTGCTACTTGTGCTATTCTTATATTCTTCTACAGCAAGGCTCTCATGAAGGGAGGCACTATGTTTCACAGTCGAGTTTTGTCTGTAGTAGTTTCATAGTAGGGGGTGATGTTGCTATGTGGTTTAACCCAATGAAGTAATTTGTGAGCGAATTTCAAATTTGGAAATTTGGACCGCAAATTCCAGCGAGCATAGCCTAGTCTGTTTTCGAATAACCTCACTATATCCGTAACGTTCACTGTGAAGCAGATGGCATATATTTTCGATTAACCAGGGCGGCCGCTCGTATTGAACCGCAAGCTTCCGCTATAAGTCACGGACGCACAAACAGCCCAACCTTATGTATGACGTTTTGCCAATTATGCTCATTGTAATTACTGCTGAAACATCGTACTGGAATTGTAAATGTTGTAGGTTTACTCTCCAACACACCGGTGTGCTGTACTAGTAACAAGCAGCATTTTCAGTAAGATGTCAGTGTTTGTTAGTGATGATTGCAAGAGAATACTTTCAGACTGCTTATTTGTAGCTTATGCCATTGAACCGTGACATTATTATCGAGTTAAGAACAAATACAATGAAAAGCCAATTAAAGGAGTTAAACTTCAATGCAACATTAAGCAGAATACACCAGGATGCAACCGAGCGCGTAAAAGTGAAATGCACATGGACAGAGGCAAGACGGCGTTTACCATGTCCAGTGCTGCTGTTGTCAATGTTGGCCACACAGAGGCAGCCCTGGTCAAACTCCTCCTGTTGGCCTGCACTGGTGGACCACCAGTCGCGCGCTTTGAACAGGGACATGTCCGCCGCGGCCTCTCCCTAGCCCTGCAGAGAAGCAGACACGTCGACATTGGCCTCGCATTGGAAGTTTACGGGACGTTGTTTTATTGGTTGTCATTAAAACGCGCAGTGTTCCCTCAGACAACTGCATTGCAGTTCCCGGAGTTCCAGTGGTGGCCCCTGGTGGCCTTTAGTGCAGCGCCTGACGTGCGGCCTCCCGACAGGACATAACATGTGAAACACCTCTTGCCGGCGGTGTGGCGGCCCTCACACTGATGATGTCTTATCGGCGAAAGTGAAAATTTGTGAAGAATGCTGTCTCAGACTAACGGAAGGACAAAATCTTTCCAAAGCATAGGATTAAGTAGCCTTCCGGCTCTTTTGAAACAACGGTGCATCTTGCTTAAACGAATGTTACAAAACGAATAGTGTGCAGCATTTCAATGTTTCATGTTATACAATAACTTTTCAAAAATGTGGTACGCATTGATAAAAACTTGCAACATATTTACAGATAAATTCACCTTTGGTCTGAATGGGTCTATAACTATAAATACTGAATCGTTGGTGTTATTATATTGAAATGCTTGTTTTGTTGGCTGGGAAAAGGCAGGGAACGGGACAGTGCAGGACTCATGCCGCTAAGATGTTGTCTAGAGTTGTCTATACCACTTGAGAGTGCCAGTAGATGCTTTCCCTTGTAGAGGTTGCCCTCTGCTGGACAATACCGTGTGAATCCACCCTAAACATTACCAATAACGCTACTTCATAGCAAGGTGTTCGGTTAAAAACATGTTAAAAATACAGACCTGTGACAAGGTGTCCAGCACTGTCCGTCGTGTTGACAGTCTCAAAGGAGTCGGACCTCCTGCGCCCGTTTCCGAGACGGCTAAGCTGATTACATGCTGCTTAGTCGGAGATAAGAGTGGGCAGATCTGCATCTGTAACAACAGTGGGCAGTTGTCACGGGAGGGGAAGACAATATCATTACACCCACACAGAGAAGTGTCAACCAGAATACATATTATTATTATTTTATTGTTTCCCTTCTACGTGACTTTACCGAAAGAACCAAGAATACAGAATACAGCTGTTCACCTTCATAAAACTGGTGTAAAATAATATCTGAAAACCTTGCACATCGAAATATAATTGCATTTACATTCGAAAGAAATGCATTACAATATTCGTGAAAATATTACCACACGCTCATTATAACTGCATGTAATTTAGCAAATATTAATTATTTAATAACTTTTCATACCATACCTCCACTTTGTAAATTAATTTCACACAATTATATACAAAATATGTAGCAATCTATTGCAAAAGGACCATTTACGAACGTGGCTAACATTTTTGTATCTTGCAATTGCACAGATATACAGAAATAGGGAGTATGAGACGAATATATACACGCACAATGCGCGTTTATTCTATTGCAAAAAATTGTACATGCAGGAACAAAAAGTCTCATACCCACTCTGGTAACTTATAAACAATCTACTGCACTTTTTGTCGAGTATAAATGTAGATTATAAATGTGTGTAACATTTATAATACCAAGGTCTACAATAAGCTGAGAGCTATTCTTGCCAACCTGCTGTCCAATGCAAATATCACGCGAATAACCCTCGTGCGGATTAATACATCATGGGACCTCCTTTTCTAGTACAAAAATGAGAATACGTTTTTCCCCTTTGATCTGGCAACAAAACAGGTGTTAAGTTGTTAAAACACCAACCTGAAACCTTTTACAAGGAATCATGTCTGCATTAACCACAATACTTGTGGTCAAAATGCAAACAAAAACATACTCTGATAATATATTGAAACTGATTGGTCCACACCAGAGACAGCTTTCTTTTGAGCCTCGTCTCAAACGGTGTTAGACCAGAGGACGCCAAAAGGCGTACAGCCCAAAGACAATGAACTATCAGAGTAATGAGAGCTCAAAATGCAAACCAAAAAAAAGGGTAAAAACTTATTCTCATATTTTTGGACTGGCAAAGGAGGTCCCATGATGTAGATGCTCACCCCGAGCTCTCATTACTCTCATAGTGGCGTTGTCTTTGTGCTGTACGCCTTTTGGCGTCATCTGGTCTAACACCGTTTGAGACGAGGCTCAAAAGAAAGGTGTCTCTGGTGTGGACCAATCCGTTTCAAAGACAATGCATATATTATCAGAGTATGTTTTTTTGCATTTTGACCACAAGTATTGTGATTAATGCAGACATGATTTCTTGTAAAATGTTTCAGGTTGGTGTTTTAACAACTTAACACCTGTTTTGTTGCCAGATAAAAGGGGAAAACTTATTCTCATATTTTGTATTAATACTTTTCAGTAAGTGGTAATCTTGATTTGAAACTTTCGTGACTGCAGGAATCCATACTCTTTGGTTCTTTCAGTAAAGTCACGTAGGTAGAAATAAAATAAAACAAATCATGACGTTTCCATCGCAACAAAAGCAATCATCACACAAGCAATCCTCCTTGTGTTGCGATCAAAACGTCGTGATTTATTTGATTTAATTTCATTTCTACCTACGTGACTTTACCGAAAGAACCAAAGGGTAAGTGATAATCGTTTTCAACAATATAACCGATTACAAATCACACGGAGGCACCGGTGAAATAATAATTGCAAGTGACACAAGCACAGAGCGTGGTCACGTAGCAACCTGTAGCAGTCGGCTATGCCCGTGTCCACAGAGCCGCACCTTGTTGGATGTAATTGCTCCGTCGTCGCAATGCATGGCCAAAAGGAGTCTCTGTCATTCAAGACAGATGATATGGGGCACATTAGTTGCCAGCTCGAGATTGCATTTAACTACAGTATTCTGTTACCGTATAAACAGCACGTTGAATGATTTAACTGCAGCATGTACACACTACCTTGTATGAATACCCTATTGTTTCTGTAAAACGGTATTCAACCCACTCGGGCATCCTAAGGTCAATTATGCCCGAGATTATGGTTTATTCAGTCAGAAAGCTAATATGTTGGTACTACTCGGAGTGAACAATTTGGTGATAAGGGAATGTGTATATAATACGTGGCGTTTGGAGCAATTTGCCAAAATCCCTTCTCCATACGGAATTTACCCCAAGTGAATATATTTGTAGATACTGCTTCACGTGGTCTGTAACTACACAGACGTACTATGTGTTACTTAATGCAACAAAGCTTGCTACCCAGCTGAAGCTCACACACATTCCCCAAGGGATTTCATCCCTAACAATTAATGTCCCCTAAAAGTTAGCCGAACCATTTTCACTCTGCATAATTGTGACAATGCTGTGAACACACTAACCAGTTGTGCACCATATAGAGAGTTCTCCGTTCGGCCAGACCATCAATAAACGTGGAGCGAGAATGAGCTGAGCTCCGGCCACAAGGAGTCAAGAGCCAATGGAGAGCGCTTTCTCAAATCTCTGCTTTGATGACCAAAGCTCCGAGAGGGGTTGATGAATACTTAACACATGCAGAGGAATCTTGATGTTTATCATTAATACATGTGCTGAGACATCAAGAGAGTTTCCTGCAGAAATCCAGCCTCTGCTATTTTGCATAAAAGCAGTGAAATGTTCACCATTTCATAATCAGGCTTCTTTTGTTGCTGCTAAAACCTGGATTGCAACATCTCATAAATCAGGCCCAGTTTAGTACCAGCATTATCCCCACTCGTGCCATAGCATTCAGGGATCGAACTGCACCATCAATGCTGAACCAGCACGTTTGATTGAGGACGCCCGGCGTGTATATTCGATCTTAGAGGAGCCCACACAAACCAGAAGATAAGGACCACTCATACCCCATTGCAATGGGACCCAGCATGCAACAAGTGCCAATGCAGTGTTCAGGCACATGTGTTCTCCACAAGTAATAAACTTAAGCACATAAACGTCAATTCTGCGTTGCACAATGCCTATATGCATCAAATGTAATCAAAGTAATGCATGAACCAGCATGGATACCACATGTACCAACAACGACACGTCACACATCACGTGAAACAGAAGACATGATTCGCACGTCGCATAAATAAGCTCAAAAGTACCACATATATCAGCACACGCAATGCATACATCGGGAAAAGAGCAAACGTGATCCATACATAAAATGACCCAGCACACAATCCATGCAAGACATGAACCAAGAGCATGCACCCGCATTTCGCCTTAGATCACGCACGCCCGGCCGCCTTTGTCTCTCGTACTGACATTGACCACAGGACATCAGGTGGAGACTAATTGATGTCCGAGTCAACCTAGGCGAGGTCCAAGCCAGGCTCACAAACCACCTCTCTTGCTATCGCTACGAGCCGTGGGTCGGACTCGAACCCGGGAACCCGGGAACCACAGCGGGCGCGACACACACGGGGCTCGTACCAAAAGGGAGGAGCAGCAGCAGCAGCAGCGCGACACGGAGTCGCGCTTCTCGGCGTCTGTCGCGACAGGGAGCGCGACCACTGCCCGCCAGAGTCGCGACACGTCTCGCCGTGCCCTCCCGCCCGCCCGCCGGGAGCGCCACACCAGCCGTCTCCCAGTATCCCAGCGGAGCGCGTTCGCCACACAGGGCCCCAGTCGATAAAGTCGCGAATCGGGGACTCTGTTCGCGACGTGATCGCGACGCCGGCTGGCGGGGTCTCGACAGGAAGGGCCGCCCCGGGTCGCGACCTCCTCCTCCTCCTCGACGACGACGTCGTGCGCAGACGCGGTCGCTAGGCGACGGGGTCAAGCACAGCGCCGGGGGTCCGCGGCGAACAACACGTGGCCCCCTCGCGCGCGCGCGTGTGCGCGTGTGCGCGTGCGTTGTTGTTGTTGGTTGTTCACCGCAGACCCTGAGCTCGCCAGACACATGGGCCCCCCAGTGGCCACGTGCTCATGGCCCTGTAGAGTCACCCTCGTTCACTCGGGGCTAGCCGGCTCCCAGTCACCCTCCTTCACTCGGGGCTAGCCGCGTGGCCATGGCTCTGAGTGTGTCTGCTTAACGAGTTTAACGATCGTGCTGTGCAGTTTTTGGTTGTCCCGATAAATTCGATAAAACGCCTCCTCGTTCGAGACATTCCTCGTCATGCGAAGACCCCGGTCCCACCGGAACGTCGGACAGGCCGATGAGCAAACTCCTCCTTCGTAGCCCCGCACGTGAAGACAAACAGGTCCGCAGTGGTGGCGCAGTCGCGGCCACGCGACTCGAAGCACGGCCCGGAGCGGAGCCCGCGGTGAGCGCCGCGCTCCTTCGTCGGATGAGGAAATCGCGAAACGAGGACCAACTCCCTCGCGAAGCCCTCCTCGACGTGCCCCGCGGGACTCGACGTTTCGCAGCGAGCTCTCGGACACATTGCTCCGTCGTGCCATTGAACAAGCACGGGAACTGCTGCGTGATGCGCGTGGCTCCACCTCGGGGTTAGTGCTGCTTATCGCAGTCTCCCAGGCGCCGCCCTCTGCACGGGAACCGCCCTGCTTCCTGATACCCCTGCTGCCACAGCCGCCGGCTGCTGCTGTCGACCCTGCTGCCCCTGCCCACCCTGCTGCCTCTGCTGCCTCTGCTGCTGCCCCTGCGGCCTCTGCTGCCCCCGTCCCATCCGCGATGTGGTCCCTCGGTGGCCCCGGCATGGCGCTGCTGGCCGCGGCCGCGACGCTGACGGTGGCGGCCGCCGCGTGGAGAGCGGCGAGGAGGAGGCGCGGCCCTCCGGGACAGGTGAACTCGCACACAGTACAGCAGTGGATAGAGCACACACAGCACAGATAGAGTACACACACAGTACAGCAGATAGAGTACACACACAGTACAGCAGATAGAGTACACACAGTACAGCAGATAGAGTACACACAGTACAGCAGTGGATAGAGCACACACAGCACAGATAGAGCACACACAGTACAGCAGTGGATAGAGCACACACAGCACAGATAGAGCACACACAGTACAGCAGCAGATAGAGCACACACAGTACAGCAGCAGATAGAGCACACACAGTACAGCAGGTAGAGCACACACAGTACAGATAGAGCACACACAGTACAGATAGAGCACACACAGTATAGATAGAGCACACACACAGTACAGCAGCAGATAGAGCACACACAGTACATCAGGTAGAGCACACACAGTACAGATAGAGCACACACAGTACAGATAGAGTACACAGTACAGATAGAGCATACACAGTACAGCAGCAGATAGAGCACACACAGTACAACAGGTAGAGCACACACAGTACAGATAGAGCACACACAGTACAGCAGCAGATAGAGCACACACAGTACAGCAGGTAGAGCACACACAGTACAGATAGAGTACACACAGTACAGCAGCAGATAGAGCACACACACAGTACAGCAGCAGATAGAGCACACACAGTACAGATAGAGCACACACAGTACAGCAGCACGTGTCCACTCAGTGTTTAAAACTCAGATAACGCAGCATTGAAGATGTAACAAAGCAGATGGCAACATAGCATATCCCATCTAGCACAAAGCAGATACACATACATCACGGCAGACACCACAGTGTACCACACGCCGCAAAGTCGATGGCATATGCTGCACAGTAGCTGCCACACAGCACATACCACGTAGCAGACAGACACAGCAGATACCATATGGCACATAGCAGATACTGTACAACATAATACATTCCACGAATTAGACGCCACGTACCAGTAGCGCACACGAGATACCGCATACTAGATGCTCTAGCACATGTACCATTGTAAAGACACCACACAACAAAGACCGGGCACGTGGGGAGAAGTTGCATGTTGACGCGTCCCAGTTGGGCCTATGGAGCGACCAGGTCGTGGCTTCAGAGCCCACGTGGGAGGCCCATGCGGCCAGATGCCTAGAGCCTGCCAAGGGAATTCCACTGATCACCTGACATGATGCATGGCCAGCAACACATCGACACATCCATCAACACAGCACAGCAGGCTCCGGGGCAGCGTGCGGTGGCTCTTTAGCTGCCCCCTTGCGGGCAGCAGTTTAACAACAACAACACAAACCACGTACATCTTTACACGTAACTGCACGCAAAGATAATAGGTAATTTAAGAAAAACATGACAGGGAAACGGGTCACCGTGGAATGTCTTGGTGGCAACAACATGTACAACAGTCAAACTGTTGTGTTAAAGAGGATCTAATTGGATACAAAGGGAAACAGACGCAGTTTATTCCGTTACCTATGTCGAGTCACAGTGGCTGTGTTTGTCATCTGCTGTATACTTGCTGTGGCTGTGTTTGTCATCTGCTGTATACTTGCTGTGGCTGTGTTTGTCATCTGCTGTATACTTGCTGTGGCTGTGTTTGTCATCTGCTGTATACTTGCTGTGGCTGTGTTTGTCATCTGCTGTATACTTGCTGTGGCTGTGTACAAGTGGCTCTGCGTGTGATGCGGCTCTCCAACCACTTTGGTCAAAGACTAAAATCACCCCAAAATGCCACTTCTTCTTTGAAAGGTCGCCGGCCCCTTCTCTAGAGGACACCGCTATGTGATGGGTGGCGTTGTGGCACGTGACGCGTATTCACAGCAGAGCTCACCAATTTCATCATCACAACCTTTTTTTAGTACTCGCTTACAAGGTTATTTTTACAGCTGACCTTGGGGTTCGAGTTTGAGCTGGAGTGACCCGATTTCGAGTTGTAAGCACGTGGGGGGTTTGAGCTGGAATCGCTGGAGAGTCATGTGCAGGCTCGGGCTGGCAAGGGGGCAGTCGAGGCAAATGACCGATGGGGGGGGGGGCGGTCCATTCTGAGGGCCGGTGGGCCGGTCAGTGTGGGGAAATGGCAAATGTGACGAGAGTAAAAAGAATAATGATACCACGTTATTGCCTCTAATATGCACACTTCTTGCTTATTTACACTCAGTTTGCGTTAAGTCCCCATATATTCAGCAGCCCCATAGATTCTTCTCACCGGCCCATTTGTTTTTTTGGACAAGCCCAAATGGGCCAATGACATCGCACGGCGATTTGGACCGCTGTGTTTGCAAATGCCTGGGCCGATTTTTCTTGTCCCAGTCCACCATTGGTCCTGTGGCTGGTATCACAAAACTCCTGACATGCGATGTTTGTCTTCTCCCCTGCTTGACACCACAAAGAGGAAACGAGTGAAGGCGTTTTTGCAATTCGGCACTGGATTGGAGCTGGTTGGTCGGGGGTTAGAGTTGCCAGATTGGAGCCAATCGAGGAACAGATCAGAGCCGATCACGCACTGCACTGTAATCCACTGTTGGACGGCAATAATGCCACTTACACATCAATTTGTCATCATATGCTGTGCTCTGTGCACCCCAGCAGGATACAGAAAACCCTTCCCTTTCGCGCGGGTTTAGTGGTTGCGGTTTTGCAGTTTCCTGCCAAATTTCTTGAGGTACAGTTTGCTGTTCGCCCCCTCCGTCTGGCTCGACCATTCGAGGTAACTGCACTGCTCGCGATGATGCTGCTGCCGCCGCAGACGAACACACGGCGCCCTCCTGCCTCCATCTCGTCTCCTGTGCGGCCGATCGCGGGTCCCAGGCCACGCGGTGTTCCCAGCCTCCAGGGATCTGTCTTCCTGTAGAGTTTGAGTTTGAGGATCGCGGATTAGCCGTTAGCGGCAATTTACAAATAACGTGACCCCTGCCGCGATGGGCAGGTTTTTTGCTGTATACGATACCTACCACCAGGTAGCTGTTGTAGAATCACCCTCACAAGGTGACACACGTGGTGCCGGGGAGGGAGGGGGGGGCCTGTGTTGGTGCTGGGGAGTAGAGGAGGAACCCACGTGTGTTGTCATGTCTGGTGCACACGGGGGTGGGGGGAGGGGGGTGTCAACATCAGAGGCCCTTCACCCAACGAGCCCCAGCACTTTCAGTTTTAAATAAATTGTTTTGTCCCACACACTTGCATGGATCCAGTGGAAATGCCTCTGGCTGAGAGAACCACACGAAGGCATACGAAGGGGATGACGTTTCTTGACGTCATTGCAATGCACAGGGCGAGGCCAATGGTGAACCCCACCGCATTTGGGACTTGTCCGACCTTGGTAAAGGTGCAGCCCTAACACCATTGCTAATGGAAAGGCCTCCTCTAGAGAGCCCCTCTCTACAGGGTATTTGGCCTACTCTTCCACGCTAGCCGGACATCTTGAAAGAGGTGGGGGTACCCACACTTTACCCCACCACACGTGACCCTCTGATCAGCTAACTGTGGTGTAGCCATTAATACTCAGTCCACACAAATATAGATGACCTTTAATTGGATGTTCTATTACCTTGTATTTTTAGTAACGGACAATTCCTGTAGCACACCACATTTTATTTACACTCGGTATTAAATAGCTGCAAGCGTTAGCGCATGGTCCTGAGTTTGATTCCAGCGTGGTGAAGCATGGTCAGACAACCCCGTGATACACGTGGTGTGGAGAAGCCTTTATCCACCTGTAGATTAACAAAGAACTGTCAGTTATTTGTTGAAGCACAAAATACAGTGATGGAGAATGTAGCGCACTGACCAAAAACGTCACACTAAGCAGGGTGGCACAGTGGTAACACTTGTGCCTCAGAGTAAGTAGGGTCTGGGTTCTATTCCTGACTCGGATACATCTCTGTGTGGCAATTTGCATGTTCTCTAAGTTACCTGGTTTTCTCTGCCATAGCTATAAAAAAAAAACCACACACTCAATGTAACTGGAACTGGTCAAACATCACAATGCTGAAGGAGTACAGGACCTACAAATTGCCTAATTCGAAACTACAAAGTGCAGCATCGCCCTCTACAGCAAGAACTTGGCAGGACCCTATTGAAAAAGAGTCGTTAGACTCGGTGAGGTTTTCCTGGGTAAACGAGCGGAACAACACGGTTGATCATGTGAGCTGTGAATTTTACTGTCTCAGTGTTTTGCCCAAAACTGTCGCGTTTTGGCACGCTACACTGTCTCTCTCTGAATTTCATCACTGTCGGGACAATTGGGTAAGTTCGTAGTTCCCACATACAGTACGGTATATCATTATGGCACCAATCACTCTGGTGCATCACCCCACATTGTCCGTGCATTGTGGATACTTTTACGTACGATGTTATCTGCAAATGTACTTCATTTTTATGCTAACAATTGTGGATGATTGCCGATGATGGGAAGAATTGAGCCATGGACCCTCGTGCAGATAATAGGCATCGTGGATAATAGAGGTGCAACCAGAAGGGTTCTGCTGTATTAGTATAGTGGTATCGTAGCCGGGGAATCGCCTGGCACTGTGTTGTCCCCAAGCAGTGCTCCTTTAGATCAGCTGCCCAGTGCAGCGTGTTTTATTTCAACAGCAGCATATCCCGTGCTTTCATGCCACCACACTGCCATCACTCGTGAACAGATCACCGGGGAATGTACCCAAGTCTCATCAGATCTCAGATGCTACGCAGGGGTGAGGGCTGGATATTGCTTGGATGAGCGATCGCCGTGCATAAACAGCTTGCCGCGTGGTACTACGTAGTTGACAGCGGAGAGCAGTGCATCAAAATCCATTGTACCGCGCTCCGCTTCCACTCTGTGCTCTCCTCCCTTCGCAAACCCTCATGAGCAGCGTAATGAAGCGTGGTCGGTCACCCCCATGGTTCGTACGGCTTTGGGAGGCACTAATCAGCAGTGGATCGACAATGAGGGGTGTGCCTGTAACACTATGGTCGTCCCCCAGGTGGCTGGGTATGCTACGTACTTGAGCTAAGAGCAAGCACTTAGCCAGGGCTGGGCCCCAAGTGATCGAACGAGTCTGGGTGGAGCTGCAGCAGCCTCCGCTGGCGGCGGTTCCAGTGATCGTGCCTACTCCCTTCACGCAGAGTTAGGGGCTTTGTGGGTAAATTGAGAATGTTTTGAAAGAAACGTCAGTACGGAGCCGGCTTGTCAGCTCACAGCGAGCGCAGCAACTACGCTCAACAAGTCTCTTGCTTTCTAACCATGTGAGTGGGAACTCACATGGGTCGTTTTGAGGAATTTGTAAATGCTGTAACGTAGAACAAAAATGTGGATACTTGCTGGATATTCCAGCACGAGTGACATCTCCAGCTTGACCCATTGCTTCTACTGTCTTGTGATTGCATTATCTTGGATAAGCATGGATCTGTTGGGCTTGATTGGACAATCTTGAATGGTGGTGGATGTGTTTAAGCATGGAGCATCCTGATTCTCACTTTAAGCTTCGTTCAAGATATCGGATTTTATTGCCAATTCAGATGAAGAAATGTTTCAAACCTGACCTTGGATTCATGAAGCATATGATTTCATATTTGTTTTTGTCAATTATGCCCAGTGTGGTATGTATGGTTATAGTCTACATTGATTATGAGTCATTGTAAAAACTCAGCCTGTTTGTGCATTTATCATTTACCAGCGGAGATACAATTTAGATAAACATGTGTTTTCATTCCATGTTAATACGTAAATCATTATGTCTGTGTTCTCTATTTGACAGACTCAAGATGAGGACGACCAGAGCAGCAAATCACCAAAAGACAGCAAGTACAGCCCTGCATCGGACCAGCGACAGGACAGCCAACCCACGCTGGACAGCAGTCCAGTAGTCCAAGCATCGTCCAGCAAAGCAGCGCTGAAGAGGAGACCACTCAACCATGCAGGCGGGAGCCACTCTGCAGCGCAGGGCGACTTATTAACCCAACGAGCGGGTGGCAGCTTGTTAAACCAAACCGGAGAGAACAAAACATCCATGGAACGCAGAGCAGAAAACCTCGCGGAGACCGAGTCGAAGCCGGAATGCGGCGGTGCTGACTGGCGAAGGCAGAGAGGGTCATTGGGGGCGGAGAGCGGCAAGGAGTGGCAGTTACCGCAGAGTAATGAAGTGCCACGGGGCGACCACACGACTCAGCAGCTGCCGGTCAGCAGAATATTGCCACCGAGACACAGCGCAGAGGAGCTGGAGAACAGCAGCTCAGAGCAGCTGAAGAACATCAGTTCTGAACAGCTGGAGAACAGCATCTCGGAACAGCTGGAGAACAGCATCTCGGAACAGCTGGAGAATAGCAGTTCTGAACAGCTGAAGAACATCAGTTCTGAACAGCTGGAGAACAGCAGCTCGGAACAGCTGGAGAACAGTAGCTCAGAGCAGCTGGAGAACAGCAGTTCTGAACAGCTGGAGAACAGCAGCTCAGAGCAGCTGAAGAACAGCATCTCGGAACAGCTGAAGAACAGCAGCTCGGAACAGCTGGAGAACAGCAGCTCAAAGCAGCTGGAGAACAGCAGTTCTGAACAGCTGGAGAATAGCAGTTCTGAACAGCTGGAGAACATCAGTACTGAACAGCTGGAGAACATCAGTTCTGAACAGCTGGAGAACAGCAGCTCAGAACAGCTGGAGAATAGCAGTTCTGAACAGCTGGAGAACATCAGTTTTGAACAGCTGAAGAACAGCATCTCGGAACAACTGGAGAATAGCAGTTCTGAACAGCTGGAGAACAGCAGTTCTGAACAGCTGAAGAACAGCAGTTCTGAACAGCTGGAGAACAGCAGCTTGGAACAGCTGAAGAACAGCAGCTCGGAACAGCTGAAGAACAGCAGCTTGGAACAGCTGAAGAACATCAGTTCTAAACAGCTGGAGAACAGCAGCTCGGAACACCTGGAGAACAGCAGTTCTGAACAGCTGGAGAACTGCAGCATAGAGCAGTTAGAAAACAGCAGTACAGAGCAGCTGGAGCAGAGCAGCTCAGAACAGCTTGAGCAGAGCAGCACAGAACAGCTAGAGAACAGCAGCACGGAACAGTTTGAGCAGAGCAGCTCGGAGCAGCTTGAGCAGAACAGCACAGAACAGCACAACAGCATGGAACAGCTTGAGCAGAGCAGCTCGGACCAGCTTGAGCAGAACAGCACAGAACAGCTTGAGCAGAGCAGTACAGAACAGCAGAGCAGCACGAAACATCTAGAGAACAGCAGCTCGGAACAGCTAGAGAACAGCAGCACAGAACAGCTTGAGCAGAGCAGCACAGAACAGCTTGAGCAGAAAAGCACAGAACACATAGAGAACAGCAGCACAGAACAGCTTGAGCACAGCAGCTCAGAACAGTTTGAGCAGAGCAGCACAGAACAGCTTGAGCAGAAAAGCACAGAACACATAGAGAACAGCAGCACGGAACAGCTAGAGCAGAGCAGCTCGGAGCAGCTTGAGCAGAGCAGCACAGAACAGCAGAGCAGCTCAGAACAGCAGAGCAGCACGAAACATCTAGAGAACAGCAGCTCGGAACAGCTAGAGAACAGCAGCTCGGAACAGCTAGAGAACAGCAGCACAGAACAGCAGAGCAGCACGGAACAGCTTGAGCAGAGCAGCTCAGAACAGTTTGAGCAGAACAGCTCAGAACAGCACAGTGGCACGGAACAGCTAGAGAACAGCAGCACAGAACATCAGAGCAGCACGGAACAGCTAGAGAACAGTGTAGAACAGTTGGCGAGCAGTGCAACAATAATGGAGGGTCGCACAACAACAGATCCATTAACGCAGCACAGCGGTGCAGTTGTGGAGCTTCAAGCAGAGCAGCGAGAGCAGAGCGAAACGCCACTGGACTGCACCGGGGACCTGCTACAGGAGGGGAGGACGGGGCGCGTGGTGGAGGGGCCGCAGGTCCGCACCGAGGCACAGACCGCCGAGAGCGCCGAGCCCACGGGCGACGGGGCGGCCCCGGCGCGGAAGGGCGGCACGGTGTTGGTGCTGGGTCTGGACGGAGCCGGCAAGACGAGCCTGCTGGAGGCGCTGGCGATGCAGCCCTATGCCGGGAGCCCGGCCCCGCAGTCCAAGCCGGCGCCCACGCAGGGCACGCACACGGTGTGCGTGCACCACGCGGAGCAGCACAGCACCAAGTATCTGGAGGGTACGTGCGCGTCGAGAGCTTTGAGCGACACGCGTGCGTGTGTGTGTGCGCGTGTGCAGCGGTCGTGTAAATGGCTAGTGCGCTGCGCTACAAACCCAGCAACCCGAGTTCAATTCCCGCTCATGTTCAACATCGGTGACCAATATCTGAACCAGTTATGGGCCTCCCCTAGATTGACTCGGCCTTAAATGAGTACCATGTGCGATTTGTAAACAACACAAAGGTTATACAGGGGATATTTGTAATTTCTTTGGGTGCTATTGCGGATAGTAGGCTGCATAACAAACGTGGCGACTGGAGTTAGATTTTCGGCCACGAATAAACATCAGTGGCATATTTTCCGAACTGGTGCTCTGCCTCACTTAGGTCGACTCGGCCTTAAACGAGTGCCCAGTGCAGTGTTTAAACATCGGCGCTGGAGAGAGAGAGAGTCAGCCGGGCATGGTGCCGGCGACGCCACCCCGACGTCCTGCGCCGTGCCAACCTTCGCCGGTGTTGGCTCCACAGCGCTTGCCCCAACCGCTTGTGAAGGCTCCCCTGCAGAGTTATGGGAAACTGATGTCGCAGTAATCGTCATATCGTGAAAAAATCGTGTAGTATTGTATCATGAAACATTGTCTCGTGGCAACCCGACTATGAGCTATCATAGATAGGTATCCCTATCTCAGGTGAGCAAGCCAAGCCATGGGAGAGTTCATTAACATTCTGACTGGGTGGTAGTACGTTAAACATTCGTAGAGGGCAGTGCGAATGGGAATCTGAGGTTAATTTACATAAATTATTAATCAGAATGCAATTATGAAAGCTGTATTGAGTTCATGACACTTGTTTCCATGGCATAGCACATTTCATTATTGCATGATTCCTACGTCAATTGTAGCGGTGTTGCAGTGGTTGGTGCACTGCGCTCCGTACCTGGCCACCTGAGTTTGATTGCCGGCCAGGCTTGGTGCTGGCCACCACCACCCCCTCGTGCGCCATGCGGCCCTGATTGGGTGCACACGAGTGGCACCTTCCCAGTCTATAAAAGACCGTACGGTGGAACTTTTTATTTGGTATGGGGATTGATGGTGCTGTGGTTCACACACTATGCTACAAATCATTAATTCCCAGCCATTGGTTAATATCATTGGCAAGTTGTGTCCGAACCTGTTCTGGTCCTCCCCTAGGTTGGCTCGGCCTTCTGTGAGTATCCGGTGTGGCATGTGGGCATCGACAGTCCGAATACAAAGGTGGCCAGGCAAAGAGCTGCCCACACTACCCCTTCGAGTGCCATGCCAGCCTTAATAGGTGCTCACTAACAGGTCTTCCTGCAACAGTCCTCATGGCCGCATGGGGGATAGTTCATCTTTGTCCGTGTGTGTGTGTGTTCGTGTTACCATGTGACACGTGGACAGTTGGGGGAAGCGAAGACCTGCGGCCCCACTGGCAGCGCTACTTACAGGTGTGGTGTCGCCACAACACACTCGCGTCAAACCTGACAAGCGCCGACACTCGGTACTCGGAGGAAACCCAAGCGACTGCACCGGCACACTGATGTACACCTACAGACCATCGTTGTAATGAAAACCGCCGTGTCCTTCAGCCGTCCGAGCAAAATCATTCCGCGGTCAACACGCTTCCGTCACAACGTGCGTCTCTCCACGTGAAACAGTGCAGTGTGCCTAGCGTGTACGGTTGTGTTGTATCACATGTGAGTGAGTTTGTTGAACAGTGGCAATGTGGCCGTTACGTTTGAGAAAAATGAGACTCACGCAGCAAGCTGTTGGTGTGCGATAGCTGCACATTGCAGGTGGTGTGCATAGAGAATCGGCGAGGTTGCAGCAGAGTTTATGACATTGTGGTTACGAGCCAAGGAGTGGATGGAACATGTCTGAGCAGACGTTAAGCTTTAGAGATGGAGCAGTGAAATCCGTTCACCTGTCGGATGGATTTTGCATCGCCCGATTGTGAGGGACGGTGGCAACTTGGGGAGGTCTTTGTCCAGCAGTGGATTGATCATGGCTGGTAATGATGATGGTTACTTGGGGTGTAATTATGCATCGATTAATAAGCTAAATGGGATCTTAAATTGTGCTTTTAACAAACGATTCGTGATAATTTGTTTGCCTTGTATGTCAATGGCTTGCATGACCCCACTTTCCACTGGAGGGCACTATATTCAACACAAAAGCAAATAAAATTGATTCTCGAATAAAGTTGCAACCCTGAGTCTCGACAATTCGTCAAATCGTTAAAGGCTTAGTGGTTAATAACATGCATGAACATCAATGGTGTTGACTGCTATTTGAACCTGGCCTAGATCAGTACTGAATTAAAAGTAAGTACCGGGTGTAGCGTGTTCACATCGGCACTGGAGATACACATGGGGCCAGTGGCTCATCCCTGAGTACCATGCTGGTCTCAAGAGGTGCTCACCAACAGCCTTCGCCCCAGCAGTCACCCGAGTCTGAATATCCCTTCCTACTTGGCAGAACGTGGACGTGATGCTGTTTGTGGTGGACTGTGCGGACCACGCGCGCCTCCCGCTCGCTCGAGAGGAGCTGCAGAAACTGATGCAGGCGGCGTCCGGCCTGAACATCCCTACCATCGTCCTGGCCCACAAGCAGGTGAGTGGCGCTCGCTCGCTCGCCCACCGTCTCACACCCGTGCCTCCCCGCCACGTGCATGAGCCACCAGCTGCGCTCCGGCCTACCGGCACCACACGCATGGTCACGGTTTGTCCCATACAGTGGAAGTCCTCTTTACAATCCTGCCTCTGATTACCCGCTCTTCTTCTTATCTGCGTTCCTGAATTGATCCGTGGACCCTCCTAATTATAAGAGATTTAACCCAGACGTCAGGGCAACATCCGATTATTGTCATAACTTACATATGTATTGTGAGAATTAGCCAAGCTAATGGGCCCTCTCGTGTGAATGTGGGGAACTCTATATATTTGGTTCCCAGAGACAGACTTTGCAACGGTGGGCACTGGTGACTATACTTTGCTGACGATTCCTAATTGTGACGAAACCAGTCCACAGTTCTCTGTCACTGCATCATGACTGGCAGACGATCACATTTGCTCAAATTTATTTTGATGCCGACCTTAGACAAAGACCCACAATGCACTTCTTCGGGAACTCATGAGGAATTTTGCACAATACTCAAAGTAACCCAGAGATCATGGTAAAGGTATGCTATTATCCGCATTTATCTGTGGTTTTGAAGAGATGTAAAATGTGCGTATAAACATGGACACTAGGATCCGGCCATCATTACCCCCCCCCCCCCGGCAGTATCGGCACAGTTGGAGGCGTTCACTGTTGTTTCACAAAGGCCATGTTTTTGTACGAACGTCGACGATGTTTTCACATGGCCAACGAGGAGCAACTGTTAGACATCGGTGTGAATGAACATAAATAACTTTAATTATGTAGCCAACTTCGTTCTACCTGACAATTGCCATTGTGAGAACTAACCCCAGTACATCACACCTACTGTACCGCACGGAGTTAGTTTGCGCATGATATTTAACAAACGCCAAGTCGAGCTTTCGCAAAGGAGCCTGTCAAACAAGTTCATCACGGCCTAACAGCTAATGCCCATCCCTAGCAGCTGGAAAATACTTGTGTTAGCCAGAACGAGAGGTCAGTCTGCTCAGAAGTGAAATAGTTTAAGATGAACGGCTACACACGGACAACCTGCAATGCCATACGGGCCTATCTGTGTGCGCACACACACAGCTCATACAGTGGGATCAATGAACAATTAATACACGTTGTGTGTAATTTATATGTTAGTGTACCTTCAAGTTGATGTAACAGAACGAGCAGGAAAGGACATGCAAGCCATGCATATACAACAGTACAAACAAAACAAAAATAGCCTTGATTATAGAATCGTGACCCTGAATTAGTGACATTCTCTTCTGGGTAGTTGCTTTGAAGAAATAGCCGTTGCCCCGAAACGTTGCCCATTATTTATTTGTGCTGTCCAGGCCGCACACACAACTGTGGTATTGAGCGTGGGGTCCGTGCGGCGCCGTGAGCGTGCGTGGCCGTGTGCTTGCAGGACGTGGCGGGCGCGTGCGACGTCGCGGCTCTCTACACCGCGCTGGCCCTCGACTCGGACGAGCAGCGTCAGCGGGTGGGCAGCCTCTTCGTGCTGCCCACTCGCCTGCCTTCCCCCGACATCGTGGACGTCTCCCTCCTCATACAGTTCGTCTTGGAGGGAGACGTCAAGTCAACGATTCCGATGCATAGCTCCAACCCGCTTCTGTAAACGATAAAGCGGCTGGATGCTTTCCAACGCCCGTCGCAGGTCTCCGGCACCGATTATAATTGCCGCCGTTGCGGGTTGTGTAGTCCCCTGGCAAGCGCTGTCTTGTGCCTTAGCCGAGGTGACTGGGTTCCTGCGCCCTTGTGATGGGTCTGGGGGTGAAACCCGCAGCTTTGGAAGGGGCTGAGCCCCCCCCCCCCCCCACACCCCCCACCTTGCTGAACTTTAGCTGAACATCCGTTTAAGATTTAACACCGACCTTGTCGTGCTCCCCCTGTGCTTTTGGGTGCCATCCACACCCCCCCCCCCCCCCTTGTGAGAGTGCCGTGCTAGACGTGTGGGCGGCGTCGAGGTGACTACTCACGCAAGGCGTCGTGGCGTTGTGGCATCGTGGCGTCGTGGCGTCGTGGCGTTGTGGCGTCGTGGCGTCGGGCCCGAGCGTTGAGGCTGCGACGGAAGCGTCGCCGGGCCTCCGTGCGGTGCAGTCGTTGAGGTGAAACGAGTCGGGAGACTGGCAGTGTCTCTCTTCAAGTTACAATCACCGTGTTTGCCCGTTCGACGGTATTGACTGTTCATGCAATACGCGCAGAGTCGCATCAGGCTGATGTCGCTAGAAGGCGCTATTGCGCCGCTTCTGAAACTCGCGCTTTGGCAAGAAGTACTGTTTTCTCATTCACAGAGCGTTGGACTTATCAGACGGCTAAGGGCTTGCACCGACCATGCATAGCAACTGGTTGTTCTTGAGTTCAGTCTTAAAGCGATATATTTTTTTAAACCCAGATGTCTACAGCTTTGGTTCGAGTGCTTTATTCGCAACCTGAATACTTCAAGTTCAAACTCGGCTCAGAGTTCGCCTCGGCCCATCATCAGCCCATCGTGGTCAATAACGTGACGTCCTGCGCCAGGACACGAATGGGCGTGGTATCGTGGAGGTGACCGGCCATGGGAATGTGGAATTTCCAGTGTTAGCTCGGCGGGCGCCAACAGAGGGAGCACTTGCACGTCGGAGCAGGGAGGCAGCGGCTTTTTGTTTGTTTCCATGCGTACGCGTTTGGTTGAAGTGCACTGCAGGTTTCTATTGTTCCGTGTGCGTTTTCCCAGATGCAGACACGATCACAGTCTGTGCGGGCGTTGGCCAATCCACTCTGTAATCCATGCCACGCCAATACATGTGCCACAAATGCAATGAATGTGTTAAGTTATGGGTCGCTGTGCTGTGCTGTGTATGCTTTCGGGTCACACTTACAGTTCGGAATTGTTTCGGGTTGTTCGTTGCGGACTGTGTAATGTTACTTTGAAGGGAGGGAGATGGAGCTTTGAACCCAGTATCTCGACAGCGCTCCGAGCTATGACAACGAATACACAGCGGTGCTCCTATAGCTCCGTCGTGGCCCAATCCAAACCCGCGGTGAATGCATCGGCAGTAGTGGCGTGTTTATAATTCTCTTCCTAAGGTCGGTTAATAAACTGTTTTGTACATGGACGGAGAGCACATTACCTTGGCACCGATGAAGAGTACATTGCCGTGCCTTCTAGACCCTGCAGCAGCAACGTCTCACGGTGTTGAGTTTGTGTTTGTTATGATGAACAATTGTACGCTCACAGTGGCCAAATAAAATAAATGTTGACTTTCTAAAGATTGTTTCCCTCTTTAACAACAATGCATCGGTTATGCCATGGCAAGAGTTATGTCAGACCTTGCAGAGAAAGTTAATAAAATCTTGACTTCAAGCTTTCATGACTGCAGGAATTCATATTCTTTGGGTCTTTCGGTAAAGTCACGTAGAAAGGTTCAAAGAAAATAACAAAAAAACTACGACGTTTTGATCGCAACCCAAAGCGGTCGTCATCACGTGGGTGCGAGTCGATGGAGACCAGCGCCCGACCATCACCAGGCGGTGGAAGCCGCTGGCCTTGGGCAGCTGCTGAGTGATCGCTGGTTTATGTAAAGAAGCTTCGCTCACAAAGAGGACGCTGGCGTGGATTGTTCAGATGCCGTCATTGAGGTGTGTTCACATCAACGCGGACAGGTGGCTGTGGTCACCCACAGCACATGGCGCGTCCACACGCAGAACCACAACCGACGCTCAATAATCACGAGTTTTGTGTCAAACTCAGAACCCACTACTGATCGAAATAGGTCCCTATCTTTAAACAAATGAATTGATGATCCCGCCGCGGAGATGGAGCGATGAGACGAGTCCGTGTGGTGCAGGAGGTGCTGGACGGGAGCCATCACTGGGTTGGGTGATGGCTACGGGGGAGGGAGGCCTTTGTCCAGCAGGTGATAGACAATGGCCGATGATGATGATGATGGTGATGTGGTTAGTAGCAGGACGAGCTCAATGTGTGCATGTGATCCAGTCGTTCCCCCCTCACTGGACTTCAGAGCACTCTTCATCGTCAGCCTTCCGCGCGTTGCTCATCAAGGAATTATAAAGTGCGCATTGTGGGGCTGCTGCTGCTGTGCTTCGTGTCAGGGCAAGTCAGAAATCTGCCCTACAAGCAGTTACACACATTAATTCAGTTACACACACATTCAGTTACACACACACATTCAGTTACACACACATTCAGTTACACACACATTCAGTTACACACACACATTCAGTTACACACATTCAGTTACACACACACATGCAGTTACGCACACACATTCAGTTACACACAATCAGTTACACACATACAGTTACACACATTCAGTTACACACATGCAGTTACACGGGTCATTCACATTCAGTTACACAGTTACGCACACACATTCAGTTACACACATTCAGTTACACAAATTCAGTTATAAACACAGGTCACTCTCGCATTCACACGAAACACCTTTGCCAAGCGCGGCACCAGGGCTGCATACGGAGTCCCGTACTCTCTGTGGTCCCAACGCCGCGTTGCTGATGAGACTCGTAGTCATCGGACCTCCCGCGGGCCGGCGTGGGCCCCTGCGGTGGCGGCGAGCGACACGTGACCTCGCGTGCTGTGCCCAAGGGCCTCGCGTCTCCCCCGCTACCCTTCGTCATCGTTGCCATCGGCCCTCATTAGTCCGCTGCTGGATGAAGGCCTTCCTAGGCAGCCTCCATCTCTCATCACGGCTCCGCGATGCGACAATCGCCCTCGCACCCTGCACCCGAGCCGACCTCGGCACTCCTCCGTGTGCGCCGCGGACGTCGTCCCGGGCGCGTTCCTCCTCGAGTCGTCGTCTCTCGACCCGCCCGACTTCTCACGCGCACATCGAAGACCAATTATGGGGTGCTAGGAAGCGAGTTTGGGATGTGAAGAGGGCACAGATCATTTCCAGCGGGTGCCAGTGGCTGGCAAAGAGTTGCCTGGTGGTTGTAAGAAGCAGCGGCGACCGCCCAGGAAATTTGCAGAGCGCGGCTTTATTCCGACGCACGGGGCAGGCTCACGCATGCCTGGGTCACAGTCGCGCGCTTGGAATCCCACTGCGCTCCGAGCAATCACAATACAAAGTGCGTCGGTGCATTCGTGGATGCGTCATCATCAACTTTCGTACGAAGCTTCACGGGGTCCGATCCCCGTCTGGTGCGCACAGATTTGTCCACTGGACTGCATTTCACAAACATCATAACGGCGCGATAGACGTATGATGCTGTTCACGAGGAACACAAACAACTCAACAAGACGCAACAAATGTATAATAAGTGACGTTTTGGGAAAATTTCCCTTCTTCAGAGCACAATGATACATGTGCGAATTTTACACGTAGGCTTTCAGTGTTATGATTCATAATTGGTTTAATTTGAGTTAGGCAGTGGTGTAAAATGTGTGTCGTGAACCCTCCTCTACCCGACAGAGCCAACTAATAATAGTGTCACGTGATTCAAACGTGCCAAACTTGTCACTGCGCCAGCATCACCACCGGCGTCTGGAGAGTGATCTCACGACACGTGAACACCGTCTCACGCACGGCCAATTATTATTAATCACAATACACGTGCATTGAAAAAGGGCCATTTATTTACAAATCAGTCACGTGCCATGAAGAAGAAGAAGGGCCATTGCCCGAAACGTTGACTATTCTATATTTGTACCGTATATATTTTAGGTTTGCCAACGCAAGCATCACCACAATGTGTCCACAAGTAGGTAGCTGTGTGGTTGTGTGATGTTTACCTGTTGAATGTCACGGTTCACACTGGTGGGCACGAGTGGATGGTGACGGGGAAATGACCGCAGCTTCTGCACAGCGATCTGATGCGGCCGTGCAGTCCAGCTGCGAGCTCAAGCGAGTACACCATGACTTATTTAGGGTTGTAAATGTAAAACCAAGGTGTGCACACATCCCTGAGTGTATAGACCTTACATCTGCACTCACAAAATGCTGCCATACCGTGGCAGGGATCATTGTATGAATAGTGTTTGTTTTACATATGGATATTTCACCGATTGTTGAGCATTTCATAGCCTGGTTTATGCAACTATTGTTCCGCTCTCCGTTAAACCCCAACGCGAAGAAATCCCAAAAGCGTGTTCGTGTTCAGAGCGGTGTTGTGGCTCCCCTCCACTCTGACTCCTGGTACCCGCTCATTTCCCTGGCTGCCTTCCAAAGCAATCCAACTCCACCACCACCAACAGCAACTCCACCACCACCAACTCCACCACCACCAACTCCACCACCAACTCCACCACCACCAACACGACCACCAACACCACCACCATCAGCGCAGTAATGCCCCCTCAGGCAACACACCTGGGCGCACCTCCACGCGCGCCCCCCACCCCGTCCCCCGGCCGCCTCAGCGCCTCGCCGCGACCGTTCAGAATTCACTGGCTCTGCTCGACGGCCGCGAGCCGGAGCCGTCATCCCAGTGCGGGCACCGCGTTCCTAGCAGCCCGCGACATGGCGCACGGTCGGCGCTCCTCCCTCGACTTCTCGTACGGCGGTCGCCCGCGGGAGACGGCGGCGCGGACCTTCTACCCGGGCCTCCCCCTCGGCCGCGGCGACGGAGCGGGCGCCACGGCCGCCGCCCTGGGCGCGGACTCTTTGGGCGCGAACGGCGCGGCGGACGAGAAGGCGGAGATGCAGGGTCTGAACGAACGCTTGGCGGAATACATCGGCAAGGTAAGCGGCATGGCCCCGGGCGCGCGTGGGGCCGCCCGTGGGCCGCTCGGGGCCCGCGGCGACCGAGTGGCCGGGGCCCCGCGAGTGACCCCCAAGCGAAGTCCCGCGACGCGCGGCCCTGGAGCCTCCCCTGGAGTGACCGCTGCTAGGAAATGCCACGAACGGCGCAGCCACCCTGGGGGCCTTGAAGCCGCTGAGGTCCCCATTCACGTGAAGCCATTGCCAATCGCTACGTTTGACGAAATTAGAAAAAAAAGTGTAAAAGTTTTACAAATATTACTTTTTTTAAACAGGAAATTTTAGGCTACGACAAATATTTTTGATTTGACATTTGGGGAGAAGCTGAGGCATTTCTACCTCATTACTGGTCATCAACAAGCCAACACAGCCCTGGACTCGGGAGTGCTATCAACAAGGAGTGATCATCAGCTACAGCGTGGCACTCAATGCTGATTACAGAAATAGTTCTGAACAAGATGGCACGCTTTTCAGGCGCACTTGCTCATAAGGTTTCCATTGGCAAGGTCATCATTACAAAATAGCTCCTTCCGGCTCACATTTGCCATTTAATTTCACCATTTTAACATCAATCAGACCTTCTTTGATCGCCCTCGGTATATATGTTTTCGTTTGTATGGAGCTTGAGTGGATGCTGCCATCAGTTCGCTTTGTCCTGCACGTTTATAACTTAATTTGTCCAATAAGCGTGCATTTGTCAAATATTTCATAATGCAGTTGTGAACAGCCCAACTCCGTCTTCTGATTTGTATTTTTCTTGTCTCATGCAATTTCAACTTCACAGTTCCTTGCTTGTAAATGGTTTCTCTATTTGTATTAAGACCTTGGATGTTAATAAGTTCGATACCAGATTTTAGTGTTGACTGGATCAGAAGGTTTTCAATCCGTGTGTGTTCTGATGCCAGCTATGACCCATGGATCAGAGTTAGATCAGAAACGCGGACACTCACAAACAATACGAAATAACAGCTGAGAAGTGCCGAAAGCAGAGTTGAGGGATACCGAGCCAATACTAAAATACAGGCACACATACTCAGGGAATACAAATCACAAGACACGATGCAGCCTGTTTCGAGAGGTAAATGTGCTTGGGCGTTACGCTTGGCCAAAAGGGACGATGTCCAGTGACCCACGACTGGGGATGAAACGGCAGCCGAAGGAGCGAAGGCACCCGGAGGAAGTGGCCACCACAGGGATGTGGCAATGCGAGGGGTTCACGTGCGGCAGTGAGACGGGTGGGTTGTGGCGTGACGCGATCACGAGGGATGGCGTGCAGAAGCCTCCATCCAGGGCTGGGGAGCAATTGTCTGATAATGATGACAGTGATGATTGTACATTTAGAATCCTGCTTCAAATGTCCCTCACCAGGGATGTTAGTCGTGAATTAAATAAACTATGGAGTTGCCTGTTGACTGTTGGCTACGTACGGTGCGAAAGAAGTTCAGCATACATACATACAAACACTGCACTCAATCGCTGTCATCTGGACACCTGCTTTAGAACGCTTGGTGTGGCCAGGCCACGGTGGCTAGGAGATGTTAACTACCTCACCTGGTATACAGGAGGTTGTGGGTTCAATCCCGACCCTTATGCCTGCATTTGGAGATTGCATGTTCTCTTCTCGTGGTCGTGTGGATTTCCCTCCAGGTTCTCTGGTTTTTCCCTCCACACTTATAATCACCGTATGCTGAGAGTATTTGGCTGCTATACATTTCCACGCGATAAGCCACTTCGTTGAGCTATCATTTCTGATAGCCAGGTCGCTTATGAAAAATACCTAAATGGCTCAATGGGCCTTACCTGGTAAAATTAAATAAAAATAGTTTAAATCTTGACTTAAAGCTTTCGTGACGGCAGGAATTCATATTCTTTGGGTCTTTCGGTAAAGTCACGTATATAGGTTCAAAAAAAACTACGACGTTTCGATCACAACACAAGCGATCATCACGAGGAGGAAAAAGGGGGAGGGAAGGGGGTGACGATCGTTTGTGTTGCGATCGAAACGTCGTAGTTTTAATTTAATTGAATTATTTTTTGGACCTATCTACGTGACTTTACCGAAAGACCCAAACAATATAAAAATAGTCGATTGTGTGGAGGCAGCAGCAGCAGCACTCTGAACGACCTTGTGTGAACGTGTGCAAGGTGCATTACCTGGAGGGCGTGAACCACGAGCTCGAGGTGAAGATCAAGGAGCTGCTGAAGAGTGGCCATGACAAGACCCAGGCCAGCGGCAGCAGGCTCGCTGCGGCTGAGGAGCTTTGTGCCAAGGTGAGATGCAAGCACCGCCTCGCGGCTAGCACCGTTGGCTATGTACGGCGCGAAAGAAGTTCAACATGCATACACACAATCCGCCCTGCAACGGGGACGAACCTACTCGGTGGCCTGGCCTGGACATTGGACTTCGCTTGGCAGCCAACCACAATCTTGAACGCCGGACGCCACGACGAGCTGATGGCAACGAACGCCAATGAGAGGGCGCCCTTCGCAGATACATTCATCTTCACGTCTCACTTTGCCGCAGACTCGGACGCACGAGGCGACGTCGGTCTCAGTGACAGAGACGCCCGCATCTGCTCCACACACTTGTCCAAGAGCCCCTCTGCCGTGACGCAGCAATGTGCACTCAACAATGTGCATGGCATTGCTGGGTGTAATGAGAGTCGGAATTTTAACCACATGTGCCAACACGATCTGTAGGGTGCTGTATAAAAATTGTTTAATATTGAGCCCAGGGTGAACTGTCTACATACAATGTAGCCGCTCGTTTTATGCAACAAAGAACGCTTTCAGGTACAAGTTGTGTTCCTCGCATTTGTAAAACAACACAAAACTGTAGTATTTCACGTACTAAGGTACAGATAATGGGGGATTTGTTTATGTAGGAATTTCATTTTCCATTGAGAAAATAACTGGACAAGTAACCTTAATGTATTTTTGACTTATTTCGCACCATACGAAGTGAATCTGTTATTCACAGGCCGAATGAATATTGGTTCAGCGATGCCGCTTTAGCAGACGTTTCTCTCCAGGCGTTCTCAAATCACTCACGCCAACATGCTTAGACAACACGCAAGGCAGGAAGGGATGTCCCGTTTTGTCCTATATTCACATTATTTTGTCTCAGCCCAGGTATCCAATCAGCGGAGTTCATGCTCACATCCCAGGGCGCCCTTAACAAGAGCCCCGACGATGCGCGCTGCTCCCGTCACCGCGTTTGATTTCTTTCAGATCAAGAGCCAGACCGTGGACAATGCGCGCGCCGGCGTGAAGATAGAAAATGCGCGCCTGGCAGCCGACGACTTCCACTACAAGTGGGTACTGGGAGCATTGGATGCATGATTTGAGTAAATATTACGGACAGAGCCGAGTGGAAGGAAGGCCTTGATCGTGATATCTTTGAGTGAGGACACGGCTCATCGAGCTTTTTGAACAAAGCCAAAACAATATCCGCGACATTTGCGTCGCTGTTGTCAGCTTAACACACGCGGTCTATTCTAAGGAGGCAAAACCTCCACGCGACTCATTTCTCATTGACCGGCCGCGTGCTCACGACGGCGCTCGCTCTTCCCCAGGCTCGAGACGGAGCGCAGCGCTCGCAGCTGCGTGGAGGAGGACATCGCCAGGCTCCACGCGCTGCTGGAGGAGTATGGCGCGGCGGGCGCGGGCGCCAAGGCGGAGATCGAGGCACTCTCCGAGGAGCTGCACTACATCAGGAAGACTCACCAGCAGGTGGACGAGGGGGCTGCCGCTCGTGCTCTGTGTGTCTGTGTGTGTGTGCCTGTGTGTGTGTGTGCCTGTATGTGTGTGTGTGCCTGTGTGTGTGTGCCTGTATGTGTGTGTGTGCCTGTATGTGTGTGTGCCTGTGTGTGTGTGTGTGTCTGTGTGTGTGTGTGTGTGCAGTGCGGTGCTTTGTGGCTCACAGCCGGGTGATGTGCCGGATGGGAGGTGGGGAAAGACAGTGCTGATATTGCTGGCGTTCGGAACAAAGCGCCACATCGCTGGAATGTGACTCTCCCGTCTGGAGTGACTCTCCATCCTCCATCCTCTGCCCTCCTCTTCGTTTCCACCATCACAGATCCTCGGCCTCACTCTCATTCTCACCCCTTCCATTCCCTCCTTCGGTTCATCAAAAGGTGCCCTCCAATCTTCTCTCCCGGCGACTTCCATCCCCACTCCTCCCTCGCCGATGCCATTCGCGATCCTCTCATCGACCTTCCTCTCCATCCCGCCTCCCCCCCTCCCCACATCCACATCTCGACCGTGCCCACGGTGCTGGCGGCGCGCCCTGCGATGGGTTAGCGGCGCGCCCTGCGATGGGTCAGCGGCCGGGTTCGATTCCCGCTCACAGCCAATAACGGTGACAGCGAATGTCTGAACCGGCCCTGGGCCTCCCCTAGGTCGACTCGGCCTCAAATGATTACCTGGTGCGATGTACAAACATCGTCAAAAGGGAGACAAAGGCGGCCGTGCGTGGCGCTGACCCCCTCGTGTGCCACAGTGCCGGCCTTCGTCGGTGCTACTCGCCAACAGCACTTGCCCCAACAGCCTGTTAAGGCTACACGGGGGGTCTTTGTCTTTGGTGTGCCCTGCAGGACATGGCCACCCTCGGTGCCCGTCTGGAAGCGTCCTCTGTGTCCGTGGAGGTGGCCAGCGCCAAGGGGTCGGACCTGAGCGAGATCCTGGCCGGACTGCGGCGGCAGTACGAGGCGATGATCGTCAAGACCCACGAGGAGATGGAGTTCGCCTACAAACAGAAGGTCGTCGTCGTCGTCGTCATCCCGCCACAAGCCAGCGAGACCTCACAGCCCAGAATCCGTTGTAATGACAGTCATAGACGTCCGCTCATGACGATGCAGTTGAACTCGAGGGGTTAATTTGTTTTTGACTGTGAATTCCGCGTCTAATGTGGCTACATAGACGCAATGCGATCCCCTCCCATTCGCCGTGCCAGTGCGTGCACTCTGTAACACCTCGTACTTACCCGTGCCGCGGTTCTCTTCTCCCGTAACGTCTCTCCCGCCATGCCGATTCCTCGTCAAAGATGGACACGGTGAACGTGACGGTTTTTGAAAAGAAGCAGGCCTCGCAGCTCGTCAAGGACGAGATCTCGGACATGAAGCACTCCAGCCAGAGTCTCCAGAAGGAGCTGGACACGCTGTGGGGCCTGGTGAGGAGGACTTCCCGCACGGCGCTCGCTCACTCGCTCACGCGCCGCACCCGGCCACCGATGCCGCCGTGGGGCAGCGGCGTCGGACACGCAGGGAAGTTCGCGGTTCGATTCCAGCGGCCGCCCCGATTAATACCGCCGGGCGTATCAGCCGTGAAAGCGCGCGGCAGTCTGCTTCGCAGCGGACGTTAAAGACCCCGCGGCGTTACTCGCAAGAGGAGGCCGCGGTGCGCCAGAGGCGGGGTTCAAATTTGGCAAAATTTAGTAACACTTCGTGCAAAGAACTCGATTGGAATCTCCGTAGCAATTATCGCTCGCGACTGTTGAAGCTTGGCAGGGCCCTCCTAAAACAAGAGCCTTGAGATGTAGCGAGCCTCTCCTGGGTTACCAATCGTTATGATGTCATCATTGACGCAAGGGCAGTAAATGTGATGCCACTCGCGGGACCGCACTCCCTGATGCCTCCCGGGTGTCGGTCTCTCCCAGATCCGGTGTCTAGATGAGCAGCTGAGAAGCGCCGAGGCGTTGAACGCCGATAGCCTCTCGGGCTACAGCGGCGCCATCAGCACCCTCGAGTCTGAGCTCGCGAAGCAGCGAGCGGACATCCACCGGCAGATGCACGAATACTCGCTGCTGCTGAACGAGAAGATGAAGCTGGAGCAAGAGATCTCCACCTACAGGGCCTTGCTGGAGAGCGGACACAGGCGGTGCGTGTAAATCAGAATCTCTATTCACCCTGGAGAAATCCGATGAGCTGTGAAGCTCTTTTTTCCACGGACGTCTCCAGTAATTGGGCGACGCGACTAACGTCACCGTCGACTGAGATTCTGAACGAGTCTCCGCCTCACCCACGTGCGCTCCTGGCGATCGCCTTCAGGAGCTTCAGGGGCTCGTTGTCAGTGTCGAGGTCGGCGAGACGCGAGGGGCTTGTGCAGAGTTCGCGTCGTGGTGCTGTCCCTCCTCCGTCGAAGGAGCGCAGACTAACAGTGAACTTAAGTTACATGGTGAAAACGTTACTTGACTGTGCGTGCATTTCGGAACACATTCCCATTGTGTGAGGATTGGTTATCTAACGGATTGACTTGCCCCCGCCATAGAAATGTCGATTTGCCCATCAGTGGCTTCGGGTCGATAAACAGGAGATGATCACCACCTCAATGTTCATCACTTGGACTTGACTTCAATGTCATCATATTCTCCTGAGATAAATGTGAACCCAACGCGAATTCGAATCTCTCTCTGGCTCACACTGCAGCATCCCTAACCCCAATAGAGAAGCATCCAAATGCCCATAATAATGCGGCAGCCGTTCGCTGCAATGATTTCGTGATGGACGTGCAGCGACTGCGATATTGAACCCAATGTGTGTGCGGGACGACGTGAACCGGAGGGGAGTGAACGTCGCGAAAGTGACCGCGTGCGTGGACTCGAACCCCACGGGCCCCCCACACCCGCAGGCTTGACGATACCTCCACTGCTGCTGTTGTTGCTGCTGCTGCGTCTTCCGGCACGGATGATGGAGACGGCGTGGGGACTGCCGCTGCTGCTCCTGCTCGGGGTAGAGACGAGGACATCGGCAGAGGTGGATTCGCTCGCTGCACTTTGTGTGTGTGTGGTGTGCGTGTTGTGCGTGTGCTGTGTGTGTTGTATGTGTGTGTTGTGTGCGTGTGTTGTGTGCGTGTGTTGTGTGTGTGGTGTGCGTGTTGTGTGTGTGCTGTGTGTGTTGTATGTGTGTGTTGTGTGTGTGTGTTGTGTGCGTGTTGTGTGTGTGTGGTGTGCGTGTTGTGCGTGTGCTGTGTGTGTTGTATGTGTGTGTTGTGTGCGTGTGTTGTGTGCGTGTTGTGTGTGTGTTGTATGTGTGTGTTGTGTGTGTGTGGTGTGCGTGTTGTGCGTGTGCTGTGTGTGTGTTGTATGTGTGTGTGTGGTGTGCGTGTTGTGCGTGTGCTGTGTGTGTTGTATGTGTGTGTTGTGTGCGTGTTGTGTGTGTGTGGTGTGCGTGTTGTGTGTGTGTTGTTTAGCTTATTTAGTTGGTTGTCCTTTCCCACGCGCCTCCGATTAGCGCGGTTGGCTACGTCCGTTGTTTTAGTTTTTGTTGTTTTTAATCTGCGCGTTGCTGCCCCGTGCCCCGTGCCCCGTGCCCCGTGCCCCGTGCCCTTGTGCCCCGTGCCCCGTGCCCTTGTGCAGGGGAGAAAAAGAGAAGCGCAGTGATCGTCGTCACCCAGCACGTGACGGACGGGCGGGTGACGGAGGAGAGCGAGGAGCGCTGCGAGCACTGAGCCACGAGGCGTCGTGCCGCCGCTCACACCCGCACACACCACGAGCGGTAGTCGTAGCGAGGCTTTCGCGACCAATGTCATCCATGAGGTTGTTGTTTGGGGTGGGGGGGGTTAGATCGCGTAAATATATAAATGTGTCGTTAAACCCGCCACCACCCGACACAGCCAACTAGTAAGGGCTGTCACGTCAACAGAACGTGGCCAATTCGTCACTAGTACAGCACTAACCGGTGGGTTGGAGAGCCAAGCCACAACATTTACAATATAATTACGTTTCGCCAGTAATTACAACCGGCATCATCAGGCGGCAGCCAGATTTGTGTTGGCTGTGTCGGGTGGTGGCGGGTTTAACGACACATTTATATTTACGCGATATAGCCCCAAAAAAACTGTATTATGGACTCGACAATAGACTTGCATCCACACACAAGGTCCACGTTGCCTGTACACATGCCCTTATACACGTGACTGATCCCGCAATGCATTGCCGCGTGTTTGCGAGCGCTTGGCGAGAGCTCGAACAAGCAGGCGACGTTATGGACACACGAGACGAGGCTCGCGTCAACAACCCCAGTGATCAGAAGTGGCGGTGTCTCATCGCCATCCTCGTGACCCGTCCCGCATCATCCCTCACGGTCCACCTCGCTCCTGCACGCGAGCTCAACTTGCTTTCTCCATCTCTCTCCCGGTGGTCGTCCTCCTGGGCACATTCTCTCTCTAGGCTGCCAAAACACTCGACAGACTCCATCCTTCATCTCAGCCGTCATCGTCTCTTCGAGCGATGTGTCCGAGTCACACTCCGCTCAACCATCGCTCTTCTTTCTCGAGTTTGACGTTCCCTCGTCCACGCGTTCCTCGTTCCTCCCCTCCTCCACGTGTTCATTCTCTAGTCCACGCGTTCCTCGTTCCGTCTCTCCGCGCTTCTGGTCACTTTTAAAATGTTGCTCAACTTTACATCGCTCATCTGAGCTGTCTCTCGTGATGTCATAATTGACAACAAATGTGTTTATCAATGGTGGCTTTCGTACTTTGTGTGGTTCATCAAGTCTTGTACTTTATACATGTGGATTCCATCCAGCATTGAAGGGAACAGTTAATTAAGCATTCAAGGAGGCGAACAATGTATTTTGTGACGTAAAACATTGTTGAATCATCTCAGGCCTCTGGCTCATGTAAAATAAAGCGTTGCTTTCTCTGGAAGATTCGTCCGAGTGTTGCCAGCATATAAAGCAACAGCTGTACACAATCATAATCATCACTGACGGTGTTGCAAAGTGTTGGGTGAGTCATTAGGGCCTTACCCATCACATTAGGCTTTGTCCCAGTCCTGCTGGGTCACGTGGGTGTATCTGGATGGTTCGATTCTGCAATAGTTACGGGGGCATATAGCTCTCACACGGAGGTGATGTTCGCGTGATGTCCAACGCTTTTGTTCCAAGTAGTGGCAGCTTCTTCAGAAGAAAGCTTCACAAGCTTGGATTTCTGAAGAAGCTCTCGGTACGTGGAGCGAACCGTCGGACGTTACGCACGAACAGCACGCGGTAGCAGCGGCACTCGTGCTCTTGCTGACTCCTACGGCAGGGGTCGCCAACATCTGCGGCTCTGTAAGGACCGCGTGGTGACCTTATTGGTGACCTTATTGGTGACCTTTTAGATTACCTTATTGGTGACCTTATTGGTGACCTTATTCACTTTGCATTGCGGCTCTTTAAATTTTGAGGGTTTTTTTTTACCGAATTCGAACAAAAGTTATAAAGACTCTTCTTCTTGCCCTGGTTGCCGACTCCTGCCCTACTGCGTGCACTTGGTACAGCGACCTATTTGAAAGGAGCTCCGTTCCAGAAATGATAATAAAAAAATCCGTCCCCCATGTTCCGGCCACATAGTGAGCGTGGGAACGAATATTGGCAAAGCTCCCGTTCCACGACCTTCGTACGTGAATTGTTTATTAACTTTGTGCGACTAACAAAGCAAGCGAGCTCTTGGAGAGCTGGTGGACAAAATCCGACATGAAAGGGGAGCAGCATCACGTGTCGTGTCATCAGTGCCTCTGCCACCACCGCCGTGAGGTCCAGGGCACTTGCCCCGGCTCGAGTTGTGTTGAGCAGCAGCAGCAGCAACTCGCCTGCTGATTCTGTTGCTGCTGCTACTGCTGCCGCGCTTGTAAATTCCGGCTCGCCGCGGGAGTGAGCCACGCGGACGAGCGAGCGAGCGAGCCGGAAGCGAGAGCCAGAAGCAAGAACCGGGGGCCGACAAGTATCTGCAAGGGGAGGGGGGGGAGTTTTGGCGGCGCGGGGATGGGCGACCCGGGGAGGCTGCGCGTGGCGGTGGTCGGTGCCGGGGCCGCGGGGCTCTGCGTGGCCCGGCACCTCCTGGCCCGGCCGCACGACTTCCACGCCCCGTGCGTGTGGGAGCTCGACTCGGCGGCGGGTGGCACGTGGGTGTACAAGCAGCACGGGGCGGGGGCGAACCTCTCCAGCATCTACCGCGACCTCAGGTGCGTCCGCGGCGCGCCTCGTGCGCGCACTGCGGGGTCGACTGAAAGTGGTTCGCAGGTCGACGCGGTCGGCTCGGCCGCACGTTGATCGACCCGCCACCAGAGACGCGTCTCGGGCGCTGCGAGCAGGAGATGAGCGACTCGCCTCACTCACTGCGCCAGTGCGCTGCAGGAAGTCACTTTGGCTCGCGTGTTGTCCTGTGAGTGGTGCCTATCGCTACGTTCGCCGCAGGACAGCCACAGTACCTCGAAACGAAACGTTACTTTCCAGCTAAATTAAATCAACAAGGACAGGTGGCAACCCTGGGTGATGGTGAAAATGTCACGTTACGTCTTCTTAATTCGTGCGGCTGATGATGTAGATGGAGAGCGATGACCACAGCCTCACATTCAGGTGGACAAGCCAGCGGAGTTGCACCATCGCCGGGACGTCTCCTTCGTGTCTGTGGAGCGGGGCACCGCATCCTCGTTAAATGCCGCGCTGTCTGTTCTGGATGACCACGGTCGCACGCAACATCAGATAGCCGCAACTTCTGCCATGGTTTGTGCAGCGGATGCGATTGAGACGGCCACTGTCAATTCCCACAATTGACGCTTTGTCGTATCCCACCCTGGCATGGTTGTGTGGAGTAAGAGGATTCCACACGGTGCCGCAGGGCTTCAACACAGCAGGCGCAGTGACCTGCAACGCCTTTCCAAACTACTGGATTTGTTATCTCTTAAGTGAGAGTACACTCAGTAATGCATACGTAAGTTACTGAGTATCAGGGTTGTTACTAATTATATGACTTCTGTTGCCTATTAATGTACAAATTGTAAGATAAAATTTATTTTGTTACGTAACAGTTTTGTTTATACTGGTAGGAACCTCCTGGTTACAGCATCCCACAGGGGATTATTGTGTCTGTCCGTCCGTCGTGCAGGGAGGGGCAGGGTAGGGAGGGAGGGGCTGGGTGGGGAGGGGAGGGTGGGGAGGGGCTGGGTGGGGAGGGTGGGGATGGGTGGGGAAGGTGGGGAGGGGCTGGGTGAGGAGGATGGGGCTGGGTGGGGGTGGGAGGGGTGGGGATGGGCTGGGTGGGGAGGATGGGGCTGGGTGGGGGGTGGGGCTGGGTGGGGCTGGGTGGGGAGGGTGGGGCTGGGTGGGGAGGGTGGGGCTGAAGAGTTGTTTCATTTAACTACTGCATAATCGGTACTTCAATCGATCGATTCATCGGATAGCCCAGCTCGAACTTATTGCATCCCAACTGTGAAGGCTTAATGCGTGTTTACAGTTAAGTGATGTAAGCAAACAGGAAACTACTGGTTTGTATCAGATACATGCACGGGATCTCTGTAATTATACAAACGATGACACGGGCGCTCATTGCGATGTTCGAAGCTGCTGCGGATTGTACGACCGGGGTCGTGCGGTACCCAGCGACACGAGACTGGAAGACAAAGTCGAACGGCACCCAATTACAATGGCAACAATTGAAGTGTTTGGGCAGCAGCCGTCAAGGAAGAGCTCGTGGAGGCTGAGAGACATTGACCAGCCACGTGGAATTGAGCCATCTTGACAACTATTCATGTTCGTGACAAAAGCAACTCATTTCAAGCCGTAAATAATGAGCAATTAAGTTGAAACAATATGCAGCCCTTGTTTCTTTGGAAGTCTGTACTAATTTTAATATAACAATTGAGATCGTGCCAGGCGTTCAGGCTGAGACAACATGAGGCTGGTGTTGGTCCAGGGGTCGCTAAACCCGGGAACAGTGGACATGTATGCAGCAGCTTGGCCCTCGGTTGGCCAATTTTATTTTATCTTTAATAACTTTTCTCCGGGGATATTTTGTTTATCTCCACGTGCAACCCGCTCTTAAGTGGGGACACGGCCAGACACAGGACGCGGCGCTGTCTCAGAAAAAAAAACATTTCGCCTTTTCCTGCATTCACGAATAAATAAACAAGATGACCGTAAGAAAGTGCTCTCTGTGGAGCTTGTCGCGCGAGTCGGAGGCGCTGACGTTTGGTCGTCGATCGCCGCCGCCAGAGGGCGTCGCATGCGGCTGCCGTCCCCGCCACGGCAGCCGCATGCGACGGTGACCTCGCGGGTCGGGGCGCTAGGGGGTGAGTCGCGGGGGGTGGGACGCACCAGTGGCCGAGGCACTCCGTTCTCCAACACTCGAGTGGTCCTCGCACGCGTTGTGGTTGTGCGGCGCCTACTTTGTTCAAGTCATCGGGAGGTGCGTTCGCAGAGGCACCGCTGGAGAGGGTTGGTGATGCGTTAGTAGCATGCAAACATTTTTGGGTTGTGCCACTCATAGAGATTAAATGTGTAAAATGCGATTGAATCCGTGTGATAAGGCACAGTGCTTTCTCATGCTCGTGCTTATCTCAAATATGACGCTGCTGCACGTGTGTGTGTGTCCTCAGTGGGGAGCGGTGGTGCAGCGGTTCGTGCACTGCGCTACAAAACCGGTGACCCGAGTTCAATTCCTGCTCACGGCCAACGCCGTTGACACATATCCGTTGGACTGAACCCCCAATGATTGCCTGGTGCAATGTGCAAACATCGCCACGAGGGAGACAAAGGCGGCCGGGCGTGGTGCTGGCCATCGACCCCTTCGTGTGCTGTTCCGGGCTTCATAGGTGCTCGCGAACAGTTTGTTAAGGCTCTGCGGGGGATCTTTGTCTGTTGTCGTCCACAGGACTAACCTGCCCAAAGAAGTGATGGCCTTTCCCGACTTTCCTTTCGACAAGAGCCTGCCCTCGTTCCTGCATCACAGCGATGTCCGAGCATACTTGGACAAGTACATCGATCACTTTCACATCCGGCCACACATCAAGGCAAGGCCCACCAGGCGTCGTATCAAGCCATCTTACTCTACATGTCTACACAGCTACACATGCTTGCTTCCAAACCCACAGTGATGATTGTGCCACTGGTAGTTACTTTTAAAGTTTGTCAGTTGTCTATCGTTGTTGGTATTATCCCACGCAGCACACAAGGTATGTTTCGCTAATACTCCTGCAGTATTAGCCAGGGCGGCTGCTGGGCTCGAATCAAGAACCTCTGCCTGTGACGACTCCACTTCATTCCCCGTCGCCTCTTCTGAGACTCAATTCTTATAAATTTGCGTTGTTAAAATAAACAAGAACTTGAGCACTGGACAATGTGGCCATCCTCTATATATGGAATTGGTTTATGGTAATATATGAAAAATATGCAATGAATGGATGACAGTCCAAGAAGTGTTTTAAAGATAAAAAATAAAATATATTTCTACGTGCAAAGCAGCTGCAGATTATCACCTGGCATATCTTTGTAGGCAACCAAACAGTTAATTAATTCATGCACGGATTGGGTATTGTCTACCTAATCCAGAAATGAGTCTGGCTTTCAGTGTAAACAGTGGGCATCCTACGGATATACCGGCACCCCCGCCATGGGAATGTGGAATTCCCACACTTGGCTGATGGATATCAATGAAGGCGAGTGCCGCCCTAATGCTGACGATTTAGCAGGGCGGAAGCCCCTCCTGCACCCACACCGCGCTCTGCATCGTCCCGTGGCATGCACCGGTGGATGAACGTCTGCGCTGTCGCCTGGGCGTGCGAGCAGCTGCAGTGGCGCGTGGAGCGGGTGCAGCCCGTGCCGGCACCGGAGGGAGCTCCACGCCACGAGGCCTGGGACCTCACTGCGCGCAGTCTGGCCGATGGCGAAGTTGTCACTCGGCGTTACGACTCCTGTCATCGTCTGCAACGGGCACGTGCCTCCACCTTCACACACTGCTCAGAGCACCCGTAGCACAGAGACACAAGCTCAGTTCATATCTAATTACAGTTCATATATATATACAGTAGTCAGATATAAGTTTGGCTGGAGTGCATATGTCTTTCAAGCAGACAGCTGTGATCACATTTCGAGTAAATGAAGGTGTGGAGGCTCATGTCGAGATGGGGGGTAGATTACGCGCTGTGCAGAGGGAACGCCTGCCGATTCTCACGCTGCCTGGGTGGTAGGTGACCAATCGGTTCTGCCACCCTCTCGAAATCCTTGCTCCTTCAAATCTTGAATAATTAGCAATTAGATACTTTTCCAAAATGTCCCTCCCAAAATTGCACAGAAGCTCCTGTAGGGTAGCCAATATACGGTATTCATGTAACGTTTTATATCCGTGTATTGATATATTTAATGAATACAACTTGAGATACAGCAATGTCTAGTATAAGAGTTGGCAATAATCTTTGTGAATGTTTATAAAGACTATAACATCGAATAGATCATCACCAAACATTGTCGAGCCCACTCTAGCGATCAGCCCTCCCGCACAGTCCTCTCGTGCCTGGGGCTCAACTCACGGCGACAGCGTGTCACGAGCTTGTGTGTGCGCGTGCGTGCGGAGCTTCTTTCGCACCGTACTTAACCAAGCGTGCAAATTTGTGCACGCGTGTGCGCGTTGTGTTTTTCAGACATTATTCCAAACCCTATCTGCCAGACATCCCCGGCCTGGCCGACTTCAAGGGGCAGGTGCTGCACAGCCGCGACTACCGCAGCCGCGAGCGCTTCGCGGGCCAAGCGGTGGCGCTGCTCGGCGCCGGCAACTCGGGCCAGGACATCGCCGTGGACGTCTCGGCCGTGGCCCGCGAGGTGTGGCTCTGCCACCGGCGCGCCCCGTTGCGCTCCCGGCTGCCCGACAACGTCCGCCAAGCGCCGTCCGTGCGGAGCTTCACGGATCGCGGCGTCGTGCTGGCCGACGGCTCGGAGCGCGCGGCCGACGCGTTCGTCTTCTGCACGGGCTACGAGTACTCGTTCCCCTTCCTGGCGCCCGAGGCGCGCGTCGGCGTCGGCGACCGCCGCGCGTCGCCGCTCTACAAGCACATGATTCGCGCGGCCACGCCGACGCTCGTCTTCGTGGGCCTCTGCAAGCTGGTCAACCCCTTCACCTTCTTCGACTGCCAGGCGCGCTACGCGCTGGCGACGCTGCGGGACCCCGCGCTGCTGCCGCCGCGCCCCGAGATGGACGCGGAGGCGCGGCGCGAGTCGGAAGCGCGGCGCGCCGCGGGCGTTCCCGAGCGCGACCGCCACCTGCTCGGCGAGCGCCAGTGGGCCTACATGGCCGAGCTGGCCCGCCTGCTCGGCACGCCCGAGGCCGCCCCTTCCGCCGCCGTGCGGGCCCTCTTCGACGCGGTGAGAGCTCACCGGGAGGGCAACCTTCTCGTGTACCGCAGCCTCAACTACCGGATCACAGGCGACGGTGAAGATGGGTGGTGCGTCGTTGGCTCTGGCGAAGGGAGCCGGTGAACTGCGTGCGGGGTCCCACCGCAACGAGCCGTTGTTGTGAGCGTTCGATTCCCAACGTTATAACCGCACACACAAATCGACCACTAATAAAGAAGAGTTCAATAATGTAGGGCTGTTGTTTGTAGGCCTACTGGCTAAGATATGCTAATAGAATGTGTGCTCCACACTAACTGAACTATTGTAATTCTACCACTGATCTCTACAGCAATTGTTCAGAAGCGACCTGGCCACAAGTGACGGCTGAACGTAGTGGCTTACATCACGTGGAAAATTATAGCAGTAGTCAAATACTCTAAACGTGTGATGTTCATTCTAAATATGGAGGGGGAAACTGAAGGACCCCGAGAAAAGTCCACGCGACCACGGGGAGAACACACAAATTAAAAATGTAACGTTCTGTTTCTGCACACTGGGGACTCATTGGTGATTGCTCAGCCAGAGCTATCGTGAACCCATCAGGCAACGCAATGTCCCGTGTTGGTGCCGGAAGGCGCCTTCAGCACGGGCCTGAGACGAGGCGCTTCGTGCACCAGACCCATACACCGCTCACCACTCACTGCCGTCTCATTCCCATCCAGGACTCTATTCCGGCTTCCATAAGCGGTTGTGTCGCTGCTCCCCGTTGCTATTTTAGAGATATTGTGCCGTGGGCTTTCCTCTGTTAGCGGATGGAGTCGCTGAGCCCGTGGCTCGGCTCAGGCTCAACTCGTGGAGATCCTGAGCACGGCTCGGATCATTTCTCAGAGCCGGCTCAAGTTTAAGCGTTTGGCTTTGAGCCGGCTCGCTTGAGCCAGAGCCGAGTCGAGTCGTGATGAAGAATAGGGCCCTCAAACGCTGTGCGGGGCCTCAAGGACACGGTCCCGAATCTTAAAACACCTTCGATTCTCCTGGCTGGCCGGTTGAAACATTTTGGCGGACCAAGTTGTTACTTGGTGGACTTTCCGGGGTCTTTTGGCGCTGCACGTGTAACCGTCGTACAACACAACACACGTGCACTAGTACACATCACAACACACGTGCACTAGTACACATCACAACACATGTGCACTAGTACACATCACAAGACACGTGCACTAGTACACATCACAACACACGTGCACTAGTACACATCACAACACACGTGCACTAGTACACATCACAACACATGTGCACTAGTACACATCACAACACACGTGCACTAGTACACATCACAACACACGTGCACTAGTACACATCACAACACACGTGCACTAGTACACATCACAACACACGTGCACTAGTACACATCACAACACACGTGCACTAGTACACATCACAACACACGTGCACTAGTACACATCACAACACACGTGCACTAGTACACATCACAACACACGTGCACTAGTACACATCACAACACACGTGCACTAGTACACATCACAACACACGTGCACTAGTACACAACACAACACACGTGCACTAGTACACATCACAACACACGTGCACTAGTACACATCACAACACACGTGCACTAGTACACATCACAACACACGTGCACTAGTACACATCACAACACACGTGCACTAGTACACATCACAACACATGTGCACTAGTACACATCACAACACACGTGCACTAGTACACAACACAACACACGTGCACTAGTACACATCACAACACACGTGCACTAGTACACATCACAACACACGTGCACTAGTACACATCACAACACACGTGCACTAGTACACATGACAACACATGTGCACTAGTACACATCACAACACATGTGCACTAGTACACATGACAACACATGTGCACTAGTACACGTCACAACACACGTGCAAGATGCTTGGCTGTGGAGTGTCTCTGCGTGAGTTGAAGAAAACCTGGAACCGCTCTAAGGCAGCGGAGATTGCACACACACAGCACAGTAGTATTATTATTAAAGTGTTTATTAATCACCTTGTAATAAAGATTTTTGCACATCTGCCCAGGGACGAAATGCGTTATGCATGCTGTCTTTCAGGATATTCTGCGGACATCTGGGACAAAAAGGGGTTATCAGAGGGACAAATTTCACTCTTGTCCTTGTGTGGGTTTAATATGGTCCCTTCCACGTGAGCATTTAAACGAAGGCTTTGTCACCCAAGGAAGCCTTCGAGTTTCCGAGCACTCATGAAAGTTTATATTTGATGTCCAATTATACAAATATTCCTTAATCACACGGCTTTTTGAATGTAAAAAAACATTTTGACGCGATCTTTGCTTTGAAAATCGGTTTGCCTACTGTTCAATCTGTTGGGTTGGCCAGATGAGGTCATTCTTACGTCGATATCGTGACAGGCTATACAGTATGTATAGTACAATCACCCGCTCCTCTGGGAGCCTGCTAACCTAACGGAGTTGTTCATCAAACAAGGCAGCGATGTCACAGAGGTGTGTAGAGACCTACGTCTAAGGGTGAACAATGGTGGTTGGCAGTGCTCCAGCCTCGACAACAACGAGACATCAAACGATGTGGTCTTAAACAACTGCAGTTTGACGATCGTGACATTCGTCAAATCGACCACCGAGGGCCACCACCGTCTCACGATGTGTTCCAGTTGGTTGCAAAACTGTCAGGACAAGCATCACGCTGACCTCACCACGAGATTCCTCTCCAGAAGGGCCACAGCACTGTGGAGTGACGCTCCTGCTTGACGCATGAGGAGCAGCAAGAGGACGATGGTCCGAGAAAGGTGTGGAGGAGACACGAGCGCAGGAGCCAGATAGATTGTGGCATTGGAGGCATTCGCGTGCACAGTGTCCATGCGACATACATGCTACATACATGCTACATACATGCTACATACATGCCACATACATGCTACATACATGTTACAATCCTTCGTGTGGCGTGTATAATGTGCACGCGATGTCATGGGCAGCAGCAATACGTTTCCCCGACAGTGAATGCATACAGGAGGCAGCGAATACTTTTGACAATCAATGATAGTTGTAAACAAACTAACGCGAACATTGCAGCATAGACCGCAGGTCGCTGCACACGGGAATTGGACGTGGAGAGCGAATCAATGACACGAACACATTTCGGTCTTCCTGGGCCGAGTTGTTCCTCCCGCCGACTGGGGCAGTCAGCGATGCTGCTGCTCATGTCACCAAACTGGTTCTCCCAGGGCCGGTGACACGTGGCCAGGCGGGGCCACACGTGACGGACCGGGGGAGTTCCCGCTTTGGTGCTCCTGAGATCGCCCTTCTCACTCACTCCTCACTCACTCACCCACACACTCACTCACCCACTCACTCACTCACCCACTCACTCTTCACCCACTCATTCACTCACCAACTCACTCACCCACTCACTCACCCACTCACTCACCCACTCACTCACTCACCCACTCACTCACTCACCCACTCACCCACCACTCCTCACTCACTCACTCCTCACCCACTCACTCACCCACCAACCCTCCCACTCACTCTTCACTCACTCACCCACTCACTCACTCTTCACTCACTCACTCCTCACTCACTCCTCACTCATTCCTCACTCACTCCTCACTCACTCACCACTCACTCACTCGCTCCTCACCCAACTCACTTACTCACCCACTCACTCACCCACTCACTCACCCACTCACTCCTCACCCACCCACCAACCCACCCACCCACTCACTCCTCACTCACTCACCCACTCACTCACCCACTCACTCACCCACTTACTCACCAACCCACTCACCCACTTACTCAACAACAACCGCCATTCGCCACGAAGTGACGGTGACATCAACACGGCGCTTGTGCCAGGCTGTGTGCACTTTAAGGCCACGTGAAGTGTCGAACGCCCGCCGGCAGGAAGTCACGGGACAGACCCTGCAGGTGCCACGTGGTGACAGAGGCGACTGGCAGATGCACCACCTGGGTACCCGACTGTGCCAACTTGCTGCGTTTTAGCCGCCCGGCGCGCCGCTCGTTGCTGTCACCCGCCCAACTCACCCACCCACCCAACTCACCCACCCACCCAACTCACCCACCCCTCCACCCCCACCCAACTCACCCAGCCCTCCACCCCCACCCATTCACCCAGCCACCCACCCCTCCCACCCACCCGCCTGAGCAAGTCTTGGCGAGTGACACGCAGCGCGTCAGGCCACAGGTGAGCGGACATCGTCGCTGAGCGCGCGCACCGCTCCACTGCCGCTCCCGACCCGCTTCGTCTGACCCCGCGCGGCTTCGCCTGACCCCGTCTGACCCCGCCTGACCCCGCCTGACCCCGCCGGCTTCGTCTGACTCCGCCTGACCCCGCCTGACCCCGCCAGCGAGCGGATGAAGCGAGGCGAGAAAACAGCCGCTTCCCCGGGGGAGCTTCCGTGCGCTGCTGCTGGTAAGTACCCAGGGTTATGAACCGATTGTCAGTGAACCGGTAACCGTTCTCAGAACCGATCACCTATTCCGATCGACAGGAATCGTTCAAGCTCTGATTGGTTGGCGGCAAACGTGTTTAGATCGAAGTGACCTACCGCGTCATTTGTCTTTGTGTGCTCTGGTTAAAGGGTAAAAGCGCTCTTACTAGTTCACCCTAACGATTGCAGGTCTGTGTGAGTGGGTGGGTGGACATGAGAGTCTGAGCGAGTCAGTGGGTCTGAGTGAGTCAGTGAGTCTGAGCGAGTCAGTGGGTCTGAGTAGTCTGAGCGAGTCAGTGAGTCTGAGCGAGTCAGTGGGTCTGAGTGAATCAGTGAGTCTGAGCGAGTCAGTGGGTCTGAGTGAGTGGGTGGGTGGACATGTGAGTCTGTGTGAGTCTGAGTGAGTGGGTGGGTGGTAGAGGCCGACCGAAACTGAATTTCTGGTTTCGGCCGACACCGAAACCAGATCGAAAGTTAAAAATTGACTTTCGGCCAAAACCGAAAGTATGCCGAAAGAGGCCTCTAGTGGGTGGACATGCGAGTCTGAGCGAGTCGAAGTGAGTCAGTGGGTGTGAGTGACTGGGTTAGGAGTGAGTGAGTGGGTGAGTGAGTCTGAGTGAGTTAGTGGATGAGTGAGTGGCGGATGGACCTTCACGAGAGGCCCCTCTAGAGGGCATTTGGTCTACTCTTGTACGCTGTTGGAAGAGGTGAGCGTAGCCACATTTCGCCCCTCCACACGCGACCGACTACTTGTGGTATTCACCCATTCTGACTTCTGGGCATGGGTGCAACGTGCACCAGGCCGACTCGACCCGGAGACGTCTGGGTGGCGATGAGCCCAGTGGCACTCTCGACTCGAAGCCACGACACCGTCACAGCCGCCGCCTGCCTTCCCAGTCGGCCCGGCACAAACAACGACAACTCTGGCTGCTGCTGATGCTGCCCACCAAACAAAGATCCCCCGTGTAGCCTTCATGGACCGTAGGGGCAAGTGGTGTTAGCGAGCACCTGTCAAGGACAGAACGGCACACGACGGGGTGGGTGGCCAGCACCAACGCCCAGCCACCTTTGTCTCCCCAGTGCCGAGTCGATCACACACCACAACAACAACACAACAACGCCACAAAGTGGCGGTGATGTCACCACGGCGCTTGTGCCACTCAAATACGCCCACACTCACACACAACAACCGCCATTCGCCACTAAGTGGCGCTGACGTCACTACGACGCTTGTGCCAGGCCATGTGCACCTTGAGGCCACGTGAAGTGTCGAACGCCCGCTGGCAGGAGGTCACGGGGCAGACCCAGGTGCCACAGGTCGACTGAGATGACTGGCCGATGCACCACCTGTGCCCCCTACTGTGCCAACTGCTGTGCTTTAGCCTTACAGCGCTCCGCTCGTTGTTGTGAGCATCGCTCCTCCACCATCTGTTGTTGTTCGAGGGCGACTGCCTCCAACTGCCCGGTAGCGTCCTTCACGAGCCTCCTCCACAGAGGCCGATCTTGAGGTCTTGTTGGAATTCCCTACACCTCTGCTGTAGCAGACGGACAGAAAATATGGCACTGCCCTTTCCTGAAACCGCATTGGGGCTCCGCAAGCCTCTCCTCAGCGTGCCTAGCAAGGCGATGTTGAATAATCCTTGCCAGGACCTTTCCCGGCACACTGAGGAGTGAGATTCCCCTGTAGTTGTTACAGTCTCTGTGGTCCCCCACGTGCAGCAGCTACACCGCGTGCAGCAGCTACGGGCCCCACACTTTCAAGGGCCCCGCGCTAAATGCTTTCAAGCTATCAATTCCGGTTCAGCGATTCTGCACTTGCTCTATTCCTATAGTACTATACTTGCCTTCAACTTTTATGAACGACTGGGTGTTGAAGGTTAGTGATTTGCCGTATTATCTGGCTGTATAGCAAATGAAAACATGCAATTACTTTACAATGCAAGCAAACATTTTCTGTTTTAATATATTTTAGTTTTTTTTATTTAGGGCCCCTTTATAACATACTACAGGCCCCGCACTAACTTCGTCCGGCACTGGTGAGTGGTCGTGGCCTTTGCTCAACTCGTGGGGGTTTCTTTCTTTCACCGTCTCTCGCAGATAACAGGGACGACGATGATGATGGTAATGATAATGATGATGATGACGAGGTTGTGATGATTGATGACGACGACTGACGAGGTTGAGAGAATGATGGCGATTAGCGACGATTCTCAAATATTTCCAGTGCGTAACAATTCTACTCTTGACGTGAAACTAATGCAGCATTGTGTTTGATCTCAATTGCAGATCAAATAAGCGCTGAGAAAAATATGAACTTTACCCTCAAAAGGTTGGTAACCTCGATACTTGCTCTGCTCCTGTTTGCCTCTTTGCTGCACCATGGCTTCGAGTCGCTCAACAAACGCACGCAGGGGCCTCTGCAAGTTACCAAATGCTGCGGCCAGACGTGTCTGCTGCGCACGGAACCCTTTACTCCAGCACTGCGCGGCAAACATTCTGATCGTGTCCGCCTTCTGGGACAACAGGAAGTGGCCAAACGTCGTTCGTATTTTGGCCATCGTGAACCGCAAGAGGCGTTACGCCCTCAGATGCAAGTTTTGTTCCAGCAAAAGCTTAATCCATTATGGAACTCCAGCCAAGGTGTACGTGCACAATGACCATTTCAACTTCCCTTGGGCTCTAGCAGACATCATATGTCTTCCTGTGTATTACAAAGAACATTACACTCCCGACTTTGTCGGCTTGCAGCACAATAAATCCACGTTTCCACTCATACCCATCGAGAATACGAGAATACGACTGTCCAAAGAGTTTAGCTTCACCCACGACTTTGGCGTCTGCATCTCCACCCTGTTCGGAGGCTACAACAACGTGCTGCAGTTCACGCAGGCCATGGAGATGTACCGGCTGCTGGGAGCGGGACGCGTCACCATCTACAAGAGCAGCTGCGGCCCCGAGTTGGGCCGGGTGCTGGCCCACTACGCGGCCACTGGTCTGCTCGAGGTGATCCCCTGGCCAATAGATCGGCACCTCACGCCGTCCACGGGGTGGACGTACCCAACTCACCCGGGCGACGTGCATTACTACGGACAAACAGCCGCCCTCAACGACTGCCTCTACCGGCACATGTACGACACGCGCTACCTCGTGATGAACGACGTCGACGAGATTATAATTCCAGTGGATTGCGCAGACTGGCGTTGTCTTCTTACAAGGCTCAACAGGCTGTACCAGGCCGATATTTACATGGTTGACAACCACGTCTTTCCGTACACAGCCACGGACGACTTTGGTAAGATGTTCGATAAGTGGAAGTTCATCCCAGGGCACAATATTTTGACGCAGGTGCGACGTGAACCTAACATCCCGGGCATCTTTAACCCAAACAAATTGATTGTCAATCCAAGAAAGGTCATTTGGACTTCGGTGCACTCTACGGAGAGAGCCATTGGTAAGACGGTGCGTGTGCCCGGTAGGATTGCCAAGATGCACCACTACCGCACACCCGAGCAGCCCAGACTGCCCAAAAAAGAACTCATCTTCGATGCTAAAATGTGGCATTACTATTCTGCCCTTATTGACAATGTAAACACCGTTTTGTATGAAACGGGGTTTCTTACCTAGAGTGGGTCGGATGGGAACAGCGTGTATTGTGTGCGAGTAAAGAGCTGGGTTCTGAAGTTGGCGCATGCGCGACTTCCACGGACACATTTGACATGTTTGGTTCCAAAATTGCTTTTTTGTGTGAAAGGTCCAAAGTGGTATGTTGTCGTCTCTAGGATTCTGGTTTCCCTGCGACATTGAGATATGCCCTGAAGCCAGGAGCTGTCGTGGTTATTCAGTGAAACATCTCAATGCTCGACTGATTGGGGCTGCCCGGTTATGGATGGGGTGCCTGGAATACTGCACGAAATTAAACAAGCCATTGCATTGACAGATAACACAACACATTCAATTCACATGTAGTAATGTGATAGCAAGTAACGAAGTATTTATAATTGTATCGGACTTGAAAATAATATCTCAATTTTATTCAGCATTATTCATGCAAATTGCATCTCGCAACACTGCACAATATGCAACACACGGAAGTGTACACTTATATTAAGATGTTTTCAGAGAATGAGAATGTGTACACGTGGGAGGGAACGGGAAAACGTGTGCGAGGGGGCAACACTCTATCCCGAACAGATGGGACAGATGACATTATTCCACACTGTGCTGTACCGCTGTCTCCTGGCAAGCCGGGGTATGGCACCTCGATGCCCCGTGCTGGATTACAGGTGTGCAGACCCACCACTTCCCGGCACAAATCGTTGAACAATAAAGTTTAATCCGAGCCACTTAACCATCACCGTGAAGCAGAGGATGAAGGCTGAGGTTCACCTCGTGTGGAAGGCTCCGTTTATTTTATTAAGTTATTTATATAAATATGAGAGTACACCGAGAGCACGTGGACCTGTGCAAGTGCACAGGTTCACCAAATTCCATGCAACAGACAAGCACTTGATGTGTGTGTATATAGAGCTTTAAACTGGTTGGTACACATACTTGTGTCAATTGTATTCACTGTATTACAATGGTCAGGCCTGCAATTGGTAGACAATCAGCCTATGAGCCAGGAGCAGCCCATGGCACTGCTATTGTCACCAACTGTCATCCTATCTGCTAGATCCCGGCACCTGTTGTGCAGCTAACACCCAGTCGTCACCAAGGCCCATTGTTGCAGTTGGCCACCATCTGCCTTTATAACCCAGAGGATACATTTTCAGAAGTACGTGTTTCTCAAGCCGAAGTTTATTTTCGAGAAGTGAATAAACAGTTGCTCAGTCTTAACACCAAAAAAATGGGTTTAACATAAGAAATGATGATTACCAGCTGAGTCCACTCTCAGTAATTAATTTGTCCAAAATAATATCTTACTACGAGCAGCTCGCTAAATGTTATTGTTTTATCAACAAAGATATTTCAAAACCTCGTCAAAATGCTGTTCATTACATAGTGCTTTCTAAAAGAAAGTCTGTTTATAGTTGTCAAATGTATATATCAATATATACAGTCCATTATTTGCTGATACCAATATGCTATATCTCGAGTGAGAATGGTCATGAAATGTCAGGTTGTAAGGGGCACAGTTCAGAAAACGATGGTTACCTGGTCCAGGGTGGCCAATTTACGTGCATTGTGACAGGTTGTCAAGGTCGGGTGATGTGCGACGTCTTCGTTGATGTAAATGCGATCGTACATTTCCAAACGGTCTCAAGTGTCTTCACACGTACAGCTGAATGAGCTCGTCGCTCACGGCAGACGGAGTGAGAACCCCCAAGTCGGTGATGAGCAAAGTGAGGAACGCGGGCGGCGTGTAGTCCGTGCGTGGGTGGGCTTCTGATCGAGCTTCGTTTGACAGCAACACATCCGGTTCGTACTGGCAACACAGCCACGGACAATACACAGTCACCGAAATACAACGTACTGGCAACACAGCCACGGACAATACACAGTCACCGAAATACAACGTACTGGCAACACAGCCACGGACAAAACACAGTCACCGAAATGCAACGTACTGGCAACACAGCCACGGACAAAACACAGTCACCGAAATACAACGTACTGGCAACACAGCCACGGACAAAACACAGTCACCGAAATACAACGTACTGGCAACACAGCCACGGACAAAACACAGTCACCGAAATACAACGTACTGGCAACACAGTCACCGAAATACAACGTACTGGCAACACAGCCACGGACAAAACACAGTCACCGAAATACAACGTACTGGCAACACAGCCACGGACAAAACACAGTCACCGAAATACAACGTACTGGCAACACAGCCACGGACAAAACACAGTCACCGAAATACAACGTACTGGCAACAAAGCCACGGACAAAACACAGTCACCGAAATGCAACGTTGCAGGGCAACACGATATTAAAATGTCATCAGCCCTGCATTTGTCTGCTCAGCCGGCGCTGCCAGAAGGGCCTCCACTAGAGGGAGCTCTCGAGGGTACTTGGCCTACTCTTCTACGCTGACCAGTGATGGGAGTACTCGCGGGCTTTGAGATTTAAGAAATTTGCCCATTTCAACTGCCGCGCCGAAAGATTGAATTGAATGCAAGTCCATTGTGCAACCATTACATCACAGCAGTTCCCTACCATGTCATAATGCAATAATACTAATAACACACGTTAATTTACATTCATATATTTTACCTAAGGGAAGACGCTGGCAAAACCAAACAGCTTCACTCGCGAAGAGAATAAATCCACTGAAATGGCATCACTCAAGTGCTCCTTGTCGATTTAAAACTGTTTAGCTCCGACTTTCAAGTCGTGTCAGGCACCTAACCTTGTATCTGCCAGAGCTGTTTGGTTTCTGGTTGACATCTCCATTGAATGGAATAGTCCAGTGAACAGAAAGTCAATCATCAGATAACGTCTCACCTGCAATGTTTCTCAGTACAGTCCGTCAATGGCTGAGTAACGTAATGCGACAATTGAATTCCATTGTGTGAATAAGTATAAGTATATTTGCATTCAGAATTTGGTGGAATAGTTTCCCTATATCTATGAAAGACTTAATGTCCACCAAAATATGTATTGGTGGAAAAACAGTCCAAAGCAGTAGACTCCTGATCTGCGTCTTGCGACTCGGTGAAGCTTCCCTCGATAAAGGGAATTATTATTAAGATAATTAACATTGGCCCTTAAAAACTTTAACAAGTACTTGGCACTAATTTTACTTCAATCAGATACATTCATTTTACGGACACGTATTATAACTATCTTGGCAACAGACTGCAAACATTCATTTATATTTTAAAATATTAAAAGCTAAAAAAGAAAAACTAACAATAAAAAAAGAAGCTTGCGCTAACAATAAAACAATAGGCGCAAAGTTCAAGAGTTGCAGCAAGTGAAGCACTCTAACGTGCACTCCCGCCGACGCACGCTTGTGAACTATTGCCCTACATGACACACACAGCCACGACCGGACACAGCTGGCGTCATTCTGCAGAGAGATTCGTGGCACCAGCGTGCAAACAGCGGCCAACGTCAAGTCCATCTCTACGCCCCCCCAGGTGAAGAAGGGCCACTGCCCAAAACGTTGGCCTCGTGGATTTATTGTTCTGTTATGAGGCAGTGTTTGTGAAGAATGTGTTGAGTTATCTGACATGTGCTTGTGCACCACTGCCAATGTAGCCCAATCAATCTCTGTTGGAAAAACTGCCGTTACATAATTACCTTGTATTTTTCAGGTACGTCCTGTTGGTTTAACGGGTAGAGTCTCATGAATTTGAAACTTTCTGCTACCACATACAGCGGTTTATTTTGCGCCTTAGCACATATTGCCATCTGGTACGTGCCGATCTGCAACGCACAAACGCACAAAGGTTAAAATTGAGTATGAATGGCTCAACAATGTTGGTGGTGCTCACTCTGCTTTATATAATATTCATGCAATTTATAACACATACAATATTTCACAAACATACACCGCAATGTCAATGCGCTTTTTTATATACACAGGGCATACATACTTCCACAGATACGGGTACAATAGACATGATTCAGATGAATAGAAATGGAATCAATGAATAGAAATGGAATCAATGTATCCTGTGCTCACCGCAGAGGTGCTATGGCCACAGACAAACACAGCGACATGCACACACCCCCACACACAAAAGCACACAGACGTACTCTCACGGCAAGACTAATGCACACACAGTATGCACGTGAGCAAACAATGAAATTAGATCCATTCGGCATTGACGCACGGAGTGATAAAACTCGACCGGTCATGTGCCCCCCACCCCATGCACCAACCCGTAATGACCAGGGTGGTGAAGTATGGTAACACAACGCCTATGACTGACATGGCATGGGCAAGCCTTCAGCCAGGCAGCGCGAGTAGACGATGACTCTCTGTAATTAGGAATAAATGTGTATATCATCCTTCAAGGATTTAAAAATGAGGACCTATTTGTGGTTGTTCTATGCACTGACCCCTACCAGACAAATATGGAATTCCAACACTGGTTCAGGGCTGGCAAAATAAAGATGAGCACTGGCCAGTGACGTGATAATGAATTGTGAGAATAAGTCAACAGATATATCGTGATAGGAAGGATGCATTCTGGATGGAAGTGGCTAGATATGAAGAGGATCTTCCGGCCTTCGGGTCCCGGTAAGTGGGGAGAGAGAATGTTAGTCACTTTATTCCAGAACCTGCGATGTTATTAGAAGCGCATAATATTAAACGGCAGGGAAACATGACAGACGCTCTTAAAAAGAGGTTCCAATGGCTGAGGTCAGTGTTCCGGACAACGGAGGAGGCTGGCAAGGCAGAGGCACCTAAACGAGGAAAGGACAATTGAAAAGTAGTCTTTGCAGATCAGGTGTTAAAGCTGCACAACCGTTACAGATTCTCGAATGTGTAAGCAATAGCGACGTTTGGTGCATCAACGGCAAAAGCCGTGATGCCACCTTGTGTCTTTGACAAGCACAGCTATCCCCACGCAGGTACACGGACGTGAACAAGCATGTGTCAACGCGCACAAGCTCACGAGCAAAGGCGCTTGGCATACCTTGTTAATGATTCCTCCGCTCTCCACAACTCCTTCTGCTCCCACAAACACCAAATCCACTTGCTCCATGATGTAGCTGAAGACAGTGCCAAGGACACCACAGAAAACCACTCAAAGCGTGTATGTACTCTGTCACTACCATCAGCACAAAATGCACCATGCTTATCACAGTTGTCATGGGTTGAAAACTTACAGAACTTAATTGATTTGTTTAGTGTCATAACTGGAGGTCGTGAGTTTGCATGTAATATGTATGTATGTGGAACTTCTTTCGCACCCTACGTAGCCACCCATAAACTTTCCACAGCAGAACTACAACAATCCACACCATTTACATCTCGGCCACGTGACGCTGCTTCGGCTGGCTGCCTTCTGTTCCTTGAGCTCTGGCTCCGTGCCGCCTCCCAGTTCTGGTTCCAACGCTCTGTCCCATTCTTGAAATATGCGCACGTTATAAATTGTGTTTATTATTCGTATTTAGAATTATTACGAGGGACGACCGTACCAACGTGGATCCCCCCCAATCCACGGCCCACCGCAGAGGTTGCGCAATCTGCCACAGAACACGTGGCCAGCGCATCGTGCCGCGCGTTACGGGAGGGAAGCGCGGCACGTGACCCGCCGCTAAAGTAATCCGCGATAAATTCACAATTACAAGGTATGGGTTTTTCTAAGAACTAAACGAGACATCTATCTGCCGTATGGGTCGAGGTTGAAGGATATTTAGCATTTTTTTATTTGACATGCAAGTTTAAAAAATGCTAAATAATTTTCTCCTAAACAAATGCAGCCAGCAGACACAGCTCATCTGTGCAGATGTAAAACCAAATTGGGAAAAAACCCTTGCCTCTGCGTTTCCCTGCAGCCCGACTCTGCAGCTCCACGTTTTCCCCAGCCACTTCCACGGGTTGCAGTTTGCAGTTCCGCGAGGCATTTTCACTCCGCCGCAGATTACGGGGGCAGTCACCAACCGCCAATAACTCGCAAATTACAAGGGATACGCGGATTACTGGAGTTCTGCTCTATCTGTAGATAATGTGTGGACTAAGGTGCGGCGATATATACGTATGATCTCCAGTCAAATTTATAACATGTCCCTGGGGAAGCTAAAAGCCAAAATACTCTCTGCTTACCCGACTGCAGCATCCAGGATAACAGTTACAGGAACGGAAAGCTCCCGGATTCGCTGGGCCATGGCATGTCTGCGATTCACAATAAACACAGTCACACACATCTAACGGAGCCCACCACGGCACATGCACAACAGTTGCTGAACAATTCAAATCTGTAACATCTCAACAGAAACATCAGCACAGGCCAGAAAAACGAATGGTTTAACAACATGCAAAAACATGCACTTAGTATATGTTGAGCCCTCTGCCTTCAGCATTACGCACAACCACCATTTCCTGAAGACCAAACATGACTAACTCGTCTGCAGTTGTTTCTTTATGTCACTGCTGCCTGTTTGGTTCATCATGGAGAATTTTACAAATGATGTTGTACAGCTCTGCCACGTAAAGGACCCCGATTGGTTCTTACCTGGTTTAAATAGGAAGGCATACACGAAACATTACGGTTGCCATAAACGGTGACAAACGTTCTCTACGCAGTGTCCACTGTAGTTCTCTGATGCATTTTCGGGTTGTACCGCGCATTGTTTAAACTATACTAAACTCTTTTTTGTTTCATCAGGTATGGCCCACGAAGCTATGTAGCTCTTTTTCAGAAGTGACCTGGCCACAAATGATAGCTTAACAAAGTGGCTTATCACGTGGAAATGTATAGCAGCCAAATACTCCAAACGCACGTTTCTAAATGCGGAGGGAAAAACCGGAGGACCCGGAGAAAAATCCACGCGACCACAGGGAGAGAGACACGCCAATTCCAAATTTCCAGGGATCAGGGTCAGGATCGAACCCACGACTTCATGCATACCAGGCAAGGTAGTCAACATCTCGCCACCGTGGCGCCATGTCCAACGTAGCTCCCGGCACGCACAGTGAAATGTCGGAAACGACGACGAGCCACACGCGGCACAACCCGGGCTCGCATGGGGGAGCTACACAGAAAACTCCGGACACTCCACGCACGGCGAGGGTGTTTACCCCGAGCGGTCGGGGCAGGACTCCGTGACGTAAACGTGGAAGCGCTTCTTGGAGGCGGCAGCCTCCGCCAGGACGCGCAAGGACGACCCGCGAGCTGGAGTGGGTCAGGATCGTCTACGAAGCAGAGCGTGACAGAAAACACACAGATATGTCTGCCTACTTCCAGCACGCGGCACATGAGACATCGGCAAAAACGTGTTTGGGGATTTCCAATACGATGTGGTTTTATTCAGCATTAAAACACGACGATGCTCAATTGTAACACAGTGATACAATATACACACACTTGTTACACGTTGTGTGTATTGTCAATAAAATACAAGCGGTCATATAGATATGGGTCCTAGTTCAACTCAAAAACATAATACGTAACACAAAACAACTTGAATAATTATGTCCAGCAGAAAGCTACTTGCCCATAAACATCAGGGAGTTCACGATAATTGGCCTGAGCAAGCCTGATGAGACTATGAATGTTGAAACCAGTACACTTTTTAATGTGGAGACACAAATATTTGTCTCTTTATTGATTTGGTTCCTCATTCTCCACAATGATGTGTCTCATCGTCCCAGTCTCCTGCCTTGTTCCCACTTAACTCCTCGGCCAACTCTATATGCCTCTTCCTAGGAACTTCCCCACTCTGCTCGTATTGGTTTATTAAAGGCATCCTCCTCCCGTGTTCCTTACGCATGTATAGTCAGGGAGAAAAGTGTTGATGCTCAAGCGACCTATGGCACTGTGCTCTATTGGAGGCCCTGAGCACACAGTAGAACTCCAGAAATGAATGGACGCATGAACTGGCATATACCGCCAGGTTTGACAGAATGTAAACATTTAGATATGAATACATTTTGACTTAAAACTGTCGTGACTGCAGGAATTCATATTCTTGGTTCTTTCGGCAAAGTCACGTAGATAGGAAAAGGATTTTTTTTTATAAATAAAAGCAAAAAACCACGTTTCGATCGCAACACAAGCGGTCTTCATCAGGTGGATTTTAATTAAATTAAATTTTTATTTTCTATCTATGTACCTTTACAGAAAGAACCGAGAATATAAATACATGTTTCACAGTATATAATTAGCATGCAGTGTTAAGGACAATTGAACATTTCTGTAGGCAACGCAAGAGAATGCGATCACGAGCGTAGCTACACACCACACAGTTGCACGGATCACTTACCGCGCCATCACGAATGAACGACTGCGACATCTTGGCAATCTTGTTCCTCGAGTCTGAGATCTTCGACAGAAACAATTCGCCTCTCTCGATCAGGATCTGCCGGCACTCAGCGATGGGCTGTTCACCACACGGTATTGTCGGAATAAAGACAGAGAAATATTAGGCACTGACACTTGGAAAGAGTCTTTGACTTTTTTTTACATACAGTGATAAAAATGTCAGCTGCCTGAACGTAAAACATTCCAATGATTCCTAATCCACAAATGGATGAAGGCCAACCCATGCCATGTCGGTTATGGGGTTTTGCTTTTGAAAGAACATTTCAAGATCGTACTGTCAAGATACATTTCTACATTGAGTTTGGCGATGGGCATCAGTGTTTGGCGAGAGTGAAAGCAAGTTAAACACGCTCTCTCACCTTCTCATCAAGCTTAGTGAGAGTGATGGTTCTCAGGAACAGTTCACAGCAAGAGGACATGGACACAGATGCGTCGATGCCACTCAACAGGCGCATAATGCTCTTGAGGCTCTCCCTCAGGCCCTGCAGGGTCTCCCCTATACACGCACAAACACAAGACAGAGGCCCCATCACAGTCTAACCTTGACAGCTGTTGGAACAAGTGCAGCACCTCCGATTAGCGCTGTTGGCTATGTACGGCGCGAAAGAAGTTCAACATACATACAAGAAAGTTCCTAAGGCAATGATGGAAAACAAAAGGTGGTTAATCACTTATTTCAAGTCAACATGGTGTATCCGATTTGTGGTCGTCCTCCGATCCACTGCGTTCCTTCGTATTTTTGTGTAATCCCCAACATGCATCTCTCCACGTTTCCTTTTTGCACTTTTCAGCTGTTGTTCAATTTCCATCGACACCGAACACACTGGATGTACGCTCCCACATGTAGCATGATGATACACGTGGTGCGCAAGAGGCTTACCGGTGTCCCGCTTGAGGAAGTGGATGAGGGTGCGGATGGCAGCCACAGCCGACGGATTGTCTGGGTCCTGCTCTATTTGACCTTTGAAGAATGCAACCACTCCTAAAACAAATATAAAATGTCACATCAACACAAATCCAGAACGGTGTGTAACCTTCCCATCAGTGCGCATCTCTTAAGTTGTTTAACATGGTTCCCTTGTTCTGATCTCATGTGCTTCATAACAGCACTTGCCTCATGCTTGTCCAGTTGCATGCTGCCACTCTCTCCCCGTGTGTTCCTCAGGCCTGGCTCACAAAGTCCACAATAGCTCAACGGGAGCTTACCTGGATTAAAAATGCACTGGCCAGGGAATAAATTCGGCTGGCATGCAGCACTGTGCATTGCAGCAGTCAATGTGGATGTGTGCAGCCCTTTGTAGATCCACTGCTGGATGAGGGTCTGTGCATGCTGTGTGGGTCGTGAAGGTCGTTTGACCACAATGCATGTCACAGTCCGTATGGTTTTGTACAGGCTGTCAAGGGCGCAAAGAAGCCACGGACAGAACCGTGGATTCTGCTGCACTGCCCTCTGCTGGCCACCACCACCGAAACGCATAACCACCAAACACACCGTGACGGACAAGCACAGCATTGGCATTCCCCCTTGGACACACCGGGACATGTCAACCTAACTTGACGTGACATCTCATTTGGCTGTGATGTCTACTGTGAAGATGGCCGTGCATTGTGACGCGCACCGCTCAAATACCTTCGTCGTCCATAACTTGAGGCATTGCGATCTCCGTGCGGCACCTGTGTCACAACGCGTCACCTAGAAGATAAAAACGCGACACAGTGGAGCATTGTGTAAGCGGGCCCCGTGTGTGCGGAAGTTATAACTCGGCCAAAAGCCTCAGCTGGGAAGCGTCACATTGACACTTGGCGATGAGGCGCAACCAGCGGTAGAATTCTCGTCGTCTCCGATGCCAACATTCAATTAAAGAGCAGCATCTTCACACGTGGCGTGAGGGCAGTGCCGACTCCACGGCAAAGTACGTGAGGTGCGTATGGTGGTGGTGTTAGTGGTGGTGGTAGTGTTGGTGGTGATGTTGGTGGTGTGGGTGTTGGTGGTGGTGGTGTAGGTGTTGGTGGTGGTAGTGTTGGTGGTGATGTTGGTGGTGGTGGTGTTGATGTTGGTGATGGTGGTGGTGTTGGTGGTGATGTTGGTGGTGGGGTTGGTGATGTTGGTGTTGGTGGTGGTAGTGTTGGTGGTGATGTTGGTGGTGTGGGTGTTGGTGGTGGTGTTGGTAGTGTTGGTGGTGGTGTTGATGTTGGTGATGTTGGTGGTGTTGATGTTGGTGGTAGTGTTGGTGGTAGTGTTGGTGGTGGTGTTGATGTTGGTGATGGTGGTGGTGTTGGTGGTGATGTGGTGGTGGTGTGTGATGTTGGTGATGGTGGTGGTGTTTGGATGGTGTTAGTGTGGTGGGTGTGTTGATGTTGGGTGATGATGGTTGGTGGTGGTAGTGTTGGTGGTGATGTGGTGGTGGTGATGTTGGTGTGGTGTTTGTTGGTGGTGGGTAGTGTTGGTGGTGGGTTTGAATGTGGTGATGGTGGTGGTGTTTGGTGGTGGTAGTGTTGGGTGGGTGGTGATGTTGGTGGTGGTAGTGTTGGTGGTGGTGCTGTTGGTGGTGGTAGTGTTGGTGGTGGTAGTGTTGGTGGTGGTGATGTTGGTGGTGGTGTGGTGGTGATGTTGGTGGTGGTAGTGTGGTGGTGGAGTAGTTGGTGGTGGCGTGATGTTGGTGATGGTGGTGGTGTGGTGTGGTAGTGTTGAGTGGTGGTGATGTTGGTGGTGGTCAGTGTTGGTGGGGGTAGTGTTGGTGGTGGTGGATGTTGGTGGTGGTATGTGTGGTGGTGGTAGTGTTGGTGGTGGTAGTGTTGGTGGTGGTTGATGTTGGTGATGGTGGTGGTGGTGGTGGTAGTGTTGGTGGTGGTGATGTGGTGGTGTAGTGTTGGTGGTGGTAGTGTTGGTGGTGGTGTTGATGTTGGTGATGGTGGTGGTGTTGGTGGTGGTAGTGTTGGTGGTGGTGTTGATGTTGGTGATGGTGGTGGTGTTGGTGGTGTTGGTGGTGGTGTTGATGTTGGTGATGGTGGTGGTGTTGGTGGTGGTAGTGTTGGTGGTGGTGTTGATGTTGGTGATGGTGGTGGTGTTGGTGGTGGTAGTGTTGGTGGTGGTAGTGTTGGTGGTGGTAGTGTTGGTGGTGATGTTGGTGATGTTGGTGTTTGTTCGTCTTCAATGCGCGAGCTCTGCCACTCACTCCACGCCGCACTTACCCGCGCGCCGCCGCTCGTGTCAGAACGGAGGTTTTAAATAAATAAAAACCTCCAGATCTCGAGGCAAACCCTCAGTATTGTGAGCAAAGATTTGACGATAGATCCCGTGGCCGGATTAGAAGTGTACGAATCGGGTCACACACAGCTCGCCTTATTAGAGGCGCCCCAAACTTTTGCTTTACAATAACGGAGGGAAGTTTGTCTTGTCAATCCGTAGAATGCGGTCAAGAACACCACAATTGTGCTCCCCTCCTTTGCAGACGTGTAGATCATAACGAGAACACGCGGGACAGACCTCGACATGCAGAGACCAGCACGTGGACGCGTGACTGCCCAAACTCCACGCCGATGTCAGCTGCTCCCAACTCTCCCAATGCTAGAGCATACACCCCTGGCGGGAAGGGGTAACCCTGGTGTTAGTTCTAATGTCTAATAGATAAGACAGCTTCGTCGTGGTGAAAAGCGACGTCGCGAAAATCGTGAAACCTCGATGTACAGTAGCAGCAGCGCTACTGTACCGCGCAGTCAACGATCCGTGCGGATCGGACACGTGCGGGAGTCGCATCGATTCCTCGAGTCGGAGTCACGAGAATCGATTCCCGGAGGAGAATCGGAATCGCCGTTTCATTGAATCGCGGCAGAGCACGTGGTCAGCGGCGTGCGGCGACTCCTCCCGGCTCCCCCCGGCCTCTTCTCGGCTCCTTCTCGGCCTCCGTGCCCTCGCCGCAGTCACCTCGCCATGGACCCCATGAAGGCGCAGCAGCTGGCGGCAGAGCTCGAGGTGGAGATGATGGCGGACATGTACAACAGGCGAGTGGCGGCGGCGTGGGGCTGCACGGAGCTGGGGCCTCCCGCGGCCGTGAAGGTTACCGCCGGCGGCGGCCCCGTGGCCTCGCGTCATCTCCGGGGCTCTGGCGCGGCCCCACGGGGTGGCTCGCTCGGCAACCCTTGCCCTGTGCGCTGTGCTTAGACAATCACTGCGCTCTGTGCTTAGACAGTCACCCGTGTGCAGTGGCGCCGTGGATCTGTGTTCTTCTTTGGTTTGGCATGTAAGCAAGTTTGTGTAGATGTCACAGTTGAATGTTGAGGTGCTTCAACCAATCCAAGGCGACGGTAGATGCTGGCGAGCGGTGAGGGATGACGGTGGCTTGGGGAGACTTAGTCCAGCAGTGGCTTGACCATGGCTGGTGATGAATACATGTACAGTACTGACATTGCGTGGTTCTCACCGCATAGAGCACGGACTCCTCGCAGTGGTCAAGGGTCAACCCTTGCTGCTGCTTCATCACCATCATCATCATGATGGGTGTAAACGTCTACCGTGGGCCCGGTTCCCCGACTGGCATTCGCGACAGGCGCGTGACCTTCACGAGCTGGACGCTCGTGCCGCTGCCGCTGCGCCCCACGTGGGGGCGCCGGCAATCTCCGTCTGTGATCACAGACGGGCGGTGCGGGGGGGGGGCTCCCTGTTGTTACCCAGCACTGCTGGAGGCAGCAGCAGCAGCAGCGAGGGTTGATGGATCACCGCGCACAAGTTGTGAAACTCCATGCACGACGAGGAGGTGCCATTCCCTGGCTCGCCACGACAAGGCCGCGGACAGCGAGTGGACTGATCGCCGTCTCTTTATTCCATCTGTACGGGGATAGAGTGTTTCCCCCTCGCGCGCGAGTGGGTTTTCTCCGGGTGCTCTGGTTTTTCTCCCGCATGTACAATAAACACTCGCCGCTAATTGGCTGAAAATATCTTTAAATAAAAAACAAACGCAGGACCCTCCTGAAAGAGCCCTGCGACTGGGTGTCGTTCTCCTGGGTTAACAAAAACTAAACTTTCCGGCAAGTCAACGGTGCTGTTTGTATGATATCATGGTACACTGTGTCTCGCCGTACAAGTGACACTCGTGGTAAGGTAACAGTGGTGAAATAGAACAAACGTCCCGTCTCCTTCAATAAAATAACGTTTTAATCGATCAACCTGCGTTGCTGCTGAATCTGTGTCATCCAGAGACGCATTTGTTGAAGGAGGAAAACCCTGGGCAGATCCTGACTTCAGGATGGGGCTCGTACAAAATCGCGGCACACCTGGGACCGAACCACGGCAGCACGCCATCCGCGTGCCAAGCACTGCTCTTGTGGAATCCCTTCAGCCAGCCGTGGCATGAAACTAAAAACTAAACTTTTTATGTTACCAGGTAAGGCCCACTGAGCTGTGTAGCTCTTTTTCAGAAGTGACCTGACTACAAATGATAGCTCAACGAAGTGGCTTATCACATGGACATTTACAGCAGCCAAATACTCTAAATGCATGTTTCCAAATTGGAGAAGAAAACTGGAGGACCCGGAGAAAAATCCACACGACCACGGGGAGAACGTGCAAACACCAAATAAACAGCAGGCATCAGTGTCGGGATTGGATCCACGACCTCCTGTGTTGCGGGCGAGGTCGTCACAGCTCCTAGCCACCTTGGCGTGAGATAATATTTGCAGGGCGGCACCATCGCCCGTTGAATCCTGCACGACGGCTGCGTGTGTGTGAGTGATGCGTGTCGCACAGAATTTACAAACGCGTCATCCAGGAGGGGTCCCTTCGCTGTGGCATTGACGGTGGCGCGCGTCGCTTGTGCCCGCAGGATGACGAACGCGTGCCACCGCAAGTGCGTGCCGCCGCACTACAAGGAGGTGGACCTCTCCAAGGGCGAGGCCGTGTGCCTGGACCGCTGCGTCGCCAAGTACCTGGACGTGCACGAGCGGCTGGGCAAGAAGCTCACGGAACTCTCCATGCAGGACGAGGAGACCATGAAGCGCTTGCAGCAGGCTCCCTGATCCGCGCCGCAGCCTTCGGGGATGCATTCCCCCCTTCCTCCCTCCCTCCCCCGCATTATAATCTGTACATACCTAAAAGGCTTCTAGGTTTGTGATTGAATGGTCGATCGTCTTGAATAGCGTCGCTCTTATCCGAGTGTCCACGTCTCGATGCCTTAGCACGTTAAAGGAGCCTTTGTCCCCGTGAGAGGATCGACATCGTCACACAGACAGACGGTGCGGCTCGTGACGTCCCCGCTTGACTGTGACGATGCCAGAGGTGGGAACTGAATTGCTGAGAACCTCCTATGCACATCGCCTAAAGGTGAAGATTGCTCCTAACTTTTGCTTTGTAATAACCAGGAATTTGTTTTCTATGATTTAAAAGTAATTCTTGGACTCATGTTAATTGTGCATGTAAGAATTTACTATTTATGATTTATCTCTCCACTAGATTCATATTATAGATTTCCATAGTATTATCTGCGGTGCATCACAACATCGGAGTTAATTGGGCAGTTAGAGAAGTATGTTACGTTTACACGACTTCCATTTGTTGTATCGCCGTTGAACGTTACCATTATTTTCAGAAACATTTTTTAATACATTATGTAAAAACATGAGCACATCCCCCCCCCCTGCACTGAGCAGATGTCCACTTATCCGTTGACGTGATGAATTGCATAGAAGAATCGATTTTGTTGTAATATTCAACATCCTTGGTGATGTGGCGAGTTGATTTGCAGACGTGCTCTTTTGCACGTGATGATGTGGTGTGTGCTATTCCCAAACAGGAAGCAGTACATGTGGATTTACCTGTAAGCGGATTTTTTGTATCGTATGGCTCCTGTCTATCTTTGCGGGAGATGTCACGCTGCTGATGGTGCTTTTCCGGTTCGAGTTTCCCGCGGGAGAAACGAGGCAAGACGGGGTGGTTTGCGATGTTACAATCGCTTTAACCAAAGTCGTCGCTCGCGACAGGATTGAAATGGTGTACATCGTCGACATGTTACGATGGGAAATTCCTCCGTCCTGTGATGCCATTCACTGCAACGGGCTGTTATTGTTGTTCGCACGGACTGGTGACCATCTGCGATCTTTATTCTCGGTGTCGCTGTGGCCGCCTTGCAGCGTGCGTGACGCTCGCGGCGCCGTGCAAATTGTGGGAGGGAAGGTGAAGTGCTAGATGTGGGAGGGATGGTAAAGTCGTCGATTAAAACTGAATTTTGGGCTCACGAAAACTGCATGTGAGAATGTGTTATTCACTCTTCGTGTGTACACTTGTAAGTGGATGCTACTGTAGAGGGTTGGGGCACCAATAAGGGAAACATTAATTATTCAAGGAACCTTGCACACAGTAAAGCGTGGAGAGGGAGTGACTCATTATAACCTTGGGATGCAGTTAAGGTTTTTTTTAAATGCATCTAAGCACCTCCACAGATAACAGGATCTGTATATTTGTTTTCTCTGAGTGTGTAGAGTATGTGGGGGAAATGTTAATGCCAATGTCTACCTAAATAGTGTTCTATCTTTAATTTGCATACCATTTTACTTCTGCACATTAAGTGACCTTGACACCAATGTACAGTATGATTTGCAGTCACAATGGCAGTGCATCAGCCCTGTTGCTCTCCCCTCAAGGGCCATTGCCAATCATTTCGAGTTGTACATCTTTTCTGTAACAAGGCAGTATTATTTTATGTATTAACTCATAGAAGGTGATTTATTTTTGCTTGTGCACCAGTCAGCATGGGTCCCATGCCGTATAACATTCAGAAAGGGAAACTTGTTGAACGGTAATATAGCAACAAATAAATCCACATGATTGTGTTTATTGCAGTAGAGTGAAATATTCCCACCAGTGACCTGTTAAAATGCAGCGTCGTCGGACACAATGCAACCCCCCGCTGGATGAAGACCCCTCCCCAAGCCGTCGCATTCTCATCACGGTCACGCGATGCACCGATCCATCCAGCAGCTGCACGTGAGAGTGGATTTCATAGCTACAGCCACCTGGAGATCACGACGACCCAAACCCACTTGACAGCCAATTTTATATTTATATGAACTTAAAAATATTTTAATTAATGAATGTATTAACATCATTACAGCTCAATGGTACAATATCAATTGTTGCATAATGGAAAAAAAAGCTTACAAGGTGATATTTTAGTTTTTTACCATTTTGGCAACATTCACAAACTGGATCTCAATTTATAAATGATTTTAAGGATATTCTAAGGTGTTTTCGGTAAAGTCACGTAGGTAAAACATCAAAATTAATACAAATAATAAAATAAAATAAAGATCACGACGTGTCGGAGGCAACACAAGTCTCCGTCATCAGGTGGGACAGTCACAGCCAGATCAGCTGCATCTTGATGCATCTTGACTTGTGTTGCCTCCGAAACGTCGTGATCTTTATTTTATTTTATTATTTTTATTAATTTTGATGTTTTACCTACGTGACTTTACCGAAAACACCTAAGAATATGATTCCTTGCAGTCACGAAAGCTTCAAGTCTAGATTTTAAGGATGTGTATTTTACCATTATTTTTAAATATGTTCAACTAAATTAGCTGACGAGTTTATTGCACGGTCAATTAATTAGATACATTTTTACCCTATACATCACATACATTTACCTGCAGTACAATATAGCTAACATCAAATCGCATTAAAATTCTGCACAATGGTGAACCATTCATTTCTAGAATCTTCTAAAATATTTGGCACGATGGAAAATGTGTTTTATCAGTAGAACATGCATTACTTTTTCAAATATTTTCATTTGAAAAAGCTCACGTTGCAAGAGTCAAATTGTCCAACCGGTCTTACCACCCTTCTCAGATGTTTATCGCAAGCATCAGCCCTTCTCATCATGTGTCTCCACATCAATAAAACATTCTTTGACATTCAATCTGCCACACGGCCTCTGGGGCGTGCACGCTTCTGCTGTGCACGCAGCCGCCACAGATGTTCACGTTTGGCAGGCACAGCGATGGGTTTCCGCAAGTCCTGATAATCCTACTCCAAAACTCTCATTGTGGCAACCATTTAAACGTACAATATTTACTGCATTTTACGAGCATTGTAGCAACAGCGAAAATACATTGAGGTATCAATAATAAATAACTAAATATGTTCAACTGGGCACCGTCCCCTGGGTGGGTGTGAATGCATGCGATGTGGTGTGGACTGCCGTGCCACGCGAGACGGTGCAGGGTAGGGCTGCGTGCTCCCATCACGAATCGGTTTCACGTCTGCACCTGTAGAAGGACAGATATTACATGAACGATACAATAAAACATGATATTCAGGTATTTTTTTTTAAGATCCCAATAGTTGTTTCTCTGTATTGCACCCAATAGCATTTGGGACAGCATTCTCCTGCCGAGGATTGGGAGTGCACTATGCGGATGGCAGAGGTTTGGAAGCTAGGACCTTGGTTGAGACGTCAATGATGTTGGCATGCTTTGGTGCTTGAGACTGAACACTGCGGCCTTTAAGGCGAGGGTTTTAGACATTGTGCCTCCATAGAAGCGGGGACAGGTCGCATGGATGTTGAACTTCTTTCACACCGCATGTCGCCGGCCGTGCTCACCGGAGGTGCAAGTTTCGAGGGAAGCACTCGGATTTCCCGAACGATAATTTACAATCATTAAAGACATCTTCAAGGCCAATTAGGTTCATTCCACAAGTTTTGACTGTCACTTTCCGTCTGCGCAATTCTTGAGCCCCAAGCTCTGATGATTATATACAATTAGCTGAATATGTTGGCTTTAAGTCTTGCCTTTCATCAGCGTTGTGGTGCCAGTCCAATGCCTGTCTCATTACCCGAGTGTTCAGCCGCAGGATATTTTATATCTCGCTGCACGGCATGCTCTGGATGTACATAAGTAACATTTCACTTTTTAGAAAATCTCTAAAGTCGTAGTCTGCCACACTTGCCTCTTCGTACTTCCTCTCTCGGTAGAAGGGGCTCTTCTTGCTTATGTAGAGCAGGACGAGGTCGCAGAGGAAGACTCCCTGAAGTTGGAGACAAACGCACAGGATGCGAGACGACGTGCTGCATCACGCGATACCATCCATCAGTGGAGCGATCATGGCTCGTGATGATGAAGATGATGATGAAGATGCAATCTCGAGTTCAGTCGGTGTGCGGCAAATGTGTGGTCCACTCTAAGCTGCATCCACTGCACAAGCCGAGGCATTGATGCGGATTCTCGATGCACAAATGGAAGCTGAGAGACTATGGGTCACCCAGAAGAGACGGCGCACGACAACCCAGAGCCGCGCGCGCTGATCCAATTGAGTCAGTTGCTGGTCAAGTTTCAACGTTGGGATATTTGGCCAATACCAGTGAGAGTGTGGAGTTTTGCTGTTGTTGTTGTTTAAGCTGTGGGAGGAAACTGGAGACACCCAGAACAGGGGGAGAACATGCAAACTCCATGAGCCGCGGTGGCTATGAGATGTTAACTACCTCGCCTGGTATACAAGAGGTCTTGGGTTCGATCCCGACCTTGACGCCTCTGTATTTTGAGTTTTCATGTTCTCTCCGTAGTCGTGTGGACCTTTCTCAGGGGTTTCCGGTTTTTCCTTTCACATTTAGAATCCACATCACGCGTTCAGAGCGTTTGTCTGCGACACGTGATGATGATGAGCCACTTCGTTGAGCTCTCATTTGTGGCCAGGTCGCTTCTGAAAAAGAGCTCTGGAGCTCAGTGGGCACTTACCTGGTAAAAAATAAATAGTTTAGTTTCAAAAAGTGTCAGAACAGAACCCAGACCCTTCGTGCTGCGAGACACGAGTGTGTGCGCTGCGCCACCCTGTGCCACCCTGTGCCACCCTGCGCCACCCTGCGCCACCCTGTTGTCACCCTGTGCCACCCTGCTGTCCGAAAAAATCGCGCTCCTTACTTGCGGAATGAGAACTTGGGAAAGTGGATGCTGTTCTTGATGAACACTGTGAAGTTCTCAGCTCCAGCCAAGATGAGATGCCTGCACACGCGCGCGCGGGTAGGCGGGTTATATAAACGTGCCGTGTCTGCATACGCGAACCATCGCGGAGCCAGTCAATGCTAACTCGTCCATGATGAGATTCCTACTGATGACAGTCGATCGGCACAGGCAGAGTGGAGTGGGGGCTCTATAGAGATCCCACGAGCGGAGGCCCTTCCCAGCAGCACTGGCCTGAGCCAGGAATTGGAGGGCTGCGCCTTTACCAACGACGACGATGATCGTCGCTGTAGCCCCGAGAGAGCGCCGGGGAGACAAGGGGACACCCGCGGGGGGGGGGGGGGGGGGGCCGCGCGCTCGCCGCGAGGAGGGTCGCCACCTGGGGGCGCCGCCGCCGCCGCCGCTCTCCACGGGGCACCAGGCGCGCACCTCGCAGCTCCGCCGCCCCGACTCGCCGCTCGCCACGCAGCGGCCCGTGCGCACTCCTGGCGCGGGGGGGGGGGCGGGGGGGTCCCCCAGGGGAGGGGGGAGAGGGGGAGGAGGGGAGGGGGAGGGAGGAGAGGGGGGAGGGAAGGAGGGGAGGGAGGGAGGGAGGGGAGGGAGGGGGAGGGAGGACGAGGGGAGGCAGGGGGACGGAGAGAGGGGGAGAGAGGGGAGGGGAGGTAGGTAGGTAGGGGAGGGGGAGAGGGAGGGGAGGGAGGGGGAGGGAGGAGGGAGGGGGAGAGGGGGGAGGGGGAGAGAGAGAGGGGGGAGAGAGAGAGGGGGAGGGAGGAGAGGGGAGAGGGGAGGGGGGGAGGGGGAGGGGGAGAGGGGAGAGGGGAGGGGGAGAGGGGAGGGAAGGGGAGGGAGGGGGACGGGGAGAGGGGGAGGGAGGGGAGGTAGGTAGGTAGGGAGGGGAGGGGGAGAGGGGAGGGAGAGGGGAGGGAGGAGAGAGGGGACATTGGGAACGTTCACACTGCACGAGGTAAACTCCAAGGGTGCGATGGCAAATGCTGAATTCCGAACCGGTGGTCTATTCACATGTACAGTTTGCCAGCATTAAGTAAAACATTTTAATTATAATTATCAACACAACAAAGGTCAGAGTGATTTCCCTCACACTCTACTCTTTGGTTCTTTCGGTAAAGTCACGTAGATAGAAAATTAATAGATCACGACGTTTCGATCGCAACACAAGCAACCGTCATCAGGTGAAACTACCACAGCAGGAGAACTACTGACGTAGGAGCGAGTTCAAAACGCCCGTCCTTGATGATGTTGCTAACGGTTTTCGTAGCGTTTTCGAGGATAGTAGCGATTTCAGATCTTGCTACGTCTGCCGGGATGTGTCCAAAGCCTTTGAGAGCTACGTCGACCTGGGCAATGATATCATCCACTGGGATGTGTTTAGGGGTGACTGCGAAATTCAACCCTTTAGCTAATACCGATTTTAGGCTGTCGAAAATTGCGCTGTTACTCTTATTGATAACAATCTTGTTGACATCGAACTTTTACTACTGTATGTGGCACTGGCTTCTTCTTCGACAGGAAGTTGAATTTAGCAATCGGGTTAACTTTACATTTGGCTGACATTGTAGCGGCTGAAGGAACAGTCATGTTATCTACACGGTCCCAATCAGATGTGGACATTTTATCTGTCAATGCTACGTGCGCTTGTAAGAGATTCTTGTCTTAATTATCAGGTTCAAATCGGAGCGGTCTGCTTCTCTCTGGGATCAGGGCTCGGCTAGGCCTGAACAAGATCCGTTCAATAGTTCACTGAAGCGGTGCTCATCTCGTGTTCACAGCCCTGAGACAGTGATTACAATTACACAATCTCATGGCAGGGTCGAGTCCGTCCATATGACAACCATTGTTGGCTTCCTCACGAAGCGACACTCATGTTATTGCTCCTGGAGGGGGGGGGGGGGCTGAGTCAACCCCCCACCAGGGTGTGAGTTGTCGACGAGGGATATCTACAACTCTCGTACCGTTGCCAGTCGCCATCGGTTCCCCAGAAGGGCAGTCGCTGTCATTGGAGCAATGCGCTCCAGGAATGTCAGGATTCTACACTCACGCAAAGACAAAGATCACCCGTGTAGCCTGAACAGACTTTTGTGGCAAGTGCTGTGAGCGAGTACCTGTGAAGGCCTGCACGGTACACAAGGGGATAGGTGGCTAGCACCACGCCCGGACGCCCTTGTCTCCCCAGTGGCGATGTTTACACAAGGCACCAGGTAGTCAATTGAGGCTGAGTAGACCGAGGGGAGGCCCAGAACCGGTTCAGATAATCGCCACTGGTGTTGGTGGCCGTGAGCAAAAATCCCACGGGCTCGTGACAGATCTCGCTAAACACGACACCGCCGTTCCCCGCTGAAGTGCACATACACATATATACACAATATATACGTGATTAATTCTAATACTCTCATTCTATGCATTAGTTATGTTTGTGGAAATGTACTTGACTGTTTCATGAACTGAGAGACAAAATAGCCCTTGTACGTGCGATCACAAATGGCATTGATCGTGAACACTCATCCCGTATTGAAGTCGAGTGGGATGTGCGCAGCAAGTGGTAAAGCACGCGTTTTCTATTTCGTCTTTCCCAGTCTTCAAACGTTTTGCGACACAGTGCGGGGTCTGGCGAGCACAGCACCCCGGAGGGGTCAGAGGTCAGGCGACAACACTCAGGGTCGCAGAATCAACCCCAGCTCGACACCGCTACAGAGCAAACAAGCCCAAGCACAACGGGAGCTGTATGTACAGCGCTAATGACTTCTCTCCTTTATTTGCTCGTCTCTCTATATGATTGATAAAAAAAAAATGTTACAATAGCGACACCTCCGATTTCTACGGTTGGCTACGTACGGTGCGAAAGAAGTCCAACATAAATACGTAGTAACTCGTACAACTATTACCTGGACACATTCATCAGATTACACTGCGGCCTTAACAAAAAATATACAAAATAGGCGACGTTTCAGGCAATGGTCCTTCTGCACAGAGACGCTGGGTCTCAGCGGCCTCTCAGCTGGTTATAAATACTATGAATACATGTGAAATGCATCACGTTATGCCATTAACACGACCTTTAACCATGTACCAAACGACGTGTAATTGTTAGTTCCAGGAACGTGTGTGTTTTGAAGTGAAAATGAAATTACGGTGTCACCGTGCGAGTTCTGTCCGTGGTGCACGCCCGCTGGGCCCCGTGATGGTGGCGTGCGGGTTACCTCGGGACAGACGCCTTGACACTGTCCAGGGGTTGCAATCATGTTCGTGACAACAAAGAACACATTCTCTCCCTAGGACACAGAGCGCACGCAGTCAATCACTCGGGTGCAGTAAAACATGCACGCCCCATCCACATGCACATGCACACATCACACTGCCCGTAGCCCATGGACTGCAGGACATCCGTGGCCGTGGCCTGGTCGTCCAGTCAGTACTCTCTGTCAACATTGCATTCATCTTCTTGGTTCTTTCGGTAAAGTCACGTAGAAGGAAGATAATAAAATAATATAAATATAAAACAACAACAATTCTCACGATATTTACATATTTTGAGTATCTCCCTTCTACGTGACTTTACCGAAAGAACCAAGAAGATGAATCCCTGCAGTCACGAAAGCTTTAAACCAAAATTGCATTTATCATGCAACTTTTGTTTCCATGTGAGAATAGCCGCTTATTAGTACGGTGCATATTTGTTTCAGATATGTTTCCACTACAGTTATGAATCGGCAATTGAACACACAAGAAGACAATGGAGAACACAAGAAGACAATGGAGAACACAAGAAGACAATGGTCCCTTGCGCACCGCCCTACGCAGGTGCAATACCGCCCTTGCCCACCAGTGGGGTGGTGCAGTCCAGTTGTGACGTCAAAGCAACGTCGTCGCCCACCAATCAGAGGGCGCCGGTTCAATCTCAAGGCACGGCGGTTGAAACAATGGGAAAGCGTTTTATCTTAATCTATGACAGTTCTAAAATTGTACATACGATGAAAGTGGTTCAGATAAAGAGTGGGGTTGTTATTCAAGGTGGTGGTGTAGTTATGGTGACAGGATAACAGGCAGGAGAAGTTAAGGTGGGGTTGAGATACAGTTAGTGATAGGGGTAAATGTAGTGATAGGGGTAAATGTAGTGATAAGGGTAAATGTAGTGATAGGGGTTGGGGTAGTGATAGGGGTTGGGGTAGTGATAGGGGTTGGGGTAGTGATAGGGGTAAATGTAGTGATAGGGGTAAATGTAGTGATAGGGGTTGGGGTAGTGATGGGGGTTGGGGTAGTGATGGGGATGCGGGAGGGATGTGCCGTGAGCCACACGCGGAATCTGGCATCCTCATTTGTTCCGCAAATATCATCGTGGACTTCGGCGTTTGCTCTGCTTGTCCCATGGAGATATGCTGAAGCAATAAAAGGGCTCAGGTGATAGCGACACTCTGCCCGGAACAGCTGCGAGATTATTGTTGCCACAAACCACACGCTCGACTCACTGGGGCCGGGTATCCAATGGTGATATTTATTTTGAAACTGTTCCCGGTATAGAGTGTCCCCAATCAATAAACAAACGCTCTCACCTCTTTTAGTTGAGGATACATTAGCCTGGCGCAGTGGTTCACACAGCTCGCTGCGGACCCAGTGACTTAAGATCGATACCCAGCCATGACTGACATTGGCTGCGAATGACCGCGCCAGTCACGTGTCCACCCTTCCTCAACCACAATGACCAACGTGGTGAAGTATGGCCAACACGATTCCCATCACCGAAATGGTGTGCGGATGCCTTCATCCAGCAGTAGATTGGCAAAGGGCTGTAAAATATGTAAATAAATTACCCATTACCTGTGGAGGTATGACATAGTCAGCGGCATCCCAAACATGTGCATCTCCGTGTAATGCACCACTTGTAAGTGGGACGCTGGGTTGGTCTCGTGTCATGTCGGGCTGGAGCTCAGACACCAACTCGCCAGGCGGCGCGGCATCTGAGCCTTGCGTTAACTTCCCCTCCTTGGGCTCAAGACGACGGGCATCGGTTTGCCGATCTCGGAATTTCACCTTTGACTCTTTCATTTCTGCACCCGCTCGGAGCGGCGTATTGCCCCGTGAAGCAGGTCGCAGAGATGCGGAGTCCGGCTCAGCTCCCTTCCCTTGAGTCTCCGACTGTTGGCGGATTTTCAAAAGTGCCTCTGGCAGGAACCGCCTATCTGGCTGCTGCTGCTGCTCTGTTGCGTCGGAGTCGCCCTCCGCGGCTCGCGGTCGGGGCGCTTGAGTTGGCCGTGCCGTGTCGGGCTCTGGCCGCCGGGCCCCCGGCCCGCGGGGGACACCGGAGTCGGGGCGCGCGGGGAGTCGTGGGGGGCGCGCCGGTGACGGCCGCGCCGCAGCGACGTCGCGCCCCAGCAGGGCGGCGGCTCCTTTCACCTTGGTGATGACGGAGCTCTCGATGCCGGTATCAGTCTCCTGATATGCTTTCTTGGTCACGAACACCCAACTTGGGAGGCGGGGGACGGACAGCGCGCGGGGGGTGGGCACAGAAGCGGGCAGAGGACGTCAGCTGGAGTGAAATCGTGTTGCGGTAAATTCAAACAAAACATCGCAGGGCTGCGATTACTCCCGGAGCAAGCTGGAGATCACAAGAAGAGTATTCCATCATCCCACATATCCACGATTGAGTTAGCCTCCACTGTACTGTGTTCATTGTATCGCCCAGGGCTAGAACGCCCAACAACGTACAATATGACAGCGAACTCAATCGTATATCGCACGACGCGAACGGCACTTGGCTAACGAGTAAATCTCAAAAACGTCGAAATCCATCAAGGGAGCTGATGTGATGTGACATGCCCTCGCGGTGACGACAGTGGAGAACTTCCACAGAGACCTCACTCAGTGTTGGGCGAGAGCAGTGGACGAGTGTGCAACCGGAGGCCACGGGCGATGAATCGGTCCTGGGCCTCTCTTAGGTCGACTCAGCCTCAAATGAGTACCTGGTGCGGTGTGTAAACATCGCCACTGGGGAGACAAAGGCGGCCGGGCGTGGTACTCGCCACCGATCCCCTCGTGTGCCGTGGCGGGCTTCATAGGTGCTACCTGCTAACAGCACTTGTCCCAACAGTCCGTTGAGGCTATGCGGGGGATCTTTGTCTTGGTGGACAGTGGGCAGAGCAGCCTCTGGACGTGTGGATGGTCTCTGCAGGTCGACACGTGGAGTTGTAAGCGCAGCGCGCGAGTCGAGGCGCGCTGCCGGCGAGAGGCGACGGCACGAGAGAGAGGGAGGGGGGAGGGAGGGAGGGAGAGAGAGAGGGAGGGAGGGGAAGGGACGGGGATGCTGTAACGCGAGCAGCAGTCCCGGTTCGCTACCCAGTGAGGGTTTGAAACTTAGATTTTTTTTTGAAACAGAAAAATCCCCTTTGCTGTACGATTAGTCAACTTGTCAAACAAGGCGGCGTGGCGCACGGTGACGCCTCCTCGGCTCCTGCGTCCCCACGGCGACTGGTGCTGCCTGTTTATAGTCTACACTCGCAGTTTGCCGAGCAATCTGCGGCATCGCTTCTTTACCCCCCCCCCGCCCGCCACTCGAACGCATCCTTCTCCAACAACAACAACAACACCAACAACCAGGGTGAGGACGCCTTCAAAGCAAAGCTGTCCAGCGTGTAGATGATACCAGGTGACATGTCGGGGGCGATGGCAGCTGCTCGCATCCCGCAGAGAGGTCACAGCGCTCGGTACTCCGAGAGCGGCACACTCGGCCAGGCAGTTTGAGTCGTTGCCTGCTTTGTGATTCTTCCAAGGCGCTCTTCACACAGAAGTAGCGTTGACGTGTCGCTCTTTACTATGAAACGGCACTCAAGTGAAGCAAAAGTTGATACGGGCAGCCGGAGTTCTCAACAAACCAAGGCCGAGGTCACAAACGAGCACGTAAATAATAACCCGTTTACAAAAAACGTAACAGCCACACTGGCAAGATGATGACATCAATACCCACGGAAACACGCCAACAAGCGACCAGGTGACCCGGCCTGAGGCCAAGTCGCACGCAGCGCCAAGGAACTCGAGATCTCTGTGTGAGCGGCACAACTGGGAAACAGCAGAAGGTGCGCGCCGTGCCATCGTTGAAGGCCGACCGGAATCAGAAATTACGAACTAACGGGGCAGACTGGAGGAGGAGGAGGATGGAGTGGTTTTGGAGAGATGAACTTGATCAAGGAAAGGTAACAGAGCAATGCGTACAAAGAAGAAAAAGAGTCGAATGAGTGGGTACCACCTGCTATGACCGATGTGGTTAATGAAAATAAATCCCTAACATATGAACGGTGCACAAATAGCCGTGGCGAGAGAGACTCGTACTCGGAGTTGCACCGAGAGACGGAAAAACACGCCGAGACGGCGCGAGACGCACGGCGGCCGTCAAGAACACGATGGAGTGGCAGCCACGTGGTGGGTGGATTATTGAAGAGTATTGATGAGTATTGATGAGTGAGTTTTGATGATGAGTATTGATGACACCGCGTGCCGGATCGCGAGATGGCACCGGCTCGAGGGAGACCTTCGCCCTGAGCGTTGAATCGATCCTCGCTGAAGACGTAGGGCACGTGCAAGAACACTAAAAACCCCCACAATCCTTCAGAGGCGCATTTAATCCACACACCGCCTTCTGACCGAGCATCAGCCTCCAAGCAACCCAGCCACGTACGACGACTCTGACGTATTGTTGTTTATTATTTGTGTTTGCTGTTCGTTACTGGCACGCGAAGTGTCAATCCGACGATGAACAGATTCGGGTTATTGGGGCCCCACGCGGCCAACTTGGCTCGAGTTGTCACAACAATCGGCACGCACGGCCACCCCGCACCAATGCTTGGTGTGTGTGTGTGTCTCTTGCCTCTGCGTTGCGACACGGCAGAGTGTGTGCTTATCCACGCATCATATCCACTGTAAGCTCCTGAAACTACACGTGGAAAATTCGTACAAAGAACAACTTTGCCTTCGAGCCACGTGGTGTTGCAACACGAAAACAAATTGGTTTAAGCCTTGTGCCTGGACTAAGCTGCAGGGATATATATAATGCAGTGTTCACGCGACGGATGCGTTGAAGGCGCACCGCCTTCCACAAGGCGGTTGCTGTAATAACATCACATGAAAAGGCGGCTCCGCAATTAATAACAATCACAGATTTGCCATTCTGTCAACAATTGCAGGTTTGAACACGAGGGTGCCACTTTGCCGCCGTGCGGTCGCGGTGGAGGCTTCAGCTCCCCTCTGTTTGCTCAATCGGCGCTCTTCATTTAAACACAAAAATCCGTGTGGATTCGCGGCTGTCCCGTGACTCACCAGGATAGTCGCAGGTCGGTGAAGCCGCGGACTGCATCGGCGCTGCTGTTGCTGAGGAAGGCGGCTCACGAAGCCGAGTTTCGTTGTGGCATTGCAGTAAACTCCCCTGACGGAGATTTAATATCTCTTGTGCTGAAGCGGCTTCACTTTAGTTGCAGTGCTATTGTATTGTGACGTCGGTATTGCATTGTGACGTTAGTAGTGTGAAGTCAGTAGTGTGACGTCAGCATTGTGACGTCAGTATTGTGACGTCAGTAGTGTGACGTCAGTATCGTATTGCCACTTGCACGGACAGCACACAAGGCGCTTTCACCTGGGTGACACGTTTGAGACTATGGCCAGATTCACCTGAATACATTTGAAAATCGTTGAAGACAAATCGTGGCTGATATTCGTTGGGTTTTTCGGTAAAGTCACGTCGATAGGTTCAAAGAAAATAACCAAAAATTAACACAAAACGACGACGTTTCGTCACCACGAGGAGGATGAAACGTCGTAGTTTTTTGTAAAAAAAAAAATAATGTTTTTTTCTTTGAACCTACCCACGTGACTTACCGAAAGACCCAAAGAATACGAATTCCTGCAGTCACGAAAGCTTCGAGTCAAGATTCCGTGGCTCGCTGCGCAGCATGGACGGCTACGCCACCTCGGCGTGCAGCGTGTCACTGACGCTGTGCAGGTCCTCATGCCTGCACAGTGCCAGCGTGCCAGCGAGCCGCTGCAGTGCAGCAGCAGCAGCGGCTGCGGCGGCTCTTGCACGCGATGCGTGGCCTGCTAATCCTGCCCCGGGGGATATTGGGGTGGGGTGGGGGGTTCTTTTCGACATCGCAGCTGCTCGCCGCACCACGCCCGGCGCACGCCACGCGCGGTCCGCCCTTCCATTGCTGGCTTCGACGCGCAGCTCCGTTTCTCGTCTTTCTGGATCTGCCATGGCCCCTGAGATGGAAGGGTGCCCGTCTCCCGCCCACCCCGCGGAGGCCGGCAGCGCGGCGCGCCTCCTCACCCAATGAGGTAGGCGAGCACCGCGACTTGTATGGCCCGGAACAGCACGCCCACGGTGCGGTTGTGCGCGATCACGAACTTCTCCGTCTTGTAGTCGAAGAAGCTGCAGAGGAGGCTCCTGGCCGTCCACGCGTGCTCCTCCATGCTGCACGGCCCGAACCGCGCACGCCGTGAGACAGAGAGACACACAGAGGTGGTGGTGGTGTTGGTGGTGGTGATGGTGGTGGTGATGTTGTGGTGGTGGTGGTGGTGGTGATGCTGGTGGTGGTGATGGTGGTGGTGATGATAGTGGTGGTGATGCTGGTGGTGGTGATGCTGGTGGTGATGGTGATGGTGGTGATGTTGCGGCTGCGTTATTGCGCTGCGCTTTGCTCGAGCCTCAACTCCTCCCTCCTCCTCGCTGCTGCGGCAGAGACGCTCCCTGCTAAGGCAAAGACAAAGATATCCCGTATGGCCTCCACAAATTTTTGGGGCAAGTGCTCTAAGTGAGCACCTATGAAGGCCGGCACGGTGCACGAGGGGGGTTTTGGCAAGCACCAAGCCCGGCCGTCTTTGTCTCCCGAGTGGCGATGTTTACACATCGAAGCAGGTACTTATTTGAGACTGAGTCGACTTCGGGAAGGCCCAGGACCGATTCAAATTTTCGTCACTGGCGTTAGCCGTGAACTCGGGTGGCCGTGTTCGTGGCGCGGTGCCCTAACCACTGCGCCACCGCTCCCCACGTAGCCCTGCGTACTACACGCATTGGCCCAGCCGTCTTTTCGGTCACAATGGTGGGAGCAAACCAGAGCACGGGAAACTCTCGCCTCTGATGGCACAACCCCCACGTGCCTTCTCTGATGGTCACTCGATTTCTCGGCCATTGCGCGCCGTTGCTCAAGTTCAAGGTCATTTATTTGGTGTAGCCCTGTGAGCCATTCGGCTCTTGAATCGGGTGCAACCGCAACAAAAAAAAACATGAACAAGAAAACATCTTAAAGTGACTATGTGCAAACAGAAAATCCAAGAAAAAACAGCAAAATATTGCAGAAAAAGCACCGTACACCAACACTATCTAAATCACTCTCATTCATGTAAAGCGCCTGGAGTTAAGGCTATCTCCGTGTCAACGTAAAATGAGATAACAATCTATTGTACTGCACTGTTGACGCTCCCTCCTTCACCAATCCATATTGACCAGCGTGGTGAAATTTGGTCAAATCATTGCGACGATGGACGCATTCATCCAGCAGTGGGTTCGCCAGGGGGCCGCGCGTGCACGAACGGGGCGACCCGAGCGGGCTGCAGCCGTCGACTCCCGCGGTTCAACCACGGACGGCTCAGACCCGGATTCAAATCCAGCTCCTCAACGGCGCCGACTGAGTGCCCTGAGACGCGGACGAATCCACAGCCCACATCGTCCATTCCTCGAGTAAGTCGACTTGAGTGGAACACGAGAACGTCCGTGCACGGCGGAGGCGTTGGGCGGTCGCTCGTGACCGAGACCATCAACTCGCCGTCACCGAGAATCCGTGCGGTGAGAATCCGGATTCGATCCCAGCGCGTCTCTTGCGCTGCAGCCAGGGTCTATGGACGAGAACAGCACCTTCGCAGCCACTGGGCTCGTCACGCGGTATCATTAGTCAAGATAAATCATGATCGCGATAGGTTTCCCGTGGCGCTGTCATTGCGATGCGTTTGCGTGTAGCTGCACCTCCAGCACGAATACAGATCGCCGGACTTAACTCCACACGCTCCTCGATGATGACACCGTGGCCGCAAAATGAAAAGTTTCCGAAGCTGATGTACTTTATATGCTGCATCATCTTCCCGTGTAATAATGCGCTCGTCCGTGTGTCTGGTGGACGATCCACCTCTCGTACCAAGTCAGCCCTGGAGCCTCGACATCTCCATGATTTTGGAACAAAAAGAATCGACAAATATCTTCACAAATCATGCAAAGCGATAAAAATATATATATATTTTAAACGCTGCGCGTGCCCTGTAAACATGACTGAGTGGAGTTTGTTTATTGTACATTATCAGGAGCTTGTCTATGTACATTATCAGCTTGTCTATGTACATTATCATCAGTGTCTATTGGACACCATTGTCGTGACAGAATGAGTCACTCGAGTAGGGACACGGGAAGCTCGGAGAGAGGGGGATTATGGGTCCAGCAGCCCGGCCTGCCAGTGAGTCACGTGGGCAGAGTGAGGGACCTTCTGATGAGAGCCAAAAGGGGCCGTGGCCGAGGGCGGAGCCTGGCCACGCCGGGGAGGATAAAAGGGAGGCTCCGACCGTCAGTCGGGGCTGTCGTCTGGGAAGAGAACTCGTCGTGCTGCCGGCGTCCTCGTCGTCACGTGCTCGGCATCGTCGGTCGGATGGCGTGAGGACCGTGGGTAGATATCCTGTGTGGCTATATGGAACGGAATAAAAGATGTGCCTCCAACTCTTAGTGTGTCCAGATTGATACACATCATCATCATCAGTGTGTCTATTGTACATCATCATCGTCAGAGTGTCTATTGTACAAATAATTTATCAGCAGCCAATTCCCGAAGCGCTTTGCGAGTCTTCCCTCTCCCGCCCTGCCATTGGTCCGAGATCATCACGAGCAACGATGATGACGTCGTGGCGTTATTTTTTAATACGTGAAAAGAAAAATCGAACGATACGATTATGGTGGATCTGGTATTGTACGATATATATTTCCCCGCAGTATTTCCGCATCGCGGCGACCATATCGATCACGCTTGCAACACCACGATCACACAAAGACAAAGATCCCCCGTATAGCCTCAACAGACTGTTGGGGCAAGTGCTGTTAGCGAGCACCTACGAAGACCGGCACTGTGGCACACGAGGGGGTGGGTGGTCGGCACCACGCCCGGCCAACCTTTGTCTCCCTTGTGGCGATGTTTACGACACACCGCACCAGGTACTCATTTGAGGCTGAGTCGCCCTAGGTGAGGCCCGGGACCGAGTCAGATGATCATGACTGCTGTCGGCCGTGGGCGGAAATCGCCGGGTTCGTAGCGCAGCGCGCTCACCGCAACACCGCCCACTCAGCCCGGCACGCACCCTTCTCGCCCCGTCACCTCCGAGACCCAAGACGAGACGAGCGTTTGCGGCACTGCGTGGAGGAGGCGCCACGCGCTCACGACGAGTACTGCCGAACTGCCCCGCGGCTCCTCCATCGCGCACGGCAGTTGCTGCTGCTGCCATCTGTGCGGCGCGACCGCTGAAGCCGCCCCACCGCCCGACTCGCGCGAGAGGAAATTGTCTCTCGAGAGGACGAGGAGGAGGAGTTGCCCACAGACATTTGAACATCGGAGGAGGTTTGCACCATGACCCCGACTGCCAAGAGACGGTGAGAGCCCTCGTCTCTCTGAGCATTGCCACTGCGACCGCGGGCTCCACTCGGAGTGCTTCGCTTGGACCCTGCTTCCTCCTGGCTTAGACACACACACGCACATCATTATCATCCTAACAACACAGCTGTTGTTTCTAGACCCGAATTACAACACTTGAACATTAATATTTACCTTTTATTTTTCTGTACTCGACTCTTCTCCTTCTCTTCGCTCCGTCTCCTCGTTTCATGTTTCTCTATTTGTTACTTTCGCTCCGAACCCAGAGACTCTCGTGACGACGCCGACACCCTCGGCTCGGCTCCTGCCGAGGGCGCAGCCTGCGGGAATAGCTCCGCGCTCACAGCAGCGCTGCTCCACATCTCTCCGCCTCCCTCACCACCCTCTCCCTCTCTTCCTCCCTCTCTGCCCGTCTTTATATTTACTTATTCCTCTTACCAGCTCTCCTCTCTTCTCCGTTAAATTTCGTTTTTTTTTCTTATTGTTTATTATTTTAGCGGCGGCCAATGTTGTCGGGAAGGCCGCACTCTTCACTGCCTCCTCTTCCCTGAACCACGCGCTCGGGGGGCACTCAACCCTTCACTCACTCACCCATCCATTCACTCACCCATCCATTTACTCACCCACCCACTCACCCACCCACTCACTCACCCATCCATTCACTTACCCACTCACTCACTCACCCATCCATTCACTCACACACTCACCCACCCATTCACCCACTCACCCATCCATTCACTCACCCATCCATTCACTCACCCACCCACTCACCCACCCACTCACTCACCCATCCATTCACTCACCCACCCACTCACTCACTCACTCACCCATCCATTCACTCACCCACTCACCCACTCACCCACTCACCCATCCATTCACTCACCCATCCATTCACTCACCCACCCACTCACCCACCCACTCACTCACCCATCCATTCACTCACCCACCCACTCACCCATCCATTCACTCACCCACTCACCCACCCATTCACCCACTCACCCATCCATTCACTCACTCATCCATTCACTCACCCACCCACTCACTCACCCATCCATTCACTCACCCATCCATTCACTCACCCATCCATTCACTCACCCATCCATTCACTCACCCACCCACTCACTCACCGACTCACCCACTCGCCCACCCACCCACTCGCCTACTCACCCACTCACCCACCCACTCACCAACCCACCCATTCACCCAGACATCGCATACAAATCAGCCCCCAGTACTATACTTAAGACGCTTGACTCAATTTATCACTCGGACTTAATATTTGCATTGAACTGCCCATATAGGACCCACCACTGCGATCTCTACATTGAGTGAAACTTAACTTCTCTTAATGATCGACGGCTTGTGCATCAGATCTCATTTATTCATGATGTACTTACAAAAATATCAGCAGACTACCTGCTGGATCTCCTCACTGTTTCGAAGAACAAATGTGACCTAAGGTCTTCGCTCATGTACCAGCTTCGCATTCCTTATTGCCGTACAAATACTGGAGGAAGGGACTTTTCTATTGATGCCCCCAGGGTCTGGAATGCTATCGCCAATAAACTGCAACTTGGATCACTACCTATGAGATCTTAACTGAAAACTGCTCTAGAGGAGTTGTACACCCCTAGCTGCCACTGCAATTCAGAGTGGACTGAAATCATATGTATCATTCCAGATGACTGCTGCATGATCTTGAGTTTTGATTATAGTGTGCTGATCTTTAAAGGTAGATTGAAAAATGATGATACTGATGCTCCTGCTGTTATGGAGTGACTCATGCAGCCAGCTCTGGCTGCAAAGTTTGGTCGTACATGTTGTGAATATCGTTTATTGTTCATTTTAATCACAGTTCCTATGATCACTGTTACATTGTTTTATAGCTTTATTTTGGTGATTTTGAAAACGTTTTGGTTTAGCCATGTTTGTTTGTTGTAGTACAGAGTTAGATGATAACTTTTATCTAAATTGTCTATTGGTTGTTATTGTTTGACTTGCACCCCACTGGGATTTTTGCAAACAGTGTTGAAATACGGTGTTTTTCTGGAAGACTTTGCTGTTTTTTCCTGGATGTTTCTGTTGCACGTAGTCATTTTAAGATATTCTTTGTTCATGTTTTGTTTGTTGCGGTTGCACCCGAGTCAAGAGCCGCATGGCTCACATGGTTATACCTAATAAATGAAACTGAAAAACTCACCCACTCACTCATTCGTCCACTCACACACCCATTCACTCACCCATTCACTCAAACATCCACCCACCCACTCACCTACTCACTCACTCACTCACCCACCCACTCACTCACCCACTCACCCCTCCACTCACTCAACCACTCACCCAGCCACTGACCCACTCACTCACTCACCCACTCACCCCTCCACTCACCCAGCCACTGACCCACTCACCCACTCACTCACTCACCCACTCACCCCTCCACTCACCCAACCACTGACCCACTCACCCCTCCAGCGTGGTCGCCCACGATGCTCCCTCCGGACTCCCTCCCGGGCCGCGCCGTTGACCCCGCCACACGGACACGTGGTGTGTTCGCAGCAGCACCCCCCCCCCACACCCCGCTGGCCCTGTGACATGTGTGTGTGAGGGTTCCTCTTTGATACCAACACGAGCCTTTTGCCCGTCCATGGACGGGTGTCTCGCAGTAAATCTGAAACTTGCACGCAAAGAGCAGACCGCGACGTGATATCCATTGCATCAATTCGTGTGCAATTTGTCAGGGCGCGGTGATACAGACTTGTTTAATTTTAAGGTTATAATCCCTTGTTCATCATGACGTCCTTTTTACTTCGATGTCTCAACAGCGTGATGGAGATCACGTGACGTGAGGGTTCTGCCTTTGTAGTGAGGGTTGTGAGTTGACGCAGAGGAGGGGGGAGAGGAGGCGCCTCGACCCCCCATGTGGAGTGACGTCACCCGATAATTATTATTAATGGGGGGGTGACCATTTGCAGGACGTCACCTGCTCATGATTATTAATGAGGGGGGGGGGCATGTGGAGGACGTAACCTGTTCATGAATATTAATGAGGGGGGCTGGTCGACGTGGAGTGACGTCACGAGCGTTGCACACAGACATTCTTGGCTCATTATAGTAGCTAATAATAATGGGGGGGGGGGAGTGTCTATTTGGAGGACGTCACCTGCTCATGAATATTAATGAGGGGGGCTGGTCGATGTGGAGTGACGTCACAAGCGTTAAGGATAGACATTCCTGGGAAAACTCGCCCCCTCATCTCAATTTCCGATGCTAAAATGCTCCTCCTCCTTCCCCTCCTCCTTCCCCTCGTCTTTTCTCGTCTCGACTCCTGTCATTCTCTTCTTCTTGGTCTTCCAGCCGACGCTTTCACTCCACTGCAGCAAATTGAAAAAGCTTCGGCCCCCAATCCTCTGCTCTCCATTGGCTGCCCGTCAACTGCCGCTCTTTATTCAAACTCCTCACCCTCGTTTGCAAATCGCTCCATCGTCCTGCGCCACCCGATCTCGCTTCCCTTATTTATTATTTCGCTCCAACTCGGCCCCTGCGTTCACAATCTCTATCATCCCTCACTTCCTCCTTCCTGTGCTTAGTCACGTTCCGTTCCGTGACTCTTCTGCCTCCCCTCCATTGGAATAAACTCCCACGCCACTTTAAACAGGCGACTTCACTAACCAGTTTCTTTCCTCCCTTAAGACTTAGCTATTTTCAATCGTGTATCCCACTACTAGTTCCTGACCTCGTCCTTATAACCTAAACTAGGGGTCGGCAACCTACGGCTCCGGAGCCGCATGCGGCTCTTTACGAGCTGCTTCTTGACGATATGTACGTATGTACATAGATGCATTGCGGCTCTTGAAATACTGAATTTTGTACCGAATTGGAAAGAAATGGCTCTTCTTGTTATTTTGGTTGCCGACCCCTGACCTAAACCATCCTCCCCCTTCCATTTCCAAACCTCGCCACTCCCTTTTCCTATCATCACCCTTCCTTGCCTTCTCTTACCCTCCTCCAATTCTGTTCTCATCATATATAAACAATCTTGGATTAAAGTTAAATCACTCATAATTACATCTCTTTGCCAACACGATTTTGATATAATTCAATATTAACTGTGATCAATAAAATTATCCTTAATCCTAAAAATATGGAGAACATGGTTTCTTCCTCAAACAAAAATCAAGTTTCTTTCTCTTCACCTATTATAGATGCCAGAAACAACACCATTGAACGAACGGGGTGCTTCAAATACTTGGGATTACTAACTGATTCAAAACTTACATTCCAACCCCATATTGATCACTGCCTGGGCCTCCTTGAAAACATGCTCCACTGGACTCGCTACTGCCATTGGCACTCCATCGCCAGCGCTTCACTGTCCTTTACACTGTCCTTTACAATAGAACAAGTTTCACCAGCATATCTTAAGAAATCAGAACTCGATACTGAGAACCCTGCCAGTTACCAGTCAATTACTAACCTCTCCGTGGTGTGGAGGTGAGTGGTTGTGGTGGTGGTGGGTGGTGGTGAGTGGTGGTGAGCGGTGTGGTGGTGGTGTGGTGGTTAGTGGTGGTGTGGTGGTGTGGTGGTGAGTGGTGTGAAGGTGAGTGGTGGTGTGGTGGTGAATGGTGGTGGTGTGGTGGTGAGTGGTGGTGAGTGGTGGTGGTGTGGTGGTGAGTGGTGGTGGTGTGGTGGTGAGTGGTGGTGGTGTGGTGGTGAGTGGTGGTGGTGGTGTGAAGGTGAGTGGTGGTGGCGTGGTGGTGTGGTGGTGAGTGGTGGTGTGGTGGTGAGTGGTGGTGGTTTGGTGGTGAGTGGTGTGGTGGTGAGTGGTGGTGAGTGGTGGTGGTGTGGTGGTGAGTGGTGGTGAGTGGTGGTGGTGTGTTGGTGGTGGTGTGAATGTTAGTGGTGGTGGTGTGGTGAGTGGTGGTGGTGGTGGTGTGGTGGTGGTGAGGTGGTGAGTGGTGAGTGGTGGTGGTGTGGTGGTGAGTGGTGGTGGTGTGGTGAGTGTTGGTGGTGTGGTGAGGTGGTGAGTGGTGGTGGTGGTGTGGTGGTGAGTGGTGGTGGTGGTGTGGTGGTGAGTGGTGGTGGTGGTGTGGTGGTGAGTGGTGGTGGTGTGGTGGTGAGTGGTGTGACCAGGTATTGTTGTTCAACTCGACATCCATTAAGCGTTGCCATGGAGGATCGTGCTGGTTTTTTTTCCATTTATTTCCAAATGGAAGTTGAATTTATCTTTTCACGCACCCATATTCGTACCGTATGCATTGCCATATTTAGTTTATATTTGTTGAATTTAAATGTTTTGAAATACCATGGTTTTTTATTGTTCCTGATGTAACCCTGCTAGCCCTCGCCAAAGAGGTGGTGATGATGATGGTGGTACGTCTCAGCGCCTTCAAGTCATCTCATGGCCCATTGAATGATACATTCTCTACTTATTTCCGTTGTTTTATACGTTTGTTAATTTTCACTCACATCGTCTGTTAACCCACAACTTTGTAAGCCACACACATCTTGAAACATAACACATGTAGGTGTTGTATGTAATAAAATAGTGAATTGCATTTGTGAACCTAACCAATTCATCAATTTCTCGTGTGCGCTGCAGGTTGAACTCTGCAGTTTGTGGTCACGTGAAATGGAAGGTTTTGGTGGTTTTGTCGCTTTTCGTGCTCGTGTGTTTACTGCTCAATCTTCGCAGCACCTCGCGGATGTTTGTCAAGCTGCGGAGAAAGCAGAGATTGAACGTCACAGTGGAATCCTCCCGGTGTTTTTCGCAAACGGAAATATTGCAACCGATTCCGAACGGGAACGCCCTGGTCGTGTCGGCGTATTTAGACTCGCGCCAGGAACCGGGATCAGTGCGCGTCCTGGCCATTGTGAAGAGATCTTCCCCCCTTGAGCTCCACTGCTACTTTGCATGCCGCAATGGAATTTTCGTGGGGGCTTCCCCAGCCGAAGTAAATTTGTTTCATAATCACTTCGGCTTTCCTTGGGCCGGAGCTCATATATTGTGCTCCTTGCATGATAGCCCGTGCGCCAAGCCGGACAAAGTGGCACTTGTGCCCTCTGAACAATCTGATGGGCAGTGCTTCGTGGCAAACATTCAAAACGCAGCCCCACCACAACCAGAGGACAGCTTCACCCACGACTTTGGCGTCTGCATCTCCACCCTGTTCGGAGGCTACAACAACGTGCTGCAGTTCACGCAGGCCATGGAGATGTACCGGCTGCTGGGAGCGGGACGCGTCACCATCTACAAGAGCAGCTGCGGCCCCGAGTTGGGCCGGGTGCTGGCCCACTACGCGGCCACTGGTCTGCTCGAGGTGATCCCCTGGCCAATAGATCGGCACCTCACGCCGTCCACGGGGTGGACGTACCCAACTCACCCGGGCGACGTGCATTACTACGGACAAATAGCCGCGCTCAACGACTGCCTCTACCGGCACATGTACGACACGCGCTACCTTGTGATGAACGACGTCGACGAGATTATAATTCCAGTGGAGTGCACCAGTTGGGCTTGCCTCATGATGCACCTCAACGGGATCTACGATGCCGATGTCTACAGATTTAATAACCACGTCTTCCCCTACACGGTGGTGGACGACTTTGGCCGTGTGTTTGATAGATGGAAGGGGATCCCTGGCCGTAACATTCTGACGCAAGTTCGCCGTGAACCAAACCCGTTCTTTGTATTCAACCCGACCAAGATGATTCTGAATCCGAGGCAGGTTGTCGAGACGTCGGTGCATCACGTGGTGTCTACCTTTGGCCAAAGGGCGTTGGTCTCGAGTTCACTTGCCAAGCTGCACCACTATCGATCGCCCGAGAGGCCGAATCTCAATAAACGGGATCTCATCATCGACCCCGTGATGTGGAAGTACAAGGCTGCTCTCGTGAGCAACGTGAGTTCCGTGTTGCACAAAGTGGGGCTTCTCCGTTAATTATTAAGTGATTTTTTTTTGTGATATAAAACCAATAAAGTTTAACTCGTGGTGCTGCCTTGTATCACTCCAGGGCACGTAGGTGCACGCGTTCAAACATCGCGTTTTAAAATGTGATCTCCCTTCTCCACACCTTCTCGTGTCTGCTGCATTTGGATAATGCGAGTAACATCCTGAAATTTGTGGATTATTTTTTTCTATGTTTTATAACGTTTTGGAAATTGTAAAGACTGCAAAAGGATACGGTGTAAAATAAATAAATAAATCGCGCATTTTCCACTTGTCGAGGTTTTTTTTAATGAAAGTTGACATTATCCAAGTTTCTGTAGGAGGACAATAATGCTTTCAATTTCAGACATTCATCGCTGTCACGGATGTATATGAACTCTCTAAACCCGGCAGTGGTAGCTGCAGTGTGTAAGTTTTGGCATCTGTTTGCCGTTGCTGATTAATAGCCATACGACGGCCCCGAGCCAGTAATAGAGTAGCTTGTGTTCAGTGAGCACAAGTTACTGAAGCTAGTTATTAACGTTAGTTTTGTAACTACATAAAACGAAGAGAATCCTAATGTAGGAAGCGCTTGCTGACGAGTGAGACCGGGCAGCGCTGGACGAGGAATCTCGCACGCGCCCCCTTCATCCACTCAGCCAATGAGAGCGACCCCCTCCCGCCTCCGTGATTTTATTATCACGGTTCTTGGTCGCAATTGAATTAAACAACAACCATCGTGTCATGCTCTTTGTTCTCCAATGTTATGAGTTCTTAGCCAGGTGAGAACTCGTAAGACCGGGATACAGCCTCAGGCTCCACCTCAGAGAAACCTCACCACAGACATCTCGAGTGAGGGCATCGCTCAGAGCACCGACGTCCTGGAGCTCTTCTCTGTCAATCACCCGGACTGGGAGCGCAGCAGCAGCAGCAGCAGTAGCAGCAGCAGTAGCAGCAGCAGTAGCAGCAGCAGCAGCAGTAGTAGCAGCAGCAGGCAGTAGCAGCAGCAGTAGTAGCAGCAGTAGCAGCAGCAGCAGTAGTAGCAGCAGCAGTAGCAGCAGCAGCAGTAACAGCAGCAGCAGCAGCAGTAGTAGCAGCAGCAGTAGCAGCAGTAGTAGCAGCAGCAGTAGTAGCAGCAGTAGTAGCAGCAGTAGTAGCAGCAGCAGCTCCTGCAACGTGCTCCCCCTCCTCGTCCCCCACCTCGTCTGATGCCGGCTCTTCCTGCCAAGCATCTGTGCCACCCTGCACCGCTATTAATGCCCCGAGAGAGTTTCACATCACAGCCCTCCTCCTCGCCCCGTCGCCCACGGACCTCCGGCAGCAAGGCACTCCGCGTTGAGCTGGGTGGTCACTCAGCTACGTGCGTGTGGCATCGCCTCCATGAGATGGTCACGTAACCAAGTGCGCCCATGGGCTCCTACTCGAGGGGACCCCAGATCACGAATAGCTGAGGAGTAGATGGCCGTGGCCAGTGTCCTTAACCATTCGCGTTTTTTGTGGTATTATAACAAGAAAAACTCACGTTGACCCTGCAACATTGGTGTGTTTGTCCGTCCCTGTGTTCACTCGGGACACAATAGTGTGTGGAAGTAAACTCAACACATTTATCAGAAAGAAAAACACTACTGTATAATAGGCAACGTTTTGGAAAATGCTCCTTTATAGCACGCCAACACAGAGGCCCGAGGGATGGGGTGGGTGGATACTACTTTACACCATGGGACCTGGTGATTTAAAAAAAATGTTTCCTACCTGGTGAACGGGTTTTAAACTAGCAAGTTAATAGTATGCCCAATGAGAAGTTGTTAATGCACACACGTTTGACGTCGGTGTAGGTGTCAGAGGGTATCGCAAGAAGCGTGGGATCGCAGAGGGGTGCCGGCAGGGCCTGCCCTTCGTGGCTAACCGACCCGATGCAGGAAATAAAAAGATAAATTCGCAAACTTGCTATTTCGGGACGTGGGACCAATTGTTACGTAAATGTTCCGATTGTTGTTATTGGTACGTTTGCATACCCAGGATAATCCTCACTGAGTCTCGAAGACTCTTTTTCAGGAGGGTCCTGCCAAGTGTTTTGCAGTCGGGGTGCGCTGTTCCTTTGCGACAGCCTTGCCTGCAACTCACTGGGGGCATTGGGCGGTGGGTATTGCCTGAGAACCACCCTTGTGGCGGGCGTTCGATGGACAGTGCAAAGGTAACTCGAGCGAGCTGTCACCAGTGGGAAAGCCGCCAGCTTTAGCATGCTCGACGTGGAGTGTGAAATGAAACACTGTACTGCAAAATCTCCCGGATTGAAACACGTGTATTTAACATTAACGCCATGAAAATGGAGCTAAATGGCAATGTCGGGGTTTGTGTAGTTTTTACTCCCCATCCTTTGAAGGAACGCAGACGACTGATTTACTCTACGGCTCATCGTTTGGGTTGCGTGGCCGCAATTGCACGACTGCGGCTTGTCTTGAAATCCCCATTCATCAAGGAGATGTGCGCAGTGACAGCTTGATGTGAAATGGCTCATTTACGTCCACTTCAAAGTGAAATTCTGAACGCCCGGTGTAAAAGTGTAATTGCACTTTTAAATCAAACGCAATACCTCCCGGTTTTTGGATGATGAATGAAAACGTTACGGTAACCTACTATTTTTTCATCGGTACAGTTAATTGGATTCATCTAATGCACGGTATATTTAACATTATTATTGGTAGAGTTGAAATCGCTAAAGTGCTCATTATGTAATATTTTGAACAGCAGGCATGCAACTTCATGTATTTTATAACATTTCAGTTGTATAAATTGCAAACTTTTGATACGTGTAAATTATTTTTCCAATAATGTGAATGTTTTTATTACTCGAATACAACCTGTTGCCGTGACTATCCCAGGTAAGAGTTCATCTTCCTACTTGGTGGCTTTCTTCACGCCACTTCGGTGTAGAGGTTCCACCATTATTTATTATTTTAACGATTTTTTTCAAATGTTCTTACACAAGCAAATTGGCGCACCACATTAAAGAGCCCGTTCTGCCTCAGTGTCTTATTAACCTGTAATTGCTCTTGCAATTCCCTATTCAGGGAATCTCCCGTATGCTTTTAGCAGCCTTAACCTCAAGGCCGATGGGAATAGGATAAGGATCGCAACAACCTCGTTGTGGATGTCTCATTGTCTTTATTGATATTCATCGCCGCGTTATTCACCATAAATGCCTACATTGCAGGATATTTGCTACAAAAGAGGAAATTATACGATAAACGGGAATATTTAAAAATGCTTACTTTATAAAAAAAACTACATTTTAATTCCGACTAATGTAAGCAACAACTACAGGTAAATTAAACAATTACATGGCACAACTTCAATGATCCCTAATGTCCCACTCTTCCATCGGGCGGCACAGCGAGGAGCTATGTTTTTGTACCCGCCTGTTCCTCCTTCCCGTCCCAAGAGAATTGTGAGTTAGCAGCGAGGCGTCCCCTGGGGCGTTCGGAAGAGCGCTCGGAGCAAGAGCGTCTGCGTGACGCCGGCGCCGATCACGACGATGCTCTGCAGCGTGGACCACATGTCCACGAGGGCGACGGTCTCGTGCAGCATGTAGATGTCGATGCCTCGACGCACGCGCATCATGTGGTAATGCCGCCACGTGGCAAACATATTCTTCTGCACGTGTCGCGATGTGAACTGCACGCACGAACACACCGCACGTGGCACGAGTCCAGAGAAAAGCAAAATGCAGTTATGGGTCTGGTGGATGTTTTCTGAAAGTCACACGGGAATTGCATAAAGGGTGAGTAGCAACATTTCTCTCGCATCACGAGCATTCCCATCGGCATTCTATACACATAAGAGTGATCTCCAGTCACGTTTTCCTAACGAATGCCAATTTGGATAAAATGTCTCAGATTTGTCTGTATTTTTATGCAAAGTGTCCGTATGAACGACTGCACCATTGGGCCGAGGCAGCACCACACAGCACCGCACAGCACCACACAGCACCGCACAGCACCACACAGCACCGCACAGCACCGCACAGCTCCACACAGCACCGCACAGCACCACACAGCACCACAGCACCACACAGCACCGCACAGCACCACACAGCACCGCACAGCACCACACAGCACCGCACAGGGTGCAAAGGTGGGTGCTGCTCTCCGACTTGGCACACTGGGTGGAAAAACAATCAACTGCAGCCTCTCTCTCCACTCAGAGCCCTGTTCAACAAATGATATGGCGATGTCGCTGCTGCTTTGGCAGTGGTGTACAAGCACGAATAACAAACTCAACATATTTGTCAATAACACTGTGGCCTTGAAAATAAAAGTGAATCATCGGCGATGTGTCCGGCGTTTGGCAATGTGTCCATGAGCTCGATGCTCACCACGAGAGTTCGTGCGATGCTGCTGCTCCTCCGCTGAAGGAGCGCAGGCTACAGTGGTTGACCACGTGAGTCCATAGTTCGAGTTGCATGGCCACAGTCGCACTGCTGTGACTTGGCCACTGATGGACCCGCGGACCTTGCAATCAAGACGAGTGGGGTGGCGTGCCGGAGCGATGCGTCTGAGATGGTCAACTGCAGAGGTCGTGCGCCCTCTATTGGGCGCGTGCAGTCTGGCTGAAGTTCACACGGTGGGGTTGTCGCCGGCAATGTTGCGATTTGTGCATTAATGGTCGTGGGTCTGGCCACATTTGTGTCGTTAAGAGCATCCACCGCCCGACACAGCCAGCCAAGTGCAATGTCCACGCGCACGAGCGTTTGACGAGCCAATTGCGATCGCTCCAACTCACTCCCCGATGGCGACTTGAAGAACAATCGACTTCCATATTATAGAGGGTTTTTTTAGGGTAAGATTGCGTAAATATAAATGTGTCGTTAAATCCGCCACCACCCGACGCAGCCAATTAGTAAGGGTTGTCACGTAAACACTTCGCGTAAAACAAAACAAACCTTACTAACTGGCTGTGGCGGCTTTGACGACACATTTATATTGACGCGATCTCACCCAAACAACCTCTAATTTTGATTTGGAGCTTTCGTGACTGCAGGTATTACTCTTTGGTTCTTTCGGTAAAGTCACGTAGAAAGGAAACAAATTAAATAATAGCATACGACCGAAACGTCGTATGCTATTATTTAATTTAATTTCTTTCTACGTGACTTTACCGAAAGAACCAAAGAGTAACCTCTATTTTGCGTAATATTTCTCGCGAAAGCCAAGCACGTGTGAAACACTCGACTTGCAGAAGAGCAGCAGTCCACGTGGCCGGGCCGGGTGACGGTGACTGCGAGTGGCGGTGTGGGTCGCACGTCGCAAACCTCGATAGCGGCCAGGGAGTCGTTGCGCTGCGCCGCCTCGGCCTCTCGCTGCTCCGCCTCGAGCTTGTAGAAGATCCCCAACTCCAGGAAGACCTGCTTCTTGCCGAAGCGGGCCGCCGAGTTGTCCACACACACCTCGTAGGCGCCTGGCCGCACCGGTACAAGGTCGAGAAAGAGGGGGGCGATTGGAACACTTAAACACACACGCACACGTGTTACACTCTCACACACACACGTGTTACACACACACGCACACACGTGTTACACTCTCTCACACACACACACGTGTTACACTCACACTGCACACACACACGTGTTACACTCTCACACTGCACGCGGAAACGACTGGACATCTGTGAAAAAGAGCTTTCTCGCTCATCGGATTCCTCCAGTATCAATACTGTTTCTCTCATGGTTCCTAACATTGGACTTGCAAAACAGAGATTCTTGGTTCGATCTCCCGGCACAGAGGTTTTAAACAACGGGATAGTTTCTTAAATGTCCTCTCTCCCATGCATCTGCCGCTGTCCGTGATTGGGTTCCGTGCGATGGGGTAAAGTGTGAGCACACTCACCTCTACCACGACGTCTGGTGAGCGTGAAAGGGTAGGACAAATATCCTCAAAACCGGGGTGCTCTCTGGAGCTCACCAAAGCAGAATCGTGGCACACACTTCATTGTACGAAAGGTCTTGGGAATGTTCGGCATGCGGCCGACAAACGCAATTTCTGTTGGATTCCAAATGCCATTCGCACAGACACACGGAGATGTCCAGCAAGCACCGACTTGCTCCCCCAATTAGCGCACACACGTGGAGATCCCCTGCACGCTGCGCGTACCCTCAGTCGTGACTTGGAACTCGATGGTTCCACGTTGTCTCTCGTCCAGGTTCGCCTCGAGACGTCCCGACGGGCTACGCACGAACGCCCTGACAGCGTTCTCCTGCTGGAAGCCCAACGTCCACTGCACCTGAGACACGTGGACACACAGACGCACGTCACTCCCTGCGGGGGGTGCGAGACCTGTGACACGACTGACGCCCTCATTCTGGCGAAACGGACGTCGTTAACTCGAATCCAGTCCGTATTTACGTAGAACTTCTTTCGCACCGTACGTAGCCAAGCGTGCTAAACGGAGGTCCGTTGAGAAGAACAACAATCAGTTCAGCTAAATGCCGAAAACAAAGTCCCTTGCAGCACCAGAAACCGATCGGACGAAATAAATGTTGAAAGCCTGAATACCTACACGTGACTTCCTGCCTAGAGACCAAAGGCAGTAGTAGTATAAAGTAGTGTAGGTATCGCAACTCGTTGGGCATGATATTTCCTCGTCCATCTGGTGAGGGCCCACCCGCCTACGTGAACTACAACAACCCTGTGAGCATTAATGAATGGAATGAGTTTTCAACATGACTCTGAGCTGCAAAAACATGCGGGCAGCTTTAAGCTATTCCGCAATGCAGAACGGGGAAAATAACTGCAGACAACGTCGGATAAGAGGGAACCACGGAGGTTGCGGTTGAAGTGAATATTTACGAGCGGTGGTGCTGCAGTTAACGCGCTGCGCTGCGCTACGAACTCGGCGACCCGAGTTCGATTCCCACTCACGGACAACACAAGTGACGATTATGTGATACGGTCCTGGACCCCCTAGGTCGACTCAGCCTCAATGAGCGCCTGGTGCGGTGTGTCAACATCACCGCCGGGGATACAAAGGCGGACGGGCGTGGTGTTGGCCACCTAATCCCCTCGTGTGCCGTTCTGGCCTTCATAGGTGATCACTAACAGCACTTTCCCCAACAGTATGTTGGTGCTACACGGGGGATATTCGTCTTTGTGTGTGTGGCATATCGTGGCCCCTCTTACCTCAAAGGTAAAGAAGAAATCTCCACCAGGACGCGCCGGGACGAAGTAGCACTCCTGCTTGCCTGCGGCCACGTGCACTGCGAAGTCGTAGCGCGTGCTGCCCTGGTGGTCCCCACTCCACGGGGCCTGCGAGAGGACCAGCGAGCGGGGGGGCATCGTCAGGGCCAGGCCGAGGAGGAGAAGGCAGGGCAGGAGTGGAGAGACTCCCACGCTGGCCATGATGTGTCTCGAGTCAGGCTCGGTGTTAGCGCAAGGGAATGGGTGCTACCGCAGGCAAACGCCGCCGTTTTTATGCCCTTGGGTTTGGGAAAACAAGCAGGTGCCTTTTTTTGTGACATCCACACCCCACGTGAATCGATAATTATCATTCGGGGTCACATTTCCATGAAAGTAACGTGTGATGACGATGAATAATGTCGTTTCACGATAATAGTTATGATGAATAAGGTGGCATTAATGACAATTGTTATGATGAATCAGGTAGCGCAGACAATGTGTGATGGAGTTTTATGTCCAGGACGTCATCACCACCACCATCACCACCATCATCATCACCACCACCATCACCACCACCACCATCACCACCATCATCACCACCACCACCATCACCACCACCACCATCACCACCACCATCACCACCACCACCATCATCACCACCATCACCACCATCATCACCACCATCACCACCACCACCATCACCACCACCACCATCACCACCATCATCACCACCACCATCACCACCATCATCATCACCACCACCATCATCACCATCACCACCACCACCATCATCACCCCCACCATCATCACCATCATCATCACCACCACCATCATCACCATCACCACCATCATCATCACCACCACCATCACCACCACCACCATCATCATCACCACCACCATCATCATCACCACCACCACCATCATCATCACCACCACCATCACCACCATCATCACCATCACCACCACCACCATCATCACCACCATCACCACCACCATCATCACCACCACCAGCACCACCATCATCACCACCATCATCACCACCATCACCACCACCATCACCACCATCACCACCATCACCACCATCACCACCACCACCATCGCTGCTGTCACCGCCAACACACGAGGCAGTCGCGCACGTCTGTGGAATATCGTTTGATCTTCGTTTGAGTCATTAATGTTTTACATATCCATGCAATATTTGTATTGGCTATATATTATTAATTATTGCCAATATATTACCGCATCCCCGATTAGTACGGTTGGCTACGTACGGTGCGAAAGAAATTCTACATACATAGATATTGCACAACTAGGATGGATATATGTGGGTGGTGGGGGGAGGTGGTGGTGGAGAGGAGGAAGGCGGTGGGGGTGGTGGGGGGGGCGGTGGGGGAGGCGGTGGGGGTGGTGGGGGGAGGAGGTGGTGGGGGGGGCGGTGGGGGGGCACAACCCGGACGTGACGTCCCACGTGACGTCACTTCCCGCTCTGCCACCCTCGGGACGTCGCCATTTCGGAGTGGTGTAGCGAGTGGCGCTGTTCGAGGTGAGGTCGCGGCGCGTCCCCCGCGGGGTTCCTCGCGGGGGGTTCTCGCGTCTCGCCGTCGATTATCTCGCTCTTCACTGGGCACGCGGCGGGTGACGCGCTCGCCACGACGCGGGCGGTGGCCGCTGGCGACGCGCCGCCAGTCCGTGCGGCCTGGCGGCGTGCGCCATGCGGGGAGGGGATGAATGGGGAATGGCGGCGCCTCTGCGCTGCGGCCTCCGCCGCCGCGGTGGCGGAGGCGGTCGCGGCCTCCGGGGCCCCCTTCGTGGCAGGGCGCCGCGTGTGGCCACCTCGCCCCGCCCGGTCGCAGCCGCCCTGGGGCAGCGCCTTGTTAGAGGGCGCCGCAGTGGCCAGGAGATGTTGACTACCTCGCCCGGTGTGCAGGAGGTCCGAGGGCTCCATCCCCGACCCTGACCGCCTCCTCCTCCTGCTGCTGCTGATGTATATTTGGGGTCTCTGTCTCTCTTCTGGTCGCGTGGGTAAATTATCGGGGCTCCGCCGGTTTCCCCCTCCACATGTATAATTAGCATCACGCGTTTACAAGTATTTGGCTGCTCTGACTCTCCGCACGACAAGCCACTTGGTCGAGGTTGTAATTTTTGATAGGCAGGTCGCTTCGGCCGCTTCTGAAGGAGAACCGCGTAGCTCAGTGGGGCCTTAGCTGCTACATGAAACTAAAATAAAACTAAAATAAACGAGAGCCTGCGGGGGTGACACCGCCGCCTCGATCCAGCACAGGAATCGATTCGCTGTCATTGTGCTTAGGGGGGGAGCGAACTAAATACATATCGATTATCTTGTGTTCACAATCATATTATTCATGCTGGAGGACTCCGATGAGCTATAAAGCTTTTATTCTTTGGGTCTTTCGGTAAAGTCACGTAGATAGGTTCAAAGAATCGATCGCTTGTGTTGTGATCGAAACGTAGTTTTGTTATTTTTTTCTTTGAACCTATCTACGTGACTTTAGCGAAAGACCCAGAGAATATGAATTCCTGCAGTCACAAAAGCTTTAAGTGAAGATCTAGAAAGTTATTTTTTCGCAGATGTCCAGTAGGGGCAGGTTATAACGCTACAACAACGACACAAACTACGTCGTTTTGCGTTGGAACTATGAACCCCATGTCCAACCAATCGGGGTATTTATTGCCTATAAACATTTGCCTGTTCAGCGTTTTTTTAGATAAAAAAAACCGCGAACCGGACTGCTGATGATGCTGAACGTTGAAACCGCCGTTCCAGTGTTGAGCCCCAGTGCTGCTGAGATGATGAGCTCTCAGAATACCGTGTGGCTGATGGAATGTGTAAAAACATACATTTGTTTACGTGGAGGGACTGAGATGGGATGGTGGTGCGAAACGTCTGCTGATTGTGGAACTTACAGGATGATACAATTGGGGATAACCCCACTCAAATTAGCAAGACATTTGAGAGAAACGGTTTCAAAGGCTCTGTCCTTCCAATGTCAAGACTGTACCCACGTTACGTGTGTGTGACTTTCTCCCGATACACGCCGCTTGCGGCATACAGTGCTGGAAGTCGCCATTCGTTATCCGTGGGTGTTGTTGGCCTCCTGATGAGCCGTGAGCGTGCTTCCTGCTTTAGTTTGTGCCACCACTGCCGATGAAATCCTCTCGTGTCCAGTTGGCAGCTTCCCAGTTTCTCGGCACGCTGCTGCTGATGGGGTTGGGTTGTTGAATCGCGACCTTTCGTGAGAACCACAACCCGCGTAGAGGCTGTGAGATTTAACATTTGAATGAATGAACGTGGATTTTGAGAGGAGAGCGAGGGTCCCTCCGGTCCAATATGTGACGGACTTCTTTTGACCTTGGCTCGGTAGCCGTTTGCTTTACAAATCACCTTCACTTCCCAGTAGGCCAAGCCATCCTGTCAGCTGTGCCGCATTGCACGGCGAGGAGTGGGCTCCCACGGAACGATGCGCAGACGACTGAGGGATGATGACTAAACGAGGCGTCACTTCTGTAGACTTTGAAAAGCAACTCTTTTGTCGATGGATTCGTCGCCAAGTCGATTTATTAGTGAAAAAGTTTTTTTTATAACACGTTGAAGTTCGTGAACACTAAACTGCGAGTCTTAATTTATTATCAAAGTGAATCGTGGATAAATATGCATTAAGTGTCAACCACAAATATGCTAACGGAGCGAAAACGAAAGTTCTTGGTTAAAGGAACGGCGATGCATAATATGCAAACAAAACAGGCTTATTAGATTTTAAATCGCCATGGAAAGGACGCTATATAGGTCCGGAATAGAATAGAATTACGGCAGGTGGGAAGTCCCCCCAGCAGTCATGAAAGGCCTCACGTTGCCAATGGATTTCTGCGATTTTATTCACCGATGTAGGGTTGGGGCACCCCTCCTATACAAATAACAACTCGACACAATCGTCAATACCAATGGCCCTTCGTCGAGAAAGGATTTTGTGTTATAAGGGCATCTTTATCGGCAGTGTTACTAATGAATTAATATATTGAGTTTTTGTGAATGCATCGTCACAATTTCATTGACCATTTGAGCAGGGAGATGCACTGTCTTGTGTACTTATAAATTCCCCTTTTGTGTGCGTTTAGGTTTGCAGAGTGAGCTCCGGTTAAAAACCCCGCGCAATGGATGCGAACATGAAGGTAAGCCGCTTCACAAGCGGTGACTGTTCAACGAGAACACGAACGCCATCAGATATGCCGTACAAGATTCTCTTGCCTTGTGCCAGCAGTCGCAAGCCTTGAACGAGCCTTGAACACCAGATTCAAATCAATGTTCATTATGAACAATGCTGATTACAATTATAGTTCTGCAGCAATAGCTAGCCCCCCTCATCAGTGCAGTACTATTTCAGATGAAGGTATGATGTTTAAAATAGTTTTAACCTTGACATTGGTCAGGTTCGTAGTCCATACAAGTGGACATGTGTTGACTATATGGAAGAAGCAATGCTGTACAATTAGATTTGTCTGTCAATATGGATCAGTTTAACACGTATGGTCAATATGGATGTTAGTATTTCAAGGTTGCTCTCCCAACATGAGTTTTATAATGAAATGCCTGGTACACACTAGAGCAGATACAATTAGTTTTGTTATTCATTACATGGTTTATTATAACAGCTGTATTCTCTTTTGTAAAATAAGTGAATATGGCTCACCCTTGAATCTATAGAAATTCAGTTGAGCATTTGTTGAACAAGATTTATTTTTATGTCACTCTATGGGAGTCATAGACATGTCATAAGTGTGTTTTCTTTACTTTGGTTGGCTCACTCAAACATTGAATCAGAATTTAATAATAGCTACCTGTGGCCTCAACCATTTGTAATCCCCCTTTGTGGGATCAGGAATGGTGATATATAGCTGTTGATAATACAGTGTAAATTATCTTCTGTGATGACGCAACATTTGCACAAAAACGCTTACTAAGCCTGGTTTAAATAATGAGTTGAATCTTGGCTGTGTTTGTAAATGACCACCAATATTGGTGGTAAACAGGTTTTTCTGTCAGTAAACCATGTTTACTGGCTCCATTTCTCGTAGATGTTGGCCATGAAATAGTCTGTCACCAAATACGGTCTTTGCCGAGAAATAAAGAAATCAAGGCTGCCGTGTCTAGTGTGTACAAGGCAAGAGGCTATGGTTAAAACGTTTCCTCTGAACCACACGGAAACATTTTATTTCCAAGCCAAATTTTTTCTCTCCAAGCCATCGAGCCTTCGTGCGTGCAGCTTTTGGGCATTATTGCCGAATAACGGAATTATCTTCTTGTGAAAGTAGGGACGCAGAGACAATGTGGCATACGCCTGCATTGCACAGCTGGCAGAGGGGTGGAGGAGAGGCGACCTTGTGGAGGAGAGCCCTGGGGGCCACACAGGTGTTGTGTGGCCCCAGGACACGCGAACCGCTCACACTCTCCCTTGTGGGCGGACGCAGTTGGGCTGCGTTGTGTTATAACCCACTTTCCAGTGTTGTATTCCAGCCCAAGCCTAGATATTAATGTTACTAAACTCGCTCCCCTCTGCTTGCTGGTTTTCCGGACAAATTTGATCCATGCTGGTGACGTGCCGAAGGCCGAAGATTTTCAGTCCTCCAACGGTAAGTAAATCAGACAAGCAAACCTATTTTCTCACATACCCATATTTTCTAGGTCCATAAACAAGTGTAATCCAATTGAGTGTCATTGGAGATTGTAAGCAGTCGACTCCAAAAAAAAATCTATTGCCAATAACGGCTGTGAGGTCTCGCCTCCAAATTGCTCAGATTTGGGTGCCTATTTTCCCACCAGCTGTGTCGGCATAGATTTTCACTCGTGAGTAAAGGCTTTAAAAAAAAAAATCTGCACTTATGTTGGAGCCAAAAAAGAGTAAAATTTTCCAGAACTATGGTTTACACGTATTGCCGATTCATGCAGTTGTATTCCGGGGAAATTGAAAAATGTATAGCATTTTAATTTCACCCGAAATACCACGTATATACAGTGTGTGCATAAACATATACTGTACGTATTCGTATGGATACATTTCCAGTCGTGTACACACATAGTTACGTGCTGAGTCTGGAATGCCTTGCAGCAATCCAACTGCTTGCGCTGTTTGACACTCATGTCCTGACACTGTCGGGACTTGGTGCCAAACATTACCAAAGTAACCAAATGCATATTTGGTATTCGAAACATCTTGTTATTTATGCTACTTCAGTGCAGGTATCTACATATAAAAACATTCCCAAATGATTAAGTTTAAATCTCTGTTTATTGTATGACTGCTATTGTAGAAAACTAGGTGTTTAACGATTCATTGCTAAAAGCCCGTTCTTACGCTTGCGTGAGAAAATATTAAAAATATCTGCAAATTACATGGTCGGGTGAATATTGTACAAATGAAATGGTTGATGAGGAACTATCGAATTGATACAAATAGAATTGGTTCTTGAATCAAATCATGGTGCCATATCATGACGATTCATCCAAATTGTAAGGCGGGTGGATCGTTACATGCCTAGTAGGAATCCTGTGCCGCATTAACAGAACGTGTTTAATTTAAATATTTATGTGAAATGTATCTGTCCACAATATCAACAGCATACATAAATGTGCATATACGGACACGTTAGGGATGCGTTGCCGGTTTTCGGAAAACGAAAATCCAGCCGAGCTACAACATTTCGGATGATCTGGAAACCGTTTTGTTTCGGATTGGTCTGAAAGTATAACGTCACATGTCACTTCCGTGCTTTTCCCAGCATAAGTGACAGTCAAGTGTCATCGGATGACATCACTTTTGTGAGCACGAAGACGTGTTAAATAATTATAATTACGTTGTGTGCGTGATCAGAAAATGTGAATCCGAAATTGTCATTTTAAGTCCGAAATGTTTAAATCCGAAATGAATCCCTGATACACGCTTACGCATACATACGGTATAGAATTATATTGAAAACCACACTCTTTGCCCAATTGATGTGATACTTTTTTGGCTCATGGGAGGGTGAAGACATCAGCTGGTTCATCCTCCATCTTTTGTAATAGCTTTGGTTTGGCCAAAAACTGTGCAGCAGTGTTGGGGTATGTGAGAAAAATATAACTTCTTAGCATTTCTGGCTTTAATTAGCCGAACCAATGGAACCTTTGACCAGCATTAAGTTGCTGGTTACTTCCATTAAGTTTTGATTGTGCTTTTTTAAACTTTATCCAATTAGTGACGTTTTAGTTTGTCATAAGTTGATTGAGCTCTTTTATTTTTTTAAAGCATCCCCCATTTTTGTATTGAAAACCTTGCACATTGGGATGGTAACAGTAATGAGCATAATGCAGTCAGTTGGAAGAGCACATGTAACCATGAGTGTCAAATGGCTCTTTGATGTAGCCGGTGGGTTTATTGGATGAGTGGAGCTACTGGAGACAGTTGTGTTTTCAGTTTTATATTTGATTACAGATCTCGGTAACCTCTGTGAATACAAGCCATTCAGCTGTGAACATAATATCTGTATTCTTTGGGTCTTTCGTTAAAGTCATGTAGATAGGTTCAAAGAAAATAACAAAAACTACGACGTTTCGATCACAACACCAGCGATCGTCGTCAGGAGTAGAAAACAGAAAAGCTGCTGAGGCAGACTGTTGTAAAGGTTTAGAATTGTTGTAGCCCAAGGGTCATACACGAAATGGGCGGGGCTCGTGATGTTTATGTGAGAAATTAGCATGTTAATGTTAGATGGGAGAGCTGCCTCCAGGTGTGCGTGGAGGTGGCTATGTTAATGTGAGAGATTGGCATGTTAATGTGAGAGATTAGCATGTTAATGTGAGAGATTAGCATGTTAATGGAAGATCGCAGAGCAGCAACGTCGAGCTCGGCGAGCGAGGTGGCTGAGTTAGCGTGGGAAATGTAACCTGTTAATGTAAAATCAGAGAGCCGAAAATAACAACTAACATCGGAAGGTGGCAGGATGGGAACATCACAGCCAGTTATGACTTCAACTGGTTGATAACCTCCTTCCAATCATTGCTCAGTTTATACCTATCTTCTCAATTGAAGTTGTCTGTCTGTATATGTGGATGGCTTCAGGAACAAATCTTTGTTGATAGCCAGTGGGTTTGCAAAGTACCATCGTCCTAGAGAAATCAATTATATAATATCTGTGTTTCAAGCTGTAGCTGTAATAGATTTGTTTTAGCAATTGTTTAAAATCCTCATTTACAAAAATAGTTTGAGATTAGTGAGTTGTATTAAAAACACATACGCTTGCCTTCCTGGTGTCTACCACGGTGAGATTGGTGTTAGACAAAATTCTACGCTCTGGGGCAAGACGACCATTAACATGCACACAAATTTATTCATTAATTCATGAAAATGTAAACTCTCCATTCTAGTGCGTACATGCATACAGTACAGCTTTCAGGTATAAAGTTAAATACGTATCTGTCGTCTTATCTGTGAACCGTGCATGGCTACGGTTTAGCGGATCTGCAGTGCTTGCCGTGACGTGAATCTCCTACGATTCGCAGAGAAAAAAGTTGAGAGATGGGAGAAGAGTTTGAGTGCCATTGTAAAGTCTTATCTGTGGCTTAATCATGCACTGCACAGTATTATAGTGGTCCACATGAATTACTGTTCGGCTATATTTCCCACTTTGGGGAGAGGTGGGAGCACTTCTTTACTACCTATGACTTAGAATCGTCTGGAAATGCCAAAAACTGCATCAACATTAAGGCATATGCATTTTTTAGAGAGTTATGTGGAAATGACTAGGAATTAAAGGCCGAACTCGGGCAACGTGTGGAATTTCTAGAGTAGTGGGAGAAACGGCATCCGGATCCAAAGTGTGTATTCAATGCACGCCTCTTAAGCATATCCTCAACAATATACATCCTCAAGAATAGACACACAAGCTGTGGTAGATACTAATTACATAGAAGATAGAAATATTATGGATCCACATCTGTTCAGCATCCATTGATTTTAGCATTAGCTGGATCTGCTAAATCCAACTTGCGTGGTGCTTTTATCGATGTTGATGCACAGCATTGCGATAGTTAAACGGCTCTCACTACACATACAAGATGCTCATTTCAACTCCGCTTCCAGCTATAAGTCACTGGCCTCCAAAGGACCAATCTCACCATTTAATGTGTCAATATAACTGAGCTAATGGGGTTCGCATTGTGAATGGAGGCGTGATGATGATGACTGGGTTAACGTTGAGCCTGCACCAACACTTGGTAGCTGTATGGCAGAGTGACTGTGCAAGTAGGTTGGGAGGCTCATAGTCTGGTATCTGATGACCGCTCTGATCCTTCCCCCCTTAACAGTAAACACTTCCATTTGCATGCAAGGCTCTGCCAATCTCCTTGCAGTTGTCCACTTGATGTTATTTTAGGGTGCTATATTTCCAAGTCTAAAAATTGTGTTCATGTGAACTATTTCAATGATTGAACTTGGAAGAGGTGTTGGGCATCTTGTGATACAACATAGGTATATAACTTATACAATAACACCTTAATGAGTGCATCTTTTCTTGAGCAATCCAGGATGTGCTGCTGTGCAAGTAATAGATCATTATCCATGCTAAACTGTTCTCAGTTCTATCTGGCTGATGGGAATTACATGAGTGCATGATCGATTATCAACATTTAAGCCTAATTATACTCTTGCATTGTAATTCAAGATGACCATCACAAAGCTTGTACAATGTGCATTTTGAATGTATTAGAATGTTGTGACTTTTAGCTTCTATTAGATGAGGTCACTTAACATTAGCATCCTTTAATTCTGTGTGCGGAAATGCTTTTACAAGTACCCCATCGTATTTGATATCTTGCATGTGGAGATTCTACCATTCGTTAGAGAACTACGAGATCATTTCATCATCATTTGGATATAGACTTGTGTGCTTTTTTATATTTATAAGATATTCAAATACTTTTATCATAGGCGATGAACTGATCAACAACTGTAGTCCCGTGATGTCTGCTTTTTATGCCCGTTTTTAAAGTCAATTTCACAAATTGAACCATTTTCCCCTGACCGGTATCCACTCTGGTGTTTGCCATCTAATGCCCCCAGTTGCGCTGAAGTGGTGGTAACAATGCATGTTTGTGCGATCTTATCGTTCCTCTCTGTGTTGAGCGTGAGTATTTATGTTTACGCCAACGTGTTTTCGTCCAGATGGATCTGAGTACGGTCCGAGCCTTGCATCGCACCTGCAGAAGCAGCCACCGGACTTCCCAATTGTGGGTACGTTCAAACACATCATGGGGTTCCTCATTTTATATTCCGTAAATGCCAGATATGTTGCATGTTTTCTCTCACAACAGTACATTCAGCTCATATTTGTAAATCTGTCACAAATTAACCTGAATTTATATTTGATATTTCCATTCGTTAGTAATAGCATTATATAATATGCAGCTGATCAATATGATAAACAGCCAACAACCACAATGATACAATGACTGCAATATCAATAGGCCTGCATATATTATAACAATACTGTAAGGCCTCGTTTAACACGGTAGATGCGTTCCTGAAAAGTGTCGCGTTAAGTGAAAAGTGCATTAACGCAGTGATTAAGTTTGGCACGTTACGATGACGGTGCACTCAGTAAGATGGCGGAAGAAATAACTGAGGGTCGCTGCCGCGGATTGTATCACACCGCACGGCCGCACAGGTCGAGAAAATAGTTTGTCGTCTGCCGCTCAGAAACCACGTCATAACGGTGTGTGTTATAATGGTGCATGTTATAACGGCACGTGTTATAATGGTGCATGTTATAACGGCACGTGTTATAATGGTGCATGTTATAACGGGCATGTTACGTGTTATAACGGCACATGTTATAACGGGCATGTTACGTGTCATCATGGTACATGTTATAACGGTGCACGTTCCACGTCCTAAAAGTATTCCCAAATGGATGAACCACGTTATTGTGAAAACGTGTTGTGTGAACACTACGCGTTAAGCGAGGACTTGGCGTACTCGCACGCTTTCAAATATTTGGTGTCTGCTGTAGCTGGTGTGAATTGATGTAAGATTGTTGATAAAAATTCATTCAAACTATTGCTGTACATTATGCAATATAATGCAATATAATGTACAAGGAAATGTTGCGCAACTGTCTTTACGTTGACTGTGTGGCACTGTCTGATGTAACACGCTTCGGTTTGCTTTCACGTAAAACCTGCTTGCTTCGTGACATAAAAAATAAACACTGTACGTATCATTATCATTCTACACGTGTTAAAAACAGGATTTGTAAGATGGTAGCAATTAACGGAAGCGTGATCAAATGTTTGTTTTGCCTTGTGTCGTTTGTAGGGTTGAAGTGTATTATGGAGCACCAAAATGAAGGAATGGCACTCACGTATTCGTGCAGTCAGTGCAACGTGGAGGGCACCATGCACCTGGCCGCAGCTTTGGCCCACATCCGCGGCTATAAGCACATCCACAAGTATCTGGTTCGTACAGATATTGTCTTACAATACCATTTATTTAGTGTCCAAACACAACCGCATCTCCGGATGATTCACACGGGGAACAACATAAAATGTTTATCTATACGCACATGAGCACAAATGGATCGTGCAGTACTTTATAACGTGAGCTCTGCAATGTTGATGTCGCTCAATAACGATTTGTATTGCATTAAATGGGGGGAAATTCAATAAAAAATTTATTGGTTTTAATTGCACCTTTTTGGGGGAAATTGCCAGTACACCACACGCAGAAGAGCATGCTTTAATGGTGAGGTAGTCATGTGGAAAACCTACATGTTGCCTTGCAATATTGGGGAAGGCACTCATCCATAGCAAAATGTTTCTGGTAAATGGGAAAAATTAAGGCACCCCATAACTTTTAACAATGGTGCTGGTTACAATTACAATTGTAAGAAGTTGTGCTTTAATTTTACATTTAGTAGTTTTTTTAATCAACATATCTTCTGTTCCCTGGAAATACAGCAATCGTTTTACCCTGAGAAGTTAAGCGCGATTGGGCCAGAATGTTCAAAGTCTGAGCAGCTGCAGCAGCTTATACCAATGGCTTTGGAAGTAATGCAGTTGGAAGGCTGGACTGCTGACCAGGTATGCGCGCGTGCACACTAAACACGAATTTACCATGAGAGGTTTTAATAATTCTATCTGGACACTTTTAGTTGAGCTCTGTTTATACATAGGCACCTCTACGTGAAATTGTCCATCAATGTTGTAGAGTTAGTTTAACACGTAGTAGTCTTTCGCGACCATTGTTATTCATAATAAAAGTTTTTGGGTTAGATCGCGGAATTAGAAATGTGTTGCAACCCTCCACCATCTGACACAGCCAGTAAGGTTTGTCACGTTAACAATACGTGCCAATTAGTTACTACTTCAGCCCAGCAGTGTGTCGGAGAATAAATCCACAATTTACAATTTGAGTACCACGTTTCGCTGGTAATTACATCCACCACCAGCACCACCACCACCAGCATATTTGCCTGAATTGTGCCGCAATCCACCTGTTTTCGGTCTTAAATAGAGCAAGATGACGTCATCCCTCTAAGCCAATCATGTGCAGAGGGGGAGGGTTATTGTAATTCTATAACAATAGATTGTTAATTGCAATTGATTTGCATGCGTTGCCTTTCCTTGTAAAGGCAACACATGCTAATCAACGGTGAATAATTTTTTTTAAAATTAATAATCTTTTGTTAATCGCTGGTGGTGGATTGCAGGTGTATTGTGTCACTATTGGCTCACAGTAATTTTATATAGCGTCATTCATGCAAAATTATATACGCTGAAATAAAATATATTTATTTTTAATTATTTGCCATATTGGTTTTCATCTAAGCAGGTAATGTCTTCTGTGCATGCATTTTGTAAAGTATAAATATGTTAATCTGGTGTGTGCAATTTTTTTTATTGTTGTAGATAAGCAAAACCAAAATGTATGTTAAAAAACCTACTTATGAAGATCATATTGAGAAAAAAATTGTGCGTATCGAAGGGAAAGGTAAGGAGTGATTTTTGTGTGCTTTTGTGATGTATCGCGTAATATGATGATGTCACGTAGCTGGCTTGCCGGGTATTTGAGGTAGAACCAAATTTAGAAAAAGGTCAGATACATGACAAGATGAACAGCGCACGAATAGACTACTGCATAAAAGTAACGCACAGACACCGCTTTAATAATGGGGAAACTGCTTTACGGTGCTTTTTAAAGGAAGCGAATGTACTCGAGAGTAAGGATGCGTTGTGCTGTATGTGAAAAGGTTAGATTATGTGAATATCCATAGAAAACGACTTGACGCCATGGACCATTACCGACCGGGGTGTACATCACAACATATGCAGCGGGCTGCCCCTTTATTATTGGACATTACTACTGTGGTTGTTTTGTACTTGCACATTGCTGCCTCTACAGTATATCTTGGAATGTTTAATTTGGAGTCGGCTTTGTTGCTTGTTTCGAATTTGAATGTTTTTATTTCTCTGCGTTAGGTCTGAAGGAGCACATTAATGCTTGGTCCAAGAGTGAGCCCCTGCTTGGTGAGTCTACTGGACATGTGTGAAAACGAGCTTCATAGCTCACCTGATTCCTCCAGTATATATAAATATTCTGACTCTTGAGTCAGCATTACATGGCAACACGGTAGCGCACCTCAGACATGATCTCCCTCATTAGGTTTTTTTGCAGGGCGATTGCCATGTTTGTCCACGTGTAGGTTTGTACCTACGTGTTAATGCATGTAATTTTAATTCACATGCTAATGATTACACTAATATAATTATAATTTACAGTTTGTCAATCCACTATCGGATTGAATCCGTCACTGTTCGGGGTTGTTTGACAACGCTTCACCACGCTGGTAGTCAGTGCTGACTTGTGAAGTCAGGGGGGACAGGACCAGCTCAGATCTCGTTTTCCATCGGTGTTCACCGTGGCCAGGAATCAAAACTCTGTTTGCCAGCTACACTAACGACTGGCCCCACAATTCCTCCAACGATTGTGTGTGTGTCGTATTTATGTTGTATGTCTGTATTTGCAGGTGTGGAACACATTATCGAGAATCGACATGTAGGGAGGCCTTCCGAACTCTACTACACATGTGACCTGTGCTCAGTCTCTTCCACGATGATCAGCATCCTCAGCCATCTGGCCAGTGGAAAACACCGCACCAAGTACCTGGTGAGCGTGCATTCACGTCGCATTGTCCCTCATCCTCCTCATTGGCCACTCTTTTGGAGGACTGACTTGCATGTGGATAGATTTGCTGAAGTTTCATTGTTTGTGACGGTAAAGCCACGTAGATAGAAAAATAATAAAAAAATATCACGACGTTTCGATCGCAACATCTTGCATGTTTGAGATTCTGCTTGGCCTTGATAGGCCTCATTGTATAAGGGGTCACTATTCGAACCCCCATTTTATTCATAATGTCCACCATTCACGTTGACAGTGTTTGTGTACCATATTGTGTGATTATAGCCACATAAAGCAACATCAAAATATGCACCCCAAATAATGGCCGTGTCTAGACCCTCTGCTGAAACATTACCATAACCTGCAAGTGCGTTCTTGCCAGCCTTGGTACCAATAATCAGGAGCCTGAAATGTGCCCTGATTGTGTTCTATACACCCAGTGACCAAGTTAAAAAATGGTTATGGGCTGCTTGCCCCCCCCCCCATGGACATGCAGGTGGTTACTGCAAAAATAACCCTCCAGCCTAAGCAGCTGGAGTATTTAGCTGCCTTAAATTTCTGCACGATAAGCCACTTCATTTGGCTGCCATTTGTGACCAGGTCGTTTCTGAAACAGCTGTATAGCTCAGTGGGCCTTGCCTTGTAAAATAAATAAAATAGTTGAGGTTTATTGGTGCCAACTCCAGGCTCTCTCTTTGGATTACGTCGACTGTGGTTCTGTGGCACCAACCGCTCTGAGCCCAGCAAAGAACGTTTCTACCACTTTCAATTAACTCACTTGATTTTATTCGAATGTCCAGCACTCTTAACAGCACATTAGCCCACACAAGTACAGCCTGGCTGGGAGTACAACTTCAAATACAAGGCAAATACATGTATTTAATCTAAACTAGTGAAACCAAACCCATCTTGATGGTATAGTGCAAGAATTTGCAGGGTTAACCAAGCACAAGTGACAGCATACCAAAATTGAGGTTATATCTGAGTGTAGAAAACCTAACTGGAAATATACTGCAACAGTGGCTGTTATACTTTATTTATTAAGTAGAGTTACCAATGTGCTCTTTGCATTTTACGTTCACAGCAAACGTATCAGCCGCTGGAGGAGGCTACAATTCCCAAGGAGCTGAAGGGGTCTGAGCGCATGATGCGTATACGTGATATTGCTAAAGAGATCGTCAAGAAGGAGGGAGTGAAAAACTTCAAGGTAAGCGTGTGACCCAGCCCTGCTTCATCCTCCAGCCACTTACATCGAGACATGAGCAGGGGTTTGACAACCTGCGGCTCCGGAGACGCTTGTGGCTCTTTAAGGACTGCTGCTGCTTCATGACGATATTTATTAAGGACCACCGTGTCTCGTATTCACATTGCATTGCGGCACTTAAAATATAGTTTTTTACTGAATTTGAAAAAAAATGACTCGTTATTTTGGTTGCTGACCCCCTCCCCCCCCTGGGCATGAGCAACAAGTGAATGTGCAATGCGACTACTACCTTGTAAGCTCATAAATCGTGAAGATTGTTGCACATTTGAAAAATCGCACATGTTAATTGCTGTACAAACAGTGGTCTTGTTTGCAGTGATTATATTCACATTTTATAAAACAAGGTGAAGTGTAGTCTATTGTATGTGGCAATATGTTCAAGAGCTGAATGCCATTGGGGGAGACCGGTGTCTTTCTCGCCATCCACCTGTGGCTTGTTTTCGTGGAACTTTGAACACAACTAATACTCTTCTTTGGGTCTTTCGGTCAAGTCACTTGGGTTTCTTTGAACCTATCTACGTGACTTTACCGAAAGACCCAAATAATAGGAATTCCTGCAGTCACGAAAGCTTTAAGTCAAGATACAACTATTACTGTCATCTCGGCAACGTGGTTGTCATTCATTTCCATCCAGATATAATCGGTAGAGCTAAATAAAGTGTATTAAACAAGATATCAACACGGAATTATCTTAGGAGCACAGTTAAAACGCTAGACCGAGGCCCGGCCCTCACCTGTTGGAAAGCCACGCTGTGCGTGAACAGTTAGATGAGGTTATACACACCTTGACGAAGATGTAGGGGTCGTAGGTCATGCTGCCCTCTGAGGTCCAGGGAGGCCTGCACGGTACGTAGCCAGCCGTGCTAATGGGAGGAGCGGGGCGAGCAACTCCACGGCACTCCTCGTTAACTAACACACGTGTGTTGTGCTGCATTGTTATGTTCAGGTGAAGATGTTGAAAACCGATGAGTTCAAGCCCCCTGTGCCTATAGCACGCCAGACTGACAAGAAGGTTATTAAACGACCGTATGTAGACGGTAAGGTCTTGTTACTTGTAACACCTGACTTCACCGATTGTGTTTCATGTCTTTGCTTGTGGCTTATTGACAGTAACATATCAAACGCTTACATTTATTTTAATTGTGAATCCTTTAAAGCGCCTTATGGTTTTTATTTAGAACATGGTAAAATATGTAACTGCACAAGGTTCGAGCAATAGACCCCAGTAGCGAGAAACTGCAGTTCCATAACTAAACGAAATGTGGCAATAGCGTGGCACAGTCTGCTGCACCTGGAGATGAGCGCTTCTAGTCGCATTGCTTGTTATGTTGTTGGAAATGTCAGCAATCTCAGCTGCATAGTTTGTTTAGGAAAGGGAGATTGTTGTCCTTCCCCCTCACCTCCGATGAGCACGATTGGCTACGTACGGCACGAAAGAAGTGCAACATAGATTACTATACAGACACAGATTGCAAGTCGTCATTGCTTTGCATGCAGTTTAATTTCTAAGCTTTGGGAGTGCAATTTAATCCCTCTGCTAGCACCACTGTTCTCCTTGGACTCTGTGCTTTCTGTTGTGTGGGAAGGGGCCAAGGCACACGCCACTGTCTGCCTCTTAGTATCTGTTTGCTTGCAGAGCAGTAAAGTATTATGGGTAAATTGATTTTCTGCAAAAAAGGGCACAGACTTTTTTAAAGTCAACTACTTAATACCTTTCTAAACCTTGTAACAGTCTTGATATCAAATGCCATGATTACACAGCAGGCAGTTTTAACAAGATTTACAACAGTATATTAAAGTGTTATGTTTCCATGCATTTAAAGGATTAAATAGGTATTTTAGTTTTCAGTTAATTGACGAATGTGATTGAGGTGGATGTGTTTCTGCAGGGGGTGTGAGCTGGGTGTGCCCGTCTGTGTGTGTACTGCTCGACTCCGTCCACAGCTCCAGACGGGAAGTTCATGGCAAACAAGATGCCTCGCTTTGGCATGGGACCCCCTCCACCTCCACCATTCGGAAGAGCAAGTAAGCCACCTTTGGAGTTGCTATTTAAAAAATGAAGCTACTATTTCATGCAATGTAGTTATTTTTTTTCAATCAACGTCGTTGGGAATCGTGAGTGAGCTAATTTGTCGCGATTGTGTAATTGTTATCGGTAATGTTTAGACTTCTTACATCGTGGGGGGCCCTACGGCATGGATCGCAATCCCATGTTTGGACGGGGGGCACCCAGACCGATGGGGCCACCTTTACCACCCCCCCTGGTTCCCAGGTACCACGTGGCACACACACAAGCGCAGTAAACATACATAACCAAGTCTCAATTGTTGAGTGATGGCGACAGACGTGGAGAATAGGTTTATCGAATTGAAACATCCATCAGGAGTTTCTCGCCATCATTGCTAAATGTTTTAAGCTAATATGCACTGTTAATTGCTTTAGTTTTTTTACTGACTTTGCTTTTGTGCAAGCGCTGAAGTTACAGTACATGTAATAGACCATAATAAAAATGACACATTAAACATTGCACAGAATTTATCAGACACTCGACAATATATGTGGGAAGTAGTCTGAATTAAATTTTCCCCTCAATGTTGGCGTATAAACGCGCTGTTCTCCAAAGACACGTCTGACTGTATCGCCGCCGCCCCTCTGTCTCAGAGATCCATACGGATATGAACAAAGGCAACGTTACCAACCTCCGCAAGCAAACTTTTACGAAGAGGTGTGTAATGATGTTTGCTATTATGTCTGTAGTGCTCGAGTAAGAATACTTAATGCCTTTTTCTGCTTGTACGTTTTTGATCCACTCAATGGTTGGACTAAGAAGTGCCAATTATTTGTGATTATTTACAGGAAGATGATTATCTACCACCACCACTGCCACAGGGGAGACTGACAAATGATCAAATTCTTGACAGCCTGGTAAGGAGAGCAAGCACTGCACGTGCTTATATGTATTTAATTATCTCAGGTGTTCACATTGTGCTTTTTTATACAACCCTTGAGTAAATACAGCAGCTTTAAAGGCCCAAATAATATTTTCCTGGAGGTAACATATTTCACTCTTGGAGGCTGTGGTTGACATGTTTGAATTTTGCCTTTCAATACCCAGTCTTAGGTCATCGGCATAATCAGCGATGGTCTATTCACTGCTAGATGAATTCCGAGCCATCGCCATCCCTCGTGGCTCGCGTAGTCCACTGTTGCCAATGAACGTTTCACCTTTGTTTGCGTATGTGTAGGTCAACTTTAAAATAGCAGGAGAGGAGGAGGCGTCTGCAGCCCTCAAGGCATCCAACATTCTGACCCAGGCCCTGCTGCAGTACCGTCTGAGAGACATTGGCCGTCCGGTAATGTGCTCATGTTTATTTGTCCACAAGAGCTTTTTAATGTTATACAATGGTAGTTAAATAAGCTTTATAGTTTGACATTTATATTTTGAGGCATCACCAGAGTCGTGCTTTCCCATGGACTGTTGGGTAGCGAGAATTTGCTGCTTTCTCCCTGCAAGTTCTGAATTCACCGGTCTATGCAGAGACATTAACAAAACTTTTCTTAGACCGTTTAAGGGATGAATGCCAAGTCGTAACAGACAAGTTTTGAATTGTACTATATTAATTCAAACCATGTTGGATATGAAAAATACACAGCCACCAAGAAGGGAGTGCTGAGTTTTAAAAATGACAATCGTATTTTTGTGTAATTGATAATAAAATTGTAACATTTTTCAAATTAAACTTCTTAACAGGAACCAAGGGAAGCACAAATGGGCTTCAATCGCACCCGGAGTTACGGTATTGGATTTGCATCTCACGTAGTGCACATTTTTCTTGCATCTTCGAACAATTCTAAATGTTTACCAATGTACAAAACTTAATGAGTAACGGTTAAATGTAATATCTATGTACAATCAGTGAGTGGTGTATTTGCTTGTGTGTGTGTGTTCAGACGACGGCTACGCCTCTGATCTGCCTCCCATGAGGAACTCGGGGATGTCTCCGCTCCGCATGCCCCGTCCCCCTGGGCCCCCGCGGCCCAGTGCCATGCCCATGAGAGCCATGGCCTCCGCTGGGACTGCATCCAGAATGAATGACTACTCCTACTCGCAGTATGACTCTTACATGTGAACCGCTAGTCCATTCTCCTTGTAACGCTACACCAGTTATTGCAAGTTACTGGGGGGGGGTCGGTCTTTAAAAACGAGACCACCCCGTTCTCTTGAGTTCTCACCTGGTTCAACCCTAAATAGGTCTTCAGAATAATTTTTTTTTTATCAATTCCGTATTTTCATCCAAATGTCATTCTACCAAGTATCCATAATCTTTATTGATGTACTAATGCTTAACAAATACATTGTAGATTGTTTCAAAGCAATGTGTGTTAATTTTGCTCGAGAAATGTGACAATTGAATAAGATTGTACACGCAGGATTTAACAATTTTCAAAAAGTTTTGGACTGGAGCTGCTTGTGAAAAATAATGCAACTCTTCCAAAAACTGTGCTTACTCAACATAGGTAAAACATGTTTCGGCACTTAAAGACATGTAGTTAATTTTGTGGATCTGAAAATATTGATCAAGAACACACAGTTTCAGCGTTAGCCTTGAGCGTCCACAAGCAGAGAACATCTACGGCTCATCCAACAGCAGCAACGGGCTGCTTGAGTTCAAATGTCGTGCCCCAAGATTGTTTTGTAATTCTTCACTGTTACACTTTCTAGTAAACACACATGTTGTACCACATTTGTTGCATTGAGTAAAGGTGTGGAAATAATAAAGTTTTTTTTTACACATAAAAGCATATTGTTTAATTGGTTTTCACCTGTTGTAAAGATGGTCCTTAAGTATATCTAGGATAACCTTTTGTATCTAACATTTTCCCGTGAGTGTAATCTGTTTTTAAGACGTCAATAAAGTGGTTGCTTTTCAGTAAAATACGTGTAGTTGTGTGGGCATCAGAGCAACCAACTGGTAGTGTTATGAATATTTAAATGAAGATAGACATCAATAGATGGCTTTGGCAGTGCTGAGCAAGCACACTTCCAAAGCATCGTTAATAAGTAATTTTGCTTTGTATAAAAATGATTGCGTATAGTTTTTTACCCCTCTGTCAAACCAGGGTATGATACATCAATGCCTCCGGGAAGGGCGTGTCACGATGTTTGTGCGACCCACCAACCCCCCTCAACACTGCCGTATTGCAGGCGTGAGCCACCACCACCACCCGGCTAGAGGAATGTCTTCCTATTGATGACTAAACCTCGGCTTTACTATTCAGCACAATTTAGCACAACGAAGGGTAAAAAAACGGGTACATTTGCCAAGAGGTCGTGTGATTTGTGGCGTATGATGGCTGATCACCGTGTTAATTATTTGCACAATGATAGAGCAGATTAAAACATTACCATCAATTTAAAAGCTACTACTTTTTGACGTTGGTCAGTTTTTCATTCTTGTCCAGAGCCTCTCTACTTTGTACCGCACGGGGAAAGAAACGTAATGTTGATTAAGTACAGTGGATAATGGGATCATGGACATTGTCGTCCGATCTCGTGATTATGTTTACGCAATAAGTCCAGGTTGTAACATGATGTGTGTATTAAACACGTGGATTCATCACTGCGACTCGCCCGCCCACTGGTCAGGCGTCTGAACACGAGGCACTTCTACTGGGCCAGCGGTGAGCAAGGAGCGCGTCTGTCTTTGTATTAAAAGAAACATTCTGAAAGGAAATGTATTTGCTGTGGGGTGTTTGCGGTTTTTGTCTCGTCATGTGTAACTGCCCGTCGGTTTGTTGTGGAAACAATTTAGTGGTGACCTCAAGTATTGTGTTGCGTGGTGAGCATTTCTCCGACAGCAGACTGCCAACTATCTCTAGATTTAGCAAAGCATGTTTTCAAACATCAACTGTAATATAAAAAGCTTAATTATACAAACTAAAGGTAGACAATAACACCCCAACCCCCTACCAAATTACTCGATGCAAGATTTACTTCCATCTGTCAAACTGAAAGAGCCAACATTAAAGTTCTCTTAGTTTCAGTGTGTTTAAGTTCCTTGTGCTAGAGGATAACATGTTGATCCATGTGTAAACCCAAAACGATATAAAATGCCTTTCTCAACTCATTGATCGTAAACAACGCGGTGCCCAAGCGCAAACAAATCGCCTTGCGCGTGCAGAGCGCCCGCTGGATGTATTCGTATTCGCTCTGCAAGTTACTCGCTGGTTAGGGATACTTCACAAAGTATACACTTGGTTAAGCTATTGATGTTCATTATTCTTACATTTAGTTCTCAGAACCCGTGCTGGGTCAGGCAAAGAGGGGGGGGCGGTCCTCGGTTTGAAACTAAAAATGTCCAACAAGGGCGGTAGCAGCATCAGACAAAGGCTGAGAGAACAACCTCCTGGCTGCCGCAGTGCTGCACCATCGCCATCATTCAACCCACTTTGTTTGGCCGTGGGAGCCGCTGCTGGTTGCCAGGGCGCCCTCGGCTCGGCACTCCAAGGGGCAGGGGGCGCATTCAACCGCGAAGGGCAGCGACGTGGCTCCCCACCCCCCTACCCACCCAGCCTCCAGGCAGTGTCGAGTCGCCGTCGACCTGCCGCAGAAGACGCATCTCGCTTCTCCCACCACCACCAGCTGGGCTCGTGCCGTCACGTCCCTCCACGTCGTCCCGGGCTGGAGGCGAGTCGCCCTCTGCTTCCCCGCAATGCCCGTCGCGTGTGCTCCACGACCACTCGGCATTCCAGTGGCTCGTGCGGCTGTGTGCTGCTTGAGTAAATGTGTGTGTTGAACTTCATACTCTTGAGTCTTTTCGGTAAAGTCACGTAGGTAAGAATAAAAATAAATAATAAAAAATATAATATTAATATTTGTAGTCTTACCTACGTGACTTTACCGAAAAAAATCTAAGAGTATGAATCCTTGCAGTCACGAAAACTTTAAAATCTATGTTGAACTTCTTTCGCACCGTACGTAGCCAACCGTGCTCGTCGGAGGTGCGGGGCGACGTCGCGTGCGCCGTAAAGGCTCGCGAACGCTCGCGTGGCCTGTGCTGCTGTCGGGGCGATTCGGTGTGCGCACAAATCACTGCGGTCTCTTTGATCGCGTGCGCATTGTGAATGCCATCGCGAAATGAGAACGTTGCACTTGCCTTGGTATTCGCGATAATGCTGCCAGAGGTTTCCCTTCTGACCCGTGACAATGCGGCGTGATTACAGGAGACCCGTGCTCGCGTCGTCCAGCACTACAGACGCTGCCCTTCGGGCTTTCGACCCAACTTTATTTGTAACAAATACGAATGCGGCCGAGAGCAAATTAGTCGGTGGCGGCAAGAGAGCAATTCGTCCCGAGCGCTTCCGTTGCTTGTCTCAGAGCGTTGCGGTTCGAATCCGTCAGTCCGCCCTGGTTATTACCTGTCGAGTGTATGAACCGTAAATAGACTGCGCTGTGTGGCCTTTACAGTGGACTTTAAAGATCCCGTGCCGCCATCGTTCAAAAAGAGTGGTTCAGGCCACAGCGTCTCTTGCTCAGAGCTGCTGGACATTCCACATTCCCGTGGCGGAGGCCCGGCGCTTCACCGGCCGGCAGGCACAAGCGGAACTGCCGCCGCGTTGGCTCCATTCACGGGGAAGTGCCCCCCCCCCCCCTCCACGGAGGGAAGCTGTGCAGCGGTATCCCCGTGGCAACACGACACACTCACGGCTCGCACGTGTTCGTTTAGAGAAAACCCACAGGGCGATGAGTTACTCACCTCGCTGCCCAAAGACGGTACAGTACCTTGTTTCTAAGTTGGTATGGTTTATAATGTGCTACGATGGACACACATTGGCAGTGAACTGTGTTCATGAGTGGCGCTTTAACCCCCTTCACACCCCGGCGCTGTTGTGTGCGGTGCGCAGCAGCGCTCTCGAGAGGGAATCGCGTTCATGGAGCAGCAGCAGCAGCAGCAGCCGCCGCCGCAATCACAGTAAGATTCACTTTGATCCTCACAGGCACTGCGGCTAATCGCGTAACTGACACTGCTCGTGATGCACAGTCGTTGTGACCGGCACGCACGTGGTGCCGCTTGACCTGGAGTGCCCTCCCACGTGGCAGGGAGCCGAGGGGTGGCGGCCCCGCGCAGCGCCACGCACACCCCACGGCGCGCACCCTGCAGCTCGCTCAGCCTCGCAGGGCGAGCGGCAGGTGAGGAGCGCTGGGCACGTGGGGCTCGCCACAGACACTTGCCCGCTCACTGCTTCACAGTCCACGTTCACGTGGCTGTGGGCAAGTCGTCCACAGCACAGCCACGTGGTGTTCCCACGCGATCAGAATCATCATCACCATCAACTTTGCTCTATCCTCTGCTGGATGATGAAGCCCCCCCATCCCCACTATGTCGTCCCCATCCACCATCCACCATGCTTCTGCGACAACACAATCCATTACATTCGAGCGCATCAGCTCAGCTCACCTCTGCCTCTCTGCGGTGGTCACCCTCTTGGTGTTGTGTCGTCTCCTCCGGCTTCCCGCGTGTCCTCCCGGCTCATGCAGCTGCTCTAGTCCCCCTCCAGCGATGCGCCCTCATGCAAGCACTTTCAATTGCCACCATGTCATCGTTACTAACGCCTTTTTATATATACACATCGTATTTCATGTTCTATGTTACGTGCATGCTTTGTGCTCTGTGTATGAATGATTCGCTTTGTTTGCTGGGGAACTCTTGCAACTGCTGTCAACTGGCACAAGACCCCCTTGGGAATGAGACGTGAACCTCAAGAGTGTTATACCGGTTAAATAAAGACTGCTATTCATAATACTGTAATAGTCATTGAGTCATAAACGAGTAAAATACAATTGTTTTGTCCCTTTTGGCCTGTGCTCCGAAATGGAGATTTTAAATTAAAGTGGCCGAACACTCGCGCGTATCACGTGCCTGGGCCACTGACAATGCCGGATCCCTCGTCTGTGTGCACAGCTGCCCGGCCTCCACAAGCAACGACAAGTCCGAGTCACCACGGCGGCGTCCTCCTGTCTGGCATTGAGGATGGCATCCACGAATTGCGCTCGCGCAGTGCTCGTGATGATACACTCACCGGGTTCAACATTTCATGCAGTAACCTAACCTACATTTAATACATATTTTCACGTGAATAACACATCTCGTTTTTTGCACTAGAAATAATAAGGCACTCGTAATATGAATTGTAACGTATGGAAACGTGTGTGTATCGGGAGTGGGTAGGGTGATCGTCTACCCCAGCGCTCTTCATGGCAAGCCCCGCGGGCTACTGACGGCCCCGGGGGCCTTTAGTGCGGCCCCTGACAATACGTCCGTCCTGTGTGGGGTATTTAACATTCTGATTGACCCACACTAGTGGTGGATGGTGCCTCCAGTTAGAGGCAGCATCACTGGCAGCGTAACCAGAATGAGAACGCAACCAATGTACAGGGTGCTTCAAAACAATGTGAACCCTTGCGAGAATTTGCAACGATGCCACGAGAAGTGCTGCCTCCTCCGAGCTCTGGAGACCACCTGGGGAAGATTCCAGGCACGCGTTGACAACGATGGCGAACACGTGGAGACTCTTTGACTTTTTTGAAGCTATTAACATCCATATCTTATCATGTTGCAGTGAATTACCCGTTCTTTTTCCATTACAACGATAGTCCCATATAAGTGTTAAAATATCCTTGAAGCACCCTGTATTGCACCAGTCTTGGGCTCCCACCACATCTCAAGCCGAATACACTGCAAGCGCCTCTTTAATGGAGAGCAATGATGATGCAGCCACTGCCATCACACCGCACACACAGTCAATCAATCCACCCACCTGCACGCATTACCCGAGATGAAGCCGGACGTAGACTCTTGCCTGCTCAGCCCGGAGCGACGAGTTGCCACCATTGCATTCTGAGACGAATTAAAGTATTAAATTAAACATTTAGAACCAGAAAACTTAGAAATGTGGATTTTACTGTTACAGTCAATGCAGATATACCACCTTATTCTCGGTGCCTTGAGGTACTGCTGCGTTTATAGGACTCATGCAACGAATGGGCCTGCCTGCAGTGCAGTATTCAGTGCACCGTGAACCCAGTGACCCCTTACCTGCGAGTATTGACACATTTTCCCACTCGTTTACAATATAAATAGCAAGCTAACATTCAAGTTATTTCGTTTTCTTGCTTTCTACAATGAAAAAATTATGTATGGAGCCAGCATTAATAAACTTGTGAATTCACCATCGGTACTCGTTGTCATGATTGTTGCTTGAAGCGGTCTTTGTACACCGATGGCGTTCCAGCACACAATATCCCTCCAGTGAGGATGGTGATGGAGCAGCCAACACCATGCCAGCCATTCAACCCAATCGAGCAGACACACACCTGTACAACTGGTTGCATTACGGTGCCATTGCTTGTATCTGTTGATCCCTTGCCCACAACTATTATCTGCGCGGTCAGGTCGAACTGGTATCCGTATTACCCACAATTCTACAGATAATAACAAAAGGGAGGATGGCGTCAAGAAGCATAAACCATCAGGCAAACTTCGGTCATCCTCGCAGTGGCTTTTGGCTAACCGTTGAACAAAGATGATCACTGTATCGCGCGCTTTCAGATGCGCTTCTGCGGCCGTCTGGAACGCTCTTCCTTCCGATATTCGGAAGCCACTTGAGCTATGCACTTTTTTAAGTAATGTAGATTGAAAATTAATTTCTTTAGAACTGATTTTTGTGTTGTTTGGCCTTCCCCCGCACCTCCGATTAGCATGGTTGGCTACGTACGGTGTGAACGAAATTCAACTTATTTACATGCTATAAGTGGCCGATTGTTCCCAGCATTGGCATATAAAAGGGAGGCTGTGCACTGACCTTGAACCTGCTAACAACGCCACAGATGGGCTCAGGGACAACCAACTTTCACTCGTGGAGATGCACAAGTGGCAGAGAGGTGGGCACTAACTTCGTCTGCTGTTTCTCATGGATACGATAACTGCACACAAACACGTTCTGTCATTTTTGCACTTTATTTTTCCCACCAGCTCTGAGAGATACAAAATGTATATCGAGTAAAAAACACATTCACATAGTGCTTTACACAGATTATAGCCTCGTTCATTCACACTGGAAATGAACTGAGTCCTTCAGTGAGTCATTCCGTTTCCTGGTCCAGGGCTCTGTCAGCATGGGTTTCTCTGCTGTGGATGACGATTCCCACAATGCAACAGAGGAACTATTCGTTGTAATTGAATCATACTTTTAAAAACGCTACTTTATCAATATATTGTGATACATTGGGGCATGGGAATAGAGCGAGAGGGGGAGATGACTCATCTGGGAAACTGTATGACAGAAATGGAAAACCTTATTTCACCAAGGAAGTCTTCATGGGCCCACGTGGCTGCTTTATGAGTGACACGAACCCAGTGCTATTCTCTACGTCCAGATTCCAGGTCTGATTTCTCGCTCTTCCAAAGGCAATCCAAGCACAAGATAAATGTTACCCCTCTTTGCCACACTGCCACATGCCGTGTATGTGTGTGCGTGAGAGGCAATTTCAAAAGGGTGGCCGGGTGGCACAGTGTAACGTTAGTGCCTAACGGCAATTGGCTCCTGGATTCGATTCCCAAGCGACAATTATCTTTGGAGTTTGTTTGTTCTTCCCGTGTTCTCCAAAGGTTCCTTCCGAGTTCTCTGGTTTCCTCCCAGAGCTTAAAACAACCCCCATAATGTAACATCCCGATGCTGACAAAAATACCAGCAGATTACGTAAAAATCGGCCCCTACTGCAAACCTTTGCAGGACCATTCTGAAAGAGTCTTGAAACTCAGCGAGGCTTACTGAGTAAACAAGTGAATGAATAATAACATAACAATCAAAACCAGTTTGCCCACCACCACATTGCAATATAAAGAGTTAGTGTCCATGTATCTCACAGTATTCTCAAGATTGTAAGTATTTTCCCACAGCCCTTTTGTTGTGATACAGTGCATAAACAGGACGATTGTAATATTGAGCCATTTGTGTCTGTACGTCAATCATGAATATAAAGCATTCAAATCCACACGCTGGTCCTGAGCAAGAGTGAGCATACACGAGACGATTGTGTTCACCAGAGAGTGTGTGCATGTCTCACACCAGCTCATCACGGCGTGTGCGCGTGTGCCAAATGTCTCATATAGAGATTTGATCCTCAAAGATGGCCAGCAGCACCATGATGGCCCACCCTGCCAGCAGGCCCACGTTCTGCAGCGCAAACACCACCCACGGGAATTTGCCGGTGACTTTCATCAGCTCCGGCATCTGTGTGGGGGAGCGCACAGAGAGCGTGGCCATTAAATATCGCGTCCCAGCGTGCCGCTTGAGGCAATTTCGTGCACGCGTAAACTCTACGCGTGTGTGAAAATTATTTTACCATTTTACGAAGTCGTATCAATAGTGTGGAGTATATTTAAATGCGTGCTGCTGTGGAATGCTCGTCGCACAGACTACGTTTGTGAACAGGGCACAGTGCATTCATGCACCAGGTGTATGCATACATCTTGCCATATTGAAGAATAATACACAATTGACATAAACACACACTAGAGATCTCCTAACTATGCATGACTTGGGAATTTACGATTTTCCAAAAACAGATTTTCATATTTCTACGCCTAAATCTTCAGATTCATTTCATACCTTCGGTTTAAAACTTATAACATTTGAATAATTTGTATTTAAGTACTAAATGCAACAATTTCAACGTAAAACATGAATTCATAGCTTTAAATGTTAAATTATTCATTAGTTTTTTTTTAAAATAAAGTTCAAACTGTAAAACGATAATTCTGATATAAACATTTTAAGTTGTATTTTAGACGTCACTCCGTGTCAGGTCAGTTCTAAAACGATGTTAATTTGGGAATACCCGAAATTTGATATCTAGGTTTCTGTGGTTCTTCAGATGAATTAGAAAATCGGGGAATATGTTCTTAAATGGCAGAGATAATATCAAAAAATGAGATCCAAATTCAGTTCCATGAAGAGATTGTCGACCCTATTCATCGTTGACATCGACTTTCAAAGGCTTTAGTTGTATCCCGTGATAAAGAATATTAATGAATATTCCATCAGCTATGAAATCAAAATAATTCTGATGATGATTAAAACAATGATGGATAATGAAGATAATGATGCCAACCATTATGATCTACGTTGTTTGAAAATGCTGAGAAATTGCTGCTACCATCGCATCCCAGGTACTGGTACAGGGCATCGCACGACTTCCCATCTGGCTGCAACCCCAGCAGCAGGCACTAGAGGGCAGACAGCGAACAGCACGAGTCGCCATAAACTAACATGCAAGGTGGGTTCCTTGGGTGATATCGATAATTATATTATCTAGGCTCATGATGCACGCATCCAGAGCCGGATTCTGGGAGGCAATCGGGATAATTCTCCAGGCCCCAAGCGGCGGGGGAGGAGAGGGGTCTGTTCTGGTGTCCTGGGGCAGATCAACAATCATGGTTCTGACGCGTCGTCTTTGGAGAGCTGTCCTGGTGAGATGTGCATCGCACCCTTAGAGGCCATGAACAACATGTGTCCAAATTTAACTGTGGAAAGTTCACGTGGATTCACATTCTACATTGCAGCCACTCTGAACTGATCATGGTCTCGGGTTGTTAATTCCCTAGGTACTCATCAGAGCTGGGTGTAGCGTGTAGCCACCACGCGTGGCGCGTCAGTGGCTGCGAGTCGGTGTGGCGTGGGTGGGGCACTGACCAAGTCGACGAGAGAGATGTAGTAGAACATTCCGGCGGTTACAGAAAATATCCACTGCTGCACGATGGTGTCATTGGAGAGGGACAGGCCCACGTAGAGGCCCGTGAAGGCCGTGAGGGAACTAATGAAGTTGAGGACGAGGGCTGGACACACTCTCATCCCGGAGTTCAGCAGCGCTGCAAAGTCCCCTGAGCGTCCGAGGAGAAAGGGGTGGTGGGGGCGTGCGGTGTGAGCACACTCGTCAGCAGCTCTACGGTTCTGAGATTCACAAGCTCTGTGGCATTGTATGTACGTGTGTTGAACTTCTTCCGTACCGTACAGACTATAGCAATCCAACATTGATCGCTTCTGTGATCAGTCAAATTTAAAAACCCTATTTAAAACGTTTAAACGAAGTGCATTCTTTTATTTTATTTCTAACTACGTGACTTTACCGAAAGAACCAAAGAGAATTGATTCCTGCAGTCACGAAAGCTTCAAATCAAGATTGAAGCGCATTCTCACCACAATTATACAGAGACCGACCGACGACAGAGCGTGGATTTGAAAAGCGTCCAAATGCGCCCCCATTTCAAGATGCAGCCCAAACACACAAAAGCAGGGAGGACGTGGGCGAATCGCACGGAAGCAGGTCACCTATCTCGTGAGGAACCTCGTGAAAGAAGATGGCGAGCGAAGTGGTCAGGCCCGCGCGGTTTGAGGCCGAGAAGGCAGCACCCATGGCGAGCCCGTCGGCGAAGTTGTGGATGCTGTCGCCAACCAGGATCATGATGGCCAGGGAACTCATTCCTGGGGAGTCGCGCAGGCATCACCACAGATGTGCTCGGGTCAAGCAGCGCTGCAACCGTTGGGAATTGTGGAGCATTAAATGCCCGCAGATGTGCGTCCACGTCCATTTGCCCCCTCAAATAGCGAGGCAGAGGAGGCGGACAGCCTGCTGCAGCAGGAGCCTGGGAGAGCAGTCCAGGCCACGTGGACTCGTTCACAGCCATCGAATGTTACCAAGTGAAACCACCGCAGTAAAGCTGTGCAGGGTGGATCAGGGGCGCACCGATTAGCACCGCACTGCACTATGCATCCAGCAACACGCGTTTCATTCCTGTCCGCAGCTAACATCATTATCTGAACCAGTTGTGGGTCTCCACGTTCGCCAACCTGCATTGCACAGCGTGGTGAAGAATGGTCAAACTTCTCATGACTGAAAGGCCGGTAAGAACAACAAACTAAAGACAAAACGTGAATGGACAAAGGGCGGTAACCTCTAATTATCATTGCAGCTCAGAGGGTTGGTAAATCTAACCCACGCGATAACAATCGGGCATAAAAGCTCAAGTGAAGCACACGGCTGTCGAGGATCTGACCTTTGAACGTGCCACGATGCTTCGGAAGCGCGGCCAACGTCGGTGTCACGTCGGCCTCTTCCTCCGTGTCCTGGGAGGGGGCGGCACGGCACATTGGCAGCCCCCAGTGCCAGCGGCACAGCAATCCTATCTCTCACACCCTTAATGTCGCTTTCAAGTGGCAGACACTACTGATAATACTTGAAACAAGTGTCATTATTTGCATTATTATCATACTATTACTCTTTAGCGGAGATAGATTTGGTATTATCCTGCAGGAAAGCGAGCTCGGTGATTATACTATGGGACCGATGTGGAACGACATGGATGGCAGCAGCATGGAGCGTGCGGTGTTCCGTGTGAGCGTAGCCACGTGGGTGGCGGCAGCGCTCACGAGGCGTGTGGTGGAGGCCGTGCCGCGTCCGGCCTTGCCGGCTCTGAACGAGTCGCGCAGCGCCAGGTCGTGCGAGTGTCCGCAGTGGTTCTGCTGCTGCTGCTGCTCGCGTTCCTGGCCGCCGTCCTGCTGTGGATGAGGAGCAGTGGCACTGCGGTTAGCCGCAAACGCACTGCCAGTGCACGTCCAGCAAGGTCGGCTCTTCCCCAACACTGCTCTGCTGTTCTCCAAAACCTCACATCCGATTGGCACGGGTGGCTACGCACGGTTGGCTACGCACGGTACGAACGAAGTTCAACAAACATTCAGACATCCAGCGATCGGCTCGTCCCCAACACTGCTCTCCTCTTCTCGGCAACCTCCCACACATGCCCCGTATATTATCTAAAGCAACGTAATTATAATCACATCTTGACACAATCTGCTGATAAGTTCGTTTTAATGTTTAATTGTGTATGTGGGATGGCAGATTAAATCTCGAGCTGCTTTATGTGTAAATTACTCTCACGGTGTAATACTGTGCTCAGAGATTTTGCATATTATAAAAAAATATATATGCAGACACGCAAGTGTGCATTTATCAACGACATATTTTGTCCTGCCAGGTGATTGTTGTTAAAACCAAGTCAGGCAGCCACCTGTGTGGTCTGTGTGTTTGCTCTTTGTCTGCTGCATCGGCAATAAAACATTCCACACGCCCAGCAGGTCTGTCCGTGATGAAGCGTCGACCAATCACTTGCAGCATTCACCCCAGACACAAAAGATGTCGGCATGAACAAACGTCAACACACTCTGTGGCCAGACAATTGTAAACGTACGATGTTTATGTTCCACGTAGAAAGTGTTTCTTGTTTTCACTTAAAAGGCTTCTGCTCCGAATTAATTATTGACTGGCAATCCCAGCTGTAATTGTTTTATACGTGTGAAGGATATCACATTCTCATTTCGCAACGTGCAGTTTTTTTACATTCACACAACTTCAGTTGTTATTTTACAGTTTGCAAATGTTTTGGCAATTGCCTCTTTCTTTGCAGTGTTTGTTTCTAAATCTTCCTTCCTGTAGCTGCTGTTCTGCATTTGACACAAAGTGGACCCCCGCCTATCTATAGGGTGCAACCTAAACCTTGTGTACGGGATGCCAAGAGAAACAGCTACACTCCGCGGGTCTAAGGGCTCCTCGTGAGTTCCAATGGCGTGCCCGGCACTCATTGACGAGGAGCGACCGTGGGGGCGGAACCGATGCAGGGCACACGATCGGAGTTGAAGACGGAGAGCATTCACGTCGAATTGGTTGTCAGGAAAAACACTAAATAGATATAAGGGGTCGTTTGGGAGACCGTTCTAGGAGAAATTAACGGGATTGGCGGAGAGTCGTGGAACGTTCCAGAAAGGACAGGGAAGAGAATGAAAGGAGGGAGAGATGGGGGTTCGGGGCGCCAACTGAGCGCAGCGACTCCCTGGTGTGTGACGACACGCTGTGCGGAAGACGTGATAAAGACGAGGTTCAAGTCTCACCCGGGCTAGAACTCCTCTACACTTGTTACGCCAGAAGTGGTAAAGTCACACGATTGAAGCCCTTCAGCTGGAAAGAGTCAACCACCCATCAGACATCAGCCAAGTCTCCCCGTGCCGTGCGTGTCAGCTTTCCTCGGCGCTGAAACACGTTTCTATGTTTGGGTCCCAGCGTATATATGAGGTGCTTGTTCAAGGAATTTTCAATGAGTGCTTATCAGGGATGATTTGGCAAAATAACGAAATGCTTTTGTAAAGAGGCTGCTCTTCCAAATTACATGCCTGAACTTGAATCAGTAAAACAAAGGGCCCTTGTGCATGCGGCCTTACACCCAGACGCGACACGCGCCAGTGCCGTGCACGTGAACTCGCTGCGATGCGGCATGTCGCTATCGCACGCTACTGACAAAGTAGCTCACTCCAAGGCCCTGCCCGCAGACCGCGCCTGCATGTAACGCTTGCTTCGTCACAATGAGGTGCCGCTCGCGTACCCCTTGAGATGAAGCGATCAGCAGATGGAAGATCTTCTCCACCAAGAAGAAGATGTAGATTCCTCCCAGGAGAGCCATCAGCTTCCACACGTGACTGTTTTTCTCGACAAAGTCCTCCTCGGCGTGGTCGTGACCGTCACCGTGGTCGTGCAGGGCCAGCATCTGAAAGGGAAATGGTTTTCAACCCTCACCAGCCACTCTGAGATTTGTTCCTGCACTTTAACACGTGGCAGGCGTAGTCAACAGGTCAAAGTGCATTCCTGCTCAAATAATGAGCATTGCGACGTTGGTGCTCATCTCCTCTATAAATAGCTGAGCCAGTGGTGGTAAATTCCCATTCCCATGGCAGGGTGTGTGATTATATCCAAAGGACCGCCACTGTTGACTTCTCCATAAAGTGGTACTCATTGTATCGACCTGCAGAAATGACGGGATGAGTCAACCCCAACCAGGATGTGAACTCGAAACCTTCTATCGCGAGTCACTCACTCGACCGGTGAGCCACCTGGCCGGTTTTACATAACCGAGTGATTGTATTCGAGTGTGTAAGTCAAGAGGCGGAGATTTCCCCATTGGATATCTGCAAAGCAAACTCACTTGGTGCTGCACATTGTGATGACTATGCTCGTCGTGCTTGGGATTGGTTGGCAGATCCCATGTGTATGGGTTACCTCTGAATTCACAACTTAGCCTGAACACATCCGTGTTGCTTAGCCGGATCATCACGTGACATTCGCAAGATGGGCCGATAATTGCGATGTCGATTCCCTTCGAGTAATTGGAGGGACATTTTTCAAATTTGGATCACGACGCCACACGCGGTGGCCTGCTCTTGTGAATGACGTCACGGGATCTATAAGGCCCGCCGCAGTATTAATCAGGGCGACCGCTGAATTCGAACCGCGAATCTCTCAAGCAAACGGCGAGCCCAGCGCTACCGCTGGGCCGCGTCACCACCCACGGGCCTCGATGCAGTTTCACCGCCTGCGCCCCCCACGGCTCCGCCACAGCAGACATCCTCACGGAGCACGGCCCCACTAGCCTGCTGATAACCCGAGGCCCACATCGCCCAAATGTCATGACTACAGTATTATTTATATATTTTTTTAAATTCCTTGGAGTAAGCACTTTTCAAATTGCGAGCGATTGACTCTCACGGAATCCCCGCAGTGTGTAAGAGCAGGGCTGTTACAAACACTGCTGTTACAAACACTGCACCATTGTTGAGCTGTCGAGCAGTGGGGATATTTAATCCGGATTATGGGTTAATCCGGAATGCGGCTGTTTCTTTAACTATTTACTAAGGGCACCCGAGCTTTTAATGAGTGGCGCCTCGCTCATACTTGTGTGACTACACCTGCACTTGGGGTGATAAGGGCACCATGTTTATCCCGAGCAATTACTGATATTTGTACATACAAGTATATGGCCCTTTTCGTCACTCCACTGCTGGATGAAGGCATCCCGTGCCGTGTTCGTCGTGGGGGTTGTTTGACCCGCACGTCGCTTCACCATGCTGGGCAATGTGGGGTGAAGCAAGACGCTTAGACGTGGGGGCATAGAAGTACGGTACAACGTGCCCACCGTCTATAATTTCTGTAGTCACCTATGACAATCTACGAGTGTGCACGGTGAACATCTATGCAAGAACTATGCAGGCTCAAACCTGCTTAGCTTCGGAGATCTTGTCAGAGCAGGTGCATTTTTATTTTTCAAACGTGGACCTCGGGTGATGTGTTGTCTCGAACCAACACTTCTCTAATTTAATTAACGAATTTCATAAATTTCAACAACAAAAAATAAGCAGACGAATGATCCATTCCCCATATATGTACTTCCACATCCAAAATACAAGTGGATTGCATACATCCCATCAGCCAAGTGTTGTTCAAACCAGACGCACCTCGGGAATCAGGTGCAAGGTGGCATCTCCGGAGAGGGTGCCCACAGCCAGAGCGATGAACGTCTGCAGGATGACTCGGTACGTCTCCTGGCACGACGTGAACAGGATGACAGCGACTCCCATCAGGGAGGAAAGGCTCACCACCAGCACCGCCAGGGTTCCATACCCATACTCTGGGGAAGGAAACAGAAAATTGCTCATGAAACAATTGTCGTGATTGACAGACCTTGGTCAACGCACTGCTACGTGAAGGTGTCCTCGTGTGTCGTTTCGGTCGTGGGGGTTGTTTGACCATACTTCACCATGCTGGTCAGTACAAGTTGGTGATGGGCGCAGGCCAAGGATCGGTTTAGATATCGCTCGGCAACGAGACTCGGGCCACCGGGTTCAGACTGCAGGGTCATAGCCGTCGCAACGCCACTCCACCGCAGCTTGTGTACACGTCGCGAAGAGTGCCACGTGTTTACGATTGGCGTGTGCTAATCTCGTGTGTGCTTAGGCAAAGGCAAAAAGGGTGGCCTTAAAAATATGTGTGTGAAAGGTGGAGGTGAATGTGTAGCAGAGGTTTAAGATTGACAATAAAGGTGACCGAGATGTTTTTTTCACTGCGCGCGGCCTATTCTTGTCTCTGATGTCACGGGGTTTTTAATCTTTACTGTGGGCCTAATTCCAAGAATGGCCACTTTCATGAACTCATAGCAAACTCCCAATTCTAGCACTGTGCACCGAGTGCACGTGACGGATGTGTTCCCGATGTTTAATTTATTCATCTTAGAAGAGGGCCGAGGCACGACATTGCAACCGATTCTAGAATAAAAACGGGTTTTGGACTTATCCGAGGTGATGACGTCACGGCACACATGCCGTGAAGTCGGCGTGCGCACGTTGGAGCAAATGGTTGGCAGATCACCGAGAGATTCATTAAACTTTCCAAACCTTAAATCTTGACTTAAAGCTGCTTTCGTGACTGCAGGAATTCATCTTCTTTGGGTCTTTCGGTAAAGTCACGTAGATAGGTTCAAAGAAAATAACAAAAAAAATAACAAAACTACGACGTTTCGATCTACGTGACTTTAGCGAAAGAACCAAAGAATATGAATTCCTGCAGTCACGAAAGTTTTAAGTCAAAATTTAATTATGTTCTTACACGAGAAATAGAATTTCTTAGGGAGATCAGATGCCAACGTGACTGAGCGCGTCATAATAAAGCAATTGGAGCGTGAATGCTCACAAAATAGTGTTGAAGATTGGTAAAGCTTATGGAAATAACTAAGTACATCAAGAAGAAATGTGATCAATATTTACAAAGATCAGGGCCACGTAAAGTATTGGCACATTTGACGTGCCAGCTTGACTGGCACATGGAATATATATTCATGAATTACACACAAGGCGACGACGCGTGGCGCTGTAAAGTGATAGAATGAGTCTGGGAATAAAATGGAGGCCTAAATTATTAAAAGATGAAGTAGGTATGTCATGCTTAATTAAGGTTAAGCTGAGCGTGTGTGTGCTTGTCCATATAAGGAGTTGCAGAGCAAGATGCTAGAGAAACAATAGCGATTCTGATACCATGCTCGAGCCCATGCTGGATCCCAAGATCTAACCCGTGCTCAAACACACGCTTGACCACATTGCCGTAGACAGCTCAACCCCGTGCCAGATCTCTCCGCACGTGAACACGCGGCCATTCCGATTCCGACTAAACGTTTCTGCGACGACACAATCGATGCCTTCCATTGGTTGGTGACCGCGTGGCATCGTTTCCCATTGGCCACGCACGCGTCGTCCCTCCTTAATTCACGGACAACATCGTGTCGCCACCACGGCGCGAGCGAGTCGAGGTGAGCGTGGGGTGACGGTGGGTTAGGCTCCTCACTCTCCACAGTGGTGGGGGGCGCGCCGGGCGCCGGCGCCTCCTGGTCGCCGTGGGCCCGGCAGGCCCCGCTCAGCAGCTGCTGGACGATGGCCACGGCGAGCGCGGAGAAGTTGCGCCGGACGACGCCGCTCGAATTGAAGTCGAAGACGTCGCAGAGCTCGTGCGCGCTGTAGCACGTCTCCTCGGGGCCGCGGTGCTTCTCCTCCTCGTCGTCGTCGTGGTGGTGCGCCTGCTCCTCGTCGTCGTGGTCCCCGTGACCTTCCTCCGTCTTGCCCAGATGAAGGCGCTCGAGCAAGGCCGCCAGGTCTGCCGCACGACAGCGCGCTCGTCAGCCCCGAGACGTGGCCGAGGCGGCTGCGGTGGCTCCGTGTGCGAGTGCGAAAACATATTGGGGCGCATCACATAATGCCGGAGGTTGTGAGCGAGACCGATTTGTGTAACTGGATTGACGCCAGGCACAGGTTTGGGGTGCGTCTTCCTTTCCGGAGCGTCTTATAAACCGGAGAATATGGTAATGGTGTTGTGTGTATAGCAGATTGTGGATATGTTACACAATGTACAATGTTTGGCTTTCCTGACACTCATCTAAAGGTTCGCAATGCAGGTTTTAACATTTTGTGTCCTGAATGATCAAACCTTTAAAACCTGGCGGTGGCTGGGGGATTGTCCTCCCTCACCACTCACTGCCCCCTCTTACCTCGTGAGAATCGGTGTTCTTTGCGCTCATTCGCAATACTCGGTTGCCTTGGTATTTATGATCGCTCCAAGCCCGCGCCAACTGGATTCAGAGTTTTGTTAGAGGCTCTATATTTTTGCACTCATTTATGATTCTCTTTATTTCACAATATCTGGTTATCGGGGTCCGTTGCGGCAACTCGCACACAGGCAGCGTGCTATGTATCATCACAGAGCCATGCTGCCCGATGTCGCAGTGATTCTTCTGCACTTAACCGGTGCCTAAGCCACGCCGCCGACTGCACGGGCTGCGTTGAAGTCTCCCGGCTACACTCTGCACTCTGTTCAGCCGCGAGACTGATTGTGGTCGTGAAGCTCTGCCCGGTTCAATCCGCAAGTGGGAACAATGTGGCTGCTATGTTCCACATCGCCATGAAGTTACTAAAGGCCTACTTTGTAAATCAACATTGCAGCTCCAAGCGTGTTGCCCATCACCAAGAGTGATCTTACAAGTAAGCGATGTCTGAGTTATTGGTGTGGTTGTCACGAGTAGAGGTGTTAATTTCGGATCGAGTCGTCCGGCCAACGTACGAACAGCGACATCGTCTCGTAGTCTCTGGCTCCAAGAGGGATGTTGGTCGTGAAGTCACCCACGCCGCTAACACTGCACTCACTCCCCCGCTTGACCACAGGGTGTGAACGCACCTCGCAATCTCTCTTACGTCAGTGTTGCTCCGAGCAGCATCAGAAGGTATGTGTTGTGTTGGGATACTACATTCATACAATCACCAACACCGGTTTCAATCGCTATCTATCTGTGATCGGCGGGATGAATGTCACGTGAATTCCAACGAGACCTAACCATTTGAAGGGCTTGAGAACGTTTAAACACAGCGCCTTTAATTTATAATTATTAATAACAGGATATTCACCCTTCTCGGATGTGTTGATGGATTGCGCCGTGTCTTTGTTGGGCACAAAGTCCGACGTTTCGCTTCGTGAGCTGGGACGTCGCTCCCCGAAACCGCGCGGCAGAGCCGCCGTGCGGCGACGGCGGCGGAGCGACAAATCGCGAAGCCACCGAGAATACCTTGCTCGGTCATGGCGTCGGCCGCGCTGCTGTGCGTGCGGAATATGTGGTCGAGGAAGAAGTCTGGGCCGAGGAGCGAGTGCCTCAAGCAGCGGTGCGCCCCGGCGAGGAAGAGCGCGGCCACGCGCCCGAGCTGCCCTGCCTCCACCGCCCGGGCCGGCACCGCTCTCCGCGCGGCAGCGTCCATGCACTGCACATTTTTTAAAACAAATATTACATAGAAAACAGGGGGAACATAGACATAGGGTAGGGAGGGGGGTAGAGAGAGAGAGGGAATGGATAAAAAGGAGGAGAGCAGAGCGTGAAATCTTTTGTGAAATATTTCATTAAAAAAAGCATTGAAAAAAACGAACTTACGAACGAAGCAAAGTGCAGACTACACCGAGCATCTTCTTGCTTCCTCTGATCGTAAAAAAAGAGGGAGGGATTGGCTTCTCCAAACCCCCGTGGTGTCCTTCTCTCTCTTGATCGGTAAAAGCGAGAATCGGTGTTCTGCGCGCTCAATTGCAACACTCGGTTGCATGATTATTTATGACGGCTCCAAGCCCGTGCCAGCTGGATTCAGTCGTATTAGGCTCTGTATTTGTGCACGCATTTATGATTCTATTCACTTGACAATATCCGTTCAGAGGGAACCCCTGCTCCTTTGCGGCAACTCGCACACAGACGCAGGCAGCGCGCTATGCATCATCACAGAGCCATGCTGCCCGATGTCGCAATGATTCTTCTGCACTTAGCCGGTGCCTAATCCACGCCGCCGACTGCACGGGCTGCGTTGAAGTCTCCCGGCTAAACTCTGCACTCTGGTCAGCAGCGAGACTGACTTTACCAAAAGAACCAAGAATATGAGACTGATTGTGTTCGTGAAACTGTGCCCGGTTCCATTTACAAATGGAAACAATGTGGCCGCTATGTTCCACATCGCCATGAGTTTACTAAAGGCCTCCTTTATAAATCAACATCGCAGCTCCATGCGTGTCGCCCAATTGCCGTAACGATGATGCACAAACGATACGTTGGTTATAGAATTTGATGTGGATATGCCCGAAGCAATGAACCCTAACGTGGGCAATGGAATTGATCCCATCATGCTTGATACCCATGTAACGTGCAGCGGATCTCAATAACAACCGCAAAGCACCACTGTCAGAGTCAGAGCCACTGGGGAGACAAAGGCGGTCGGCCGTGGTGCTGGCCAACCACCCCCTCGTGTTCCATGCCGGCCTTCATAGGTGCTACTCCCTAACAGCACTTGCCCCAACAGTTTATTAATGCTATACGGGGGATCTATTGTTTTGAGTACCCTGTGTGTGAGTGTAGGGACGAGTGTGGTTTGTATACACTGCCACACTCAGGGCTAAACCCTCGTGTGTGTGTGTTAGTGACTGTGTGTGTGTTAGTGATTCTGCCTCGTGTGTGTGTGTGTTAGTGACTGTGTGTGTTAGTGTCTGTGTGTGTGTTAGTGATTGCGTGTGTGTGTGAGTGACTGCGTGTGTGTGTTAGTGACTGTGTGTGTGTGTTAGTGACTGTGTGTGTGAGTGACTGTGTGTGTCTGTGTGTGTGCGTGAGTGACTGTGTGTGTGTTAGTGATTGCCGCTGTGTCCCCTCGCTGTGTCCTTGCTCCTTGACCTCCGCATTCCTCTTCCTTCCCCACGTGTTCACACAGAGCGGCGGTGGTGGTCCATGATGCGATGGTCGACGATTCGCCTCTGGGCTCACGAATCTCGCGGTGCCTAAACTAGACCTGGGATCCGGCTTCTGGATCCATCTCAACCTCCCGTTACTAATTAGAGCACCGACTGTAAGAGAAGTTTGTTTTGGGCTAGATCGCGTAAAAAGATAAATGTGTCGTGAAAACCCGCCACCACCCGACACAGCCAACTAGTAAGGGTTGTTGACACGTAAACAGAAAGTGCCAATTCGTCACTAGTACAGCACTAACCGGTGTGTTGGAGAGCCAAGCCACAACATTTACAATCTGAGTTCGACGTTTCGCCAGTAATTACAATTAGCTTCATCAGGCGACGTACATGATGCATGTGCATTATGCGAGCCCTTTGATCTTGTCCTTCCTATCCATTGTGTGTAATAATCCCTATTGAAGTACGCTGCCCTTTGTAGACACGCACTTAAACAATGTATTATTAGATGATTCGCTTCCACGCAGCACTAAGGCGGTAGCGATCCGAACGGTTAAAGTTATTTTGATTTCTTTCAATTTTTATAGATTCTCTAATTAGTCTTGGCCAGTAGTAGCTAGTTTTGCACAAAACTTCAACATTATCAAAATCAATTGAGTGTCCTTGTTGGCACTCGTGCTCTGCTACTGCTGACGTTGTATTTGGGAGTATTTAATATTTCTCTGATGTTCTTTTAGTCTCGTGCTGATCATTCGTCCTGTTTGCCCAACATAACATTTACCACACGTGCAGTTAATCCTGTACGCACCTTCTGTTGATAGCTTCGGTCTACATCTTTTGATATTGGTCGCGAAAGCCTCCGTGTTAAACAGCGACGGTGTCAGAGTGACGCGGTGTGGGGAGTTGTGACACTCTGCTGAACGCGCTCCCTGCACGGCGCCTTTGCTCACGCATCGCGAGCCAAAAGAAAACCACTTTCTACTACTGGACAATCTGTGAAAAAGAGCTTCACAGCTCATCGGATTCCCCCAAAATTATAAATAAAGATTCTGAGAGTGATCAAGAGTCTGGTTCTGACGTGCGGTGGGTCGGAATCCGCCACCAGGAACCTGAGCCGGAGCGCGTCAACACGGAGAGCGGCGGCAGCGTTTGGCGAGAGAGGAGAGAGAGGGGGGACATGGAGTAGGGAGAGAGGGGGTAGATTGAGAGGGGGTAGAGAGAGAGGGGGGGGGGGTAGAGAGAGGGGGTAGAGAGAGAGAGAAGGGGAAAGGAGAGCAGAGCAAGATATTTTTTTGTTAAATCTTTCATTTAAAAAGGGGGAGGGGTGTACGTAAAGCAAAGCATTAAAACAACGAACTGATGAACGAAGCAAAGTGGCGACTACACCGAGCATCTTCTTGTTTCCTCTGATCGTAAAAGAGAGAGAGAGAGGAGCGAGTGGAGCGAGTGGAGGGACAGAGAGGAGCGAGTGGAGGGGCCGAGTGGAGGGGGGGCGAGTGGAGAGAGGGGAAAGAGAGGAGCGAGTGGAGGGGGGGCGAGTGGAGAGAGGGGAAAGAGAGGAGCGAGTGGAGGGGGGGCGAGTGGCGCTCTGGGGCCACTCCACCGCCCCAGCTGCTCGCAGGGGACGAGGGCCCCGCCACCCGGCAGCGGTGGACAAAAATAATAATATAAATATTTTGTTTTTACTATTATTTCTATTTGTATTTCAATTATTTATTTTGTTACCTACGTGACTTTACCGAAACAACCTAAGAGTATGAATCCTTGCAGTCACGAAAGCTTCAACTCCAGAATGGCTACGGCTGGTGGACCTGCTGGTAACGACGTTATGTACTCCAACAAAATTATACTTTTTGGTTCTTTCGGTAAAGTCACGTGGGTATAAAATAAAATGAAGCACGACGTTTCGGGCGCAACACAAGCGTCCTTCATCAGGTGCTTTCCCACCAAAGAGTATGGATTTCTGCAGTCACGAAAGCTTCAAATCAAGATCTAACAACATTGTGACGTTCTCTACAACATTGTGACGTTCTCTACAACATTGTGACGTTCTCTACAACATTGTGACGTTCTCTACAACATTGTGACGTTCTCTACAACATTGTGACGTTCTCTACAACATTGGCATGGTTGGCTGCGAACGGTGCGAAAGAAACAAAACGTACGATGAGAAAGAGACGTTGCCAAAACCGTCACCTACTATTATATACACGTTTACATTTTGACTTAAAACTTTCGTGACTGCAGTAATTCATATTCTTGTTTTTTTCGGTAAAGTCACGTAGATAGAAATTTTTTAAATAAAATTTAAATGAAACCAAATTTTATTTTATTTGTAATTTTTAATAATTTATTTTATTTTTATTGTATTTTCTATCTACGTCACTTTACCGAAAGAACCAAGAATACGCGCACGTTCACTTGTCAGGCCACGGTCTCATTGACAGATGCTGTGCTGTGTACACCACTGCTCAGACAGCAGCAGCATCAGCAGCATCAGCAGCAGCATCAGCAGCAGCAACTTGCAGCAGCAACTTGCAGCAGCATCAGCAGCATTATCATCATCAGCAGCATCAGCAGCAGCATCAGCAGCATCATCAGCAGCAGCATCATCAACAACAGCAGCAACTTGCATCAGCAGCATCATCATCAGCAGCAGCATCATCATCAGCAGCAGCAGCATCATCAGCAGCAGCATCAACAGTAGCATCAGCAGCAGCAACTTGCATCAGCAGCATCATCATCAGCAGCAGCAACTTGCATCATCAGCAGCAGTATCATCAGCAGCAGCAGCAACTTGCATCATCAGCAGTAGCATCATCAGTAACATCATCAGCATCATCATCAGCAGCAGCAGCATCATCATCAGCAGCAGCATCACGGGACATGCCACCCAAGCGGCTCCCCCGTGGAGGCGCCGCGCTGCGCGCTGCCCGCGACCTTCTGGAAGAGGCGCGTGGCGGGAGGGAAGCCGCTCCGCGTGGAGTCCAGCAGCCCCAGCGTCTGCGAGGAGGAGAGGCTGCCGCTGCTGCCGCCGCCGCCGCCGGCGGCCCTCACGAGGCCGTCCAGGAGGAAGGCGAGCGGCAGGGTGGCGCCCTGTCCCGGCCCGCAGCCGCGGCCGGGCTCCCTCAGCAGGTGCAGCAGCAGCAGCGCCGCGTGAGCGCCACTCACGCCGCCCGCCGCGGGGCCGAGCGGCGCCCACGCGCCCGTCGTGTCGTTGAAGCACTGCGAGCCAGGAGCGGGTGGGTGGGTGGGTGGGTGAGTGGGTGGGTGAGTGGGTGGGTGGGTGAGTGAGTGGGTGGGTGGGTGAGTGAGCGAGTGGGTGGGTGAGTGAGCGAGTGGGTGAGTGAGCGGGTGGATGAGTGGGCGGGTGAGTGGGTGGGTGGGTGGGTGGGTGGGTGAGTGGGTGGGTGGGTGGGTGAGTGGGTGGGTGGGTGGGTGAGTGGGTGGGTGAGTGGGTGGGTGGGTGAGTGAGCGAGTGGGTGGGTGAGTGATCGAGTGGGTGAGTGAGTGGGTGGGTGAGTGAGTGGGTGGGTGGGTGGGCGAGTGAGTGAGTGGGCGAGTGAGTGGGCGAGTGAGTGGGTGAGTGGGTGGGTGGGTGAGTGGGTGGGTGGGTGAGTGGGTGAGTGAGTGGGTGGGTGGGTGAGTGGGTGGGTGGGTGAGTGAGCGAGTGGGTGAGTGAGCGGGTGGGTGAGTGGGTGGGTGAGTGGGTGGGTGGGTGAGTGGGTGGGTGGGTGGGTGAGTGGGTGGGTGGGTGAGTGGGTGGGTGAATGGGTGGGTGGGTGAGCGAGTGGGTGGGTGAGTGAGCGAGTGGGTGAGTGAGCGGGTGGGTGAGTGAGTGGGTGGGTGGGTGGGCGAGTGAGTGAGTGGGCGGGTGAGTGAGTGGGCGAGTGAGTGGGTGAGTGGGTGGGTGGGTGGGTGAGTGAGTGGGTGGGTGGGTGGGTGAGTGAGTGAATGAGTGGGTGGGTTGGTGAGTGAGTGAGTGAGTGGGTGAGTGGGTGGGTGGGTGAGTGAGTGAGTGGGTGAGTGAGTGGGTGGGTGAGTGAGCGGGTGGGTGAGTGAGCGGGTGGGTGAGTGAGCGAGTGGGTGAGTGAGTGGGTGAGCGAGTGGGCGAGTGAGTGGGTGGGTGAGTGAGCGGGTGGGTGAGTGAGCGGGTGGGTGAGTGAGCGAGTGAGTGGGTGAGCGAGTGAGTGGGTGGGTGGGTGAGTGGGTGCGTGGGTGAGTGGGTGCGTGTGTGAGTGGGTGGGTGGGTGCGTGGGTGAGTGGGTGGGTGAGTAGGTGGGTGAGTGAGTGGGTGAGTGAGTGGGTGGATAATGGGGGGGGGGGAGAGACGCTGGCGGTGAGCGCGAGTCGTGCGAGCCGCTTTGTTGTAGAGGTTCACGGTTCGGTAGCGGCGGGCCGCCCTGGTCAATTCAGAACTACGCGACGTCGTCTGCATCACATGGGATGTTCAAGAGCCACCCGTGGACGTGGTTTTCTCTCCGCTCTAAAACGCAAACCATTGACCGCACATTCCCAGCATATGGCTTCTAAAATAGGATTTACAATCAATGTCTGCCATGTGTGAACAACGTGTAAACTATAATTTTGTGTATTAGGAAATCGTAAATTGCGCTCAGTTTCCTGAATATTTACCCCACGTGTCATCGGGAAGGGAATGCCGAGCTGTGAAGAAGTTTGTGTATTCAGGTGTGCACTGCTCAGTGAAGAGCTTTTCAAGGGCGTTACAAGGCGGAATCTCGAGATGTATGGCCTCAAGCTGGCTGTTTAAAAGAACATTGTTTTACAATGGGGATGTTAGGCTACGAATCAGGAGTAATAGGATCCTGGCAAAACATTTAGAAAATAAGCCCCTTGCCTCTGACCCTATGGACATTCAAAGGATGTCGGGAATTTCATGGCAGGCTAGAGGGGGAAATGACTCGGGAGCTTGAAGAGAACGTGGAAGGAAGAAACCGTGGACACGATCACGAGGTGCTGGGATGGGCACGTGTGCGGCTTGGGCAGTCAGCGAGTGGCACCCAGAGGCGTGACACTGCCGGAGCGCGCCAGCTGAGAGAGATCGCCAGCTAGTCGTGCCGGCTTGGCGGGAGAGGCTGGCGAGTATGCGGTGTGGACACCGCAAGCACCATTCACCACTTCGCCGTCGTCGGCAGCTTATTCCATCGTGAAAACAAGTTGCCTTGATCGAAACGCCTGCATGGTGACAACAGCCATCCCGAGCGTGCTAGCGGTGCCCAATAACCACCACGGGAATCTTTGTTGTGCCTGTAGACCAGGGTCGCTCCCGCACACTCGCACTACATTTATTTGGGGAGCGGTGGTGCAACGATTACAACTGGCAGAGCACGATGGTCACCAGCGTCATTACAAGCATCGTCACGATCACCATCATCATCAACTCCAGCGTCAGGGTGAATCCGCTCATCATGACTGAAAGAGAATGGTGATGGTGATGATTATGACCGTCGTCCTTAAGTTCAGGATGAAGATCATCCCCATCGTCTTGTGCTTGTTAAGAACCCCAACGACAGCATGTCACGATCGCCGTCACGCCACATCTACTGCCATCAACCCATCGACACGGACACCATCACTGCCATCACGATGGTGAGAGACCGGACCGAGTCCAGCGACTCTGGGATTCGGGGCCAATCGAGCTGCTGTTGTGTGGCCACACCGCAAGCGGAGTCCAACTTGGACGGCTCAAATCTACATTCGGTGGTGCAGGGCCCACCCGGCACCCACGGAGCGCGGGCCGTGTGAGAGACGCGGCTGCCATCAGCGCTGCCCCTCCCCCTCGTACCGGCACGCAGAGCGCCTCGTCCCCGCAGCGGGAGCGCGCCAGCAGCGCGGCCAGGGCGCGCGTCTCCTCGGCGCTGGGCTCGGACGACTCCCCGTCGCCCCCCGAGTCCCAGTCGGGGTTGCCGTTGCTGCTGCCGCTGCTGCTGCCGCTGCTGCTGCTGCCGCTGCTGCTGCTGCCGCTGGGCTGCGCCTCCACGACGGTGCCGAGCAGCGCGGCGAGGCAGAGCGCGGCGAGCGGCGCGGTTCGCATCGCGAGTCCGAGCGCGCGGCGCGCGGCGCGTGGCGGCGCAGGTTCCTTGGAGCTCGCGGGGGCAGCGGAGAGGGCGGCTGCTGCGGGAGAATGGGAGCTGGGTCCGCGGAATGCGGGGCTGGAGGAGGTGCCAGGGTAGTGGCAGGAGGCGTAACAATGAGGGGGGAGGAGGAGGAGAGGGGCGAGGAGGAGGAACGCGACGCGGGCTCGAGACGCGCAGAGCCTCCCGCGGCGCGCACCACCTCAGACTCGGAGTCTTTGTTTACACTGCAGGACGAATCCGATGAGCTATAAAGCTCTTTTTCACAGATGTCCCTGCCCGGAGTCATGCCTGAGCGTGGCTTCACGGTTGCACGGCGTTGGCAGCGGACTCCGTAAAGGCGAGCACGGCCCTCCGATTAGCACGGGTGGATACGTACGGTGCGAAAGAAGTTCAACATACATACACACTGCCTCTGCAATGTCTTCTTAACGCGACTTCTGGCTGGTGGGTATACACTTGAGGGAGAAACAGGTAGCTCCTCTATGATGTATTTGGCCTACTCTTTCGCGCGGACGTCTTGGAATGATGTGAGAGTACCCGCACCCGAAACCGCATCCACTGCACCAACCATGGCAGTAGATGCGGATACCTGCTGATGATGCACAGATGGAAAATAAATAAATAAACTCTCCAGGAGTAGCGTGCGACTGTGGTCATCCAGAACTGACCGTACACCAAACAACGATGCAATGCCCAGATCCGCAAATACGAAGGAGACATCGTCACAGCGATCCACCGCGCTGCTCCTGACACGGTGAGCTGGGCCTGAGCACCTGAATGTGACATCGCAGTCGTCGCTCTGCGTCTACATCAGCTGCCGTACGACCAGAAGATGATGATGATGAAGATGATGATGATGAAGATGGTGGCGGGGTGGCGCCCAAAGGCTGAGCGCGTCCCAGGGAGGCAGCTCTAGTCGTGCCCTCTGACCTTGGAGGCGATGGAAATTGGACTCAACCACGGAACCAAACTATCCATTTAGAATGGAGGAATCCAATGAGCTATTAAGGTCTATTTCACGGATGTCCAATAGAGGCGGGTCAGCAATAATAATAATAAAGTATTTAGAAACGATAACTTCCATTCACAACGTCGTAAGAGCCACACAGAGATGACGTGAAGATAGCACAGACAGAGATGACGTGAAGATAGCACAGACAGAGATGACGTGAAGATAGCACAGACAGAGATGACGTGAAGATAGCACAGACAGAGATGACGTGAAGATAGCACAGACAGAGATGACGTGAAGATAGCACAGACAGAGATGACGTGAAGATAGCACAGACAGAGATGACGTGAAGATAGCACAGACAGAGATGACGTGAAGATAGCACAGACAGAGATGACGTGAAGATAGCACAGACAGAGATGACGTGAAGATAGCACAGACAGAGATGGCGTGAAGATAGCACAGACAGAGATGACGTGAAGATAGCACAGACAGAGATGACGTGAAGATAGCACAGACGGGCAGACGTCGTGGGAGCGGAGCCAGGCCACGTGACTCGCTGGAGACAAATTGGTTCCCAGCAACTGGAGGAGGAGATTGTGTTGCGAAGGTTGGGTTGCCAGAAACAGTTGCATGAATGGGAATGGAGAAAACATCTTGAACCACCTCCTTAGATTTGCTGGGGGGAAAAGTTCATTGTAGCACCCAATGGCGTATGAACTCCACAAAGTGTTACACGAGCTTAATGAAAAAGGCTGCCGTGCACAGAGTTGATGGAGCGATGAATCGAGCTCGTGTGGAGCTCCTGAGATGACCGTTCAAGACCTTCGATCGGGGGAGATGACAGCGGCTTGGGATGGCCTTCTTGCAACAGTATATTGATCATGGCTGATGATGAATTTCCAGCTATCAATTCCGTGACATGACATTTAAAGGTGGTCGTGCAATACAACCCATAGGCTCTGCAACACTGCCGTGAAAGCGCAGAAAATTGACTTCACTCTCGCACGAAAAAAAAAAGCCACGACAAGATTGCAGATGAGCACAAGGTGACCTGGTTTATCGGGTGTTTTATTAAAAGAAAAATTCACTGACCACGAATTTACAAGCGCTCCGCGTTGAGTGGGCGTGTGAGCGGTGAGCGGTGAGCGGTGAGCTTGAACTGCTACGCCGCGGACACTCGTGAACCCGTTGCCCACGATGGAATGTTCGACAATTTAAGTAATCGCGTTACTAAATCCCTCACACTCGCAATATTCTTGCCAGTTTCACTTGTTGCCCTGTCAACGAAAAGGCTCAGTTCCAAATCAGTTGGACTTTGCAATGGAGATGGGAATTGGGCCGGAATGCCCTTGGGTGTTAAGGTGGCTACGAATCCAACTGCAGCAACGCAGAGTGATCACAGCTGATGGCAATGATGATAGTAATTCGATCATGTACCGATGTCGAAGCAATACTCGCCACAATGCTTACAGGAAGAGTGAACAGGAAGGCATTGTAGGGGCTTGAGGATAAATGTAAAAAGCAGCGATATATTTTTAGCCAAGAGTTGGCAATTTCATTGAGGAAGCCCGACTTCTTTCAAGACCAATTGTGATGGCCCGGACTCTGCAGCGTGCGGCTGCCATTGCAGTTACCGCTCCGTGTATTCCTGATCAGACTCCTCGGCGAGACGTCTCATGTGCATGGAATTAAGCTGGGCATTCCTCACGTGGCTAGGAGATGTTAACTACCTCGCCTAGTATGCAGGAGGTCGTGGGCTCGATCTCGACCCTGACGCCTGTTGCTGCTGTGTATGTGGAGTTGGCGTGTCTCTCTCCCTGCGGTGAGATGTTAACTACCTCGCCTGGTATGCAGGAGGTCGTGGGCTCGATCTCGACCCTGACGCCTGTTGCTGCTGTGTATGTGGAGTTGGCGTGTCTCTCTCCCTGTGGTGAGATGTTAACTACCTCGCCTGGTATGCAGGAGGTCGTGGGCTCGATCTCGACCCTGACGCCTGTTGCTGCTGTGTATGTGGAGTTGGCGTGTCTCTCTCCCTGTGGTGAGATGTTAACTACCTCGCCTGGTATGCAGGAGGTCGTGGGCTCGATCTCGACCCTGACGCCTGCTGCTGCTGTGTATTTGGAGTTGGCGTGTCTCTCTCCCTGTGGTCGTGTGGATTTTTCTCTGAGTCGTCCGGTGTTTCCCTCCACATTTAGAAACCCGCATTTGCAAGTGTTTGGCTGCTGTACATTTCCACGTGATAAGCCACTTCGCTGAGTTATTCTTTGTGGCCAGGTCGCTTCTGAAAAAGAGCTCTAAAGCTCAGTGGGCCTTACCTTGTAAAACAAATTAAGTTTAGTTGCACGAGTATGCTGAGATTGTTGGTGTCCCACAGTACAGGTCGCTCCCTCTGACTCATGGACGGTATCAAATACCCGATGTCCACTGGCACATCCGAGCCAGCGCAGGGCTCAGCCCACGCCGAGCTGCGACACATCCGTGATACGCTGGCCTCACGAGACATCTGAATCTGGCTCGGGGCAAGAAGAGCCTGGAGCGGCCACTGACGCATTCATTGCACGCGATGTCCGTAAACAGAACGTGAGGAGGACGCGCCGGCGGCGGCGTCGTCACGTCGCGCCGTGACGTCGGTGACGCGGCTCGGCTTGCGCAGTGGACAGACAACCCGACCCGTGCCGAGGCGCGATGGCCTCGGCTCAGCTCGGCTGTGGGAGGCAGTCACTCGCCGAGTCCCATTGCCCCCAAAGTCTCGTGACATGATTATTTTCGGGTGGAATGACATTAATATGACTAAGCTACGCACGTGACCGTTTGAGGTAGTTAAATACTACAACACAGACAGGGATACAGGGCGATCTGGACTCTCAATAATGACTCTTGATTTTCAGTGATCAGTGATTTTTGGTGATAAAAAATACATTAATGTTCGTAAATTATACAATGTGTTCCTAACCACGAGCATATAAAATACAACATCATTCGTTGCAAATTAAGTTGTATGCCAGGGGACTTTTAATTGCTCCCAAGTTGGGAGATACGGTGCCAACTATACACACAAGAGGGGCCCTTTTTGTTCTACCAGCATCAAAGTCTGAGAAAATCAGAACAGGTTCGCTGTTCGACTTTAGGCGTTGTCTGGCCTGGCACTGGTGAGACTGGGCCCTGAAGAAAGCTGTCTCTCTGTCAGTTTCAAAGACGATGCATCATATCATTATCAGAGCAAGTTTGTCTGCATGTTCACCACCAATACTAAGTGTGCTCAATGCAGACTTGGTGCCTTGCAAAAGGTTTCTATTTGGCGTTTGAACATCCTGTTTTATTGCAATAAAGGAAAAAAAAACCCTATTGTTATGTATCCACATACACGTCAGTAGCACGACACAGTTACACGACGTTTCGCAATACGCCTCAAGCAGGTATACGGCTATGCGGTGCGCTCAGGGCCGAGACGGATGTCAATTACATCTCAGAGGCGGATATATCCCCACCTTCAGTAAGTAGACTGCGAGTTCCAAAAGAGAGACGACCTATTTTTTATGTTACAAAAAGGTTGAGATGCTCCTCCTGCACACACTGCCACGGGGATCAGCGGTGGTCTGTCGAGAGCGAGGCCCGTGGGTGACTACAGCACGGTGGACTGTCGAGGGCGAGGCGCGTGGGTGACTACATCACGGTGGTCTGATCCTGCTGGCTGCACGAGAGCTGCGTGCCCGCGCTGCTGCCGCGCAGCAGCAGCGAGACCCGCGTGTTGCCGCCGCTCCCGGCCGCGTGCTGCTGCTGATGCTGCTGATGCTGCTGCTGATGCTGCTGCTGATGCTGGTGGCGCTGCTGCTTGGAGCTCCGCACGAGGAGACGCTCCGATCGCCAGCCGCGCCACTTCCGCCTCAGCTCCAGCTGCACCTGCACAGAAGCCGGCGAGACGCGGTCACGCCTGAGCAAGCCGCAGGTGGAACACGACAAATTCCCCCTCCCCCTATAGCCTGGACAGGCTGCTGGGGCAAGTGCTGTGAGCGAGCACCTGTGAAGGCCGGCACGGCACACCAGGGGCTGGGTGACCAGCACCACGCCCGACCGCCTTTGTTTCCCCAGTGGCGACGTTCACACACTGTACCAGGTACTCATTCGAGGCCGAGTCGACCTAAGGGAGGCCCAGGACCGGTTCACCGTGGTTCGTGACACAGACGGGTTCACCGACATAACGTGCGCGAGAGTTGCTGTGTGAATGTCTGCGGTGCCCCCTCACCTCGCCATTGAGGAAGCAGTAGAGGAGAGCCACGACGAAGCCCTGCGTGCACACGCAACAGCAGCGAGCGCACGGGTCACACTCGGGGCGTGTCGCTTGCCAGCCACAAGCCGCGTCTCGTTACAGCGGGTGCTGCCACCGAATGAACGCCGATAGAGTCATTCACTTGCCCAGAAGGCCGTGGGGCCAATGGGTCGTGTAAGGGATATTGGCCACGCAAGACAGAGAGAGTGCTTACCGATTCCAATTTACAAACTTGCGGGTGAACGTGAGGAAGTGTCTCAAGTAGAATAAAAACAAACACAGTGGAGAGCTCAGGGTCTCTCTGCGTCTCTGGGAGAGATGCAGCACAGGTTTGGTGTCGATGCGGAGCCTCGTGGTGTGCAGGCCATGACCCCAAGCAGTGGAGATTTGATTGTTTTGTTAATGTCACATTTTCGTGAGCAATATTATCCACAATAAAGTTGTCTGGGTTCGTAAATGTGTCGTAAACCCACTTCCACCCGACACCGCCAATGAGTGAGGTTTGTCACAACACGTGCCAATTAGTTAGTTACTACTTCAGTACACCGGCTGTGTGTGGAGAGCAAACCCAGCGAAACATTTACAGTTTGAGGAAACGACGTTTCGCTGGTGATTACAGCAACAACAACAATCAGCATCATCAGGCGATTGCCAGAATCGTGAAGAAGTCTTCCTGCTTCCGGTCTGCAACCACCTCACCAGTGAGTCCTGGCCAGTAATAATCCCTTTTATGCAAAACAGATTTAAATATTCTATTAAAATTATTATTGATCATTGTTTTGTATGTCCCATGAAATAACGGTTGGCGAGATAATGAACCTCAGCTCGCTATTCTCCGGCTACATCTGATTTAAGTGTGAATTCTTGAGCATTAAAACATTGACATTATAATTCTACATCCCTCGCCGACACCAAACACAGGCCTTGTGGATGAGACGATGACGAGTAGAGGATGTTCGTTCTCGAGATAAATGAACGGCGGTTTAGCTTTGGAGGCGCTGTGCGTTCTACATAACGCTCAGGCGAAGTCGAGACAAATCCCCCCGCGGGTATCCCGATCCTAGGCCAGAGATATCTTCTTGATCTCAAGAAATAACTAAGACGGGAAATTGTATTTGACCTTGAGAGAGATGTGTGAATGTTCGTGTTCGCACATGACTGCCGCATTGAAGGCGTTCAAATTCTATGCATTTAAATCACATTTTATAAGCGTCTATTTATTCACAAATTACCTTGCAGTGTTGCCAAAAATCGCGTGTTATTGCTTTGCATTTAAACAGCGATGTCTACTACATTGTCGTGTTTTTAATGAGAGCGGACAATTACCGCGGGCTTCCATTCCCAAAGGTAATAAAACATAATCGTTGGCGACTATAAATGGCACGCTCCAAACAAAGAAGCGTTTTGCAAATCCGCCTGCGACGCCACGTGACTGCATGCCGCACAACGCCTCCACGCATTGATCAGCGGCCAAATGCACATCAGCGGTGTCAGTGACTGGGACACCATACATAGTAGCTGGCGTTATTAATATGTAACCCGACCCGCACCGCCGGCAACCCACAGTCCCTCCTGCTCCTGCTGCCCCTGCTGCTGCCCCCACGCTCCCGAGTCACCTGGAACGACCCGAGCGCGAGCTCCAGGTAGAGGCGCGTGTGCGTCGCCAGCTCGCCCGCCTCGTCGGGGAAGAAGGCGAACACCGCGTAGTGGACGCCGAACAGCGGGATGAGCAGCAGCGTCGACTTGGCGAGGCGCCTGCACCCCCGAGCGCGCGCACGGCACCCCGTGAACGCGCGCACGGCACACCGTGAACGCGCGCACGGCACCCCGTGAACGCGCGCACGGCACACCGTGAACGCACAGGAACAAAGACCCCCCCCCCCCCCATTCCTCGTGCAGAGTACGAGCGCGCTTGGGGCTGAGTGGTGTTGGGCGAGCGCTGGAGCAGCAGCAGCAGCCCGGTAGATGGGGCCGCGCGCTCGTGAATCGCGCCAAGTGAACATGTAGAGGTGGCACAGATGTGGGAAGGACGAGCATAGACATACATTGTTGTAGCTATTTTATAATAATATAACATAACAGATATATCCCTTCCGAACACAAGGAACACCAACTGGGCTTCCTGGTATCCAGCTGAAGTGCTCTGTTAATTGTAATTATACACATGTTGAACTTCTTTCGCACCGTACGTAGCCAACCGCGCTTATCGGAAGTGCATAATCAACCGTTGTAATTGCGCATATACCGGATAACGTCACTGGTTATAGTGTTGTTAATTTAAAGTTTGCTTTGTAAATGTTATCAGACTGACTCATGCACAGGCCTTCAACACCACAGCCGCAGTTCACACACGAGAAAACAAAGACAAAGACCCCCGTATAGCCTTAACAGACTGTTGTGGCAAGTGCTGCTAGCGAGTCCCTATGAAGGCTGGCACAGCACACGAGGGAGTGGGTGGCAATGTTTACATATCGCACTAGGTACTTATTTGAGGCTGAATCAACCTAGGAGAGGCCCATGATCGATTCAATAATGCCCCACACACTCACACACTCACCCACCCACTCACACACTCACCCACTCACACACTCACCGACTCACCCACTCACCCACCCACTCACACACTCCTCTACTCACACACTCACCGACTCACACACTCACCCACTCACACACTCACACACTCACCCACCCACTCACACATTCATCCACTCACTCACTCACCGACTCACACACTCACACACTCACTCACTCACCCACTCACACACTCACCCACTCACTCACTCATTCACACACTCACACACTCACCGACTCACACACTCACCCACTCACCCACTCGTGCACACGCTCACACACTCACCCACACGCTCACACACCCACCCACTCACACACTCAGCCACTCACTCACCCACTCACTCACTCACACACTCACCGACTCACACATTCATCCACTCACACACTCACACACTCACTCACCGACTCACCCACTCACTCACACATTCATCCATTCACACACTCACACACTCACCGACTCACCCTTTCTGCTTTGGCGTTCGCAACGTCTCAGCTTTGGAATCCCCTCCCATCATCCACCATCCCTATTCCCACCGTCCCTATTCCCACCATCCCTATTCCCATCATCCACCATCCCTATTCCCACCATCCCTATTCCCAATCTCTTATGATCATCTTGCTCAATTCTATAGGTGTTCGCTCTGATCTAGTACGACTTTTATCGTGTTGTTTTTTACTCTGCTCGGCACTTGACATTCTGGGCCTGCGATCAGCAACTGTGTTAACATAATAATATATAGTCACGCTACAAAACTGATAAATGTAGTGGCTAATCAATGTGCATTGATTAATTGTGTTGGTTTATGCGGTAACAAGCATTCAGCCATCAGCTGTTTTTTTTTAAATGACCGGAGGACATTGGTCAACGATTGAACGTCCAGCGACAACATCAGCACGTGGCAGACACTGAGGAGCGAACACAGTTGAGGAAAAATAAGAAGAAGTTTTACCCTTTCTGGCAAAAAACACGTGTTAAGATGTTCAAAAAACACCAAAGAGATACCATGTGCAAGGCATCATGCCTGCATTACCCACACATACTTGTGGCAAAACGTTCAAACAAACATGCTCTATACTCTTTGGTTCTTTCGGCAAAGTCACGTAGGTATAAAATAAATAAATCACGACGTTTCGGGCGCAACACAAACGTCCGTCATCAGGTGATGTCGTGATTTATATTATTTTCTACCTACGTGACTTTACCGAAAGAACCAAAGAATATGGATTCCTGCAGTCACGAAAGCTTCAAACATGCTCTGATACGACATGGGGCATTGTCTTTACAACTGATTGACCTGCACCAGAGACAGTCTTCTTCATGGCCTTGTCTCCCAGTGTTCGAGCAGAGCTCGCCAGAAGGCGAGCAGTACAGAGACAACGCCAGTATCAGAGCACTTCGAGCTCGCGTCGAGGAAAACAACATTCAAGCCACGCGCCATCCAAGTCACACGACCGGCACCATCGACCTCGCAGCACCGTGCAGGGCTGGAGCGCACATCTCGGACACGGAGGCGCCCCGTGGCGGGGGCTCTCTCCCCCCACCGAGGCGTTGACGCATGACTAACCACAGTGCACGTCTTTCCATGACAAAACATTCTCTCAACATGTAAATAATGGGGTTTTCCCGCACGCAAATACAATTTTTAGCGCTCGCGCACGTAGACATTAATGATTCTGGGAAAGCGTATTGTGTAATCGTAACCCCTCCACAACTCTGAAAATGGTTCATTGCAAAAACAGTAGCACAATCATTAACTATGCAATTGAGTGGCCAAGCAACCTTGAAAATACAATTTAGCTCAATTCACGTTTCAATGGGAGAGTGTGTGCCTATTGTTGTGTTCTTGTCCATGGAAGAAGCCCTGCTCCAAGTGAAGTGTTGCTGTTTCATCCAGTCGGTAATAATAATAATGATCGCGCTCTCCTCTTGAGTTACAGAGCCCTTGTTTTTGCCACAGAGGGCAGCGAATCCTGGGGAACACAGAGCTACTGCCTCACAGTCGTGAGGGCAGCGTGGGGAGTCTCCTTAGAGTCGTGAGGGCAGCGTGGGGACTCCCCTGAGAGTCGTGAGGGCAGCGTGGGGACTCCCCTGAGAGTCGTGAGGGCAGCGTGGGGACTCCCCTTAGAGTCGTGAGGGCAGCGTGGGGACTCCCCTTAGAGTCGTGAGGGCAGCGTGGGGACTCCCCTTAGAGTCGTGAGGGCAGCGTGGGGAGTCTCCTTAGAGTCGTGAGGGCAGCGTGGGGACTCCCCTTAGAGTCGTGAGGGCAGCGTGGGGAGTCTCCTGAGAGTCGTGAGGGCAGCGTGGGGACTCCCCTGAGAGTCGTGAGGGCAGCGTGGGGACTCCCCTTAGAGTCGTGAGGGCAGCGTGGGGAGTCTCCTTAGAGTCGTGAGGGCAGCGTGGGGAGTCCCCTGAGAGTCGCGAGGGCAGCGTGGGGAGTCTCGAGGGAGATCACGACAGCACTCCCGTGGCGAACTACGTGACCCCCGCGGCAACGGGAATGAAAATGAAACATGAAACAGTGACTCGATGGGAAGCGAATTGAGCTCAAGTGATGGGACGTGAGCCAAGTGATGGGATCGAGGTCATGGGGTGGGATTTGAGCCATGGGAATGGAAAAGGGAGTGAACCGTTGTTACGCGCACGCATGCACATGGTTGCACTAATTGAAACTAAACTCTTTTATTTGCTAGGTAAAAGGTAAAGCCCACCGAGCGTTTTAGCTCAATTCAGAGGGAACCTGGCCACGCATGTTTACTCATCAAAGTGGGAATATCGAGCAGCCAATTCATCTCAACGCACGTTTCTCAATGTGGAGGGCAGACGCGTAGGACCACGTGACCACCACGGGAAGAGAGAGAGACACGCGAACTCCAGACTTACACGAGTCACGGCTCGGGATGTCACCCACCACCTCCTCCGTTACAGGCGACCGGGATGACGTCTCCCCGTCACCACGTGACAAATACATTGACGTAATTCTATTGCCACGAAGGGGTATTGTGATTCGATTTAAGCATAATTGTCACAGTTTTTTTAAGCGCCATTAGTATTATTTCACAATTAACTGCGTCTAGTTTGGTCCAGATTCTTGAGCAGAGCAGCGGGCCAATTGCCCGGTACACTGCAAGAGGAACTCAGTGACCAGAGCTCGATTCTGGCCACGGCATCGCGCAGAGCCTCGCGGGGCCAGAACGCGTCTCAGACGCAGCGCGCTCCCAGTCGCCGCCAGGCGGCGTGCGAGAGGCAGTGGCGATGCCATCCGCACACATTCACGCGCATGTGCGATGTCTGAGCTTAGCTCATCGCTCCTCTTCGCTCCCTGTGGGGCACACGGCCGCGACAAAGCCCACGCCGTGGCGGACGGCCTTTAGCAGCTTTCTCCACCTGAATTTAAGACAGGCCCATGGTCTTAAGTTGGTTTATTTGCAATGTCTGACGTTCTCATTATTGATCATTCCTGAAGATGCTTGACTCATTGTCAAATTGAACGTCGTACCTAAAATGAGCTGTGAGAATCGTTCTTCAGCGCACCGCTGAGTGAGCCCAAATGAGAAGACTCAGCGCGTTAAACGCTTGCACACGTGACAATCGTTTGGCTGTGTTGGGTGGTGGAGGGTCTTAATGACACAACTGTGGCCAATTCATTACGTAGCCTAAGCAGGAAATAAATTATGAATTGATTCATGTCCACGTTTGGCTCCTCCATTCCATAATCAATTGTATGCTCTCTATGTAAAGGTTATAGTAGGTGGGATTAGGGTTGATAGGTCATCAGAAGTACTTTTTTCTCGTTATTTACGTATGTATCTTTTAGTGTTTGATTTGCTAAGTAGTGGGGGTTTGGTATTGTATCATTTGTGGAAGGAACTCGCTAATTGATGTGCAGCGTTGTGGGATGCAATTGCATGAATGGCGCTGAATAAAGTTAAATTATTATTTTCAACATCACCATCTTCCTTTGTCATCATTAGAACTATCATCATCGTAATCATCATCACCGCCACAATTATCATCATCAACATCATAATTGTCAACATCGCATGAAAACCAACGCCACGTGGACCGGGCCCTCATTGTCCAGGAACGCCGTTGACGACCGATGCCGCACGCGAAAGGCCGACATCGCGTCCACGTATTAATTCTAGATTTGAAGCTTTTGTGACTGCAAGGATTCATACTCTTAGGTTTTTCGGTAAAGTCACGTAGGTAAAAAATAAAAATAAAATGTATTAATGTTTATTTTTATTTTATTTTTTACCTACGTGACTTTAATTTTATTTTTTACCTACGTGACTTTACCGAAAAAACCTAAGAGTATCGCGTCCACGATTCATCGCGCGGCGCGTGCCACTGACTTGTAGTGATGGTTGCTGCGTGCTCCTCTGACGAGCGGCGAGCTCAGCTTCTTGAGCAGCATGTGGATGATGCTCACGAAGAGGGAGAAGTTGATCTGGCAGCACACGCGACCAGACGATCGTTAGGCGCGCGCTGCAGAACCTGGCCACGGCGATGTTCTGACGGCTCGCCAGCTCGTCAGAACCTGGACACGACGAGGTCCTGACGGCTCGCCAGCTCGTCAGAACCTGGACACGACGAGGTCCTGACGGCTCGCCAGCTCGTCAGAACCTGGGGGGTGCCGCCGTGTCGACCGCCACTCGCACCAGGGCCCTTCCCAGCTCACATCGGGCGCGCACGGCCGAGGCCGAGGTCGTTGCACGAATGTTTGGTCAGAACGAGAACGAAACGCAGCGCCAGGAGGAACAATACACGAAAAATGTACGGAAAAGCCACTTTCCACACGGGATGTTTGTATACTGCAGAGGGCATTGCCAGTCTACATTAAAGCCTGGAGCTCTGCTTTGACCCAAACTGTGACGAGATCGCGGTTCATTGCCGGCCGTGTTATAAACGCGCCTTGCGTGTATTTCTACTGCTCACAGTGATAGTTCCGAACAGTTAAGGACTGTTAAGTCACCGACGGCCGTGCTCACAGCCTGGCACTCAATTCCAACAAAACAACCCGCACGCCACCGATGCCTCCTCCACGGGCGATACGGACGGCGACGAGCATCTCCGCGACTGCTGCTCACCAGGATGGAGAGCAGAATGGGGCCCTTGATGATCCACCAAGGCAGCGTGCTGCCGTTCGTGTCCCAGCAGCTGCCACGCACACGCACGCACACAAACAAAGACCGCCCCGTGTAGACTGAACACACTCGGAGCAAGTGCTGTTAGCGAGTAGCAACCTATGAAGGTCGGCACGGCGCACGAGGGGATGGGTGGCCAGCACCGCACCAGACCGCCTTTGTTTCCCCAGTGGCGATGACTTTTACACACCGCACCAGGTACTCAATTAAGTCTGAATCGACCTACTCACACACACGCGTGCAACCCAGAGACAGGTCATACGTATGTATGTAGAACTTCTTTCGCACCGTACGTAGCCAACAATGCTGATCAGTGTAGGTGTCTACACCGCTGCTAGTCGAGCGGCAAGGCACACGTGATGGGTTATGGCCAGTGTGGAGGAGGAGTAGGCCAAAGTACAATATTGAGGGGTGCTCCCAAGAGCTCCCCCGAGTGGAAGTCCTTCTGCTCCTTCACCCCGCCACACGCCCCTCCATTCCTCGGGGCTGTTGTGTTGAGTCTGCTCTCCTACTCCCGCACCTCCGATTCGCACGGTTGGCTACATCGCATACACACATTGTCTGCCTGGTAAACTATTAAACCTGATAATTGGGTTTTTACCCTTTTATCTGGCAACAAAACTGACACCTTTTTTAACAAGGAGTCATGTTTGCATTGACCACAATACCTGCAGTCGGAATGCAAACAAAAAAAACATAACTCTGATAATGTATGCACTGTGGACCAATCAATTTCAAGGACAGTGCATACATTATCAGAGTTATGTGTTTTTTTGCATTCCGACTGCAGTTATTGTGGTCAATGCAAACATGACTCCTTGTTAAAAAAAGTGTCAGTTTTGTTGCCAAATAAAAGGGTAAAAAAACAATTATCATATTTTGCTACTGGCAAATGAGCTTCCAATGGTGTAAACTATTAACCAGTTGAGGCAATTCAATGCAAAGCGCGTCGAGCACGTTTCGGATGCCTGACCGGCACCGTGGGCTGCCCGTGCTCGGCGTGAAGAGCCCGCGCGTGCCGTGCGGCGCTCACCCCGTGTCCTCCAGCAGAAGGCGCGAGGCCACCCAGGCCAGGGCGCACAGCGCGGGGGCTCCTGCGCACACGCGGGACAACTCAACTTGACCTCGCCCCGCATCGCCGCCGCCGCCTCGCGCCGTAGTTTGGCTGTGAGTGCGCACGCACACACGCACGCACACACGCACGCACGCACACACACACACGCACGCACGCACGCACGCACACACGCACGCACACACGCACACACACACGCACACACACACGCACACACGCGCGCACGCACGCACACACGCACGCACACACGCACGCACGCACACACGCACGCACGCACGCACACACGCACGCACACACACACATGCGCGCACGCACGCACGCACGACTTGCCACCGCGCACGCGTGCTGCGCTCACCCCAGCCGAAGGCGATGTAGCAGTAGAAGTAAGTCCGCTCGGGGAAGAAGGCGACGAGCAGCAGCGTGTGCAGGTAGAGGCCCTCGACCAGCAGCCAGCTGAAGTTGACCACGATGCAGTACTGGAAGAACACCATGGCCAGCTTGCACCACGGCTGGCGCAACGGGGGGCGGCACAAGCGGGCGGGGGGGGGGGGGTCGGGGGGGGGGAGAAGCTGAAACGGAAGTGGCGCGAAGGCGGCGTGCACGGCGTCACCCGGCACCGTGCAGGCGAGGGTAGGTGGATCACGCCAAGGTCGTGACAGCTGTGGGCACCGATGTCACCACCTCGTGGCCTGCCAGGGAACGTCGGCAGCGCAGCGCGTGGGCAAACTTCCATCGGTGGGGGCACCGCGCGCCACGTGTGAGAAGACTCGTGGACGGAGTTGATGAAAACATCGCCATGTCGGACCGTAAAGCTTGGACAACTGTTGGCACCAGTTCTTGCTGCCTTCTCACTTGCTTGTGGTGTTTCAGCATCTCTGAATCATCCCCTCTCTCTTGAGAGTGAACAAAAACTGTCAGCGTTACACATTTTAAACCATATTATAAGCACGAACTCTTTATTTCTATGCACTACAAACTGCTGTATACAGCAGTGCCCTCAACATCAAAGCGTGACGCTACGAAGAATATTGTACTTAACTCTTGTCCTAGAATCACCAAAGGGTCGTGCTATGTTACAGCAGCTATGAAAGACTTCCCGCGCGCGTGATTATAAAAGCACGCGCGCCTTAATGGATAATCGATTTCATCTCCATCATCCACCGGTTATGTTGCTCATGGTGTGACGACGCCACCAGCCGTTAGCGAAATGAACGACGGTATTTTTTTTAAGGTATTACACGGACACTGTCAAAGATAACGAAATAAAAACACAGCACGAGTCACGTCAATGCCGCGCTTGATGTAAAGTGGGCCACGTGGCCACGTGGACGCCTCCCAGCGCGAGCGTGGAGAGGGCCCCGCTCAAGCGCGCCAGGCGCAGCTCCCGGGTCTCGAGGAGTCTCGAACGAGCGACGGGGGCGGGGCGGTGGGGGTGATGGGGGGGGGTGATGGGGGGGTGATGGGGGGGTGATGGGGGGTGATGGGGGGGGTGATGGGGGGTGATGGGGGGGGGGGTGATGGGAGGGTGATGGGGGATGATGGGGGGGTGATGGGGGAGGTGATGGGGGGGGGGTGATGGGGGGGTGATGGGGGTGGTGATTGGGGGGGTGATGGGGTGGTGATTGGGGGGGTGATGAGGGGGTGATAGGGGGGGTGATGGGGGGGTGATGAGGGGGTGATGGGGGGGTGATGGGAGGGGGGTGATGGGATGGTGATGGGGGTGGTGATTGGGGGGGTGATGGGAGGGGGGTGATGGGGGGTGATGAGGGGGTGATGGGGGGGTGATGGGAGGGGGGTGATGGGGTGGTGATGGGGGTGGTGATTGGGGGGGGTGATGGGGTGGTGATTGGGGGGGTGATGGGGTGGTGATTGGGGGGGTGATGGGAGGGGTGATGGGGGGGTGATGGGAGGGTGATGGGGGTGGTGATGGGGGGGGGGGTGATGGGGGTGGTGATGGGGGTGATGGAGGGGACATCACAGCTCCATCGTGTGGGCCAGATCCGGTTACATCCACAAGTAATGGCCATGTCCGCATCGATCAATACGACACTCGAATCTCTCCTCTCTCGCGGTGAAATCGAGATGCGACTGCGACAGACGATGGCAGGTTGCTGTAGTCAGAGCCACGTTGCATGGAACATTGCAGAAGATCGCTCGCGACAGTCGGCAACGCAACAGTTGCGGTGTTGCCCAATTCACTCTGCCTGTTCACGCAGTCACACAGCGCGTTCAAACTCTGCGAATCAGTCACTCGAAATATCCATCATCACCATCATCACCATCATCATCACCATCATCATCATAATCACCATCATCACCATTATCACCATCATAATCATCACCATCATCACCACCATCATCATCACCACCTTCGCCATCATCACCATCATCGCCATCATCGCCATCATCACCACCATCACCATCATCACCATCATCACTACCATCGCCATCATCGCCATCACCGCCATCATCACCATCGTCACCATCATAATCACCATCATCACCATCATGTCCTGTACTCATCGTGTGTCCTGCACTCATCGTGTTCATGCCGACGGTGCAGGGCACCCTCCTTGGCGGCGGACAGAGCTGGCGAGCAGCAGCCCCCTGCCCACAGCCCCCTGCCCCGGGCTAATGTCACATTGACGCCGCGGTCCACCCACACGGCCCACCCGCACGGTCCACTCCGCATTCTTGAACTGGGAAATTGAGTTTTCAGGTCCAGACGGCGTGCAGCCGTGTCGACACGGGCAACATCAGTTTGTGTCTATGTGTTTGTGTGTCTCCCTTGCGAGGGACTTTGTAGGATGAACGTTGACATGTATAAGGGGCACGGCGTGACCAGCAAGGTCTGCATGATCTCTACTAAGGTGGGGCACTGACAAGGGGCTGACAGGCGTGTCTCCAGTCAGTCCAGTGCGCCGCGTGGAGTGGCCACGTGGGGCCGGCCTGCCCTGGGCGCTGCGCCGTGCTCCGGGTGCGGGGAGGTTCGACTCGGTGCAGGGCGCCGCCGTTACCGTGGGCGATCCGCAGTTGTCGGAGTCCTCGTTGGAGAAGAGCACGACGTCTTTCACCAGCACGGAGCTGGCCCGCAGCATGTAGGACGCGAAGAGCTGCACGTGGATGTAGTTCCTCGTGCAGCGTAACTTTCTGCAGGTGCACATACAGAGACACACACAGAGAGACACACACAGACACACACACACACACACAGACACACACACATAGACACACACACAGACACACACACAGAGACACACACACACAGAGACACACACACATAGACACACACACAGAGACACACACACAGAAACACACACACAGACACACACACAGAGACACACACACATAGACACACACACAGAGACACACACACACAGAGACACACACACAGAAACACACACACAGAGAGCATCACCGTCGTGCCCCGCGAGAGGTGAAGGTAGCTCTGAGTAAACAAGGCGAAGTGTTTGCTCACAGAGCGCCGCTCTTTATTTGAAAGAGCCCCACAGAGCGTGCGGTGCCAGGAGCAGAAAACTATGGTGGGAACACCACGGGACGCCTCGCAGCCTCGCTCACTGGGCCAGTCAGTGCCCTGGTCGGGGCCACGACGCTTGTGCCAGGCCATGTGCACCTTGAGGCCACGTGAAGTGTCGAACGCCCGCTGGCAGGAGGTCACGGGGCAGACCCAGATGCCACGGGTCGACTGACTGAGATGACCGAGATGATTGGCTGATGCACCACCTGTGCCCCTTACTGTGCCAACTTGCTGTGCTTTAGCCACCCGGCACTCCGCTCGTTGTTGTGAGCGTCGTTCCTCCGCCCTCCGTTGTTGTTGGAGGCCGCGACTGCCTCCAACTGCCCAGTAGCGTCCTTCACGAGCCTCCTCCACAGAGGCCGATCTTAACACCGCTGGTACCAGTCCACTCAGCCTCACGGCCTCCTGCACCACATCACTCCATCTCATCTCTAGCCCGTGCCGCGCCCGTTTAGCCCCCTCGATCCGGCCGAACAAAAGTTGTTTAGGCATGCGGTGGTTGGGCATGTGGGCTACATGACCCAGACAACGCAGCCTTGCCTGCCGGAGGAGCTCACCGATGGGACTTTGCCCAGATCTTTCAAGGATTTGTGAGCTCCTCACACAATCTAACCTGGTTAAACCCAGGATGGATCGTAGGCAGGCCAGCCTAAATGTTTCTAACCGGCGAAGATGCTCCATTAGGGGTGTCCACGTTTCGCAATCATAGAGAAGGGAGGGAATGACTGTGGTCGAGAAGACCTGAAACTTCGTGCGGAGCGACAGACCAGGTAGCTTCCACACAGCGTTATGCAACCGATGAAAAGATAATGCCGCTCGACTGATTCGGAGTGAGACCTCTGCTGTTAACCTGGAGCCGGTCATAAGCACACTGCCCAGGTATGGGAAACTCTCCACTCTCTCCACAACTGCCCCATCACCGATTGGGAGTTGTGGGGGTGGAGTGTCCGATGGTACAAAATACTCAGGCAGGTACTTAGTTTTGGTGGGGCTGATGGTAAGGCCCCACCTCTTAGTGGCACGCTCCAGTCTCAGCAGCAGCGTCTCCAACTCGTCCTCTGAATGAGCAGCTATTACCAAATCATCGGCATACATAATGTGGTTGACCAATAGGGAGCCATCCCTTGACCGCACCCAGGCATCGATCAGCCTCCCATTATATCTGTACCAAATGGAAATACCCCTGGTACAGCTATTGAAGACTTCACGAACTACGTGGTCAAAATAGATGTTAAATAATATGGGAGCCAGAGGACATCCCTGTCGCACCCCAAGGTGTACAGGGAATGGCTCTGACTCCCGGCCACGTAGATTTACCCGGGCCCGCTCACTATCATGAAGGTCCTTAATGATCGTGAGTAGAGGGTCAGGGACTCCGAAAGCACGAAGAACAACCCAGAGCCCAGGCCTACTGATGGTATCATAGGCCTTGACCAGGTCAATAAAGCTGAGATGTAGGTCTTGTTGGAATTCCCTACATCTCTGCTGTAGCAGACGGACAGAAAATATGGCATCCGTGCAGGACCGCCCTTTCCTGAAACCGCATTTGGGCTCCGCAAGCCTCTCCTCCGCGTGTCTGGCAAGGCGATGTTGAATAATCCTTGCCAGGACCTTTCCCGGCACACTGAGGAGTGAGATGCCCCTGTAGTTGTTACAGTCTGTGCGGGGTCCCCCTTCTTCAAGAGGGAGATCACCAGGGCATCCTTCCAATCCTGCGGAACCCGTCCAGTGGTCCAGACTGTTGTTATGATGTCATATAGGGCAGTCTGTGCACAAACGCCACCCTCCCTCAGCATTTCGCTTGGGAGATCATCTCTGCCCGGTGCCTTTCCTGGTCTCAGACTCCAGATCGCCTTCAGTACTTCTTCAACAGATGGCACCTCAGCCAGCCACTCACAGGGGGTGACTTCTTCCAATATTTGAGGCACCGCAGCCTCAGCAGGGTCATCCCCACTTTGTGCCACGATGTTCTCGTGTGTTTTTTGGCTACGTATGGTGCGAAAGAAGTTCAACATACATACAAACAGCAAGGCGCACACGATGCCCGCTACCCACCTGAAGAGGCACAACACAAGCATGGCAGCAGAGAGCAGGGCGAAGGAGAGGCTGTAGCCGACCGTGTACACCTCTTTCACGGCCAGGTAGTACAGCCTCTGGGGCGCGCACGGCAGACAGGGACCGCGTGGCACTGTTAGCAGCGCCTGCAGCTCACGCCGACACCAAATCCACAACAACCTCCCATCCGAAATGCAGACGTCCGTGCTGGACACCGGCCTCGACTCTTCTGTCAGCCTGGACAGGATGCCCCGAGCCAGCCGCGGGGAAAGAGCCGCGTCCCAAACGATGACCGCGCTGAAGAGCCCACAAAGCGCTGATGACGCTTCGTGAGGTCTTCAGCGGTGAAGACGCTTCGTGAGGTCTTCAGCGCTGATGACACTTCGTGAGGTCTTCAGCGCTGATGACGCTTCGTGAGGTCTTCAGCGCTGATGACACTTCGTGGGGTCTTCAGCGCTGATGACACTTTGTGAGGTCTTCAGCGCTGATGACACTTCGTGAGGTCTTCAGCGCTGAAGACGCTTCGTGAGGTATTCAGTTCTGGACTCTCTCTGCTGCCGCGATGGCAGTGGGCACCGCTCTCAACCGAATGAACAACAACAGGCGAGGAATGAGTGGGAGTGGGGATATTGATTAATACATAGAATGATCAGGAACTCCACCAAACTGTGAATGCGTTGGGGCGCAAACCGTCAGTGTCATATGACGACTGATGAGTGTCCGATACAACAGCCCTGATGTGTGTAGTGGGACAAGCGGTCTCCACTCAGCTACCACCACGGATGCTGCAGTGGAATGTCTCCCAACAGTAAACTTACAATCGTAGCCCTGCTGCTGCTGATTTCTAACGCCGTACGAAAGAAGAAGAAGACGACACCGCACCACACTTTACAATGCACAGAGCAATACACGTCAGTGCAAGGTGAACCTGCACGTTCTCGACTGGACACAGCCCAGCAAACTTGAGATCACCCGAGGTGATGAGGGAGAGAGATGATCTGGATAACAGAAACCACAGCTGACCTGGGGGTCTCGTGTCTACCAGCCACGAGACCGCGTCGTCTCACCCCCACTGTGTCCAACTTCCACACTGCAGGTCACAGCAACACAATCACTCACTCACCAGCTCGCTCACTTGCTCACCCACTCACTTACCAGCTCACTCACTCACTCGCTTTCTCACTCACTCACTCACCCACTCACTCACCGACCCACGCTGCGAGGGCTCCGCGCCGCGTGCGAGAGACGCCGCTCACCTTGTCCACGTCCGTCAGGCTCGAGTTGTCGTAGCCGCACGCCACTCCGTAGGGCGGCTCCGGCTCCGTCCACCCCTGCGCCGTGCAGCGCTGCGTCACGGCGCCTTGCGGCACAGAGACAGCGCGCTCGCGTCACGGACACGCCGCTACTACCACCGTTGCTGCTGCGTGTAAACACGCCGCGTGTAAACACGCCGCGTGTAACGAAGCACACTCCCGGAGCACAATGAGGGTGATGGTTTTTTTCATTACAGAGAAATGATTTATGACTCTTTGCCAAATTCACTGCTGGATAATGTCTTCCCCATTGTAGTTTTCAGTCATGGGGGTTTATCGGCCATGCTTCGCCATGCTGGTTGGTCAGTGCAAGTTGGTGAAGGGGGAGTATAACCCAGGACCGATTCAGATTTAACTCGTCACTAACGTCAGCCGTGGCCAGATGTTCCGCCGTCTTGGTTCCAAAGCCTCCAGGTGACCAGCGGCTTTGGGGTTTTGATTTTAGGCCAGGGAAACAATTCCATTAATTCGATGCTTCTGTTGTGCCCGATTCTTCTGGGCACATGAGGGCCGAATGGGCCTCCTTGAACGCGAGCAACATGCGCGAGAAGCGAAACGTGACGTTAACAATCTAGATACAGCACTACCACTGGGATCATTTTACGAAAAAATGTGCGCTGCATTTTTTTTTGCTCAGCGAAAATGTTCGGAGAATAAACAGCGTGCTTGGCGGAGACAGCCTCCCAGCGAGATGTGCGCACACACACACTGGCACACACACACTGGCACACACACACTGATGCCCTCCCGCGATACCCGCGGAGCAACCCCCTGGGGTGACACCAGCCTGTGGCATAGACTTCGGATCAGTGATCAGTGATCAGTGCCTGGCTGCATGAAGCCCTCTTTGGTGCTCCCCGTGAGGGCGAGGCACAGGCGGGATGGGTCACTTACCCGAGGCACCGTGACACGGGAGCCGCTGCAACGCCTCATTAGAAAGCAACAATGAGGCGTGCAGCGATCGATTATCCCGCGCAAGTAAAATAGAAATATCAATGGTACGCTAAAGTTACGTTTAGGCTAACGGGGCAACTCCGATTTGCGCGGTTGGCAACGTACGGTGCAAATGAAGTTCAACGTACACACATACAAACAGAACGGTGCAAGAGATCCAGAAACAAACGATGCAATTGGGAACGGTGAAAAAGGAGACAAATTAATAATTGACTCCTGAATAAAATGGTCACCCCAACCCATAACCACTCCGTCACTGCGTGCCCTTGCGCCCTGCACCCTGCACACTGCACACTGCACCCTGCGCCCCGCGCCCTGCGCCACTCCGCGGCCGCGTTGGCAGCAGTGGGGGTGGAGGAGGAGGCCACGGCCTCTGGACGCTCTTTGTTCGGCTCACTTCGCCTGGTGCCGGGTCGTCTATTTTCATTGCGGGATCAAACCCCACTTCGCTGTTCCAAGTGGGTCCTTGTGCAGGCACGCCGGCCATCCCCTGGCGCGTGTGTGGGAGCTCTGCACCTTTTCATCGACCCGGCAGACGGAACACGAGCGGCCAATTCGACGTTGACACGACGCTGCGTCACGCGCAGAAATCCGCAGTGGAGCTGGGGATGTGTCCAGCGTGCGCACACCTTGTTTGTTGATGAAAAAGAAGATGAAGTCAGGGCACGCGAGGGTGACGTTTTGGCCCAGGGCGGTGTGTGGCCAGCAGGAGACTCTGTCCCACGTGCCTTCGCAGCCTACGGGCAGAAGGGAGCGAAGCGAGTGTGACGAGCGATTCGTTTGCACCCGGCCAGCAACAGACATACACGCACACACGCACGCACACAGACGCACACACGCACACAGACGCACACGCACACACGCACACAGACGCACACACGCACGCAGACGCACACGCACACACGCACACAGACACACACGCACGCACACAGACGCACACACGCACACAGACGCACACACGCACACAGACGCACACACGCACACAGACGCGCACACACGCACACAGACGCACACCTCCAGCAGAGACCACGAATTCCACTCCCTGTTCCCCAACCCAGCGGTGGCCGCGTGGCGTCTCCCGAGTGGCATGCGGCTCTTTAATCCACCACATGCGGCTCTATCGAAGTACCGTAGAATGTGCTGTCACAGTAGCAGCAAAGAGATAATGAACGAGTGTGACGTGGGGCACGTGGGTGACGTGGGGCACGAGTGGGTGACGTGGGGCACGAGTGTGACGTGGGGCATGTGGGTGACGTGGGGCACGTGGGTGACGTGGGGCACGTGGGTGACGTGGGTGACGTGGGGCACGAGTGTGACGTGGGGCATGTGGGTGACGTGGGGCACGTGGGTGACGTGGGTGACGTGGGGCACGTGGGTGACGTGGGGCATGTGGGTGACGTGGGGCACGTGGGTGACGTGGGCACGAGTGTGCGAGTGGGGAGCGATGATCGCTGTGCATCGTCCCAATGGAGCAATCTGCGGGGCACGCGGTGGCTTGTGAAGCAGACGGTGTGTAGTAGTAGTAGTATGGCTGCTATTACAACTGCGGTATTAACCAGGGCGGACGCTGGATTCGAACCGTGAGCCTCTACAACAAGTGCAAACGCGCTCCCGCTGTGCCCCGTCACTGCCCGTCAATGTTGATACATCACAGTGGAGCAGCGGGCTCCGTGTGTTCAGCGCTTTTAAACCTCCACGCGTGGCAATTAGCACTCGGTAATAATAATAAATACATAAAATGAAAATAACTAAACTCATTTTATTTATTTTTTCACGTGACTTTACTGAAAAAAACAAAGAGTATGGATCCTAGCAGTCACGAAAACTTCAAATCTAGAATTAAGTATCAGTCTTTGAAATGGGCTGGTAGTTTATGCGTGAGAACGCATTCATAATATTTAAAAAACACATTATATGCGGGAAATAATTGCTAGTCATTAACTCAATTAAGGATTGGCGTTCAATCATTTGTAATAAAACTGTGGAATGCAAATGTGATATTCCATCATATTTAGCGCCTATATAATGATGTTAAATTATGCATTAAATTAACCGAGACCGTAAATTATGCATGCAATAAACCGGCGAATCTTACATAATCACAAAATAGCCTCAGCAAGCTAATATGATGTTAATATGATGTTAAGTATGAATAACGTCCATGCTCAAGGATTAATCATGGGCCGTGTGTGTGTGTATCTACAAAATGTTGACTGTAGAATTATGATGAAGGCGACATCCACATTATTCACCCAGAATTTCCATCCAGTGGAAATGATTGTGTGCAGGCCGAGAGAGACGACTACGTGGCATCTGTTCCTTGCTGAGGCCATCAGCACACTCAGTGAGGTCCGCCCTGCAAGGGACCCCCGCAGTGACAAAGTAAGCGACAGAGCGGGTTTCCAGGTCGACAAAACAACCTCGGAATACCCGACAAAGACAAAGGGCAAGTCGCGAGCAAGGTCGCTGGGCAAGAGCAGGCTCTGTGTGAGGGACACAGCGGCGAGAGGGTGGGCCGAGAGCAGCCGCTCAAGGTGACGTGTAATGCAGGTGAAGTGGGATCCAGGTGAAGTGGGATCCAGGTGAAGTGGGATCCAGGTGAAGTGTAATGAAGGTGAAGTGGAATCCAGGTGAAGTGGAATCCAGGTGCAATGAAGCGTCGCAGGTGACGGCGCTTTGTGGAAAACTCAGCTTGAGAATGCAAAGTAACAAATCGATCTTCCGAAAGAAGAGGGATTCCTATCGGGGACGCATGATTGCAATCACATTGAGAGGCAGGCACAGCAGCGCGTGGCTTTGAGGACAAACGCAGGTTAATGAAGTGATTCAAACGTTTAAGAAAAATAAGCGGCCGTGGGCAGGAAACCTCGCCAGAAGCATTGTTGGCACACGGTCAAGAATATTCATGGCGCTGGCTGCCAAGGAATGGAACTCGTCTCCCGAGGAGATGGACCAATGAAATCAGTTCGTGCGCAGATTCCGGGTGGATTGTCATCCCGCAGTGGATTGACCATGTCTGATCATGACGATGACGACGGCGATGTCGACGGTGAGGACGACTGTGTAGGGGCTGCCCCTGTCAGTGCTGCCGAGGGGGTGCGGTGCGCACCCACCCGGCTCGTGGCTGTCATTGCGCGTGGCCAAGAGCCCCTCTGTGCAGCGCTCCTCTGCGTGTCTCAACGCCAGCATGAACCTGCACTCGCGGTGCATGACGTCCATCTGCCACAATGCACGGTCACAGACACAGACACAAGCGCGCCTACTGATGAAGCCACCTCTGCATCGGAATATATCATCGCAGCATTTTAAAAGCGCGTTTATTTCGCACACGCGTGGCCGCGCCGCGCCGTGATCACACGCGCAACCAAATCGACACCACCCCTGTGCAGCCCTCAGATATCCGTGAAGCACACCCCGGCACTCTGTATGTGCAGCTCATGCGCAGCCTGGGACGCGGGTACAGCTGCACATCACCGTCTCTAGCCCCGTGTCCCCGTCCCTAGCCCCATGTCCCTGTCTCGCTCTCGGGCCCCGTGTCCCCGTCCCTATCCCCGTGTCCCCGTCTCGCTAGCCCCGAGGACGCGGGCACCGCGCTCCGCCCCAGGCTGAACCGGCACATCGCTGAATCGTCCAAAAGCGACCACGCGCACGATGCCCGCCCCATGTGGCAATCCACAGCTCGGTGCTGGCCTGCCCACGTGGGGATTATATGGCCATACTTCACCTCGCTGGACAGTGTGGGTTAAAGGCGGGGAGAATAGAAGTGCGGTACAACAATGTGTGTGCTGCGCTGCCCTCTGCCGCCCCTGTGGGCGGTCAACAAGACACGGGGAGACAGACACGGGGAGACAGACACGGGGAGACAGACACGGGGAGGCAGACACGGGGAGGCAGACACGGGAGGCAGAGACGGGGAGACAGACACGGGAGGCAGACACGGGGAGGCAGAGACGGGGAGACAGACACGGGGAGGCAGACACGGGGAGACAGACACGGGGAGACAGACACGGGGAGACAGACACGGAGAGGCAGAGACGGGGAGGCAGAGACGGGGAGGCAGACACGGGGAGACAGAGACGGGGAGACAGACACGGGGAGGCAGAGACGGGAGACAGACACGGAGTCTGCGAAGAGCTCTCCGGGGCGAGACGCAGCAGCGTGAGTCGAGTGGAGACGATCGTGGGCATCCGCATCAAGTGTCTACAGTCGTGCTTCGTGTAGCGAGGCCACGATCGGAGGAGTCTCATTCTCAAGAGTTAACCCCGCGGTCAACAAAATGCAAAAGTAAGAACATAGAGCAAGTACCGTACAACAATGAGCGCCCATAGAAATGTGCACAAAAATCAGCCGAGTTACAGATGAAACAGCCCAAAAAAATTGTCCAACAAACATAATCAGCATCAAACATAATACGTTTCCAATGATATAAGTTGGCTGGGATAAATTACTTTTAAACCCATTGGTAGTGAAAGTGAAGTGACCGACCCCGTGATGGCGCGACGGGGACGTGCCACATGCCACGTGCGGCGCCGCGGTGGCCGCCGCGTGCCGGTCGAGCGTCTCGGGTGGAGGGGGGGGGGTCCCCCATTAAGCAGCAGAGCTCCCTGCCGCCGCGTGCCCCCCAATCGGGGTGGCTGGGCGGACACGCGAGATTCAAGCTCAATAGGTCACCGTGGACAAAGTCGTTGATGGCCCCGCATCTCGCCAATTCTCTTCTTCGACACGTGCATTGAGAGAGCCCACACCAGCGCCTCTACCCTGAGCGCGTGAGTCGTAGAATCTACACGAGCACGGCATCCCGGTGATGCACCCACCTGGCTGAGATGATGACGATGGTGGCGATGCCCCGGTGCTGAGATTGGGTCAGCCCCGAGAGGCGACAAGGTTCGTGGGAAATCTCGAAGCAACGGAGCTCGCGTGCGCCACAGTGAAGACCCCAGCGGTTCTCCACCACCCTCCTGGGAAGAGGTCCCCTGTCACTCAGTCACCACTCCCGTCTGGAGTCCAGGGACTCGGGTGCTGCCTGCACACCCCGCGGAACCGTCATCGGCAGCAGCGGCAGCGATAGCGGCGGCAGCGCTGCGCGTGGCCGCTCGAGTCGCGCACGCGGTGCTGAGTGCGCGTGCAGCGGAGAGCGCAATTATGTCGTGTGTGTGTGTGTAAGGGCACGTGTGTGTGTAAGGGCACGTTTGTATGTAGGGGCACGTGTGTGTGTATGAGCATGTGTATGAACACGCGTGTGTATGAGCAGGTATGTGTGTGCCGTGATGGCCTTCATAGGTGGTACTCGCTAACAGCACTTGCCCCGAGGGTCTGTGAAAGCTATACGGGGGATCTTTGTCTTGTGTGTGTGCACTCTGACTGAGCGGGTAGCGGGGTCATGCAGGACAAAAATAACCTGAGCAGCACCAGGCGCTGGGGGAAGGGGTCAGCTACCGGGATTCCACTTCACCTGGCTATCTCACTCTTATTATTATTATTCATTCCATGCCCGTTTAGCCCCATTTATCCGGCCAAACAGAAGCTGCTTGGGCATGCGGTGGCTGGGCATGCGGTGGCTGGGCATGCGGTGGCTGGGCATGTGGTGGCTGGGCATGCGGTGGCTGGGCATGAGGGCTTTTCACCCAACCAACGCAGCCTTGCCTGCCAGAGGAGCTCACTGATGAGACTGTGTCCAGATCTTTCAAGGATCTGCGAGCTCCTCACACAATCCAGTCTGGTTAAAGCCAGGATGGATCGTAGGCAGGCCAGTCTGAATGTTTAAAAAAGGCGCGGGTGTTCCTTTAATGGGGTCCACGTTTCACAAGCGCAGAGAAGGGAGGGAATATCTGTGGCCGAGAAGACCTGGAGCTTCGTATGGAGCGGTAGGACAGGTAGCTTCCACACAGGGTCACATACCACCTCTCACACTCTGCAGAACACGGCAAAGCAGAAACAAGCTCCACACAGAAAGACACGTGAGTCGGAAATCGACCCCAGGACAGTGTTGCTGTTCGGCACACGCACAACCACTGCACCACACCGCCGACGATTAATTTCCGTTGATTCGAAAACAAGTTTTTGTAAAATGAATATGACGTGTTAACTCAACGACTTTTAAGTTAACTAATTCATGTTTTTATTTTGAAGTTTCGGTCAGGCGCCCTTTTATAATCTACTGCTGGATGAAAACCTCCCCATATCTTGTCGGTCAGGAGGTTATTGGACCATACTTCACCCTAACTGGGGCGGGGACAGGGCTGGTTGGGATACCACTCGTCACTGGTCACACTCGCCACTGGTACCACTCGCCACGAATCGCTGCACAACCGCTCATTTTAGCTGTGAGTGAAGGTACCACAATGACATGTTCAGAGTGGTATTCGAACGCTCTTAACTGATGTGAAGCATGCCTGGACAACGTGGACACCTCTACACCACTCGGGCTGCCGTGTGTGTTCTGTCTCCCGTGTCGTCGCTGCGATGTAGACACGTGTTTTTTGTACAATATGCTCTTTAAATGTTTCAGATTTTTGCGAGATGAGCGAGCCTGCGTCGGAATCGCGTTGATTTCCATGTATGAGCAAAATTGGACGACATTCTAACACCAGGTGTCATGCGTGTTTAGCTGTGTGACTTTGCAAATATGAATTCGCATTTATTGCGTTGGGCAGTAATGCAGTAACGCAGCGAGATGTGGAGTGGTAGTGAAGTGGCCATCGCACTGCGCTAGCTACGAACCCAGTTACCCGAGTCTCATCGAGTTCCATTCCCGGCTGTCATCAGTGGCGATTAATATCTGAACCTGCACGAGCGCGATCTGCCGGTGAGAATCGATTCAGATTCACGACGGCAGTTCACAACTGCTGCACTGCCTTGACAATGTCACGTTAGGTTCTTGGTGGTGACAAATTATCCATACGTCACCTACGCTAAACATGATCGGACACGGAGTTGATGTGTTGTTGTTGTTATTGTTGTTGTTTTTCATCACTATCTGACCATCAACCCCTGGCCTCACTTGCGCATTCGGTGTGGGCCGTTCTCGAGCCGTTCTCGAGCCGTTCCCGGGCCGACCTGGAGGCGGTGAGCACGAGGCGTGGCAGCGCTGTCGTGATTGTAGCCGAGGTATTTCTACTTTCGATGTTGTATTGTTGTTTAAACGTGACATGTACTTTTGCAATTATCATACAAAAAAAATAAGAGCAGTTTTTTTACGTTTGCAAGAATTTCATATGCTCATTGATTTTTTTCTGTGGAATTGTATATATCAAAGCACGCGAATACGATGTTATTGATACACGGAAAACTTTGTTTTGTTAAACTATAACGGATCGCCTGTTTTGCTCATATTTTTACGGGTTATGTCATGTGCAAACAGCAGGCTGTGTACAATTTGTGCTCTGTTATTAAGTTAACCGTGCAATTATGGCATTTTCCACATGGTATCGCGGTGCATTGAGAATGCAAAATAAACATCTGAAATTATTTTAAAAAATCAATCGCCAAATGCGAATCCAATGCAATATCTCGCAGTGACATTTCATGACACCGCTGCAATGCTGGTCGGAACAGTAATTTATCGAATTTATTTTTGTTATCACCATTTCACTCAGCTCGTTATCGCTGCCCGAGATTAAGCGTTCATGCCTGGACTGGCAATGTCGACCCAGGCAGAGAATGAGAGGTGAGGGCCACGGCATTCCAGAAAGTCGACTCGAACACGGGCTCGTGCGAGACGCGTCGCCATGGCGGCTCCGTGAGTGAAGCGTGGCGGAGAGACCCACGGAATGATACACACGGAATGAGACCCACGGAATGATACACACGGAATGATACACACGGAATGATACACACGGAATGATACACACGGAATGAGACCCACGGAATGATACACACGGAATGATACACACGGAATGATACACACGGAATGATACACACGGAATGATATACACGGAATGATACACACGGAATGATACGCACGGAATGATACACACGGAATGATAGCTACAGAATGATACACACGGAATGATACGCACGGAATGATACACACGGAATGATACACACGGAATGATAGCTACAGAATGATACACACGGAATGATACACACGGAATGATACACACGGAATGATAGCTACAGAATGATACACACGGAATGATACGCACGGAATGATACACACGGAATGATAGCTACAGAATGATACACACGGAATGATACGCACGGAATGATACACACGGAATGATAGCTACAGAATGATACACACGGAATGATACACACGGAATGATACACACGGAATGATCGCCACGGCATGCAGCTTTGATACCCTTGGAGTGTTTGTTTATCGGTGTGCATAGCGGAGGAACGTGTGCCAGCAAGTTCGTGTGCATGAGTGTGTGAGTGAGTGCCGGGTTAGCGCGATTCGATTCCCGCTCACAGCCAACACCAGTGACGATTACTTGAACCGGTCTTAGGCCGCCCTTAGGTCGACTCAACCTCAAATGAGTAGTACCTGGTGCGGTGTGTAAACATCGCCACGAGGGAGACAAAGGCGGTCGGGCGTGGTGCTGGCCACCCACCCCCTCGTGTTCCTTGCCGGCCTTCATAGGTGCTCGCTAACAGCACTTGCCCCAACAGTCTGTGACTACGATGGGGGCGACCTTTGTCTTTGTGTGTGCACGTGCAGTCGGGACGCGCCAGTCACAATGGCACGAGACAAATTGGCGATCCGCCACAGAGGCAGCTCCCAGTGGCACCTTGTGGTTGATGGCTGTCGTGATGACGGCAATTAAAGGGAAAAAACACAAACACGCGCAGTTCAAATACAAGCCGTGTCCGACCATTATAGTCATTTAGTGGTCACACAGGATCTCAAAAACTAAGGCGTGTATTAAAACAAATGCATTTAGAAATATAGAAGACGATCTTTTATAGTGCGTTTAGATTTTAACGAAAAGAAGACCGTGATAGAGCAAGTATGTGGGGTTCGTGGGAGGTAAGAAATGATGGATGTTTGGTATGTACAAGGTGCAGGTCATATCCTGAAGGTCACAGCCCTATCGGTCCTACGCAGCACAGCCACAGCAAACAACACGATAAATGTTTCCATAGGAAGGCTTTAAAGACCAATGGTACGATTCATAGTTCGTGTTTTGGGTTGGAACACGCCAGTTACAGCTGTGTGCCCTCCACCACCCAGCACAGCCCACCACATTGAGTCGTGGCGTCTGCACAAACAAACTCAAGTGGGACGTTTTGTTCACGCGTGGCGACTCTACGTGTTGGGTTGCGTGGCGTGGTGGAGGGTGCCCGCCTCCGACTGGCGCGACACCCACGTGTTCTAACCCACAACACGTGGCCACCGCGGTGGCGAGACGCTCGCTCCCTCGCCCGGTATGCAGGAGGTCTCGTGGCTTCTTCGGTCCTGACCCTGACGCCGGCTGCATATTTGGAGTTTGCGTGTCTCTCTCCCCGTGGTCGCGTGGATTTGTCTCCGCGTCCTCCGTTTTTTGTTTTTGTTCCCCTCCACATTTGGACTCGACATCGCCGCGTTCAGAGTATTTGCCTGCGATGTATTTCCACATGATGACAACCAACTTCGTTGAGCCGTCATTAGTGATGGCCAATGTCGCTTCTGAAACAGAACATCGCGATACCAGTGGGACCGCAAACCTCTGTCCGCGGTCACGGCCCAGCGCCGTCTGCACAGTGCAGCAGGTGGCGCTGCACTCCTCGCCGGGGGTCGCAGTCGGTGTGCACCGCGTGGCCATCCAAGTGATTTCGCTGTGCCGGGTCGTGTAGGCTCTGAGCGATACACACTCAGTAAGATCGTTACGTGGCCTCACCCTAAATCAATGATGAGTCGGTGTCCCGTACGAGCTGGCGATCAAGGCCCGAGTGCGTCCTAGATCACGCTGCGTTGGATCACCACCTGGCACCTCCGATCAGCACGGTGGGCTACGTACGGTGCGAAAGAAGTCCAACATACGTACCATGTTCAGGTGCAGCGTCTGTGGTGCACCTCCTACTGGAACACGCGTTTGTTTACAAGACACGTTCCATTTCTCAGTCAAGTTCGAAAGTAAAGGCAACAAACACCCTCAAACAAAGCTCATTGAAAT